GGTCTGGCCACCACCACGTGCTGAGCGCGTGTGCTGTTCATGTACTTGCTTCACCCGCATACCACATTCGGCCAGGCAACGCTGGCCGGTGGTGCTGCTAGTAAGTTATAAGTGTTAGGTCCCGGTTTCGCTCAGTCGGTAGGGCAAGCGGTTATAGTAATGGATAATGGTTATCATACAGAATTGCACACTTATTCAGAGAGAGAGAGAAAGAGTTCTCAGGTAATACCCTGTAGTCTAGCATGAAACTAATCCGTAGGAAACTAGAAAGGCAGCAGCTTTTATAGGGTGAGTAAGTAAGCTAGCCTATGGTCAGGGGATACGTAGAGCAGAGAGAAGTAAGAAGAAAGGTCAAACTACAAGGTACATGATTGTGTGGGCAGAAGAATGGGAAAGGTCGGGACATGGCACCTGTGCAAGAGGAATACGTTAGAGGAAGAACTGAATAGAAGGGTGTACAATACATCGTATACATGTACATGTAGGCGTGCAATAATACCAGGAGGACAACTGTTGAAAGGGGCATTAGGATGTATGGACAGCTGTTAGTGTAGATAACTAAAAGTGCGGCTGAAAGTGAAATGCATCAAAAGGTCTCCAGTGTGCAGCTACTGTGCTATCTAAGGTCAACCTCGAAAGTGTGTGGGAACAATAGATGAATACAGCGCATAGTATAGTATTAGTAGTGCATGTAAAAGAGGATAGAAGATGAGGCTGGTGTAACTAGTCAAGTACATGTGCATGTCATATAATGTATGTATTCCTACCTAACATAAGCAGTTTAGTTTTTTGTGGAAAACGGATACTTTCCTTTTGAATTCTGAAGCTGATAACAATATACAGTGTTCATGTACATGTAACTACAGTCCATTCATGAAAAGATGGACTTCTAGCTTTTGGCTGTAAATGCTCAAAGGAGTACTCGAGTACCGCTGGCTGAGCACTGTATTGAGGTACACTGTAGGTGGCATTCGGAATCGCGGATACGGAGGAAAGGTTATGTACTGTCGTCCCTCTTTATTCCGGCACTTTATAAACCAGCACCCTCTATAAACCAGCACAATTTTCATTAGCCAAAATGTCCTGGTCATGCACATTGCAACAGTAGATCAAATTTGTTAATCCAGCAGAATTTCTTTAGCGCAAATGGTGCCGGATTATACAGGGACCACTGTATTGATCCACTCGCCCCCACCGTTAGGCGCTGCATCTGCCGCTAGGGTTTACCGGGTGTTAGTGGCCGCCGCGAGTTCCCTTCGGGAACGGACACGATAATTTACTTTTTACTCTTTTTTTACTGTACTGACGGGGTTTATGTACTAACGAATTACAGTAAGATCGGGCGCCGAAGAACACCTCGCCGAAGAACACCCAGGCTGGAAAACCGGCAAAATTTAAGAACAGTCCAGGCTAGAATTATCAGATTTAAGAACACTTTTAAAATTTGGAACATTGTACATGTATGGGAGGTGAGTACATGTCATGTACACGTGTAAACAGTAACCGCTATACATGTACAGTCATTCCCATTTACGACACCCACTAGTTTAGAAGTACATGTACTACAGCACTACATGAACATGTACATGACAAACGTCATGACGTCACTCGACTCGCCGCGCGCGTGTGAATATTAATAAGAACGGTCTGGCTAGAATCAAAAATTTAAGAACTTTCCTAGGCTGCGCTCGAGCCCCTGCGTTCTTCGGCGCCCGATCTTACTGTACTGTATTAGGTTTTCCCCAAATCGGCCGGCCAAAAATTCGCCGAAAACGAGACTTATCGAAAAATCGCTAAGCTTTTCGCCGATTGTGGAGGGTTCCTTTTAGAATCGCCGAAAATCTACCAAAATAATATTGTTGCAATGTGCGTTTACGGTTTAGGAACCAATGTCAATGATGTTGCTGCAAGCATGACCGCTCGAACTCTCTACTTCAGTCTTCAGTACTTGTTGTACTACTAGTACCAGTGCGTTGAGGTCGTGTGACTCGTGTCCTTTGACCTCTCAAACAAACAATTTAATTGTTTGTTTGAGAGGTCAAAGGACACGAGTCACACGACCTCAACTAAAATAGTGTTCATAACCGGTTTTCACGTTACAAACTTGGGGAGTAGATCTGGACTGGAGCCGAGTAAGGAATAGGAAGAGAATGTTCTAGTACTTACTACTTGTACAGTCTGTATCGGCTATAGCGTACCCTTTTGATTTCCGTGATTTTATCACTATAACCGATGCATCACTATAATTATGCGATGCGATCGTTTTTTTGTTTTTTTTTCGATTGAAACATGAAAGGCAAGGAAATACTTCCAGTATGGTGTTTTGACAAATGAGCATGCTGCACAGTTGACAGTGCCCGCATTTCCATAAAAATCATGTTATGTACATGTACAATCACATGTACGTGTGTCACTATCAAAATAAGCAACGTGAAGAAAGTAAAAAAATAGGGCCTTTCATATTATTGCTATATGTATTTTAAAGTTATCACTATAGCCGATAATAATAATTATAGTGTGTTATGCATGTTTTGATTCTTTGTTGCCATCATAATATCCGATATATCATTACATCCGATAATATTGGTTATAGTGATATTTTTACTGGATAAAATACGTTTTGCTTTTGATATTTCGTACCAATATCACTGTAGCCGATATATTCTTCTATCCGGTCACTCTTTAGCCGATACAGACTGTACTAGTAGTTCGTGTACTCTAAGTTAGTCTAACATGTGTGAAGCATAGGACGAGAACTAGAGGGGTAAGTAAAAATGGCCACAAGGCGGCCATTGTCACGGCGGATCATGGATTGCTGTTGTGTCGGGTGGGGTGGGCAACCAAAGGCTGTTGCGACTCTCGGACCCTGGTTTATCCTGGCTGAAGCTGCATCAATGATGTCGTCCAGTCAACAACATCATCGTCAACATGCATTGCATGCTCAGACCAAAAAAGATCAAAAGCATCCAAACCTCATTATCCTTTTTAAATGCACACGGTGTGCAGTCAGTCATGTTCGCTACTGTCGTACTGATAATCATGTATTAGTAGTTGAAACCCGTTTTGTGCCGTGCTTCCTATCCTAATTGTATACTTACCGATGAAGGGTACCCACCCGTATTCAAATGATCATAACTCTGGTTTCCCTTGGCCGATTTCTCTGATTTTTCCATATCTTTCATTGGAGCCATCACTGCAGTATGCACTGTTGACAACAACAAACCGCCTGAAATCCCTACTACCGTACTGGCAATATATGTTGCCGCAGTGAGGCCATGAAGCGTTACATTGGCACATGTTTGCCGCACGCAGGGCGTTACATGCAAAGTCGCACAGGAGCCGTTACACAGGTTTCTATATTGCCGCAGTCCTTTTTTGCTATTGCCGCATCACTTTTTTGCTATTGCCGCATCATTTTTTTGCTTTTGCCGCATCATTTTTTTCTTTTCATCCACATTGAAGGCACAGAAATTCAGTTGCTATCCAACTGTTACAAACCCGATGGCAAAGGGCGACAACGATATCAATAGAAGACTGTATATTTTAACTATCAGAGTGATCTGTTCACAAAAAGATCATCAAAAGGAAAGTGACATAGGGGAAGAGCGCTTCCTCCAAAAACTACTTTTCACCACGCGGTACACGTGCTTTCACAGTTTTCAGCCTTTTTTTTGCAGTGCAAACTGCAATGAAAAGATCGCCGCACCCCGCCGGACGCGCGTTACGAACTCAACGAAAATTTGTCGCACTAGCCTGGTTGCGCGTTACGCCGCACCCCCCTGCGTTACGCGTTACGCGGCAACATATATTGCCAGTACGGTATTACTTATTATTATCACTCCCTTAGTATTGACTCACATAGATTTTTGCCATACCTAAGCAGTCAAATATTCCTGCATATTTCACTCCTTAGGGCTATATTGACCGCTTATATTTGACTCCTTAGGGGTTGCGCAGTTGAACGGTGCCTAGTGCAGCAGTTTCACTGCATGAGTAGGCCGTGGTGCAACGGTTGTGCAATCATAAAACCGGGATTCATGAGGTTATCGTTCTGGAATTTGAAATACGGACTGTTTGTCGTGATAAATCTAATATTGACTTCGTACTTGGTCAGTATAGGAAATAAAAACCTCGTAAAAGACCTCGGCTTCGCCTCGGTCTTTTACTCGGCTTTTATTTCCTCGTACTCAGTCAATATTACCGTACTGGCAATATATGTTGCCGCAGTGAGGCCATGAAGCGTTACATTGGCACATGTTTGCCGCACGCAGGGCGTTACATGCAAAGTCGCACAGAAGCCGTTACACAGGTTTCTATATTGCCGCAGTCCTTTTTTTGCTATTGCCGCATCACTTTTTTGCTATTGCCGCATCATTTTTTTGCTTTTGCCGCATCATTTTTTCTTTTCATCCACATTGAAGGCACAGAAATTCAGTTGCTATCCAACTGTTACAAACCCAACGGCAAAGGGCGACAACGATATCAATAGAAGACTGTATATTTTAACTATCAGAGTGATCTGTTCACAAAAATATCATGAAAAGGAAAGTGACATAGGGGAAGAGCGCTTCCTCCAAAAACTACTTTTCACCACGCGGTAGATCTACTCCGGGGCCACGTGCTTTCACAGTTTTCAGCCTTTTTTTGCAGTGCAAACTGCAATGAAAAGATCGCCGCACCCCGCCGGACGCGCGTTACGAACTCAACGAAAATTTGTCGCACTAGCCTGGTCGCGCGTTACGCCGCACCCCCCCCCCCCCTGCGTTACGCGTTACGCGGCAACATATATTGCCAGTACGGTAGATACGTACTGTACTACTGATGACTGATGTAGCTCGATACCATGACTGTCACCATGGTCATCATGTATGACACTGACAGTCATGATCATGAGTCATCGGTAAAGCGCGGTATACCGGTATGGCAATAAATGGCATCCACATGATCCATGGGCGGGAGCGAAAGGGATTTTTGAAAGTCTTCCGATGCATGATTATCATGATTATGTCCCAGCCAGGATGAGGAGAAAAAATTCTGTGAACCAAAATGACTAAGTTTTGTTTCCTTCGCATGGATGATGAACACGATTTTCTCCGTAGTGGGAGTATCGTCATTATGCATAGCAGAACGATATGAACATCATTGTTAGTGATACTAATAGGGCTAGGTCCAGGACAATAATTTCTCATAGCCGCAGCTCGTACGATCCGTATGTTCTGCCAGAGTGGCGTTTGGTGCGGTGGGGAGTGCGATCGGCATGGCGGAACGTGATGTAGCTTCCGAGGACTCTTGGAGCAACTCGGATGGAACTGCTGATGATTCGCTCGACGGAAATCCTGACAGCAGAACCCCACGGCATTCTCAACTCCCGATAGTGTCTCCTTCGGACAAATCAGAGAGATATTTTGCAACAATGAACCGCTCGTCCAGACGGCACGTCATGCCCGAAGAGGCATCAGCAGGAAGAACGCTAAGCTACTTGTCACCAGAGAATCCGCTCAGTGCTGCAGACGACGATCAGCGCCGCGATAGCAGCGCAGGCAGCCTGACGGAGGACACAGTAGATTTGTGCGCGCGAGGCGATGCTGTACCGGCAGCAGGTGGACAGTCCGAGGCTTATGACGAGGATGAAGATGAAGATGCTGAAGGCACACTCTCGGATCCATCTCAACAAGACATTCTGGATCATGGGTCTGAGAGGAGAAGAAGAAGTCGCGAACCCCGCAGCCACCATTTGGATGCGTCACACGCGTCAATGCTTGTACGTTCTGAAATATCTGCTGAGGTCTGCATGGTTCAAGCGTTTTAAAAGGGCTAAAGCAACGCATCAATTATAGCCAATATAGGGCTATGGAGCGAACGATCGAGTTCGTTTAAGGAACGCTAGCATAAGGATCACATGTTATTTGCACCCCAGCGCATCAATCCACTTTTGAGTTCAATACCACCCACCTACTCTCTACAATAGAATAATACACGTAGAAAGTTATCACATATCAGTAGCGCATTTTCAACTACAATGCATTTGTGATACTCCTAAAACCTGGGCAATGGAGTGCCATGGGTTGGGGACAGGGGCAGACGCTCCCCTGCACAGAAGTCTAGACTGGCACCTGAGCATTCTCCACTGTTGCGATTTCTGCTGTTTCACATCAGGGCCGTCCCGGAGATCCTAATCTTTGGCCACTGATGGAGGAGTTGATGAGTCTGGAAAGCGAATTGACGGTAAGCGTGGACAGTGAGTGCTTCCAGAGACGTATGGAACAATACAGTCAAAATCTCGCTGGTAAGACAAACGGTCACTCTGGACTTTGAGAACTCAGATGGTGAACATGTAAAAAAAATAGTTTAGTATGTAAACATGGTTAAGTTGGTGGACTCGATCGCATTACTTGTGCCCACATTTTTCCATGTTACAGCTCTATACTTTACAAGAACTAGTATCGGTACTCACACCACCATTGGATAAATCATTACTGGATATTATTATTATGTAAAAAAAATAAAATAAAAAATTCCATGTTACAGCTCTATACTTTACAAGAACTAGTATCGGTACTCCCACCACCATTGGATAAATCATTACTGGATATATTTTGTGGGTAAGAGGAACTCCCATTGCACTGCAAACAAGAAACAATGGTCCATTTGACTGTAGCTCTGTAGCTTGTAGCTGTAGCTGTTGCTCTTTATGCTGATGCGTTCAATCCATACGTGCTATCGTGACTGCCAACAAACTTAATATTTTTGTCCGTTTGTCGTCTCTAGAAAGAGGCCAAGCGACTGTACGAGCGCAAACAGCGACTGAAGAAGCGGGAACAGCGCGCTGCGGAGCTTGAGCGCCTGGCGTGTCAATCTCATGATCGCCTGGCACAGTGTGCCGAGTTGGAGGTCACTCAGCGTTGGAGTAAACTGGAAGAGGTGTGTGGCCCATATAGAGCTTGGCAGTATATTCACAAGTTCACTCGCACGTACGCACGCACACATGCATGTAAAGCACGCATGCACGGAGGCACACACAACGCTCACACACACACACACACCCACACCCACACACACACACACACACACACACACACACACACGCACATACACTGTTCAGTAATCGTCCACACCTGAAGTTATGCTACAGGCTGTGGTCGTTTTCTGCTAACCTGTTATATCATCCGCTTTTTCCATGTGACTGGCTGTGCGTGATTCCCACACTGCCAGAAGAGACTGTACATCCCATCATAGTGCACTGCTGAGACCCTGTGGCTGTTATCCATGTTTCAGCTAGGAATGTAGGGTGCACACAGAGAGCCTAATGGAACTGTTGAGACCGTGTTACCTGTTACGTATGTTTCAGGAACGCAGAGCGCACACACATAACCTAATGGAGCTCGTGAGGCGACGTGACAAAGAGGTGCAGCGACTGGAGGCCTCGTTCTCCACCATGCGGGAAGCCAACCATGAATTGAAGGAGAAGGTAAAACATGCAAGCGTTGTGTGCTACTAAATTGCCCCATCAAAAATTTAATAATAATAATAATAAATCTCCGAACAGTCAGCTGTTCGACCTTGTTAGGTCTCATCAGTGGAGCTGAGAGTTACTGGTCGACCCGACCGCAATGGAGTCTAATGAACAACAAAGCATACTGCAGTGTGTTGAACTGTTCTTTTTAAAGAACGCTCTGCAGGATGCATATTGTCTAAGACTTTAAAAACGTCTTAGTCAATATCTGAAAGGAATTCGGGTAGACACACCCATTCCCAGGGCTGCCACACTTGGAGGGAGAAAAATCTGACGGGGGTCTGGGGGTGTCCCCCTGGGAATTTTTTTAGGAAAATGGCTTGCTGTTGGGGCCCCATAACACATTTTTAACTGTCCACACGCATGCAAGCATGCGTGCATTTTACAGCTACATGTACATGTACAATGACTGGCCAAACGCGACCTGGAAGCGCCGAATGCGTCAACTGGACTAAAAAGCGCTCAAAATAAAATAATCGGTTGTCCCTCTTTGGGAACAAAATCGGTCGGTTTGTCTGGACGATTTCCGAAAAATCGGAGCAAGTGGCAGCCCTGCATTCCCATACTATAGCGCTGCACATCCGAACCAGTTCAGTTAGTTTACAATGTTTCGGCACTTGGCCACCGTCAGGTAATAACAATTCATTGTTATTCACGAAACGTTGTAAACTTACTGAATTGGGCCGGATGTGCAGCGCTATGGGAATGGGTGTGGCCACCCGAATTCCTTTCAGAGATGAAGCTGCAGGAAGCCTCAGCCCTTCTTCAAACTTAGTCAATATGCACCGATATTATGATCCAAGAAAGCAGAGGTGGTCGCAAAATGGTTCGGGGAACAGCAAACATGTTTCTAGAGTCACTGTTGAACCCGTAGTAAGTGCACCATCTACAGTGGCACTATGAGCCCAACACATCAAGTAGAATGATGTTCCAGCATCACTACTTCAGGCTGTATGCAAGTGCTGACTGATGAGGAATCCAGCTGGCTTTTCTCTCAAGCCCCCGCCATGGGCCTGTGGGCAAATAAGACTGTATTTACAGGTACATTCTGTAAAACAAGAAAGTAACGATGTACTGCATTGTGAAAGGATTCAATCTCCTTTCGACTCGAGAACATCAGAAAGAACAACAAATCAACGAACATCACAAACCATATGCGCGCAGGCGCATCCAAGTCAAAAGCATGTGCACTTTCACACAAGCGCGCATCTAGTGCTGACTCCGAGACCTCTGATCGGACTATAGCTGGACTCGCCTCACCTGCACCTTGCTTTTGCATGTCCTACCCATTTTGTCTGTTTGTCCTAGTCTTCTGTCCCACTTTGCTGCTACCCCGCATCACCAGTAGGATCGTGTGCTTTAAACATTTAAAAGCAAGGTCAGCAGCACATGCATTGTAGAACAGAGTACATCGTATTATCGTATTATTATGGTACTGGTGTGTAGAGGGGCTATTCCATTACAGGCCTCTTTTTTTGCTTAGAACTGGGAGGTGTATTCCACACACATTGGCGTGTAGTAAAGAGCACCCGAATCCCTGTAATTTTGGTCGTTTTGGGAGACTATTGTGAATGCACGGAATAATGCTGAAGTCCGCTGCAAGGTGTTCATAATGGTTTGTGTGTTCTCTGTATTGTTGAACCACCAGGTATCCAAGCTGGAGACAGAAAGCATTGCCTTCAGCAAACAACTATCCTCGTCACAGAGACGCGTGCGAAATCTGCAGGTTTGTAGCCTCGGCGCTTTGGGTCTCTTGTGAGCTTCACATTTTACTCTTAGAGTATCCCAGCATTACTGCGGTCACTGTATATGGGCTGAGTGGTCGAACGATGCACACAGCTCATGGGTTATGTTGTTTACCACTGTTCGATTTATTGATAGGCTCGCTGTCGACTGCAAGATCAGCACCAGAACTCGGCGGAGGTGGTACGAGAAGCCATGGCAAGATCCAAGCGAGTGCAAGACGCGGGCCATGCTCAATGTAAGCAATGCTGCCCAGTGTTTCTACTTGTCTAATGTACTGTACCAGCTCTGCAGTGGGGTGCGGATCAGAAGTTGGAAGTAAATTCATTTGTGTGCAAAGTCAAGAGATGGTATGGGCATGCACTTCCTTATGCATATTTCTGGAGCTGCATTCAGCGCATGTGTGGACATACCAACATCAAATTCATGTTATTTCCCTCCTTTTTGTGTGGGCAGCAAGCTCATCTGGACGCAGCGCGGCGTCCACGGTTCAGAGCAGCTCACAGCAAGACGGGCGCTACATCATTCCGTTCTGCACCCTCCTGGAGTGGATCGTTGATGCCCAGCTGATGTCCTCGTGGAAGAAGGTGCAGCACGGTCCAACGAAAATGAAGCCAGACGAGTTTCAGGCACAGTGTGCAAAGGTACGGTTATGCCTGTTATTGTGTGCTTAGCACATCACAATGTTTAACTACTAGTGTGTGCTGCACCTTCATGGTTGTTTGTTGTGATGATCAGATTAATACAGTACAGTATGTGTATGGTTCATCTTCAAGCACGGCTCGTTGTTCTACTTCGAAGTACATTGAAACCTGTCTAAGACGACCGTTCAAGGGACCTTCAGAATGTGGTCTCTGTTACCAGGTGGTCTCCTTATCCAGGGTCTATTGACTGGAAATAGCATCCCTTGGTCTTGGTTGCAGTGATCTTCTAGGACAGTTTGTCACCTTATCCGCGATGTCGCTGGGACAGGTTTTACTGGAACTAAGCCATGAGACTGGTACTGTATAAGCAGAAATATTCGTCTGGAATTTAATTTCGTCTTTTTCGGCCAAGGAACTTTTGGACTAAATTAAATGCCGGACAAATGTCGATTTGTCCAGCTTTTCAATGCACTCTTATGATCCATAGACGAAATTTACAGCCGGACGAACTCCCTTTCTTTGGAGTTGGACGAAATTATTGACCGACGAAATGTTCTGCTTGTACAGTATAGTGTTTCAAAAACCTAGCAATGTACTGCAGTGTGTGCAATAGACTGTTTGTGTTTCGCCCGTTGTTGACCTTGCTTCATGTAGCTCTTGCCTCTGGTGGTGGAGCTTCTAACTACGTGCGATGTGAGCACGATGGCCAATCAGATCGCGATCCCCTGTCTACGCTTTGCTCTGGTGTCGTCTCGATTCATCACTCATTCTTCCGTGTCGGCGGTGAGTTGCACTCTTTTTAGCAGCCATCACGCCTTGTAGCACAACAAGTAGTGACTGCTAAGAAGTGAATGGAATCCCAGATTTCTGTTAGGCCTGTTTCTTCAAGGCTGTCTTGGTTACTTGTTCTGTAACTGACATGGTTGTCTTGGTTACTTGTCCCGTATCTGACATGGGGGTATTGATCATACTGCTCAATGTATCCCTGTGCATATCCGTTCTTCTGACCAGGCAGTTCAAAGTCAACGAGCCTCTTTACTAATGATGTTCCGTCATCTGGGTGAAGCTATGACTCGTCCCAAGGTAAGATCTCTGCCTTCCTGATCACCCTCAGTTTCCTTCTTCTGTACGACCCTCTTTAAAGTTTTACATTGTACTGTTGAGGCAACGAACTAAAAATAATAATAATAAAAAGATGTGTCGTGTCATTCTAACGGTTTTCTTTTCTTGTTAATCAAAATACAAAAAAACATGGAAATCTATTGCACGTGCTGATCTCCGAAGAATAATTTGTGTAGGCTCAACTTGATGACTGGATGGCTAGTTTCACTTGATTTTCCCTACTGCTGAAGTTTAGTGTAGCGATTTTGTTTGGTATTTTGTTTTTCCCTGAAACACTGCATTCTCTCCAGGGCTCCAATCAGCCAGCCATGTTAGCGTCCGCAAGTTGGCATGTTCAGCTCCTATCCTCACTTTTTGTCCTGGCCAATGTCAACAGAAGTAAGTGGTCTTTCTTGTCCGCTCTCGTGCTGCTGACGGTTCAAGGGCTGTTCTAGTTGATGGACTCTAACACATATCTTGTGCCCCACTGTTTTCCTCGCTTCACCCCGGTAAATATATAATTGGGTTAAGCTGGGATATTGCGGAGTGCCTTCATGTTACTACGTCTTGTGTATCTGTAGGAGTTGCATTATTTGATAAAAAGTATATTTTTCGCAGGTAAGAGTATTTATTTTGTAGAGCTTGAGTGGATATAGATTCCTAGGTTAGCGCTACACCGTATCTCGTCTGCTTGATATGATGACCATTCAACTTGCCTGACCCTGAGTGTGTAATGTAATAATTTTAGTCTTTGCATGGCTTGTTGCCTATTCTTCCTTGTACATGTATCTGTGTTTGGTGTTCAGCTGATCTTGTCCTACATGCATTTGACGTGCTTCGGAATAGTCTACGAAATGCTGTGGTGAGTCAGTAGAGACTGTACGTGAAACAGCAGTCACATGTAGAATGGTGCAAAGCAGATTACCATGGAGTGGCTGTTTATCAATTTTGGCCATTGTTGTCACAATTGTGAAATGTATGCCTGAACGTATTGGCTAGAGAATATGGCCCGTTTTGGAGATTAAGGATTGCAATATCACATAGTTTGGTTGCCTGGTGATTGCTTCGGCGTGAACCTTTCCAAGTCACAACTAGATCCTATTGAACCTCTTCTCTCACATGCAAGTGTCTAGTACTTTCCCTGGCAGTTACCACAACCTTCTGTGCATCGCAATGTCATATTGGCCACAGTGCTGTGCATCGCAATGTCATATTGGCCACAGTGCTGTGCATCGCAATGGCATATTGGCCACAGTGCTGTGCATCGCAATGGCATATTGGCCACAGTGCTGTGCATCGCAATGTCATATTGGCCACAGTGCTGTGCATCGCAATGTCATATTGGCCACAGTGCTGTGCATCGCAATGTCATATTGGCCACAGTGCTGTGCATCGCAATGTCATATTGGCCACAGTGCAATGTCATATTGGCCACAGTGCAATGTCATATTGGCCACAGTGCAATGTCATATTGGCCACAGTGCAATGTCATATTGGCCACAGTGCCGGCTTGTAACTAGACTACTAGTAGTGGTATAGTGTGAAGCTGCTCAATGCACTGCGATCATAGTAATCATGTTTGCGCCCTGTAATAGTGCACAGCCCAGTGTTCACGAATCATTGGCCCCTCAGAATGCTCAATCCTGTCACAGTGACTGCTCGCCTTTCATCATTGTACTGTATCTGAGCTTCCCAGAAGACTGCATCATCACCATGAGACTAGTATCGGCAAGTCCGTGATGATTAAGGGTGGATGGTTAGAGTGTCTATGGACTAAGAGCTGCCGATCATTAGCCTTCCGGCATTCTCTAAACTGTCCAGTTTGCAGGTGAAACCCTTTAACCAAGAAATCAACCGATCGATGCTTGTATTCTTGAATTTTTTATTGGTTGTGTATTGGTGTGCCGCTGCACAGCAAAAGAGCATCTTCCTCAACCACAGTGGAATGGGCGTGATTGTCATGTTCATGCGCTCCTCAACAGCACCGGTTAGTGAACTGCCATGCACTGATCTGCAATGAGTCGTAGCTTGGCGCGTGCGCGTTTAAAAAAAACTATGAAGGCGGTGGTGCGGCTGACATTGTCAAGTATAATTTGTGTGGAGCAGCAAACCAGCGCTCGCGATGCCACTCCACAAAGAGCGAAACAGTTCTCTCCGCAGATTGAGTATTTTACTCCTGCTCTTTTAGTAGTTGACCACCCTCATGCAGATAGTGCCTTTGCTGTTTGCATTATGCATAGCTCACTGACTTTTCATTTGAGCACTCTGGCAAGGTACGTTCGGGCCTAGTTTAAATCTGGCTTTGAAATCTGTATGTTCAATTCAAATCAGGTCCGGCCTCATTTTCTCTTTGCTGCGCTGATGAGTCTACGAAGGGCGAAGCAGTTCTGTCCCCGGATTGAGTATTTTGCTCTTGTTCATAGACATTTAGCACTCTCGTGGTTGGTATCGCCTTTGCTGTTTGCGTTATGCAGAGCTCTCTGACTTGTCGGTTCTCTTGTTGAGTGTGCTTCTTCTTCCTGTTTGTTGTGTGTATGTATCTCTCCGTTTTTGAGTCAATTCTTGGACCAAAGGAAACGTGGCCGTTCTGTGAATCAAACAAAGTACACCGCACCAGTGTTGCGGAATTCTCATCAGAAGTCAAGCGCTATGCATTACTACACAGGCGGTACAGAGAGATATGCATGTGTCCTTCGATAGCTCAGTTGGTAGAGCGGAAGACTGTAGTCGGTGTCAGTAAATGACAGTAATCTTTAGGTCGCTGGTTCGAATCCGGCTCGAAGGATTTTTTCTTCAAGTTTTGTATTTTCTAGTGACACTGAAACTTCGGGTGTTTTTAGTAACTTTTTACTCTTTTTGCTCTGATTCTCTTCTGATTCCCTACTGATGTTTACAGTCTCTTGTGTCAGCAGCTGTGGATGTACACCTGCATTTAGTCAACGAGCCAGGTAAGAAGACTGCGTGCACGATTTTCCGAGAGGTGCCTTATCAGTTATCATGCACACCCTTTTAACTTCACAAGCTCGTAAAAGGCTGGCATTTCCTTGCGAGAGGTGCCGAATCGCAAATTTTGAACTTCGCAAACCAGTCTCGATTTCTTGAACGCAAACATTTCTTATTGCAAACATTTCTTATTGCAAACATTTCTTATTGCAAACATTACCTGCTTTAAAGTACACTCGTACCTCGGTTATCCGTTCCCCGAATTTACCTGCACTTCGGTCTACTGGGCACCCTTTGGGCAAGTTTGAGTGAAAATATTACTACTCTTTTGTGACTTTTGTGGAAATAGTGATGTCGCATGCCTTATCTATTGCCTTTCCCCATCAAAATGTATGTGATTCGGAGTCACGGACATTTGGAAGTCATGGGCAGTAAGTCAGTAACATCCGGCCAGATAAACGAGGTATGAGTGCATGTGTTAAACTGGTGCAGGTATGGTGGCAATGTACGAAAATACGTACACTACCCAGTATGCTAGTAAGGTACCAGTGGGCACACATAACCTTTCTTCTGGGTTCCAAGTGAATGTTACTATCTAATAGCTGGCATTCTGCATTCTCCAATGTGGTTTCCATGCATCACGCATTTGATATATGAATGGCGCAATGGCAATTTTTGTGGACTTAAGGTTTGCTGCTCGCATCCAGAATTATCAGGATTCATATCTTGTTCCTGTCTTGGTTAGCACACGCTGTGCTTGCGCCGTTGCGTTTCTGTCAGTCTGTGACGCCGCTTATGGCTTCCCCTGCTGTGCACAGCTATCGTGGACAGATTCTTGCAGGCCTGCTGTAACGAAGAGTGGTTCCACTCTGTCTCCTGCCTGCTACGCGACCACAAGAACTTTGTTCTTGCCGAGAAGCTAAGCATCGTCCTTCAAAAACTGGCAACAGCAAGGTGAGTTCTCAATTTCACATGAATCGATACTATCGGTATTTAGGAGGACCTGCCAATACACGTACTTCCGTAGCATGCTCGTGCATAATATGTAGTTTACGGTTTTGTTAAAGGGGAAGTATACCCTAAAATCAAATTTTCACCAGTTGTAGTCTTCGGGGTGCTGAGTCGAATGGTCTTGGTCCGAGGAAGCTGCGACGCTCCCTTCCTACTTGAATCCCAATCGAACTCGCGCACTTCCACCGAAACTGGGTGACTGCGCCCTACTAGATGGGGATTTGTATGCAAAATGTCACTAAAAGCGCCATTTCGAGATTTTGCATACAAATCCCCATCTAGTAGGGCGCAGTCACCCAGTTTCGGTGGAAGTGCGCGGGTTCGATTGGGAAAAAGAAGGAAGGGAGCGTCGCAGCTTCCTCGGACCAAGACCATTCGACTCAGCACCCAGAAGACTACAACTGGTGAAATTTTGATTTTAGGTTATACTTCCCCTTTAAATTTTTTCTGTTTCTGTGTAATTACCTGTGCTGTATGTCACATGCATTCATGATAATCAATGCATCGTGGTTCACCACTATCAAACACAGTCGCAGTTACACAGAGACTCAGACAGAGAATACGTCTGACATGCCTCCCTCTCTGCTCAAACTACAGTCATAAAGTGAGGGCAGCAATCCCCATGTCAACACATGACAGTTCGGAACTAAGGCAGGCGGCATTCTATAACTAGTGTACTATTGTCAGTGAGGCACTCAGCTTAGCTTTTGTGTAGTATATGACAGGCTTTCGGTGCTGGAACCATGCAACCATGCCTCATATATCCTGAACATCTGCTAACAACACTTCAGAGGTTGCAGGAAGACTCCTCGACTCGTCAACTGCGACTGAGTCTACCTCTACCGGCACCAAGACGTTGACAGGACGGCGAAATGTCTTGCCGTTCACTTGGATGTCTACCACTTGCACTATGCCATCTGAGTGTGGATGTACTTCCGTTACTCGAACGAGAGGCCGGCACGCTCTTGCTCAGGTCTTCTACATCACCTCAGTGTCTGCTCTAGGATTGTAGGACAGCCGGGTACACGTGTACCTGGCGCAACCATTTCAACCGGGTCGGAGCCGGGTACACATGTACCTGGCGGCTGGCGCTGTCTCACCAGCCGAGTCACATGCTTTAACTGGTTGGTTGGTTTATTTTAATTCGGACAATAGACGGGAACTAGGCCCAATGATATAAAGGCGAATGGATAAGCCGCATTTAGAAAAGAGAGGACAAGAATTAGAAAATTACAAAAGAAGAAGAAGTATCTGACACATACAAGCCATGTAGTCAGTCCTTCCAAAGTTAGAAAGTGTAAAGTACCAACCGGGTCACAGGTGACCCGGTACTATATTTTCAACCGGGTCCAAGCGCCGCCCAACCGGGTGGATTACCCGGCTCACCCGGCGCTGGAGCAGACACTGCACCTGGACCACATCTCCGATGGTTACGTTCTTGCCTTCCTTGTGCAACTTAGCATGGAGGTTAAGTCGAGGGACGAGTTCTTCCAGCCAATGTCGCTAGATGTTGCGCACCACTAGCTGTACATACTCCCATCTCTTCCTTGCTTGGATGAACTCTATCCTGGTCATCTTGATGTTGCCATCTGGATCTCACCAGGGGTTCAAGATCCCTATCATTATCTCCACCATTGGTATCAAGGTAGTTTCCTTTTCTATACAATCATGCTCTCACAGATGAAAGACTTCCCTTTGGCAATGTACTGTCACCCACCCTGAGGAGGATGGTGCAGTGTACCGACACTGGACAGTGATGGCATCCGCATAGCGAGACCTACCAATATGCCCAGTACTAGGTGCCCAATGTCTTGGATACTCCCAGGGGCTGCAGGGTACTGAGGATGGGGGGACGAAGTCCCAATAGTGCCACTGCCAAAGTGCTTCCGCCTTTTTGGCTATCTCTTAGGCACCTGCCAGTGGCATGGTAGTCTTGACATCAGGCACTTACAGACCACTACACGTCCTAAGTGAGATATTGAAGGCTGCCTTTCAAGCACTGTGCTCTTGGTCTCCCATCATTGAGGATGGGGGGGGGGTGTTCAGCTTTCAGTCACCTGGTGTGAGCATCCTTTATCTACTAGGATCTTGTTAGAAGTGCTACGGTGCTGGATAGTGGCTTTGAGTTTTAGTCGGGGCAGGCATATAATATGGTGGGCTCGTGAGCCAATTGCCGACTCACTGTGATGGTCGGGTAATGTAAACCTGTTGGTGTGGATGCGGAGCAGATTCGGATGGCAAATTCCAGTTGGGTATTGCTTGTCATCAGTCTTATATTTCAAGCTCATACAACTGATGCCAAAATTTGTCAGTTCAACTCGGGTGTCGTGAGCACATGTATCTTTGAAACAGTCATGCGTGTGTGATGGTCGGTTGGTGCACGGAAATCTGGCGATACATATGTAAAGGAGGCTTAGTTGTGAATGTAAAGGGGGGGGGGGGGGGGAGAGAGATGACCCATCACAGCATTGTTCTTGACTGTGAGCAAGGCATGTATGTGAGAGCTGACGGTCTTCATGAACATTCCGCACGTTCCAGCAGTGTTTGCCAGCCGGGCTATTAATTTGGCAAAGACTAACAACACAGGAAAACAACATAGCCGTGCATGTCAGTCAGTTTCTATTTTGATTCACTACTAAGTTGTTGTAATGGCGGAGTGGTGCGGAGTGGCTTGGCTGTTGTGGCACACCTGCCTGAGCAGTCCAGGTCTTCTGCTGCTGTACATTTCTGCAAACTCATTCATTGGACCTGTGGCCTCTGTGACTTCGGCAGTCTGGGTCAGATCCCGTCTTGCTTGCTTAGGCACTTTAAGTATATCAACGACTTTAGGCCCCATGTTCTACTAGCACCACACAACACCGCTTACCAGTACACTGATACAGTTTTCAAGTTTTGTAATAGACTGCAAATAGACTGCTTTGAAAGCACTGCAAAACCACAGAAAAGCACCTGCCAACACACGGGCACTTGCCCTAAAGGGAAAATCACCTGTTTGGCAAGGTGTTGATGGATTCAGTTCTCAGGAGTGTTGGCAGAGGCTTAGGAGTGTTACGGATCGCTCACAGTAAGGAGTATTGTTAGCCGTCCTTGGAATGTGCCTACACAAGATGGGGAATGGTCAGTGTCTCACGCCATGCGGGCATGATCGTGACTTTGACTTTCCGGCGGGGGGGGGGGGGGGGGGGGGGAGGGTCGAATATTTAGAATTTCTGGCATTTGCCTGGTCCTTTTCATGGAAACGAGCTGACAATATGACATCACAAACCCAGTCTTTACCTATATCTTGCCTGTAGATGTGGTGGAAAATTTAGGCAAATCTGGAAAATGTGCGGCGAAGAAGGATTTGGTGTTACACATGCTTCTGCCAGTTCTGGATGTCAGTGCGGATCGAGAATGTGAGACAACTGGTATTGCCCCCCCCCCCCGGCTGGGATCATGGCTGACTCACTATGATGGTTAGACCACAACACAATATCGAAACTGCAGACATTACTATGCAGCATGGCTGATGATTGGAACAGGAAAATCGAGTCTGGAACAATACACCTTAGCTCCAAACATGTTCACATCTTGCATGGCAATGTCTGCAAACATGTTCACATCTTGCATGGCAATGTCTGCAAACATGTTCACATCTTGCATGGCAATGCCTGCGCCATTTTCACTGTTTACAGCTTTTCTTAAGCTAAAGTATCCTAAGTCACAGTGTATTGTGTACGCGCATGCCTGGCGGCGCTCTCATTCTCACGTAGAGTCTCACACAACTTAATGTGGCACTGAAAAGTGGCACTTCAGCTTAGGTTTTCTGAGCCTTTCCTTGTGCCAGTTACGTGGAATGCGTATACTGATGTGTGGTGTTAGGCAACTTGGCACTAGAGGACAAATAAATTGCATATTTCAACTTTTATGGCAAGGAGAGAGATAGAAGGGGGGAGGGATTAGATGAGCCATCACACAGTTGGTGCTGGCATGAGTTCATTAAAATTCCTCACATCTCTGCAACAAAAACAGTGTCAGCACTAAACAATGCTTCCAGCATGTGCCGTGAGTAGTTTAGTGAGTTTCCTATGTACATGTTAATACTGTCTTAGTTATATGCTGCAGAACGGTGTGTTTTGTATTGCACAAGTCAGCCTGGCCACTCAGTCAAATCTCTCCCATTTACATTTCTGCTATCTCAGGATGATTGGGTGGCCTCCAAGTCTTAGTTATAACTTAGTGTTGGTCTGATGTACTGTGTGGCTTGTGCCCATACAGTGTACGAGCACCACCACTCACCAGCCTGTGTATGTATGTAGGTAGTGCAGCTGTTGCACTTGCCTATTGCGTATTGGTCACTTTCAAAGCACTGCAAAACACACTGAAGTACCTGGCAATAACATGCGAGCACTTGCTGTAGCTAATTACTGCCTTGCTAGCCTGGAGGTATTGATGGATGCAGTCAGGGGTAGTGATGGATGCAGTTACGAGGAGTGGCAGCTGCTGATTGCTCTGATTGTAGGAATCCAGAGGCAGCCTTGACTTTACAGTCACCCCTTGTGTCCAGCCTCACCAAAAGGCATAACAATGCCGGGTTAATTAGCGGGTCTATTAGTTTGGGTTCAAGTGCCTTAAGGGGGGGGGGGGGGATGGCAAGCCAGTAAAGAGTGCAATCAGTTGAGCAACACAGGTGAATTCTGGTGGTATGCACCCCATGTACCCCATGTACCCCATGTACCCCATATGCAGCAAGACAGTGTAGTTAGTATCCTGGTTACAATATACTTCTCATGATCCCATCATGCATCAGTGTATCAGTGTATAACCTGTACTCTGGACAATAGGGGTGTGCGGATAATGCTCGAAAAGGTGGCAGATTCTGCTCGAAAAGCAGTGAAAATGGCAGAACCATACAAACCTTATGGCGGGCAATTCCTCGAACAGTTCTGCTCCATTTCTTTATCCACATACCAAACATGCATGAAACTTACCCGAAAAAGTACCGAATTCTGCCAATTTTTCTGCCGGCATTATCCGCGTATGCCTACTGGACAATGTCCTTACCAAGCAATAGTATGTCTTATCATTGCTTATTCTAAGTGAGCTCCACTCTACTTTTCTTCTATGTTTTCTGCAGGATTGCTCAGCAGCACTTTGTCGCCCATCAGCTGGTTCCCATAGCTGAGCAGCTCATGCAGCGGTGCGGGCCTGACAAGGCTTTCCTGCTGCTCAATCTCCGCTCCCTGGTGTCGCAGGTGACTGGTACTGTCAAGGAGGCAGCAAAACGTGCCAGATCCTGAACAGCCACGCGTTCACTCTGTACCGCTCTTGTCCGTAGTCTGTGTTTTAAGTTTGGCATGCCCCCCCCCCCCCCCAAGAATGTGGTGGCTGTGAGAAGGAAGAGGAAAAACCTATGCAATAGCCTACCATTAGCCATGAACTTGATGAGTGCTGCCCTGTTAATCTGAAGTGCATCTGATTTATGCATCCCATTTCTGTCTTCTACCCTGAACCACTACTTTATTTGTAAAATTATCATATCTTGAGGGGTGTATTATCTCTGCCAGGTTGAAAGTGTTTTCTAAAGTGCTACATGGACGCGCAGAAGGGCTGGTGACTTGACGGAGACTCACTGGGAGGAATCGGGGTGAGGTATCCCCGCAGCTTCACGACGAAGACACACTGGACGGAATAATTTCCCTGAAGAAACAGAATTTATTCGCGGAGTAGAATCTATAATTGTAGGACAGAAGTAGGGATGTCAGCCATATGAATTGAGAGTGTACTGGTATTTGACTCAGCTTCTATAGTTGACACTGTCCTACATGTATATGGTGCAGTGGTATGTGCAGTCGAGTTCCAATCCAGAGGTTGCGGGTTCAATTCCCGACGATTATGGTCGAACACGCCTTTCTTCTCTTTCTTATTCTCCCATCTCTTCTTTCATTCTCCTGGGTGCAACAGCCCTGCTAGTGCATGCCGCAGTACTATAGTATGTGGTGTTGTGTGTACTTGTGTGCAAAAAAGGGATTCACTGGCCAGAAAAAGCCACTTCAACCAGCCCTGTGGTGACCAGGCTAAAATTAGAGGCGGTCAATTCATCAGCCTTGCAAGCTGTTGAATGGTGTAATCCCAGCACAAGTTGCTATGTCTAACATAGTGTGTTCGCTACCATCGCTTCAGCGATGGGCAGAAGTACGAGTGTACACAGGTTTTCTGTGCTTCAGGGCATTGGCCTTCTGGCTATAAACTGCTATAGGTCGTCATGCAGCTATTATTTCCTACTCCCACATGTGCACTCCCAGCATGTGAAGTTTTCTGTTGACCCTGGTGCACAGTCAGTAACAAGTTTGCCTCTGTTATGATGTCCCCAGTGGAATTCTACCTCAATCATGAAAATCACAATTTTTTAATGTCCTTGGTACCTGTACCTGTACATGTATTGCTCTCCTTTCCATTGCTATCGCCGCACAGTGAATCTACCGGAAACCCCTTGGAAAAGATGTTTGTGTGCGTGATGTGTTTAGAATGGCTTGCAGTTCGGGTTAGACATGATGCCCTATTCTTTTACTGCTGCCGAGGAGTTTTCAATTTCATTGTCCTCTGCTTTTGTTGAGGGATTGAAGTCCTTTTCCTCGTCAATTTGTTTTCCTGCTGGGCCAGTGGATTTGAAACAGTGGCAAGCATGGAGTGAAAGGAACATTCATGCAATGGAGTGTCCCGTGCCTTGGGATTGGCTTTGATATACATGTGTTGCACAAAAGCTTTGGCTTCGAGAAGTTACAAAAGGTTGTATGGCTGCAGTGAATCTCGTTTGGCATTTCTGACTTGAGGTATGACGTCTGAACCAAGTGTGAGGTACAAGTATGTCTGAGAAGGTACAGTGTAGCATGTTGAAAAACGTATTGCTATGAATAGTATTCGGTATGTTTATGGGTCCAATTGTGACGATGCTACAGGTCCTGACGATTATGACACTTTGTGGAGGCAACGATTTCCTGGTTCCTGCCATTGTGTACAGGCGAAGAACTTAGTGTTTGTGATGACACTTCATACAGAATATCTCCAATGATTGCATACTCGTACACTAGCCTCTCTCGATTCCTGTGAGAGTACAATTCCCTGGTCTTGGCGTGGAGGTCATGCATTTACTCGCTAGTACTAGTATCAAAATTTCACCTGCGGTGAGTACCATCTATTACCCAGATCCACGCAGTCCTTCCGAACTTCCGAAGTCATCCAGCTTAGAAGAAATCCAGGACGTGCAGTGAATTGGTCGGCACTGTTCCACGGGCAAGTGTCGGGTAGTGAACTGGTTACTTGCTGGACCTCTCTCTAATTCTTTTGGCACAGGATCTCTGTTCTGTATGGCTCTGCACCCTTCTAAACTAAAGCCTAGAGCCCTTTCAATTGTTGAAAAAGGCAAGCATGTGCATACGGGGCAACCATACATACCTACTAATAATAGTATGATGTTCACTGTAGAAATGAGCTGCACAACTTCTGTCGACGTCAATGGTACGAAGCCAGAACTAGGAAACCGCGATCAGTGGGCTGCATCGACACCCAAACCGATGTGCATCTCCCCTCAGGCTTTACTCCAACCTGTTCAAAAATGATCTATGTCGTCTGGAGCCTGACTGAATGAAAGCCAATAGAGGCTCAAGGGAATTCAATCTGCGGTGGAGAGTATTTCAAGAGAAAGGAGCTTAGTTTTCTTTCTTTCTTTCAGTTTAGCTGTTACCGTTTAGTATACCGGTACTCTTCAGGATTGGCTCAATCCGAATGAGCCCCAGAAGGCAAATCGCAGGTTACGTTGCACCGCAACTTTACTGAGTGCTTGAGCGTGACCGTAGTTGCAGGCACAGGCCGATGGAGAGGAGCGTAGATGATACTAGATCTACGTCGTTACAATCGTGTAGATAATTATGTACAACAACGGTCAGACTGGAATAGAACGTTGTTTGCCACTGAGCGCTAGTTGTTCCGGGATCCCTGTTCAAGCTGTTGTGTGTTGTGTTGCCACAGCACACACTGAATAATCACATTTACACAATAACGAACAGTGTCCAGCACCTACTCTCTAACTCGAAGTCTGACAGACTAGCTTAGCTCCGAGCTTCATGATTAATTTTCGTGTTGTTCTGACGACAGGCTCAGTTTGTCGAAGAAGACAGTCCTTTAAATTTACGAGGTGTCGTAACATTGGCACAGGTGCCATGGTTGTGTCACCAGAGTTGGCTACAGATTAGTGTATTTTCATGTTGTGGGGAAAGGAGCAGCCAAAAAATTTGCGTTTCCTTCGGGTCAACCGATGAACCCAGCACAACAAATACTTACAAAGTGATAGTGATTACGGAGATGTGGACACCACCATTGACTCGCCGATAAGTGGCTTTCCATCTTTGGTGTGTCGCGTAGGCATGATGTGCGGAACAGACAGTGTCCGGACGTACGCCGCCTCATGCAAATTTCGCACTTGCAGCATAGCTAGCTACGCGACTTTCGCCAAGTGCATCATCAACGCGCATTTGGCGTCTCGGATCCGTGCGCTTTCTCCCAGCTGCACCGCAAAGACGCGCCTTCTGAAACAAACAAGCCAACGAGATCACTTGACCGCAACACACCGATTCGAATGCTGATACGCGCACGCGGCATCACCAGCATCATCGTGTGATCTACAAAGTAGGCGGCTTCGCAATTCGGGCTTCTAGGACGTGCTTGACTGGGACGCGAAACCGCCATTCGCAGGTATATCCACATGGTGCAGAAGAAGGGAGGCACGTTTTGCACCTGTACTGCTTCTCACGCGCCTAGGCCTCGGCTACGGTGCCAGTATCAAGATCTATGACTATGATGTTGATGATTCCGATGCGATGTCACTGCTGCAGATCCGTCCACGATTCAGCTGAAAACTCAAGAGGCTCAAGTGTGTGCTACTTCCAGGGTTTGTTCTGACTTCATGCCTCTTGTCTTGACACTGTCTTCACTACTTCAGCTCAGTCTTCACAGTTTACAATCCAGGTATCAACGTACTGCGCCGGAGGCTGGAACAAGTGGCTGCAGTCATACTCAGCCGACTAGTGCAGCACTAAAAATGCAGAAGTGTCCGGCTAGGCTCCACTACCGTCCGACTCCGCACAAAAGTCCTGGACACTCTTGGTTGGTGAAGCAAGTAGTTACGGAGCGAGCAGTCTAAACTCATAGAGACGAGCTGGTTAGGGCTGGTTGTCAAACGGACCAGGCCGGCTAGACTGATTTCGAAAGCACGTCGCAAGGGCGAGATTGTTAGACACATCGCCGCGAAGCCTAGGGCCTAGGCATAGATTTCCCACGAGAAAAGTGCTGCCTAATCGTTGATAAAAGCGGTGACCAGTTCAGGTGCGGAGGTCAGAAGCCAAGAAACACTCAACGGGCCGTCCGAAATACCTTCACTGGCTTCAGTAAGTCATCCACTTCGCTGGAGAGGGTTTATACTTTCGCTGAAGTAGATATCGAGACAGCGTTGGTAGCATCGAATACCGATTAGTATCGATACATTGTATCGATCGCTTACTCCTGGACTTCTGGATTTTGTCAGCTATCGCTAGTACAACCACTCGACACGGTAAGCATTAAAGTGTGTTGTTTTAGTGTCTGAGCTTGTCATGGCTGAGGTATTTCCGATGGATATTGTTTCGTGGAAATTCCTCATGAAACTGCTACTGGGAGAAATAGCAATAATACCAAGTCTTGGCTCCATTACATCGCACATGCATGCAACTGCTAGTAGCAGGGGCGTCGGAAGGTATTTTAGTGTGGTACGGTCAGCCATCTGAAGTACAATTTACTCGTGCGGGAGTGGTGGCTGATCCGAAATTTTTGGAAATTTAGATCCCAGATCAGTGTATTTTATTGATTCATGGGGGGGGGGGGGTACCTGGGGCAAAAAGTGGTACGGTCAATACCGTAGTACATAGTGATCGTACCGTGTCCGACGCCCCTGTAGTAATAGTATGGCGCTATGGAACATGCTACGAGAAAGCCACATCAGTCCTTTTTGTTTTGTTCAGAACAGTCAGTGGAACTCGGAAGCGGTGCTGTCTATGACGTGCCGTTATGCGGTAGAGTGCAATAGTCAGCCAAAGCCCTGCTCAATTCCTCATTGTGAATAAACTTTCTCTGCCCTCGCCACTGGCATAGGCTGCCGTAGTGCAATCTAGTATTGTCTCCCAATAGGCAATGGCCTGACTCCAGAGTTCAGTGTAGTTGTCTTCACCCGGTAACACTCAGCACCACTCAGCATGCAGCTGCACCCCTTCCCAGTTCCCACAATAGAGCAAGATCTGTCATGCTACAGACTGTGCGAGTTTAGCACAGTGGTATGGGGCCATAGCAGATCGATGCTGGCTTAAGTTATGATCAACACAAAAAGGTGAAGGAAGTGAAGTGATATTCATTAGTTGAGGGAATGGAAAAGGGAAAAGTCTGGAGAAAAAATCGACTGTCACCACCAGGACTCCAACCAGGGACCTTTGCTTGAAGCCAGCGATGCTCTAACCATGGAGCTATGGTATAGCTGTCATTCCAGACGGGACCGTTCAACATTCTCTTCCATACTCACATGTAACACAGACTGGTGGGACGCAGCCCTCTGGTCTGAATCTCGCTTTCCAACGCAGACAATAGAAGTGCACTGTAAACGAGTCGAGTTGGCCCACCCAGGATAGTGCTGTCCGCCGTCACCCGGCTTCCTATAAGGCTCAAGTACAAGAGGGGTTCGGCTAATGGGTCTTTCTCTGTCCAAAAAACTGAAGTGTGTGGTAACAAGCAGGATACACAGCCAATGTTGACAAGTAAGTTTTGGTTGAAGCATTTTCCATTTGCTGCAAGCCCCCGCCCGGATATGCGCATTACAGTGCAAAGAGCAATAGAACTAAGCCTATTCCTAGCCTGATCTATTGTTGAGTTGAGTTGGAAATACAATATCAGTTGCAACTGCAAAGTACCAAATGATTACGCAAACCACCAAGCTGATAAATTCCACAAACAAGACACTGGTCAGTATGCAAGGACAGTAGAGTACTTGGTAACACTGCTCAGCATTGGACTGGAACTACACGTACCCACCTGCGGATGCCAACTGCCTGGTCACCGTGGGCTAGCAATGCTGTTCAATCCAGATCGAAACAGCCGGATCATGAAATGATCATAAAAATAATGATCTGCCTCCACTATGATCTGGCTCAGATCATTATTATGATCTGGCTGTTTCGATCATCATAACAATATGGAGTATTTCAATATTCAATGAGAATTCTCTTCAAGTCGTCACATACTTGGCCGAAAGAAGGACCAGTATTTCACTTTTCCTGGCCATGTACATGTACATGTACACTGGGGTTGTTTGGCTCGGTTAGCCCGGATTTCTTTTCAGTTCGCGCTCCACACCAGTGTTTTTTTTTATTTTTTATTTTACTTTATTTTTTTACTATATGCACATCCCTACAAAGTAATGGGGGTAATGAAAGAGACAAATACAAATAATGCAAAGACAACAAAGGAGTAGTAGGTGCTACAAGTGCTGTGCTGGTCAGGCGCACTGTGTTTATGGTTGAAATGAGCCTACGTAGTTCTCAGTGTTCGCTTTGATACTGTTGTTGCAATCCGACTGAATCAGTAACCAATCCAACATCAGCTAGTCTGGCTCTTGTAACATATTGGGTGTGTCTGTATTGCCCATACTTAGCAGGTCACTTCAAAGTCCAAGTGTGTGTGTGTGTGGGGGGGGGGGTGTATGTGTGTGTGTGTGTGTGTGTGTGTGTGTGTGTGTGTGTGTGTGTGTGTGTGTGTGTATGTCGTCTAAGCAAGTGGCATCGTGCAAGTGACTTTACAGTCAAATGGCTGAACCCAGATATTCGAAATCGCTTCATGTGATATTTTATCCCTTGCCTAACCTGAAAAACATGGATCGGTAACAGCCCAGTCTAGAGGGCACCACTCTACCAGCACCACCCAGGTCCAAACTGATGACATGTGCACTGGAAAATTTCGGGTGCTACAATTTATACGTGTATGTGACTTCCCTGTGTGCGTTGGCTTTGAATAGTTTGCTTTGCTTTTGCTGTGGTTTCATCCCAGGCTGGCGTGAGTATGGACGAAGGGCGCGGTGACTCGCCGCCGGTTGCCATGGCTGCCTTGCAGCGCAAACTCAAGTCCCTGGAAGACCTGCTGGTGTGCCCGGTGTGCCTGGATCAGTACAACGACCCAAAGTCGCTGGCCTGCCTGCACGCTCTCTGCCGCAAGTGCATCCAGTCGATGGTGGACATGGAGCGTCGGCAGCTGGAGCGCTCCGACAACAGCGGTAGCAGCAATACCGATGGCATCATGGTCACGTGTCCAGCTTGCCGCCAGCGTAGCCTAATACCCAGCTCGGACCCGAGGAACCTGCCCGATAACTTCATGGTGAAGAACATGCTCGACGCGCTGTGCCGTAGCGACTCACAGGAAGCGGAGAACGACACGTCGGAATTGACCGCGTCCGGCGAGACTCCCTCCAGACAGATGTCGCTGTCCGGCGTTGCATCTCCCCCCGGTCACGTGCGGCACAGCTCGTTGACGGCGACGGATTGCGGTAACTGCGGCGACGACAAGCAAGTCACTGACGTGTGCCAGCAGTGCAACATGCGCCTGTGCCGTCTCTGCTCCACCGTACACCGCAAGCAGCTGGCCTCGCGCTCTCACGTGGTGGTGCCGATCGGCCGCCTCAGTCCCGCCGAGCAGCGGGCACTGCGCGTCCGACCGCCCAACTGTGCGCGGCATCCCGCCGAACCGCAGGAGTTCCACTGCGACACGTGCAGCGCTATGATATGCCGCGACTGCGCACTCTTTGATCATCGCATGCACGAGTTTGTACGTGTTGAGGAACACGCCGAGCGCCTGCAAAACCAGCTAGTGAGTTGTCACGAGAAGTTGGCAGCGCTACTCCCCGCAATACCTGAACACACAGCAGGTATAAAGACGTGCATGCAGGTACTGGAGAGCGACGCCAGGCGCATCAAGCAGCATGAGCTGTGGTACATTGACTCGCTGGTGGAAACCCTGCGGCAGAAACGGCGAGCGATGGAGCAAGCTGTTGTTCACGCCAAGGAGGCCAGGATGCATGGATACCGCGATGATGTCAGGGTACTGGCGGAGCAGGCTGCCTTGGGCGAAGAACTCGTTGCAGTCTCCAACGAAGTACAGAAAGCAAACCGCAACAGCACTGCATGGGATCGGCTGATGCTCTTGGATCAACTGCAGTCATGTCAGCGTAGAATAGAAGAGGTATTGAAGGAAACAGGTGCATCGCTACCACCGGCGTCGGGAGAGAAGCACGTAGAGCTGACGTTCGGCGCCTCGAAGATTTCTGCCGCCGACCTGCTGAGCGAAAGTGGTACGCTGACAGTGCGTCAGCACAGCCCGTCGAGGCCGCTGGCGCGACGCTACATCCTAAAAGCCCCGGACGTCTCCCACACTGCCTGGACGACGACAATGCACATTGTGGACACTGAGCCGGCAGCAATGACAGCTGGCACTGCGGCTGCTTGCCAGTGCACCGAGGACGTTCCCGAGATCAAGGCGTACTTGTCACTGAACAGTTCTGCCGCCGAAGACAAGGAGAGAACTTCGCTTCCGATCGAGGAACTAGAGAACGGTGCACGCGTCATCAACATCAATATCGAACAGCAATGCCGCGCCATACTGAGTGTCGAGTGCAACGGCGCTCACATCCGTGGCAGTCCGACAACCATCGACATCACAGGCGTGGGGAAAACCCTTCGCATCATCGGCAGCCGCGGCAACGGTGACCACCAGTTCAAGGACCCGTACGATATCACCGTGTCCCATCACAACAACCACATCTTCGTGGCCGACACGGGCAACCATCGCGTGCAGGAACTGAGCGAGGATGGCACGTTCATACAAAGCATCAAGTTCACGGCGGAGGACGGCAAGTCCATGAAGCCCACGGCGGTCGCCGCCACTCGAGATGGCAGACTGGTTGTGGCCGACTACAATCACAAGTGTCTGTTGCTATTCGACAATGACACGCTGATCAAGGTGCTGCACCCACCGGACAATCGTCAGCGCCGCAACCGCAGCAATCCCCTGGAGAGCGGCGGCGGCAGCCATCGCGGTGCACGGCCGCTGGAATGCTACGGTCTGGTGGTGGACAACGCGGGGCGCATACTGGCAACCGACTACGTTGAGCGCAGCATCCTGGTCTTCTCTCCCGACGGCGTCTACCTGACCTGCATCGGTTACCGGTGCCAGATGAACCTGGAGGCGAGGGCCGAGTCGCCTCAGCCAGTCAATCCCAAGGGTCCGCTGGGTATCTATGCTGCACTGACGGCGGATAAGTACTACGTCGCCGACTTTGGCTACTACAGGGTCAGCGTTCTAGACTCCGCCGGCAAGGTTCTGGAGCTGCTGGCCAGCCGCCTGGCACCGAGCCCGGACGGCTCTGCGGGCGGTGACGAGCCGCTACTGAAGCGGCCCTGGGGAATATGGTGCGATAGTAAGACATCGCGTATCCTGGTCAGCGATCACACCACTAACCAGTTGCTCGTCTTCCACGACGGACACGTCACCAGCAAACTACCCGCTGACGGAGACGTGGCTCAGCGCCTCAACGGCCCGGTCGGAATCGCTCCCGACAAGTACGGCCGCATCTGGGTGGTGGAGAGAGAAGCGCACCGCATCCGCCTCTTCTAGGAAAGCCGGTTTGTTCACAGCTGCCATGGCAAAGCTTCCGTATTCGGCATCTCCCAGCGAGAATGGAACTATGCGTGCGTGTAGGATGGTATGAAAGTTTTATGTTGTGGCACATGTTTCTCCTCCTTGCAGTTGGTTGGTGTCCATGGCATACTAGACTAGAGGAAATGACAACATTAACGCTAGGTGAGATAGGTCCTCCTTGAGTGGCATATATTGCTTTGAAGGATATTGTAGTTTTCTTCTACCTTGAGTGGGCTGAGCAAAAGCAACCCCGATCAGTAGGAGCAATGTAGTCGCGTTGATTTGTGTCCTTTGCCTTTGATTGCGCCAACCTTTGCGATCCGGTTTTTTTGAATACTTTGTCAAACTCTAATAACGCATTCCCAAAGGATTCACATTGGAAACACTGTAGCTGAAATCATGATTACAATTAATGCTTGACTGACCTAACTGTTATCAATGAAGGTGAATACTGTTTAAAATCGACTTGATGTGTACCATGGCTGTTTGTCTTATTTGCAAAGCACTAGGGATGGTAACAAAGGTGTGGTCAATTGGGTTACATGTATTGGGTTAATGCTACACACGCATTTGGTTGAGAGAATTACTCCCTCTCCCTTGACTCACTTGGGAGGTGTGCATTCGCCACTTAACTTCATCAGTGGGCGTAGTTGTGGCATGGCGATGCGAAAGTCGTTACTTGATGTGTTCCCCATGTGTAGTTATGCGGCCGCGAATACAGCTAACTTTGCAAGGGCAATGCCGTGTTGTACAGATCAGGTGCCGAATGACACTGCACACAGTAATGATCTGTACATGAAAAAGAAGTACAATGTCATGTGCTGTGGTGCATTGCCAAATATGGAATGTATGAGAAATGCTTGTGACTACGCTGGGATCAGGGATGCACTGGTCAACACCCCAGACGGCCATGCCCAGGTGGTTGTGAAGGGTGTTTATGGTACAAATCACGTCATTGCGCAATGGGTTTGGCCAGAGCAAACCAATATTGATCTCACTTTAGGAAGTCTCACGTGTGGATTTCGTGGAATATGAAATTGCCAAACCTGGCGCCAATGATATCTGTATGTGTTCGCCAGCCTGCATGGCATTCTATCTGACTGTCAAGTCATAGGAGGTGTGCGTCATAGTCATTAAATACGCTAACTCAGAGTATACCCGCTCAACTTCGAAGTGCAACATGGCTTACCGGAAATGATACAAGGGGGTTAATGTTTCACTATGAGGACAACCATGCCAAAAAAACCAAATGACGATGGAGACGTTTGTAACATAGAGACCATAGAGACATAGAGACCAAATATGGTACGGGTGATGACGATGAGTTATGTGTGAATTGCAGCGTTGGAGTGCTTCCATGAAAAACGGGGATAAAACTACAATGTAGTATGCAATACACCTCGCATCATCTATGACAAGCTTTGTGTGACAATAAAGTGGAGTGTTTTCAGAGGAGTGCATGTACCATCATGTAGAACACCATGTTTGTCAGAACATAATTATCATGAGCATTCATGGAAAGAGCACTGGCACTGCTACTGCGAAGTATTACAATCGTCACAATGGGTGCATGCGTGCGTGTGTGCGTGCGTGTGCGTGTGCATGCACGCGTGGGGGAGGAGGACGTCTAGACAAAGATTACAACGTGTCTCAGCAAAATAAAAGCAAACAAATGATGCGTGGAAGAAACAGCACCTGATGCTGAGCGCTGAACGTGTGCTCTGTGGTAAAAAAAACTGCCTGCGGGAATAAGGGTACAGTAGTTGAAAAAGGCAAGCAAGCACTTCAGCAACATAACCCACGGGCCGGGCTAGATACTCTCGCAAGAGACGGCTACTTGTATGACGATGCGTGGCTACACGTGGGCCAAGCAGCGTGCAGTGTACAGGAAAAGCTGTTCTATTTTTAACAGGTTGCAGGGTGGATTGAGCAGGTCACCAAAGTGAATTTCGAAAGTGAAGTTCATCTACAAGTACCGGTGCAGATAAAAAAAATCAAAAATTAATTTAGAGCTGCCTGCTTTGCCGTTGTACTGTGGAGGTTCAAGTTCAGTCTAAAAAAAGCTTAAAATACCTGAGCACACTGGAAGGAAGGTGGTATGGCAACGATGGCCAAAATGCCACCAAACAATGATGGAATCATGATCTGCTAACTTGGCTTCGGAAACCCCGAAAGGGTTGACGATAGATCGTCTATAATACTGGTATGCGTGCACACACATTCCCGTAATGTGAAGCATCCAACTGAGCGTACATCTTGGGTGCTAATGCCCTACATAAGGTAACTGCGGGTCTCATTCCACGGGTGAGATATAGAGGCCACATGGCGGCCTGCATGCAGTCTGCAAATACGAAGGGCCGCAAAGCGAATGAATGCAGTGACTCGCCGGAGAGTACAAGAAGCGGAACTTTCTCCAGCAGCCAAGATGCTGCACTGGGGACCTCTTTCTTTTTCTCTCTCTCTCCACAATCAGCGTTGGCTACACAGAACTCGAAAGGAGAAACAGCCACGCACATGATGTCTTCTGCGTCGCGGCCTGGATTGTTTGCCTTCGCCGCGGGCAACGTGGGCAATGTGCATTGTCTTAGCTCATTGGCCATCGAGGATCCTGCGCGGTATCATGACTGTCCAACTGTGTAGGTAGTGCTGTGGCGCGGTCTGCAGTCTGCTCGGTAGGATCTCAAGGGGAGTCTTCCAGTGTGGTCTTCTACTCGTCTGCCCTTCCTCGGAGTATGCCCACGTACGTCCCCTCACCAGTTCAACTGTAAGTAGAAGCGGGCAGGTAGTCTTGGTCGTTTAGTGTCGTCGTGGTCCCATCAGGAACGCAGCTGTGTCTGGCGACTCACTGCCAGTGGTCGGGAAGGGAGCGCAGCTCGATCAGACCCTCCAGCAGGTAGCAGGCGCGTACGCTGCGGCTGTGATCGGACGGCGGCAGAATAGCGCCAGTGTCATCGGCGTAGATGAAGCTAAACGAATCGAGTCAAGGCACCGCAGTCAGTGATACTCTGCAGTGTGTATACCAGTCACGCATGACTTTGCACAATGTTCCTGACAGTGAATGGTATACACTACGCAATCGTTCTATACCAGATATTTGGAAATCGATTCCTTTTGCTAACCTTATTTTGTTTTGGTATCGAAAGAAAGTCAAGTCCAGTGTTACTTTATGTCTCCTAACCCTTATGTGACAGACAGTGGTAGAACGTGATCTGTAACTGCTTGTGAAAGGCTGTCTGCAACTAAGTTACAATGGCGTGTGAACCTAAGATGATGTTTCCTGGTGATGCGGAATAGCACAGTGACACCATTGCTGGAGGCGACACCAGCAACTTACGGATCAACAAATACTGAAAATATTAAGAAAATAACAAGTTCAAGCGGCCGACTGGGATCTACACGAATGCAATATGGACACAGCGCAAGCTGAACGCTAGCAGTACACCCTTACTCGTACCAATATACCTAGTAAACTACAGAACCCAGACGTGAGATTTTTTTAATGATATCAAGAGTACATGAAACCCAGAATGTGCAGCTTAGGGAATTTTCTACTATGGGTGTCTGTCACGGCGGAATTCCGTGATTACACCATATTTGTTGCAGATCTGAGGCGAGAAGTGGCGTAGTGCGTACAACTGAGCTTCAGTTGTGCAGAAAGAGGCCTGCTTGAATCCTGCTTGTACACGCCACAAAATGATGTGATCACGAAATTCCGCCGTGACAGCAACTCATCCAAGCTGCACACTCTGGTGTTCATGTACTCTTGATGATATGCACATTTGCCAGCGCAAGAGGCTTTACCAGTATAGAGGTTATGCGATACACGTCATATAGTACGTTTGCCACCCCAAATTCTTCTATATAAGGGGTTTCTGTACCCGCTTTGGGCATTTCGCCACCCCAACTGGCTCCTATGTATGGCGGATTTGACGTTATCGCATAACCTCTTATCCATAATCCACGGCATGCAGAGACAGTTCAATAACTATGGACATGCAGGTGAGGGCAGGATACGGGAAGCGGAGGACGCAGAAGCTGTTCCTCGGAAGTGCAACACCTGCCGGCATGCCAGAGTTGAATACGGGGCACGGCGATGGCGCAGGCTGTACATTACACACACACACACACGTAGATGCATGCATACACACCCGTACACATCCGTACACACCGTGCACACGGTGTCATACAAGTTAATGTCTACAGTGTGTTCACTGTGATCAATCAAAATCAGGGGTGCTACAAACACAGAACATACATAGTACTCAACGCATCCATGGTTCATCATCTTTCTGTTCGTTACTCAATAAAACATTCGTGAAATGTCGATCCAGCTGGTACTGCTGATTGGAATTTCGAATTCAGTCAGACCTCGTTTATCATACAAACATTATGTGTGTTCTATTATTCGGTTCCCTCTAATCAGGGCCGGTCGGGACAGCTTGAAAGAGTGCTCAACGCAGCAGAGTACAAAGTGGTATACACGGATATACAGGAGGAGCTGAGAGGCCGTCTCTGCGGCAACATCCAAGTTTCACGCACTGAGAGATCATCAGACAGCACTGGCCACTCTAAATTATTAATATTGTTCTGAGCGGGCCTATACAACATGTAGTGTGGCATTGAACCCTGGATACGACATAAGAGGCCATCCAACATTATCGATAATTTTCACGGAACGAAAAAGTTTAGTTATGACCCTCCCCCACCCACCCACCCCCTTCAACGAAAAATACATCGACTTGACAGCTAGAATGGATTGATGTTTCAGCCATCAATAATTTTCAAAACAAAAATCTCCTCAACCCACCCACCCATAAACGAAACTGTTTCTCTTCGTGAAAAAGATCAATAATTACGGATGGCCCCTAATGACACGCCGGAAGACAAACACAACACGCCCACTGACCACTATACTATAGATACTAGAGAGGTTCTGCACAACGAAAATTCGTACGAACTTTCGTTATACGTCATGAACTACGAAACTTCGCACGAACTTTCGCAACTTTGGACGCGAAAGTTGCCTGGCACGCGAAATGAACTTTCGCAAGAAGTTTCGTGAGATTGGAAGCTGGGAGCCGTCAAAAACGGTATGAGTATACGCAACACATGTCATATAGTACCGCATGACGCGAAAGGTTCTTCTATATATGGTTTTTTTTGGGCATTTTGCCCCTCAACAACTCGTACATGTACATGTAGCTTCGATGTCAGGCAGATTTGACGTCCTTTTTTTGGTTCTTCTATACCATGTATACAGGGGGGTTCCGTACACAATTACCCAGAAATGGGCATTTTGCCACTCACTTAGCTGCCATATCACTTATCAGGCGGATTTGACGTCCTTTATTTGGTTCTTCTATGATGGGGTTTCTGTACACAATTACCCACTCAGTTAGCTCCCATATCAGGTGGATCATCCTTTATTTGCCGACTCCCTGATTGGAAGAGGTCAGCTTCGTTCAGCTTGTGTTTTCGCTTCTTGGTCCTTACAACGCTTTCTCTTTTCTCTCTCAAACATGGAGTCCTCTGCCAGCTCCACTGTTCAATCCTCGCTTCCAGATTCGCCATGTCGAATTGTATTCGACCTAACGATGGATTTAATTTTGCTCCGCCAGGTAATGGCACACCCCAATCCATTCGTCCGTGGTTCTCCAGCTATGGATAACGTAGCGGATGAACTAGCCAAACAGGATGCTGCACGCTTCGGGTCGCTAACGAAAAAGAGCGTTCGAGATAGGCTGATGAAAATGCTAGAACACCATGCCAAAGGCGATGCCTGGCGTAGACGACAGTAAGTACCGCAATGATAAGTAGAACCCGTTATATATATTTTCCACGTGTCAACCATGATGAGCATGTCGTTTACTGTATATGGAATTGTGTTCATCTTTACCCAGTACTTGGTGATGAAGATAAGCAGAATGTGCAGGCATCTTCTATCTGTGATGTCCAATTGTATTATTCTGTGACGCAACCATTACTTTTAATTCGTTCTATTTTATCCATCTTCTTTCGCATTTCAGATCTGGTTCCGCCGAAGATAACACGGAAAAAACCCAACTGTTGACGGAGCTCAGTCAGGTCTATGCTGAGCGCAGTATGCCTCAGGAGCGTGAAGCCGCTGCTGCCGTAACGTCAAGAGCCGTAGCCCTCCAACTTCGCGACAGCGCCTGCCGCACTTTGGGCGGCAAGGGAACATCGGCGTCCACATCAACTAGTAGCAGTGATACTGCTGCAGCCTGCACTGGCCACACAGCAGCAACAACCACCACCATCACAGAAACAACCATCGCAGCAGCAGCAGCTGCAGCAACAGTAGCAGCACCAACAAAGAGTGCAGCAGCAGACGAGCCTGCAGCCAAGCGTCGGCCGACTGGAGCAAGTGCCATCATGGCTCCAGTCGTCGACTACCTCAAGGAAAAAAACGACCGTGACCGTGATATCCAGGGCAAGAACTTGGATTTGAAGAAGGACGAGCTTGACTTCAAACGTGAGGAGTTGAGGGCAAAGCAGGAAGTGCAAAAAGCTAGAGCTCGCAGCAAAGGCCGAAGCAAATGAGAAAAAAAGATGCTGCAGACCAGCGCAAAGATGCAGCCATGATGTCCATGATGAAGATGATGATGGACAAAATGAAATGATACGCATATATTTTATATGATGTGGGACTGTCACAAATTCAAATGAGTTGGTTTGTTGGCTTTATCTTTATCTATCTGCACATCACGTCTAACATATCTATTTAATGTTGAGTGCTGTGATCACAAAGAAATCTGTGTAGACCTGGTGAAGAGAAGCTGTTGTCCATTGAAAAATTCCGATTGCTTTTACAGTGGTATGTCGTGGAGATAAATTCCACTAACATATCCACTATGGAGCCCAGGAAGTGCTTACGGTTGCAAGTACTCCTGGATCGATGGCGGTGAAATGCTGAAATAGCTGCTGGTCTTGTTGCCAAAGCGCATGATGGTGCGGAGATTGGTAAGGAGAGCAGCCACTTTGTAATACAAGCCCACTGGCTGCAACAGTAGCTTTTGCTGTTTCCTCATGTCTACATATGGCCATAGCGTGCAGACTTCACCGAAGGCCCACTCAACAGCAATGCGGCCTGCATTCATGTGCATGTTGAATTGGTGCTGGTCATGAGGGAGATTTGCGCCGCGGTATGCCTTCTGGAGGTAGGGGCTTAGCGGGTACGCAGGATCTCCGTAAATTGCAAACGGGGGCTCATTCTGCGGGTGATTGATGTCTTGGGCCATGGCATCCAGCAGTTGACTCTCACGGAGGATACCAGAGTCATGTCGCCGCCCTTCAATGGGCCCATACAGATGGGTGATCAGGCCGTCAGGTGTTGCAACAGCCTGATACTTTACGGCATGCACGCGCTTGTGGCCGTTGTACATCAATCGCTGATGCATACCTGGGCGACATATTGGCCTGACTGTGCCATCTATGTAACCCCATACGTTCAGGTTCACACCAACCTTGGCAGAAAGCGCCTGCGCATAGGCTTCAATGCGCTCTGGTGTGAAAAACGGCTGCGCAAATGGGTTCTCCAGCAAACCTCCCCACCTCTCCCATATCCACATCAGCATACTGTTGATGATAAGCGATAGAACGGGTTTGCTTCTACCGAACTCCTCACACAGCATACCTAGACGATCTGGGTAGGCAAGCCGACGCAGCAAAATCAGCAGACCCTCCATTCCGTTCCACGTGGTCCTGCATGGTGCTCGAAATCTATGTGGAACTTGTAACGCTATGAAAAGCTCTTCCAATTGTCGATGCGTAAATCTGAACTGACGAAGACAAACATCATCATCCAGCAAGTTGAAATCCAGCCGAATTCCAATTTCCTGGGGGCCTACAAGGAGGCCACGGGCAGCACACAGCTCCACACCGCCGATCAGCATCAGCAACTCCTCATCATCCAAGTCCCCCTCGTCATGGGCTAGCAGGAATAAGCAGCAGAGCACTGCACTTTTCTCTTCGCCACTTATTTCCGTTACGTTCATCGTTCTCACCAAACCAACTTCTAACACAACCAAGCTCACAACAAATCTCGTGTCCTGCACTGATGAAGCAAGTAGAAGTGAATAGAGTCTATCGGGTGCTGCAATGAATATACCGTATTTTTCCGGTTGTAAGTCGACCTTTTATGGCTTAAAATAGAAGGAGAAAGGGTGGGGGTCGACTTACAACCGGGATTCGACTTATAACCGGGAACTATCAGAATCTTACAAAAAATGACCTGCACTGCATGCACGAGTGCACCATGTTTACACATTTTTGCCAGTTTATTGGCCTTTTTCAAGGATTGGGACGTTATATCCTCCAATGAGGAATGTTTACATGATTTGTTGATGTGTTATTAGCAGGAGGTGGTTAGTAGTGCTTCTTTGGGTGAAAACTTTAAAACGCAGAATTGAGACCTCCAGATAGGGGGGTCGACTTATAACCGGGGTCGACTTACAACCGGTAAAATACGGTAGTTACTGCAATTGTAGTATACACTTTTCAAAATACGCTGTTTGGTTCCACGTGGGTGTCGCCACGTGGCGGGCACGGCTGTACAACGAGTTACGTGCATGAGATTGCGTATGCATATGCGTAGATCTACGTGCGAATATCGCGTACTACGAAAAAGTGCAGAACACAAAGTTCGTGCGAAACTTCGCACAAATTTTCGTCACGCTGTTCACGAAAGTTTGTACGAATTTTCGTTATGCAGAACCTCTCTACTGTAAAACATGTAGTTTTAGGTGCATTTAAAAAATTTCAGTGCCAGGGACCTGCCAGGTTTCAGGTGTAATTTAGAATTAGGTGGCCAGCGTTCACTTCACATACGGTGCATGCTCTAGTGCCTTTTAGGTGGTTTCTCTACCGAAATCACCGAAATTAAATTTACACTGAAAATTACATGTTTTACAGTATACTCAATCTGCGGACAGCATGCTGTTTCGTTCTTTTTGAACTCCTCAGCGCAGCACATTTCGGCAGCTATTTAATTTCGCCGATATTCGGCACCGACCCAAAACGCAGAAGTTATAACTCAGATCAAATCTTTCACATTGACTTTGGTGATGTACTAGTTAGTATACAGCTCGTGCCGAAATCTCGAATATCGTGGAATGCCGAAATTTTGCAGCGCCGACATTTTGTATAATTTTCCAGTGCACACAGCTCACCAGCTTACCTGTACATGAGGATGCAGAATGACCTGGATGTCATCGGCCGGTGTGGTGATGAAGAACCGCATCAGTTGTGCCATGTGTGCCTTTCCAGCAGATCTACGGTCATGTATCAACCAAGAGCAGCAAAGGACATACCAATAGCAATGATTACATGCTATTTTGATACCAAAGCTCTGGAACTGGGAGAGAAAGTAGAAACAAGTGAAGACCTGGAGCCCATTTTGAAATTGCGTATTTTGAACTCCAACTCAATACGGATGGCATCAGTTTTCCTTAGCATTAGACATGTTCATCACTAAGCTAAACTGTGCAGGCATTCACAAAATAATAGGAAGACAAATGTGCCATACGAGAACAACCAATCAGACCGTGGTAACAATGCACATGCTTCCTATCGACTACGACATGTCACGTGGCTGAGAAGAAGAGACACAAGAGGACCATGGAAATGAAACCCGCTATCCCAGGATATCGTTCTTGACTCACACACCCACGCACACACAGCCCCCCCCCCCCCATGCACCCACAAACACACCCACACACCCACACATTACCTGCAAGGGCAGCCCATGTAAAGAGGCATAGGCGTTGCCAATACCCGGCTAGCGGAATCCTGCACAAGGGTGAGCAGCACACACAATTATTGTACTTCGTCCGGAAACAAAAACTTCGTGACCTTTTTTCACTACTTTTCGCTGCTCTGGTTCTGTCAGCCTGAAACACTGACATGACATTTCGGAATCGTAGGAAAGCATGATTCATACAAGTATTTTGGAGAGCCGACAGTCGTCGCAGAGCAAGGGTGTCGACGCTGCAAACAAAGCAAAGCGAACATGTTTTTCATTTTTTGTCCATCAGGCGCAATGGGAAGAAAAGCACTGCGCTCACTGCTCGTCGTAGCTATTTTTTAGTTCAGAACTTGAAAGAGCAGGACAATGACATCGAGGAGCAAGAAGAGTGGAAAATGAATAGCAATAGCAGCTAGCGTTTTGAAATCTTCACCATCCCCGAAACGCCTATCTGCATGCGAACAGGTCGGCAAGATGTCAAAACTCCAAAACGCAGAGATGTGACAATCGTCACTTCGCGCAGCAGAGCAAGATGAACAAGTTCAAAATAGAAGTCGTTCAGCCACTGCAGAGCCTAGACCTCAACGTGGATGATCTCGCCTTTTTCAGCAGCCTCGACGATGTGTTCTTCGTCGCAAAAGGAGAAGGCGAGATCTGATCGGGGCAGTCGGGAAGTGCTGGTACGACTATGATATTCCTCGGAGGAAATTTGAAATGTTTGGCGTTGCCTGTGTTTGTTGTTCTGGGGCATCCTCGAGCGAGAGCGGAGGTGGTAATGAGTACCAGCACTGCAGCGCTACCGTGGTCTCCGCCGAGATGTGAAGAAGGCATTCAGGTAACAGCGAAGACGATCAGGGACGCTGAGAAGCTTCTCTGTGACATACGACATCGCGTCGATCGACCTGCCACTTGGAACGGTTTCAGCGGTGATGAGTCGAGCGATGGCGACCCAGACTGAGACTCTACTCCCACCAATCGATCCTGTAGATAATTTAGATATGTCGATTGAATGTGTTGAAGTGTTTCTCTTCCAAAAGAACACTTTTGTTGAGCACAGTAACTCCTTGAAAAGTCATGTCAAAAAGTCACGAATTTTTTGTTTCCGGAGGAAGTACCATACCTGGCAACTACCCCGATTTGGCCGGGACCATCCCGATATCAACGGTGGTAATAGGCACCCGAACGTGTATTTGTCGCATCCCTCACAGCTAAGTTATATTTGTATACATTTTCATACCTAGAGATGTCATTATCCCGATCTCAGGTTTGCAAAGGTTGGCAGATATGTTGTACAGAGTGACGGAGATCAACTGATACACAGATTCACAGTCATGTTCAGTGCGGCATCTCAGCCTGTTTTGAACAAGTTAGCACCCCTGCTCCAGTGCCGCACAAGTCAGTGTTTACAATGTCCCATGTTGGTGCTAACTGATAACCCACCTAAGCAGACATAACTTAGGTTATACTATAGCTTCAAAGCCTGATCATGGGGTGGTGGCGTCCCACGGAAGCGGAAAGGTGGTTCTTGACCAGGGAGTTGTACGACTCCTTGTTCTTGACCTGCCCGGTCGCGAACCCCATCGAATTTATTTATTTTTCAAAGCTGTGGCATCATTTATGATCCCCAACAGAAAAGGGCAGCAATGCATGTACCAATAGTGGTGAGGTAAGATAAAGATAACCTAGCATAAATAACACGAACTGAGACAAGTGTCACTGTCAGGCGGCAGGTCGCACAAGCTTCAACGTTCAGAGCAGCCACCTTCTTATAGCACAATTGAGTTGAATTAACGTATAATTGAGCAGCACTGCACGCACACTGCAGAACACCAGACTAACACTACTGTCTACAATAAGCTACCGTATTTCCCCGAATATAAGCTGTACCTTTTTACACTAAAAACTTAAGGGTGAAAAAGGGGTGTTACTTACAATCGAGCACGACTTACTACTGAAGTGAACATATCAAAACATTATGGCTCAAACCTGAAAACGGGGGTGCGTCTTTTAATCGAGTGTGACTTATAATCGAGGAAATACGGTAATTTTCAAAGGAGAAGCTAGAGACAGATAAAGGACACCGTCCATGCTCACCTTCAAATGCCCAGTGGGATGTATCTTTGATGCCTTATTGGGACCAGCGGCCAGGAATCTAGTGCAGAGCAAAGAGCACAGACACTCGTAACGTTATGTGTACACAAATCCAGAGAACCAATAATTATAAACACACACTGGCAGCAGAGAAGGAGAGAAAGTTGCATATTGTATGCAACAGTCAAACATTGATGGCTATACAGGGCTTGCATGTGGATAGGTGATATCAAGAGTACATAACCCCCCAGAGTGTGCAACGCCGATCCAGCTCTGCATAGGGTCTTAGTCGAGCGGAATCGGATCTTCTGATGTCATGCGTACACTCCACACCAGCGCAAGGCCGGTCTCGAGGCAGGGTACCATTGTTTTTGATCCAAGAGTACCCGCGACTCCCCGGGCTCCCCTCAGATGTGTACGGTATTATGATGCAAAGATCCGATTCCGCTCGACCAAGACCCTATGCAGAGCTGGATCAGGCGTTGCACACTCTGGGGGGTTATGTACTCTTGGTGATATGCCTATGGGGTGTAGGTGTGAGTTACAACCACAGAGCCCTTCTGTCCACTGTTTGACTACTGTATGAAACCTAGAACTCATTCTATTCTGTTCTGATAGATTGAGACAAGGGTGACTTCGGAGACATGACAGGAGCAGTCTGCTCTCCCCGCAAACAAATCGTGATCACGTGGCCAGATTTCGACCTTAACCTCAAAAGGTTTTCGCAAAGAATCCATGATCAACAAAAAGAGACTGTATAAGTAAGAGTAGACAGCAAACCTTACAGTAACTGAGCTTGCAAATGTCAGCGCCAGGTGTATTGTATTGTATTTTATTATTAACCCTTTGTGTACGGACTGTACAACTTTCGATCCCCTGGGATCGAAACTTTTCAAATTTTCAATCGATCGTAACTCAGTCATTTCTGGGTTATATCCGAAAACTAAAATGTGTAAGTCAAAGAGAAAACTCCCAGCTGTCCATTAAAACAATCACTGAAGCGCTCCGATGCGTGGTTCCAGAGTTACGAAGCTCGAAAGTCGAGATCAAATTCAGTCTGTGTACAATTTTTCAGTACATAAAGGGTTAATTTACTTGGGCATTCCCAACAGACCCTAAGGTCTTCTTACAGGTGTGTGTTCTGCATGATTATTCCTCCAAGGATTTTCGCTATGTGAACTAAAACAATTGAAAAATAAGTAGGGTAGCAATCCGAGTAGGGGGGGGGGGGGGGGGGGGTGCTGCCCTGCTCTCCCCCCCCCCCCCCCCACAACCTTTGCTTAGAACTACGCAACTAACTACTGATCGATTACGCTGAAGGGGTGGAGAAAGGAAAGAGCAAACTCTGGTCAGGATATTGCATTTTAACCCTTTAAGAGCCGCCCCATACTTGAATGCGTCGTAAACGACGCATTCAAATGCAAAACTTCAAAAGATCGTAACTCAGTCCAATCTCGCTCAAATCCATCGATCGAAATATCCAGGGCGAAGAGAAAACTCTCACCTGTCGGGAGAAACAAACCGCGAAGCGCTGCGAGCAACGGTTCCTGAGATAAATCACTCGTAAGTTGAGCCGCGATCGCGGTAATTTCAAAAGCGCGCAGTGCAACTTTAGTATTGAGAATTTTGAGAGTTTTCGTCACGTTGGTTTACTCGAATTTGCACGGGTTTCACTGTTGGTATTGTCAAGAGTACACGGCAAAAAATTGGAACTCCACGATCGAGTAAAATGAAATATCTGGAGCGGGACGCAATTGGACGCATTTGGGGCCTTTTTCGTACTGTCGCTGCGATCTAGCGCTGGATAGACGGTGTGCTGGCTATCATGATCGGCCTCATTCTCTTCCTCTCGCGGAGACCGTTCCAGGAAGCCCTAGATTGTGAGGATTGAGTGAGTAGAACTGAAGCTATGATCCGAGGAACACGAAAAAATGCAGAATTTTGAAAATTTCCTGTGGCTCTTAAAGGGTTAAATCATTGATGAGATGAGTGATGATGCGCAGATGGAGCAGAACTACACCAGACAACACTGTACACAACTCACCTATTGCCATAGAAGCACTCGTACTCCATTCCCACAAACAATCTTGTACTGACACCGGTGTCTTCAACAGGACAAAGAGAACAACAGCAAAAGAGAGTTGGAAAAATCACTCGAAGTACAAATGGATGCACCTGTTCACAACTTGAACTGGCCCCTCCGGTAGGATAACGTAATCACACATTTCACTTTTTATGCACGACTGTCACGATGTTCGTGTACAAAGCCAAAAATAAGGCGTCCAAAAATGGGAAAATTCAAAAATCTCATCACCGATCTTTCGTCGATTTGCATGAAATTACGGTTTTTCTCTTGAGGAAACCTCCACTTTCCCCCTCCATTATGATTTCCTCTTTCATCTGATACCCGTCTTGGTCGTCTTCTTCCAGGAACGATTCTTTCAGAGGTACGTTTCCTTTGCCTTGACGACTTGCTCTTCGTCATTTCTATCAGCCCTTTGCAGAGCTACCCTCTTCTCTTGTACGAGTTCTCGTCTTTTTCGCCAGTTTTCCTGGTGCCTGGATGATTTCATTTACATGGCCTGATTTCTCCATGTAGGCTTGTCCAGAGCGATGGCCCTCACATTCCCCAGCTGACTGCTGCGCTTCAAGTCGATGTTCCTCCTCTGAAAGTCGCTAGTGATGCGCGTCGCAATGGATGTCCTTGGACGTCCACGCCCAGCCTTGGCATCTCCTGCAAAATAGCCCGTCAGCGCGATCCATGGCGGTGCATCCCTGGCCATCGATTCTACTGTGTCAAATGGATGAAAATAGTATATTGCTGTCTACCTGCTATAGAAATAGTGGCAAAAAGCTTGCCAGCATGGCCGTGTCCACGAAATACAACGTGAAGGACTATCCCAGAAGCCTTCAAGCTGTGTACGTATTCGAGGTCGACATACTCAGGACGACCCCGCGATCCACCCTACATGCATTTGTCATGTATGCAAACGTGTGCTGGATCGCTGTAGTGCAGGTAGCCTTGGCTCATTTGTAGGGGGTGGTTGTGGAGTGATCAAAGTGTGGAAGCCACATCACCGCACAAACTGTGACATGTTACTACACTGCACCAAACAAGGGTGGACGTCCACCAAAAAAGCAGAAGCAACTTGCTTCAAAGCCTTCTGCTGTAGAAAAAATAAATGGAAGGTGCAACAGTCCCACAGCATTCATCCACAACAGCAACATCTCCTGGACCCCAGACAGGACACAGTCCTAGTGGATTGGATGTAGATGAAGCAAATGTTTTCACATACGCAACACCGACATACAGCGCACAGCAGAAACTGGACAGGACTAGGTTCGTGGACAACAATGCCGTTGTTGTGTGCACATTGTGCAAGCTAGTAGTAGATGGTGCTGTGCATGCGCCTTGCTGCGAGTCTCTTTTGCATTTGCTGCGAGAGTCTCTTTTGCACTTGCTGCGAGAGTCTCTTTTGCACTTGCTGCGAGAGTCTCTTTTGCAGCAAGTGCATATGCAAATGGCTGCAAACCAGCCGCACTTGCCCCGATTGTGAGCGGCACTTGCTGGCGTCCAGTCTGCAGCAGCCTAATTGAGTTCTGCGAGACATTGTCAGCAACTGGACAATCCACTGTGATTTCCACAAGCCAGATCTTGTCGGTTGCTCAAACTGCTCCACTGAAAAAGCTCAAACTGCATGTTGAAAGCTGCACATTTAACCTATCAGTTTCAGGAACACCAATCCGGACAGTCAATCCCTCGGCAACAGTTGAGGATATCCTCACAGCCTCCCTGTCAAAGTTGCAGGGCAATGTCGCAGACCGATTCACGAACCATCTCATACAGAGCAAGAGTGATGGCAGCAGGCTTGAGACAAAGCCAGGGAGCAGAGGTAGGTCACTTGTTTTCCAGAAGACTACCGCGTCCACCACGCCATCGAATGAGGCATCAGCGTCCACCATTCGCCGACGTTCAGCTGAACTGACCACAATCAATCATGAAGTACGTGGCAGTTCAATTGGCGCTAGAGCACAGGAGGTTGCATGCTTGAAGAGGTTTATCAACAGCTGAGCAGCAGACAATCCTTCAGGATATTGGTTTGCAGGCAAAGGCTTCAGCTCCGGGGACAGCACTGGCTATCAAAGCGGATCTTGCGTTGCCATACAGCAAGTTCCGGCTGCTGCGGAGATGGCTCAAGTTGCTTGGTGTCGAGCTTGAGTCCGAGAGGAAAATGAGACAATTTGTGGCAACACAAATTCCCAAGTACCTGGCCAAAGAACTACCCATGATGAAAAGGCATGGCGAGATCAGCATGGCGGCAGCAGTTTACTTTCCTGACCTGGTGAACATTGTCACCTATTTCCTGGATAAGTTGGATCGAGCAAACTGCCTCACTTGGAGCAATGGCATACCACAGTCAGAAGTGTGGATCAAGATCGTTGGTGAACATGGCGTCATCTCAGAGAGGTGTCCAAACCTGCTTCCAGACGCAACTGCTATCGCTGAGAGGTACACGAAGCTACTGCAGAAGTATGCTGAGTGCAGTAGCATATTCAGCACAAGCTGTTACTCCACCGTAGGAGATGACGATTTGTCCAAACTTGACGCCGCGGTGAAGGACTTCATGTTTATGTGCAGAGCGGAGATCGTCGCGAGGGGCTATGGGAATATACTTCGAAGTAACACCCAAGCTGCACCTCCTTGAGGAGCACACCATAACCCTGATGCGGACAATCCACGTTGTCATTGGTCTGCTGCGAGAACATGGTGCTAAAAGCATCCATTCAGCTCTCAACAACCTGGAGAAATTGTTCAAGAACATCCCTAATCCTCTTCAGTGTCTGAAGGCCATCGCTGACCAGCATCTTCTCTCCTGCAAGATGGAAACCCGCAACCTACGTCCTCGGGCTGTGAAGCGTAAATCGTAAGCCAGTGACAAGCGTCCAGGAAAGCTAAGCTTGCAATAACGATAACTATTGTGAGTTATAGTTTCCTCGATCTATTTTTCAAACTCACTGTAACTTTTTGAGCCTTTAAAAATCCGCGAGTGATGCTAATTCGAAAAATATCCGCGTTCGTGACACAATTCCCGTGATTAGGACAGACTTAACCAAATCAGTGTAGGTTCATAAATTTGAAAGGTAAACGGCATTAAAGGGCGCCATATTACGGAGGTTTAGCATCACGAATTTCGCGTTCAAGTTCGCGAACATTTTCGGTTAGCGAACTGGATTGCGAGCTTTCGCATTTTTCGTTCAGAAAAGTAGTCGAAACACGAATCGCGGATTCGTGTCAGGACAGTCATACATTTACTACGCTGTACTGTCTGTACACAATCATGTACATGTACGACGTGTCAACGTCATGCATGTTTGCTAATCCTTCTCATAACGAGAATTCCGTCACTGAGTTCGACTTTCCTTGGAGTGCGAACACGGACGCGGATTTTGTCTTGCTAAACCTTCGTATTGTAAAGTGGTGCACGTGAGCCAGCCGTGTATGGCAAGAAACAAAACGCAACCACACTCAATCCGTCCACAACATACACACACACACACACAGACACGTATGCGTGCACACACACACACACACACACACACACACAGACACACACACCTCAGACCTCAGACCTGCCCAACGCGGAAGCGATGATAGCGAACAGCTATGTTAGACATAGCAACTTGTGCTGGGATTACACCATTCAACAGCTTGCAAGGCTGCTGAATTGACTGCCACTAATTTTAGCCTGGTATCCACCACACAGCTGAATTGGAGTGGCTTTATCTGGCCAGTGAATCCCTATTTTCTTTTCTTTTTTTTCTTCTTTTTTCCATTTTTTCATTCCTTTTCTAACACGCCACACCACATACTCCGACATGCACTGGCTGTTGGTAGCCACCCAGGAGAATGAAAGAAGAGCTAGGAGAATGAGAAAGAGAAGGAAGACGTGTGCGACCATAATCGTCGGGAATTGAACCCCTCTCGATTGGAAAGCGACTGCACATATCACTGCACCATATGACACACACACACACACACACACCTTTGGACCTTTGGAAAGCCCATCGCCGAAGGCGATGATAGCTATTAGGCGAGGCAGTAGTTCTTGTGTCGGGATAAATCATTCGGACGGCGAAAGTCGCGGCCGCAGACACAGACGACGGTCGCCAACCAACTTGCGGCCGATACGATGTTTCATCGGGCCTCGACTTCCTCATCGTCCTCATCCTCGTCCACAACTATTCGAAAATTTGAAAATTTTTCAAACAAGAAACACTGCCTCGTCTCGCTTGTGCTTGTGTACCTACTCCCAGCAGAGCGCAAATCCACTGGGACATGCTGCAGCAACCATGGCCTGGTCTACACCACACAGCCATGGCTGCAAACGCAGCTATCCTTCCATTTCGGTCAGAGCCCAGAAAAGTGCAACCGACCTCTTCAAGTACAACTCACACACACACACACACACACACACGCCACACACACACATGCACACACATACACACTCATTGCCTCACTCCCCTCCCCCCCCCCCCAACACACAAACGGGCACGTACGCACACACACACACACACACACACACACACACACACACACACACACACACACACACACAACACACAACAAACCTTTGAGGGACTTCGTAGGGCGGATAGGGCGACCTTTCTGCATGCACTGGGCGAGTGCTGTCCACGCATTTGCTCCGGACAAGCACAACGGGCCTGTGCAGCGAAACAATACAAGCAAATCTGGGTTACAACATTGTAGCGACGAAACACAAAGACGTACAAAGTACAGGAAAGGTGGAACAAGAACATCAGTTTCTCATACACGGAGCAACAAGGGCAAGTCTAGGTTGTAGCTACTCTGAGAACAAGGGCAAGGCTAGGTTGTAGCTACTCTGAGTTTCATGCATATGCAATCATCAGGTAACAGTTTCCCATACAGTCAACTTCGCTAATAATGACTGCGGATATAACGACAATTCGTGAATAACGACAGACTTTCCATGCCCAGAGCAAAGTCCATACTACCTGTATACATATAATGAGACTTCGGGTATAACGACACTTTGCGAATAAGGACACTTTTCTGATGCCCGGCCGAGTGTCGTTATACGCAAAGTTGACTGTACATAAATTTCTTCATCTCCGCATTCGCAGAAGAAGACGCACCTGCATGCGTAGCGTTGAGCGGGATGTCCCATGCCAGAAGGAAGTTGCTGCCTTGTAGGAAACCTGGCTGTGGCAGACCTGCAGCACAACAGAATAAGGAGAGTACCATTCTGCTTGAATTGTTCTCTACCATTATTGCTCACGAGTAAGCAGCTGCCAGAGAAAAGAATGCATCGATCCACATTCAAAAGGTACTTACGAAGAGGTTCCCTTTCGCCAGTGCAAGTGTCTAAGAATCCCATGAAAATGAAACTACTTTCAAGAGACACAATTCATAATGGAGGTTATGCAAATGATGTCATGATGATGAACTAGCAGATCTCAAACTGATGATGTAATCGTATAATCTGATGATGTAATCGTAAAATCTGATGATTTAATCGTATAATCTGATGATGTAATCGCATGAACTCTACACCATAGTCGCATACAGCAATCAACGGAACTGGACAATCGTCTGCCTATACCGCACACACAAACGAGTGTATAGAATGAACACAGAGGTGCACGCCAGTCGGAACCGACCTGTAGCGGAGTTGTACTGGGAAGCAATGCCCAAGCTAACAACGGACCAAGATGGGAAGGTCGGCACCAAGTCCAATGGAGAGGCACTGTGGACCATCACATTGCCATCGACATCTCCCGTCTCCACACTGACATCAGCCGATAAAGCTGTCATATTCTGCAGATGCAAAAAAAAGGAATGAATCAGAACAAGAATGCTGACAAACAAAGTTACAGCATAGGAAGTGAGAGAACATAGTGAACTGAGAAAACTATCCGATCTTTGAATTTGAGATGTCATAGGACACAGTACACATCGAATTAAGATCAGAGATGGGAGAGAAAGAGAGGAGAGAGGAGAGCTAGATAGATAGATTGAGAGATAGAGAAAGAGAGGAGTGAAAGAGAGGAAAGATAGAGATCAAGATAGTTAGATACATATAGAGATAGATAGAGAGAGAGAGGAGAGGAGAGGAGAAGGGAGAGAGAGAGAGAGAGAGAGAGAGAGAGAGAGGAGGGGGGGGGGGAGAGAACGTGGAATGGCACTGACCGGACGGAGCGTTTCGTTATCCTCGTACTCCTCCTGATCTTCGTAGTCCTGCACGCCGTCATTCTGCAGGCCCGTGTCTGAACCAGCCATGTTCGCAGCTAACGCATCACTGTACAGCGACCACTCCGCTGCGGCTGCATCGTCAGCAATCTCCATTCCGGCAGCCTCCTCACCTTCACCACTGTCAGCGGCAGCAGGGCCAGCGTTGTTGGTGCTCTTAGGACTGGTGACTGACGACGGGTCTTGATCTTCTGCCGCAGGGCCAGCGTTGTCGGTGCTCTTAGGACTGGTGACTGACGACGGGTCTTGATCTTCTGCCGCAGGGCTGGCAGTGTCACAGCTGTCTTTAGTACTGGGCGAGGGCTGTGCTGTTGCTGCTGCTGCTGCTGACGACGGATCAGCAGTCGTGTCGGCAGGCTCCTCGCCACTGCTGCCTGTACTACCGCTGGCAAGATCAAGCGCTTCGTGCTTCAGCATCAGCTCGCTGCGTCGCTTGATTAGGGACTCCCTTCGCACTGACACGGCAGCTGCGCGCGATGTGCCCGGCTCCTGCTCCGGCTCCTGCTCCGGCTCTGCAGCTGTGCCCGAGGTTCCCGGCTCCTGCTCCGGCTCTGCAGCTGTGTCGAGTGCCGCACTGGTGGGACTGGTGCGGCCAGTGTAAAGCGCGGCGGCGGCAGCGCTCACACTTTCATCGGCGCGCTGCTGCAGTGTGGGCAGGGACAGGTGCCTGGATAGTACAGACAACAACACAACACCCGTACAGGGAAATTTCACAGTACCGTAGAAGCAGAAATATTCGTCTGGAATTTAATTTCGTCTTTTTCGTCCAAGGAAATTTTGACTAAATTAAGTGCCGGACTAATGTCGATTTGTCCAGCTTTTCTATACACTCTTATGATCCATGGACGAAATTTTCAACCGGACGAACTCCCTTTCTTTGGAGTTGGACGAAATTATTGACCGACGAAATTGTCTTGCCTCTACAGTACTCTGGGTGTAAATAAAGGGGGGTTGTCAACTGACAACCGCTCTATTCAGTTGCCATTCACTCTTGGCGCATGCGCTGGATGAAAAATTCTTTTATTAGTGATGTCGAAAAATTATGACGTTGGGGGTGGGGGACGTTGGGACCCTGCGTGTGCCATACCTTTCTCTTTGCATTCCTTTTTGAGGAACTGGCCCGTTCTTTCTCAGTCAGTTGACCTTGGGTATAAATAATACAGCTGAGAGTGCACTTTGCTCAGTTGCTGTCAGCATCATTACACAACCCACGGACCCCCCCCCCCCCCCCTCCCCGGTTGGCTTCAGAAAGGCTCGGAGAACACATCACAACCACCCAACGAACACATTCTATTTTATTACTACTGGGTCATTAGATTATCTGATTACAAAGAGAAAAGAGTGCCCGGCAGTAGACAGCTAGCAATTTTATCGTACTACAGTGAAACCTCGTTATAAAGAACACTGATAAGACAAACTTTCGCTTTAGAAGAACTGGGTTTCATAACTCGATTGAATACTGTGTATTCACTGGGTATAACTATAAGATATGGATAAGAAGAACTCCTGTTATTGCGAACAAATACCATTGATCCCTTGGTGTTCGTCCTAAAGAGGTTTGACTGAACTTCGAAGTAAATGACTTTCAATCTCTTCATATTTGACTTATTATCATCCCAAAGAAGTAATCTCAAGGAAAGAAACAAACACCAAAAAACACTTAAATAGAATCTGCTCTCCTCATGATTGCTTTTCAGCATAAACTCGTGAGTAGAGACATTTAATCACTGTTTGTTCCACCGGATTTTCGTTCGTAAAGAGAATCTAGAGAGTCAGTTCCAGAGAGAACAAAGCGTCACCGGTACAGACATACACTAGTACCTGTAGCTCTGGCCGGCAGCGTGAAGAGACGCACTCTGGCTTGCCTGGGTGCTGGCAACGTCAGTGAACAACGTCGGATAGTCGAACGAACCGACGGGATTCGCGTACACCGGCGGAGCGCTGGCAAACACAGCACGGGCCAGCTGTCCGCAGCAACCCAGCTCCAAGGTCTCGTAGAATGTGAAGTTTGCATCCTGTTCAGGAGACCATCCGGTAAACGGAAATATACAAGCAATACAGGACATTGTTTTTAAAGCAAGAAAGCTTTAGACGGGGGAAAGGTTATTCTTTGATCACATAGGAAAGCTAAGGCCAGGTCAATATACAGCGGTTTCACATCTATCACATGACTCCATACACTACAGCCATGTTGGTTCCTACTCCACTCAACCCTGGCATCTGTGGGTCACATGGTGTCGGCCATGTTGGTTCCACTGTCCACATGCCATGATCACTTTCTACACAAATCTAGCCACATGAATTGATAAAGGTGTGAGCACCACTCTACAGATAGATAGGCAAGTCACCGGCAACTGACATGTCCAGTCACAATGTGCAGTGACTCCTCATATCATTCACTCGCTTCCCCTGCAGAATCTTTGCCGCACAACCAGTGGCCCCAGGAGAGACATACAGCAGAGTTTGGCGGATCACCAGAACATCTACCGCATTTTCCGGAGCATAAGCCGCACCGGAGTATAAACCCCATCCAGATTTCTTGTACCAAATTCCAGACATCCACTCTGTATTTCGCGGTTCAATTGACGATGGTAGTATAAGCCATACAGGCTTTTTTTGGGGTGAGCTACGAGTGTTCAAAGTGCGGCTTATGCTCCGGAAAATACGGTACATGACAGTAGACCCGAATGGGGGGTTTCCCTACCTTCAGTGTGAAGGGGTCCGGACGGTCGGTCTGGAGTCGGCCACAGTTACACGAATGCAGAGCCACGTGATTGTTAGAATGCTGCACACGTGGCGTGTCCTGCAAATACGACAAACGCATGATTGCGCAATATTGCAACACGCACAAAAGTATACAAAAACAACACATTTCATAGTCAGATTCCTCATGACCAGCCATGAAACCACTGTCCCACAAAGTTTCACACACATTCAAATGGTTAGTACCATTGGCAACACAAAAATAGACATTCGGTACATGACTTTCATATATTCCGAGTGTAATGGATACCAGAGATGTGGAGCCAAAGTAGCACTTCGAAGCCATGCACTACAACCAGGTATATACGGTAAGAAAAGCACGACCACTCACCGTTCCGTCAGATTCTTCCGAGCCACCATTGTCACTGGTTTTCGGCAGAAGATGATACTAGGAACGCCACGCACCATAGACAACAAAACAGAACACAGTAAGAATGTCTGAAACACTGAAAACACAGCATGTTCGTCCGCCGCCGGCCTTGTAACATCACGCATCGTACAATACGGCATTGCGTCGAACAAAACGCATGAAAAAGGAGAAGCGGAATGCGAGTCTACTTATTCCAGTAAACAGAACCCCCCCCCCCCCCCCCGATGCACATACAATTATTTTAATTATTGTCGGGAATATTGTAGATTTATGTATGGTGAGTAGTACACTGAGTGGTGTTGTACATACCGGTAGGTGGCATGTGCGTCCAGTCATGCTGATTTGCTCGCACGCCTTGTGGCCATCCTCCCAGTACTGTACGATAGCAGCATAGAGACACAAGCACATCGGGTAACTACACAACTACCATCGCACTTACCCACACACACACACACGTGCACGCTCGCACACATACACGCGCGCGTGCACACACACACACACGCACACACACACACACACACACACACATTGAACGAGAGCGAATGCCATGACCCCTATGACTGTGTGGCAGGCACCAATACTCCACTGACCCGTACTCTGTGTTGGCTGAACAAGGGTAAACTGAAAAGAACGTGAATTGTAATCATATTGTCAAACAATGATGATATTCGACAACAGTGCCTGAACTGTTGTTACCTCTTCGCATCGCTGCCTGATCTCATCAATATACACATGCATTGATGGGCCACGGGACTGGACAGAAAAGACTCGCAGTGCATTGTCCAGCTGGAGAGAAAACCAAAAAACAAGCAGACGCCAGACAGGCAAGTTTGTCAGTATCAAGTCAAGAGCAAAGAAGCCAATGTGTCTGCAATACACAAATACAGTCATTATCAGGTCAAGGGCAATTTTCCACGAACAACGGCCCCCGAAAACTCTTGACACACACACCATTGGACCATTGGACGCCCATCGCCGGAGGCGATGACAGCGATGCTACAGCAGAAGCCATAGCAGTTTGTGCTGGGATTTCACCATTCAACAGCTTGCAAGGCTGAAGAATTGACCGCCACTATTAAGCCTGGTCTACACCACACAGCTATGAAGTGGCTTTTTCTGGCCAGTGAATCCCTACGTTTGGTCTTTTTTCATATTTATTCTGCACACACACACACATACACACACACACACACACACACACACACACACACACACACACACACACACACACACACACACACACACACACACACACCCGCACACACACACACTACTACTACTACTACTACTACTACTACTACTACTACTACTACTACTACTACTACTACTACTACTACTACTACTACTACTACTACTACTACTACTACTACTACTACTACTACTACTACTACTACTACTACTACTACTATTGACAGCTGCCAGGATTGGCCACGCCGCTCCCAGATGGGAGGTACTGTCAGAGAGGTTAGGGGGGAGGAAGGCAATGCTCCAAGTGGCGTTCCAGATCTTGCCGCCTCCGGAACCGTCGGTTGTGGCAAACTTGGCAGTGAAATTTGAATTGTTGGCGTTCAGCCACAGTAGGGCGCTTTGGACAGGTTCCACAACGGTGACGCTTGAGACCCGCAGCCGATTTAAATGAACGCTGACAGTTGGTGCAAGTTACACCCGGAACAACAAGAGGAGCAGGGGCAGGGGCCAGCGGCTGGTCGACATCGCCTAGCCGACACTTATGCACCGCAAAGCCTCCTCTGCTACCTAGCCATCGGTTGCATGTTGGACACTGTACTGATCCAGGCTGCTCCGATACCGGGAGCTGACGGATTGCTGAACACTTGTGCCGGGCCATGTCAGAACTACGACGGAACAGACGGTTGCAGGTTGGGCACTCGATGCTCTTCGGGGCAGGTTCCTTGTCCTCACCTGCTGCTGTCACCACTCCACGCCACTCTCCACGATCGCTTGCCAACTCAAACCAGTACACACACACACACACACACACACACACACACACACACACACACACACACACACACACACACACACACACACACACACACACACACACACACACACACACACACACACACACACACACACACACACACACACACACACACACACACACACACACACACACACACACACACACACACACACACACACACACACACACACACACACACACACACACACACACACACACACACACACACACACACACACACACACACACACACACACACACACACACACACACACACACACACACACACACACACACACACACACACACACACACACACACACACACACACACACACACACACACACACACACACACACACACACACACACACACACACACACACACACACACACACACACACACACAAATGTCGACGTTCAGTACTGACCTGGACTTTGTGTTGGCTGGTCGTGTACAGGTCAGGGAGACCCTCCTTGTATGCGTTGAATGCTGCCGGAGCTGCTTTGCTACAGCGACTGTCAGACAGACACCACATACATGTACGCAGGCATACCATTATAGTCATAAAGTAAGACTTTGCCAGTTTTAGAATTGTTCACAAACTCCAATGCAGCCACGAGGACATGTACGAGTGGAGGTCGAGTCCGGCGTGATGTCACAATGCACTCCGGGGCAATTCTGGGCACCTTCTTTTCAAGAATTCACCCACTTCCAATCATTGCGGAGAAAAACGAAGTACAGTAACACCATCATGATCAGGAGCCAAAAGAGTCAAAAACTAAAACAAAGCAAAGTTTTGGTGACAGTTCCTCTTCAAAAATGATGACTCCTTAGCCCATTCACCGAGAACTCTCTTCTCTCTCTGTCTCTCTCTCTCTCTCTAATATATGGATTTCCAAAGGAAGAGGTCAGAAACATTCTACTGCACACCAGCACAGCACAGCACAGCACAGCACAGCACTGACCTCTCTGAGAACTGATGCTGCAGCTGCAGTGGCATTCGAACACGCTCCTTCTCGTACTGATCGCCAATGCCGTCAGCACCCAGGAAGAAGTCGTAGATGACTGACGCCACGGCGAACCAGTCGTCACAGTTGGGCAGCTACAAAGACGCCGATATCACACAGTATGTCCATCAACATGGTATGCATACAAACAGGAAAGCGCACTACACGATACTGGCTAGTATAGAGTGGTGTCACATTTATCACATGACCATACAGGGCAGCCATGTTGGTTCCAACTCCACACTCAATCCTAGCATCTATGGGTCACATGATGTCGGCCATGTTGGTTGCACTGTCCACATACCATGATCACTTTCTACACAAATTTAGTCACATGACCAAAACGTGAAACCCCTCCAGTATATGTACAGTCAGGACAGTCCCACATAACTACACACTCTGCTCCCGACAATAATTTACACGTTCAAGATACGCACATCTGTGAAGACCAGCACAACCTTGCATCAGAAAGCTCACCACTCCGTCATTCTTCCCCACTGCCAGCTTGTCGAACACCATTGTGTCAGCCCCCTGGTGAATGGCTTCAACGTGCCGCATCAGAAAGCCCTGGAGACTCTACAACGGGGAGAGCAGAGGAACGGAGAAAGAAAATCTAACAGCATGAAAGGATAAACGGGACCAGAGCAAGAATGTTCCAAAGAGCAATACGGTAAACGTGCTGTGCCGCAAAAGGAAGCATGCCAGTACAACAAACCAAGTGGAAACAGCTCTGTAAGGAAAGTGTCTACAAGTATTACAACATCAAAACACCCACAACTACCCACGGGCGCAAGCACATATGCACGCACACACCCACGTACACATATGGGCGCATGCATCCCCCCCCCCCCCCCTCCACACACACAAGCACGCACACAATGCCGTTAGTCCACATCAGCATAATTATAATTGCGGGCACAGCATGGGGTACACACACATACCTGGGTCTCATCAGATGCTCGCTCGGACACTTTCGACGGTCCAGCAACCGGGTGGATGGCAGATGTTGCCGACGATGAGATCCTGCTGCTGTGAAAGTTCGGACTGTGGCGCTGCTCCGACGTTGAGGTACCCGAGGCAGAAGGCGATGGGGGTCGACCGGATGCTGACGTCAGCCGTGATTCCAATGTGTGATGACCATGCGAAGCTCGACCGGCAGCTCGCAACTGTGGTCGTCTCAACTGATCTGCAAAATAGACGGCCACAAAATCGAGAGTAGTGCAGGTGGTCAAATTCAGAAGAACAAATCATGATTTAACTCTCCGTCTCTTTCTCTTTCTCTATCTATCTATCTGTCTGTCTATCTGTCTGTCTGTCTCCCTCCCCCCCCCCCCCCTCTCTCTCTCTCCATCCATCCATCCGTCCGTCCGTCCGTCCGCCTGTCTCTGTCTGTCTGTCTGTCTGCCTGTCTGTCTCTCTCTCTCTCTGCCCTAATAGTAACACGTAGTTTCCCATTTCACCACAAAACACACACAGCATCATGGTATGTGGATCAGCAATAATTGGCATGAAATGCAGAAACGAACACAACACACACACACACACACACACACACACACACACACACACACACACACACACACACACACACACACACACACACACATACACACACACACACACACACACACACACACACACACACGGGTACGTACTGGGCAGTCCTTGCATGAGAATGGCCATCGAGTCCAGCGACGATGACGCAGCACTGGCGGATGATGCTGACGCATTGGGTGTGACGACGTGCAGGAATTTGTGCGGACTCAGCGTGAACAGTGCATTCTCCCTGAATAGCGAGGAGCAAAACACAGTACATAGGCCAAAACATCAGGCTATGAAGCATTAATCCCACAGCAGGATGTTCTTCATGATACTAGCCACACTATGATTGCAATTTGCAACAGAGAAACCACAACATAATCCACTGCAGTAATCCTGGGCGTAGTAATCCTGGGCGCCGAAGAATAACAGGCTAGAATTTTACCAGTCATGATGAGTACATTACAAACAGTTGAAACCTGGTCCACAGACCGCCTGGTTCCAGCAACCACTTGGCTTCAGTGACCACCTGGTTTCAGTGACCACCTGGTTTCAGCTACCACCTGGTTTCAGCTACCACCATGTTTCAGCAACTACTGTAAATCATGAATATGTAACGAACAAGTAAATCTAACGAGTTAACGAGCAAAGATTTGTCGTTATTTTAAAATTCGTTAGCAAAAGTCGTATGATTTGGGCCTCGCACGATTGAAATCGATCATTTCACATTATGGCATGCAGCGCGTGTTCAACGGATCGTAACTCAGTCAATTCTCAACGGAATTCAACAATCTAAAGATCTAGATGATAGCAGAGACGCTCAGCAGTCGGCTCGAACAACTCAGAAGTCTCTCAGATGAATTTTGACGAAGCGGCAGGAGATCAAAAAATTTGAATTTTTTACGCTCTTACGCTGGATAAATTTCATTTTCTTTATTCTCCTGTAATAGTCCTGACATCGAGGTATATTGTGATGGACAACAACAAATGTCCTTGACGAGCATTCCTAGTATTATTGCATCTGTCTGAGAAAATCGTTAACTTTTCAAACCGTTAACCTTCGAAAATCAGAAAATCGTTAACTTTGCGGGTCGTTAAAATAATATGATTTACAGTACCTGGTTTCAGTGACCACCTGATTTTAGGCTTTGAAGCAACCGCTTGGTTTCAGCAACTACATGGTTTCAGCGACCACCTGATTTAAGCAACCACCTGGTTTCAGTAGACACCTGGCTTCAGCAACCACCTGGTTTCATCAACCATCTAGCTTTAGCAACCACCTGGTCAGCGTTTAACTTTAACACAGACTGAATGTGATGAATGTGACAGAAGGTGATGATGAATGTGTTCGGATACACCTGCTTTCGGTAATTACCAGCTTTTGGAAAGTGCCTGCTTTCAAAGACCGCAATAAGCCGATTTCACGGCTGATTGCTGAAGCCACGGTTCACGTGTACAAGTATATGTAGTGCTAGTTCTTCATCCCCTTCCCAGAGCGATTTTTTCAATTTTATTTTGTCCACTAGAAAGGCAAAGAAATCAGCTAGAAATTGAAGCAGAGCCTTGTCGACGGACCAAGCTTTAGTTTGTGCCCCCCCCCCCCCCCCTGCTTCGCTGCACTTGCAGCTAAGGTCGACGTCTTCAGAGTTTGAGGCAGACCCTTCAGCATTCAAAAAGACGATGAAAAAGACGCGCATTCAAATTCAGGTCATGAAACTTCGTTTTCAAGCGAGCCATGCCTCCAGGGGGCAGGCGATGACAGCAAACTAGCATTTTTCAAGTACACTGTAACAACCTTCCAGCGGGATAGGGGAAGCAGTTCCGCACCTTCTTTCCTTGGCAAACGCTTCGCTGATTTCGTTGATGTTTTCGGACCTGCTCCTTTTGCAGCAACATGCGCCACACGTAGCGCATTTTAGGAATTTGAGAACACTTTGTTCTTGCCATCGTCAACTCCAGCATTTCGATTTCAGGAGAGATACCAGGATTCTTATACCGCAGCTTCCAGTCGTGATAAATGCCCCTCACGAGCGATGTGGGCCGGCACGAACTCCAGAGTAAAGATACAAGTATGCGCTCTGGGGCGAAATAGTGCCGAGCGCGATGAGTCTGTTTGGTGTGCGGAAGAGAGCTCCGAGACCACCACGGCTTCAGTAACAAGTAGACATTGAGCAGGAAGGGTCGCACCAATGTTCGAACACAGAAAACAGCGATTCCGACACTCTGACCAAGACGAGCAAATTACAAACATAGCGATGTGCGAAGCGACAGTTTTAATGACGTGGAGGAAGTAGTACGAGCAGATACTTACCCTGTCATAAGCCGTGTCCGGCATCTCTTGCAGAGGTTGTAGATTTGATCCTCTACGAACAGCTGAAAACGCTTCGATGGCGATGCGGCCTGGGTGTGTGAGCGAGAGCGAGAGCAAGTCAGTCAGTGAGTGGGAGAGAGAGAGAGAGAAACGCGATAAAGAGCTTCACATCATGCAGGGGTGCCGGACACGGTCCGGTCACTATAGTATTGACCGTACCACTCTTTGCCCCAAGTACCCCGTGAATCAATAAAATGCACTGATTTGAACTCTGAATTTCCAAAATTGTCGGCTCAGCCACCCTTCCCCCAAGAGTAAATTGTACTTCAGATGGCTGACCGGACCACACTAAATTACCTTCCGACGCCCCTGTGTCATGCCTTCCTGCCCAATATCCCCGAATAGCTTGTTGGTATGGAGGACTCACTCTCAAGGTCTAGACACAATGCGTGATGGAACAGCAGTGCAGACCTGCATCAGGTGCCAAAGCTCAACTCAATTGTACACAGATAGGCAGAGGAATACTGTATTTTCGGGAATCCGCGCCGGTCTAGTTTTACCCCTGTCTGAAATAATCGCCACGTCATTTTAGGGCTTTGTGTAGAATTTTTAAAATCGCATGAAATTTTAGGGCTCGCAAACTACTAAGCGCCTCGGCCAGTGTTGCCCAAAATACGGTAACCGTGTCCATATGATTAGCTTACACCATAGCGACTCGCCTGTCTCTGTATCCAGTTTTCAGAGAGACGACCTGCAGCATCCACGTTGCCACTGTTGTCACGGGAAGCCGCTGAATCCATAGACTGAACGCGATTCTGCAGTCACGGAGAAAACAGAAAGCAATTCAACCTCGGAGAACCGGCGAGAGCAAGGCCAGCCAGGCTGCACAGGCCCAATGGATAAAAAAGAAGAAAAAAAAATCACGATTCGTGTGCGACTCAGCTGGAGGCCGAGTTTTCCGCATCCGTAGGAAAGCCACCACCCCCAAGGATCAAGGCGTAGATCAGGCATAGTGGAATGGTCTAAGATCAATGTTGAGAAACATAGGGCCAGGCTCAAGTCGTGCTTGTAAGCGGAAGGATTCTTCCAGCCGTGCTGCGACCCACAGGTCCATGGATACACTGCTTTCCAAAGAATAAGCACTGTGCACGCATGATCTTCCAGCATAGTCCTTGAGTCGATAAGCATGCTCCCAGGTATGTAACACTAACCGTGCTGCTGGCAATAGTTTCTCATGGGGCCAGCATGAGGAAAGCTGCTGTCGAGTCAAAGGGATTGGGTGATGTGGACACGGTCGTCACTTCAAACAGCACCTGGATGCGCCGCCAAGAGTACGCGTTAGTACAGTCAGACCTCGTTTACCCGGTCCTCTTCGATCTGGATCCCTCGCCATCCGGAAGAAAATCACTGGTTACCGATTTACAGCATATGCCATGCACACATACAGTATGTGTGTTCGATTATCTGGTTCCCTCGCCTATCAGGATATTTTTTTGTGGAAAACGGATGTGTGCGGTTATACGAGGTCTGACTGTATACAAGCCTGATTTTCCAGATGGACAATCACCAATGCATGTATAAGCCTGGAGTTTCTCATGGACATAGGTAGTGCCTGTTTTCAACAACAGCCTAACCCTCATATCGGCTTGCGCGAGAATAAGCCTTGCCTTTTATGCGCGGTCTTACGGTAAACATTTTCTAAATTCACGTAAAATTATGGCCAGTCAAACTTTGGAAAACCGAGTTAGAATCGTGGTAGGATCGGCCGCAAGCAAGGGTAAATAATCCTATTTTCTACAGGGATTTCCCTGGGGGAAATAGAACAAAGGAGTGATAATTTTTGTAAACTCAATACACCTATTGGGAGGTGCTCACGACAAGAATCAGACAAATCTTCAGACCAGCTATTCAGTACTGAACTACATAATGCACAAGAATTGCCACAAGCCAAGCTAGTCCAAGTAGCACGTGAAGTGCAGAACAGAGGATTGGCTAAATAAGAATTTTTAAAAGTTGCCATGCCAGAAACTAAACCACTCACTTGCTTCAGCACGAACAGTAGCCTTGGCAACGCACAGCGCCCACTGGCCAGCCATAGGCCACACACGGCCTCGTCCAGCGAGTCTTCCAAGTATTGTGTCAGGCTACGCTCAACACTCTCCCTAACATCAAAGTATTCCGAAAAAAAACACCTCACACTTATTCAAATCGTAGTCATACGTCATGTGGACATGCAAACGGACATTGGCACAAAGGGTAGGAGCACATCAATCCATGCACTCAGCCATGCACCAGGACAAACAAACACGGCCAGTAAAGTGCTTGAAGGATACGGCAACGATATGCAATACGTCAAACATCAAAACTGATTTCACTAAATATTTCGTTTTCCCGTGGCACACAAAACAATTCCAAATTGGATTTCAATTTCTTTTTCGATAGCCTTCAGTGTTTCTATGCATGTGTTCACTTAGTGAAAGAGAAAGAATGCCTACCTGATATTGGCCAGAGATTCAAACATGTGGACATAAGTAGGGTCAAATTGATCGGTTGGGTGAGTCACCTGCAGGCAAACACAAACACAAACACACACACGCGCACACACAAATGCACATGCACACACACACACACACACACACACCTTGAACCTTGAAACCTTGAAACTGCCACCTAAAGGTGATGCAGTGCCTCAGAGAGGCAAGGAGGGCAGAGTTACTTCTTGCATTTGTGTTGAGCCAGGTACTGGAGACGTGTGAACTTCCGAGAGCAGGTCGGGCATGGGATGGTGCGGCGCTCGGAGCCAGAGCTGCATGTTCTGCGGTTGCAGTTGTGCCGGTGGTGCCCAGCTTTGCTCCGGAAACAGCGGTCACAGGTGTGGCAGTGATAATGACATTGGCTGCAATCAGGTGGGCGAGGTGCAACAATCTCTGGAACTGGAGCGTCACCAAGACTGGGAGAGCAGCTGTGCACAGCAAATCCACCTCGGCTAGCAAACCAACGATGGCACGTTTCGCACAACACAGCACCGGCCTGTTCATGGATCGGCTTCAGTCGCTCTTCCCTGCATTTGTGCCGCCGAAGTCCGCTTTCACTGGCGAAGAGTCGCTCACAGATCGCACAACACACTGACTTGGCTGTTGTTTCAAGGCGTAAACGCCGTGCAACAATAGCATCCGAGATGGACTGGATCCACTCGCCACGTTCAGCTGCGAGGTCGTACCAACCGGTGTATAGACCGAACGCCTTGAGGTCATCGCGTACCACATCACGCCATCGACGCCTGGGGCCATGAGCAGGGCGTGGAGTATGGAGCCACGAGAACAAAACTGCCTTTAGAAGCCGGTGGCCGTCCATCCTGGCAATGTGGCCAAGCCACTGCAGCCGTCGACGGGCAACCATGTCAGCAACTGGCTCTGTAGCGCACATTCTATGCAGCGAGGCGGATGACAGGTGGTTCTCCCACTGTTTGGAACGCGAGATGCCGAGAATGACACGAACGCAGCGGTTGTGGAATTGTTCAAGGCGACGTATGTCGGCACGCAACAGTGTCCAGTTCTCAGCCCCGTACAACAGCACTGACAACACACAGCATGTGTACGTGTGTTGTTTTGTCTTGGATGTTAGTGAAGTGTTCCGAAAAACTGACGAGTAGAGGCTGCCAAAGGCCTTAGATGCAGCAGCTATGCGGTTGGACACATCGGTGTGGCATCGTCCGTCTGGTGTTACCACTGAGCCGAGATATGTAAACTGGCTGACATGCTGGATGGCGTTGCCTTGTACGCTTAGCGGGGTACGGTCACTGTCGTTGATCTGATGCCCAACAGCCATGAACACTGTCTTTGCCATGTTGAGAGACAGCCCGAATGCTCCACTGACCTCCGCAAATATCTCAAGCATACGCTGAGCATCCGAGTGGCTGGGTGCAAACAAGGCTGCATCATCAGCAAACTCACCATCTGTGATGACCATATCATTACCACGCTTAGATCTCTTGAAAAGCTGACCATCGGCACAGGTACGGAGTGGAAAACCAGACACTCCACGCTCTTGGACGCGTGCGCACCAACGTTCCATCACTGCACCAGCAAACAAGTTGAAAAGGACTGGTGCCATTGTACACCCTTGGCGCAATCCGTTGCACACTGGGAAGCCTTCAGTCTGATGCCTAGATTCGGCATCAGACGCAGTCTTACGGAACCAGTCCTCCTTAGCACTGCGTACAGCATCCCTTGCAGCTGAGCGCGCGCGGACAAACTCTCGCCGGACCAGAGGTGATGGATCTGCTAAAGATTTCTGGAATAGAGTGTTACGATGTGCAAGGAGAGGCTCGAGAGTGGCAGAACTGGCTGAGAACCAATCTGGCTGACGACGGCGACTCTTGCCTAGGACAGAGGTAGCTGCTTTAACTGTGGCGTCCCGTAGTGAAATCCATTGATCCTGAACTGAGGTCCCTGGTGCAGCGTCTTGCAAACAGTCGGATGAGGTATGGTACCACTCCGCCACAGTTGCTTGCCTTACTAAATCATCATCCTCTGATGCAGTTGGGTCAGCAGGTCCGAGCTGGGATACATCAAAGCGGCGGCGATCAGGGGCCTTGCTCTTTGGCGGGTAGAAACGGCGGCGGCAACCAAGTGACAACGTTAGCCCAACAAGTTTGTGATCGGTCCCACACTCAGCAGACCGGTACACACGGCAATCTGCACAGCGCTGAAAATCCCGCTGCCGGGTGATCACATAATCAATACAGTGCCAGTGCTGTGAACGTGGGTGCTGCCAGGTAACTTTATGAATGTCCTTTTTCTTGAAGTACGTATTACAGAGTCGAGAGTTGAACATGGATAGAAAGCTCAACAGTTCCTCACCAGCTTCATTCATGGTACCAACGCCATAAGGACCACGCACTTGCCTCCATGCGTCCTCTTCATGACCTGGGCTGCTGCCAACACGGGCGTTGGAGTCACCAAGTACGACGTACAAATCACGCTCCGGGATGGATAACAGCAAGAGTCCATAACCCCCCAGAGTGTGCAACTCGTGATCCTTCTCAGCACAAATCAGTGCCGCAACGAAATCCAAACTTCATACGTCATGTAGTGAGTAGCTATGACGAAATGGGAAGTTTGGCCCGGACCTACTTCGCCCGTTTGCCCAATTTGGGGTCTTTCTTTACGAATCCACGGTCAGGTATTGTACGTAACACGCCTGGAAAGGCTCAAGTACACAAAGAATTATCTTAGAGTTGTCGAACAGTTTTCTCTTTTGAGTGTCTCTCCGATAAGAGATGAACAATGGCCACTGTTGAACCTAAAGCAAAGCGCTCCCCATTGTCGCCGGAGTGCAGTGTCTCTGTGGACGATATTCGTCAGTTTTTGTTCGATCTGGGCTCCTCATTTTCTTCTCTCGATTGTCGAGTGTTGGAAATTGTTAATTCTTCCAGCACCTGGATAGAGATTTATTGCTCGAAGTCTGTGCTTCTCACATGCAATGGAACACCCGTCAATTTGAACCGTCTGGTTGTGAACCCAGCAGGAACATTCACTGCAGGTTGAAGCACATCTACTTCGAAATCGATCGGGTCTTCATGCCGTGTGCCAAGAGCTATTTCGATCAAATCTTGTAAATCTATATCCATGCCTATTCTTGCTATCCCGGAGTCACGAACTCTCCCAATACAAGCTTTTCAGACAACGAGCAGAGAAACTCTCTTCAAATAAAAAAATTCTGTGACTGTGAAATCAAAGCCGTTCTGCTGACACTGCATAGCCCGTGCAGCAAACGTTTTACGTGACACTTCCGTGGCTTGCTTCAAAGCAACCTTCAACTTGAAACCCCCGCCGGATGTACCAGATATGCACATGCCATGGGGATATGGCCCCATCCGCCCATGCTTGCCCGGGGACCGGATGACGCAATGTTTGGATTTCGTTGCGCCAGACCCCAACCTGGAGTTGCACACTCTGGGGGGTTATGGACTCTTGATAACAGACAATCACGAAGTTCGCCATAAAATTTCTCCTTTTCATGGCGAGGCCTCGCGAACGTTGGAGCGTAGCAGGAAATGACATGCAGCCACTGATCGCCAAACAACAGTTTCGCCACAACAACTCGCGAGCTGACAGCTCGCCACTGACACCCGCCGTTTTTCCACGCTCGTTGGGCCAAACCTAAAAGAACGATTGCAACTCCCTCGCCGCGATATGCGGGCATTCCTCGCTCTGTTGGGACGGGGCGTCCTGCATTTAGAACAGACGCTCCACTGATCAAATACTCGTGATCGCCGAACCATTTCGTCTCCTGAAGACCTGCGACTGAGAAATTCAAATTTTGAATTTGGTGAAGAACAATTTGAATTTTTCTGTCTTCCGCGACGGGCAAGCTTCTTTCGTGACGAGCTGTCTCGATGCTTCCATCATTCTCCACTAAGCTGTTGACGTTCCAGGTACAAAACTTCAACACAAACGCTTCGTTTCTCCGTCTCCTACTTCGTGCAAGGGGGTCTACCTGGAGGTTTGCAAAACCGTCGCAGGTGTTGTGGGTACGTGGCGGGTTGCAAGTGGCAACATCAGGCGTTGCCCCGTCATTGCTTCCCAGGTCTCCACGCACCATACCCACAACCTAGCCAGGGGTGGCCCTAGGCCACCCCTGGGGATATATTATGCTAAGCAAACTTGTGAACCAGCAGAGCTAAAAAAAAGTGCTTCCTACTCCAACTAATACAATAACTCACACACACACACACACACACACACACACACACACACACACACACACACACACACACACACACACACACACACACACACACACACACACTTCTAGATTCTGTTGGGTTGTGAAACTGCCCGTGTTCTTCCATGAGGTGAACAGCACAAACTGTCTTCGTCTTACTCTACATTGTGGCCGTCAGCATTGTGATAAGAGCATGTGGGATGTAGTGAATGGGCACTCAGTCGTTCTTATTACTCGTCCTTTTTCAGTTTGGTTCTAGTCTTCATGCTATGGTTCCCTAATTTCCTTAGTTCGTTTACCATCGTCATAGTCGGCATCATCATTTTGCCATATACATAGTAAAAATTAAAGTTACTAAATATAATGGTCCTCTGCTGGCCGTAATTTTGTCACAACAGCCCAAAAATAATATTAGCAACATCACAGCCAGTGTGCAAAAGATGGAACGTGTCAAGTTTGTCTCGTTACTTGCACCATACACTCACCATTATGACATGGCAGGTGCAGAAGAGAAAGAGCAGCGCATTGCAGTACTTGTTCTCCTGATTCCGCCAGGCATCGTGCCATGCCTGCACAGTGAGAAGGAAGAGAGAGAGAGAGAGAGAGAGAGAGAGAGAGAGAGAGAGAGAGAGAGAGAGAGAGAGAGAGAGAGACAGAGAGAGAGAGAGAGACAGAGAGGGAGAGAGAGAGAGAGAGAGAGAGAGAGAGAGAGAGAGAGAGAGAGAGAGAGGAGGCAGAGATAATGTTACTAAATTGTAGGTAATACTCGTTCATATCGTCTTCCTGTCCTACTTTGTTGCAGCACGGTGTCTATGCATCTCATACCCCGCTCCCATACACATAAAAGCGAGCTATCCGAAGTAGAATACGACGAGCAAGAATCCCTAGGCTTACCGATTGCGAGAGAGTGCGCTGCACGCGCTGGCAAATCTTGGAAAGCTGTGTAGCATCATGCATGGACAGCAGCTGCAAGTAAAGAATCTGCTGCTCGGCATCGTAATACCCAGAGAAGGAAACCTGAAACAACAATAAATTTAAAAAAAATGTTACGGGAAGCTCTGGGGCTTTTTGCAGCTTTCTTCCTTGATCTTTAATGGTACGTTCACACTCACGGGAAAGCCTTTTTGGCGAGACGAGAACACGCCACAGTTGACCACAGTCCTACGCTTCACTCTGGCTTACTTTTGAGACCCCCCCCCCCCCCCCCTCTGGGAAAAGGTGGCGAAGAACGGGGAAAGGGTGGTAAATGGCCCAAATATGGAGATAAATAGGTACATAAGATGGTACATCCACAATCTCACGTCACCTGGATAACCTCTACCAGCAAGTGAGTGAGCACGAGTGCATGCCTGCCCCCCCCCCCCCACACACACACGCGCGCGCGCACAAGCATGTGAACAACCCGAAAAGGTCATACCGCACTGTGACAGCAGTGCGATTAGCTTACATCGCGGTCTTCCTCATCTGGCAGAGCCGACGCAGATGAGATGTTCCTGAGCTTTCTCAGCACAGAGTTGTGCGACTGATACTGCACCTAAACAATCACAGCGATGAATAAAGAAAGAGATTGAATGACATCTAAAATGTTGATTATCACCTCCACCATTACACTGCACAGTGTAGTGGTGGAGGTGATAATCAACATTTTCTTCAATGGCCGAGAGCTCTGTTGCACCCCGTAATAATTTAAATGACATCTGGCACATCAAGTTCCTGGGAGGCGCCCATGTACGAAGCACCAATCAATGGCAGTCCAGAACAAAACTGGTCCAGCAATCCATCAACTTCAGCCCATTTAAATATCGATACCAGAACGCGCAGTGACACATACAAGCTCGTGCACACGCGCTGCATAAGTGGCAGTTTGTTCTAAAACGTTGACTTCAAGTGACGATAATACAGACCTCTACTCGTACCCTCTATTTCACGGTTCATTTGACCATCGTAGCAGAAATCACACTGACTTTTTTGGTGTATCACGAGTATTTAAAGTGCGGCATACTCGGGAAGAAAGGGTGAATCTTCAAGCTATTCTACTGGTCACACACTCAATATGGTTGAGCAAAGACAACAGCAAGTGGCCCCTGGGCAACTCACAGGAAAAACCAGCTTCTCTAAAGTCAGGTTACTCAGTGAAGCCTTGTCCGCCGAGCCAACCCCAGACTTGCCAATGATGCCGACAACACAGACCGGATCTTGTGGCCATTCTCTGCCGAGTTACGAAGGACGACAAACGTAGAGATAGAGAGACAGACACGAAACACACATACACACACACACACACACACACAATGTCATACCATGCACCACATGCACACATATGCACACGAGTGTACATACGAACAAACACACACACACCCATACACATAATACGCACAGTGACACACATTTCCACGCATGCATGAGAACACTAAGTCTTGAATGTGGAAAATTAGAAATTATGCTTTTTCAAGAAAGGCCTGCTAAAGAGGGAAAAGCACAGTCACCACTCCATATCGTCTCTTTGTGGACGTACTGGATATTTCTAACAGTGAATACTAACGAATTATCGCAAGGCATCTGTAGCCTCCTTCGACACAAACCATGTATTAGTAATAGGTTTGAGTGGGTGGATGCAAATTCTACCTTTCTTTGTCCTGCTTCCTCGGGGGTATAGTGAACGAATCTGCAGGCATCTTTCTCATCCACAAAACGCCACAACTACGACATAGTTGAGTTTCTCGGTCAAAGTACGGTTATAGCCTATAGGGGAACCGGCGGAGGACAGCCCAGATACTGAGATAGCAACTATGCGTTGCGTGGTAATGGCAAGCTCCACCAAAACATATACAGACACTGTGTCGCCGACAATTAGTAATAGTACGACCTCGGTAGTCAACTAGGACCCAACGGAAAAAAGGATTACTGTAGCACCTTCAGACTAGGACAACAGGCCGGTAAGTAATTAGATTCCACACACATGTAACAAAGAAACAGAAGGACTTGACTGCCTGTGAAAGCAATATCCCTTGAACAAAACAATTATGAAACTTCAAAAATCAAAACTCAACCACTTTTATAGTGATATCGTGCCACGGCCCCACGCTGGAACAGTCATGAAAAGGGGGAACTCCCTCACAAACTGTTGCCATTCCCACGTGGACTGACTCGACTGTGCATTGCCTTTTCGGGCATGCATGATGCATGATATGAGTGCATTCGAAATGATCAATTAATTTTCCTTTCATCTGTCGTGTTTGAAATGAAAACATTGAGAACGGAGAAATTTCTCTTCAAACATCTTCTGTGCTGTTGGTAGTGTTCCACGGTTTCTGACGATGGCAGGATCTTCTGGACTTGGTGTTGAGGTGTTTGTAGACGCTCTGGACGATGCGCCTTGGTGTCCGCACGGTGGGTTGGAGTCTTTTCTTTCTTGAAACCAACAATGACAGAACTCGAGATATTCAAGGACTAAAACTTAGTTGCGTTTCGCCTGGCAGTGCATGCTGTCTCCCAGGCCCAACGAACAGTTGTGTACATGTATTCCGCTGTAGTTTAAATACTTAGTAGTGATTATTTGGCTGGCAGATTATAATATTCTTTATTGTTTTTCAAGTATATGTGCAGTGTGTATTTTGTACAGGCTCTATCATACTACAATAGTATTCACTGGTTTGAGGGAAAGATGCAAATGGGAAAAGTCTGAAGAAAAGATTGACTATCACCACCAGGACTCGAACCAAGGACCTTCGCTTGAGACCAGTGTTGCAATAGTAACGAGCGTGTGAGAGATAAAAGAATGGTTCCGCCCAGTTTGTCCTCTTGGTTGCGATATCAATGGACATATTAGTTTTACTTTGAAGCATGGCTAGCTGTTCATAGAATGAAGTGGATGGATCTGTTTCCCTGGAATCTAGCTACATCTCCTGTTTTGTAACATTGAAAAATGTGGGCACAAGTTATGCGATCGAGTCCACCAGCTAAACCAGATTTTGAACAGTCAGACGTGCACAATCTAGCACAAAATTAAAAATCGCATAACTTGTGCCCACATTTTTCCATGTTCCAATTTTTTCCTTGGCTCACCATCTGATCTCCTGTTTTCATAGAAATTAGAATGTCACCAAGAGTACATGAAAACCAGAGTTTGCAGCTCGGATGGGTTGCTGTCACGGCGGAATTCCGTGATTACATCATTTTAGTGATGTGGTGCGTACAAGCAGGATTCAAGCAGGTCTCTTTCTGCACAACTGCAGCTCAGTTGTACGCACTACGCCATTTCCCGCTTCAGATCCGCGCCAAATATGATGTAATCACGGAATTCCGCCGTGACAGACACCCATAGCAGAAAAGGCCCCCAAGCTGCACACTCTGGCTTTCATGTACTCTTGATGTCACTATCTACTGTTTTCATACTATGTTACCATGGTTACTATCTTCTGCTTTGGCTCTGTATCCTAATAGGACCGACGCTACTGTTTGAACGGTTCTATCAGGAGCGAGAAGCAAGGCGCTTCTTTGCATGCTCGGCCCATCGCAAGCGTAGCGGCTGCTCCTTCTTCCAATGGGCAGATGAAAAGGAAAGCTCCGCAAAGCGAGCGATGCGCATGGAAATCTACCAGGCGTCGCGCACCGCAGAGGTTCCACACTCCACCCTCTACAGTGGCGTGAAAGCTGCACTGGAGAAGCCCACCAAGATGGCATCGGTGTGCGCCAACTGTGCATGCACGGTCCCACAGAAGAAGGACCCGGCTCACAAGGGACACACTGTCGTGGAGAGCTTGCCACCTGCAGATCTCCTTCGTCCGACTAAGTTTCTACCCGCATTGGACGATTCTAAAAGCAATGCTGTAAGTTAGGGGTTTGATTTCAATGGTTAGGATTATCGTATAGAGCTGTTGCACATCTATCTCATGACCATACGGGGCAGCCATGTTGGTTCCTACTCCACTCAACTCCTGCATCTATGGGTCACATGATGTCAGCCATGTTGGTTCCACTGTCCACATGCCGTGATCACTTTCTATATTTTGTCTCGTGACAAAGATCTGAGACCACTCAATAGGCTAATGTGTTCCCTTTTCGGTAGCCATCTGAGCAAGGGCAGCTGCAGATGTGATACATACTGGAGTATGAAGGTAGCGGCTTCACTTACTGCTTTCTTGCTTCGCAAAGTTTTGGGGTGCAGTCAGTACATTCCATGCACTATTACTTCAAATTGGAAGTTATCCTTGAAATGACATGAAGCTCAAGTTTATGACAGTGTCAGTGTCAGTGTCTGCGTGAAACCATGGAACCTGGGGTACATTGACGTACTTGCGATGGAAATCTTCTGCACTTTTTTCTCTGCTAAATTGTATCGTGTTGAGTGATTTGTGCTTGGCTTGATGTAGTCCGTCCGTGTATTTTGTCTTTGTGCCCATGATGCGCAGCAATACCTATTCGCCGGAAAGGCAGTTAGCTGCATCCTTGGTCAGCTTCACGGCCAAGGCATCCGCCATGTTGTCTGCATCGGTGCGCCTCGGTAAGTACTGCGATATTGCGGTAATGAACATGATGTATTCTTTTGCACTTGGTGGACAACACAGTTTTCATGTACTTTGAGCTGCATGTGCGTTCCAATATTCACACGAGCTGAGTTCATCCTAATATGTTCCTGCTCTATCATGTTTCACGCTTTCTCCTTTATTGCAGCATTCATGAGGCGATCACATCTGCTCGCTTCTCCAAGCAAGCTCCTCTCAGCTCCATGTCTAGTTTCTTGCTGGATTGGGACCGGCGATTTGTGAGTACAATGCCTGCTGCCAGAATATTTCTATGGCGTCCAATAACATGGTGTCTTCGATTGTGTTTGGTGAACTGAGGGCCAAAAAAAGTATTTCCAGGATGCACTGCCATCATCGCAAACTCGCATTTGATTTGCAATGAATTTTATTTATTTCGTTTTTCTTTTGCAGGCGTCTTTCTTCTCGCCAAGGGAACTTCAGCACTTCAACATGTTCAACCACCATTTCTTCAGTGGTGACACGGGTCTGGCGAGTCTGACGAAATTTCTCGGCAAAGTGTCGATGTCGGAAGTGGCTGTTGTAATGGACCCGCCGTTTGGAGGACTTGCTCGGCCACTAGTGGCATGCCTCGAATGGCTGTATGCCCTGGCTTTGGAACACTGTACGTCGTGCTACTTGTATTCATTCATTCATTCATCAGACTTTATTTGAAGGATTCTCCAAAAGTAAATGGACACTTATCGGGGGAGCTTCCTAGACGGGTGGATGGGATGAAAGGGAAGTGAAAATATCTGACGTCATTTCTTCTAATGTTAGAGAGCATCAGTGCTGTTTGTACTGTTTCTCTTACTTCTCCATTCATGCCAGGTAGTGATTTTTAAACTGTAACGTGGCATAGGTACTATGGTTGCATAGATACTAGATGTACTGTGGTTGTATGGCAATGTGACATCATAGGTTTTGCTTGACCCTTGGACTTTCTTGTGCCGTCCTACTCTGTTATTGTCACAATTCGCTAGGTAAGGATGCAGCAGAAAGCACAAAGGAAGCGCCACCTACGCTCAACAAATCAGCCAGTTCTAAACGCCAGCTTGCCACTATCTGGGTGTTTCCATACTTCTTGGAGAGCCAAGTCGTGGAAACCATGCCCAGCATGAAGATGATGGATTACAAGGTAGGCACATCGTATTTTTACTGATAATTATATGAGTGATTTATGGGTAAAGCGTTTGATTCAGTGATTAAATCGAGTAAACCATTCGATCCTACTCATATTGATAAGGGAGAGCTGTACTGTTGTTATGCTGAGAGCTTGTCAATGAATAGCATATTGCTGTGGTGCTGATCCTCCATCAGGTTGATTACGACAACCATCCCATATTCACCAGCAGTGGCAAAAAGAAAGCAGAGAAGCGCAAGTCGCCGGTCCGTCTTTTCACCAACATCAATGCCGGCTTGTTGGTGTTCCCTGCCGAGGAGGGCTACAGGTAAGGGCATGCACTATGGTGATCTCTGTAGCACTGTGTCACTGTGTGTGTGTGTGTGTGTGTGTGTGTGTGTGTGTGTTTACTGGTCTTGTTTGGCACCCCATTCGTACTCAGGAAAGCCGACATCTACATGTACATCCATGCTCTGGACTTGTGTTAATATCATGTATATGTGAGTGTGTATCTCTCAAATTATGCAATCTACTCATTCAATGCCCAGTGTTGCATCACCGGTTGTCGAAAGAACGAGGAGTAGCAATTTCGGCGGTAGAAGTAGTAGATGAAGTTTGTTGCACATACGTGCAGCTGATGCTTCTTGCCAAGTTACTTGACTTGTAATTGTGTTATGATTGTTGTGTGTGTGTGTGTGCATTTGCATGCATGTGTGGGTGTACGTCTGACGGCTCATGCATGTGTGCGTGTATGTAATAAATTATATATAATACATGTATGTTGCTTTTGCACAATGCAGGCTCTGCAAACCATGCCAGAAGTACGTTTCGGCTGAGAACCAGCATTGCGGCAAGTGCCATGCGTGCACAACAAAGGTACTGCCATAATTGATGACTACCACAGACCCTATGCCCTATTCTTATTCATGACGAGCATACATTGTAGGAACTGGGTGAGCTATTCTGATGTGCTGTGCTGGACTGTGAAATCCAGTCCCTGGCCCGAGACCTTGTAGAGTTGCTGTCAGTTACATGAGATCCACAGTTCGATGTGTGAAGAGTTGCTCGGGTTAGGGCACAGGTTTGGATTTTACTGGTCAGCACTGTACCAGCCACCGTTAGGCGCTGCATTTGCCACTGGATTTACCTGTTGTTAATGGCCGCCGTGAGTCCCCTCGGGAACAGACACGGTGATTTTTTAATTTTGTTTTACTGTGCTTCGGTCCGTTTTGTCTGTGTTCACATAACATGTTCATGGTGTGGCCCGGGTACGGAGTAGCTTAATGTGTACAGCTCGTTTTGATGCTTTATGTCTTGCTTCTGTTGATTTCCTGTGTGGTCTCCTGCAGCATGGCCCCACATACGTGCACTGTGAGGCGTGCAAAGCATGTGTGAAACCAGGTAAGCAAGCAATAGCTGGATATGAGTGTTGTAGCTGACATCGCCCATCTCTAGTGGACAATCGTGACAACCACACAACTGCTATAATACAGTGGAGCTCAGCTCATGATAAGATGTACCCCATTCTAGGAAGAGGAAAGTATGCTTCGTATCCAAACATACTTCAATATGGAGTAATTCACCGTTGGCCTGGACTATGTCCGTACCGGAAGCGTACAGACGTCCTATCAGAGTATGTTCTAGGTGGTTCCACTGCACATGCACATGTTGGTGTTTTGTCTTTGTTTGCAAGGTCTGTGCCTACCTAGTGTTTCTGTTTGACTGTCCACTAAACTACGCTGGGTTTTGATTTTGATTGTGTTGTGTGCTCGGCTGGTATCTTCCTTATCCTGACGTTTAGGTCGCGTCCACTGTGTCACCTGCAAGCAGTGCTTGCCTGCGCAACACGACTGTACAGGGTAAGAGCTTGTGTGCCCTCTGATTTCACTGATGACTATCTGCATTTACACTTGTTGTACACTGCACTTGTAGGTGTTTTGTCTTTGTTTGCAAGGTCTGTGCCTACCTAATGTTTCTGTTTGACTGTCCACTAAACTACGCTGGGCTGTTGTACATGTAGACGGCTATGCCGTTACTCCCCATGCTTTGAAAGTCTAACCGACAGTTCACGCAGCTCCGCCATACCAACCCAAATGCTGGTATTACTGCCAACACCCAGGTGCACTGCTTCCTATAAAACAAGTCTCGGAACATGCAATTCAACTGTTGCAATTGTCATGAGGGCAACAAGCAAAACGTTAGCACATTTTTGCGAGCCTTGGCAATAAGGCGGTGCAGCTGCTGAGTGTGGCCCATTCATTGTTGTGTCAATAGTATGACTTCTACAATGGGCAAATTCTCTTGTAGTTAGGATTCTCTTCACGTCTCTTTCGTGTGCCTTCTAGAGGTGTCGCAGACTCGGAAGAAGGTTCCGCTGCCACCGCAATGCCGGCATGTCATCGTTGCGGCAAGACTGGACACAAGCGTCGCCACTGTCCTGACGCTGACACGCAGTCAAGGTTTGTTCTCATCAACTGTTATCCTCCCGCTATTCCCATATGGGAAGCATGCTTGTATTCAGAAGCACCAGAGGCAATCAGTATCAGATAATGATTGCCTCTGATGACTTGTCACGTGTCCATAATAGAGATTCTCTAAGACGGACCTTACTAACACACAGTCGTGGCTGAACACAAGCAGTGCATAATGCTGCCCGTGGAGAAAAACATTCACGGTTCGCGCGAGACTTGGCTGGGAGTCGAGTTTTCCGCATCTGCAGGAACGTCACCACCCTCTAGGATCAAGGCGCAGATGCAGCTCCTACAGCGGTGGGAAGGCTTCAAGCGAGTAGATCAGACCCACCACAAAGTGGTCAAAGACCGAAAATCCCATTCGCTGCATCCAGCCCGCGGAGAAACCCTTCGTTAAAAGATGTACACTGCTACCATGCTGAAGAGAATATCGGAGACGGGCATGAGAGTTTCCTTAGCAGTCATTCTGATGGGTAGCTACCACGGCTAATTTGCAGAGTTACGCCTTTCTCTACAATCATGTAACCAGCTTTACGCATACATTCGAGATACACGGTTGAGTGACAGATGATTATCTGGAGGCGCACACTCTGGGAAGTTCTGTTACACTTGGCAGTAGATAATGCCTACTGACAGCTTGCTTGTGTTCTTTTCTGTTTGTCTGATGTTCTCAGCAGACCCAGCGCAAAGAGAGTCAAGAAATCAAAACGCTGACATGTTATGTTCATGCTTTGGAATCTATCGCTGTGAGTTGAGGACCAGCAGCATCATGAGGCTCACGACCGGATCTGCACCCCGTACTTAGTCGAGCAATGGGACACCAACCCCTTGACTCAATGCTGATCATTTCTGTAAGGTCAGCAAGTGCAACAACGTGTTACAAGTGATCATAGAAAGCCACTTGTTCAATGACATTGCGGCACACTATGAGCTAACACTATGCGTTGAGCAGGCGTTCCTGCCGTGATGTCACACTGGTAGAGTGCTATGGTCATTTTGGGACAGCCTCACAGAGCTGGCACTCTGCTGTGGGCTTTGCGTTGTACCAATGCCTCTGCTTCATTGTCGCCATGCGGACAAACATGGCTTCTGCCAGTATACTTCAGGTATATCTGCTATTCAGTCATGCCAGCGCTCTTTGTACTCGGCTCATGGCTCTCGCCTGAAGCTGACGAGTTAATTAAGCTACTAGTCAGTCTCTCCTTTCAGCCTCGCCCGAGCCCCATGTCTTATCGCAATCACTAAGCAGTGAATAGCAGCTTGGGACTGTGAATGAATGGTATCTTGTCTTGCAGTTTTAAAAGTAGACAACACATTTCGGTATGTGGCTATTTACCATGCTACAGATGCTAAGAAGAAAGTGCTAGTAAATACAAACTGCTAATCCTAGTAGTACTCTAGCGCAATGACAGCATTCTATTGCTCGTAAATTGTCTTTTCTGAGAAATGAGCACTAGAAGTCTCCTAATGTGACATTGAATAATGTTCCTAATCTTCACCAGGAAGCGTATTGATATATTATTATAGCGATCAGGGTACGCAGGGCAACAAACATTCTCTAATCCCTACAGGAAATTGTAACAAACTAGCAGAGTGCTTGGCTGTTCGAAGAATCCTACAGCAAGTTATTCATTGCTCTGTGGCGGTGTGATCTGTGTACACACATTGCTAGTCTTTGAGAGAGAAAAAACAGAACAGAATGCATGGTGGTGTCTCAATGTGTATGCTTGTAGCTATATCTGCCGGATCAGTTGTTCTGTGACTCTTCGGGATCAGCTGACGTTTGCCTGTGCACATAAAACGAACACAAACCCAGTCCATTAAGAACTTAATTGGAGTCACTCTGCAGGACTACACGGGAAGAGCTGACATGCAAAGCTCACTGAGCGTCAGCTTTCTAAAATGAGAATGTCTATCTGCTGACCATTCTGCACATGTGTGCAGATGTTCGTATGACCAAACATGTGTTTGAATACTTGGATGAGGTCTGCACGCTGAATAGGTACTGAATAGAACTGTGTCCCATTGCCTGTAAAAGAGACATTTTTCACATCAGAAAAAAATGAAAGGCCTCGGGTTTCCCTGAAAATCCTAAATGAGTTCAGCGTGTTTAGCGTCTCAGCTCGTTATATGTTGGGATTCGCTGGTACGTTGTGCCTTGAGAGACGTTAGATACTTTGGTTCAGCTAGAATATAATTTCAGCATCAACAACAATGACCCCAACAACAGCATCACGTCCAGCAGCAGCAGCAGTGGCTGGAGCAGCGGCAAACAACAGCAGTAACGTAGCTACACCAACATAACCACTGGGCCTCTAAAAGTGTTTCACGCAGACAGCTTCATGCTGGATTGAGTCAAACGTCATCAATAGCACACAGCTACACGAACAGCACAACGCATGATCAAGGGAGAATGGTGTGTTGACAGTGAATGTGTCGTGCACTGTTTCAGCTTACCGTGTTCGAGTCGGGCAGAGCTACAGACAAAAACAAAACAAAAGAAAACAAATTCTTGTCAAGACTTAGGGGCCATCCGTAATTATCGATCTTTTTCACGAAACGAAAAAGTTTCGTTTATGGGTGGGTGGGTAGCGACCGGTTTCGTTTTGAAAAAACATCGAAAGCTGAAAAAATCAATGCTCACTGCATGCATTGATGCATGCATACATTGTGTACATCGAAGTAGATCGACAGTGCAGTAGATCTACGTCGCGCGGCCAGGCAAGTGCTGCATGGATGCACTGATACCACTCTAGCTCTGTACTCAGTGCAGTGAGTTCCTTTCGTCCTCGGATGACTTCTCCGAAGAGGACCTAGCAGTCATCATGGTCATTCACTCTGGGACCGACGACAGATAGATAAATACTTCGTTCCAGCCGGCGATGCAAGAGAATTTCAAATTACGGAGCGGGCGCACGCCAAGTAAATTCTCACGCAAATATGGGGAGCGCCAGCCGCTGAAGACGATGTCGTCGTAATGTACCTGGAAGAATCTTATCGTGCTTATGGTGGGGAAGCCATGGAGAGTGATCCCCGCGTCGACAGTCTTCCAGAGACGGAAATTTAGGCCATCGACTTTCTACGTACTTCGAGTACCTGATTGACGGCAGCGCAGCGCGGCGTGCGTGCGACCTTACGGAGCTTTCCGACAGCGATTCTGGGGCGATGCTGCTCTCATTTGCGAGCGAGGCACGACCACTGCAGTCTGTGATAGCTATGACGTTTGTTTCCGCTCCGAAGTCGACTTGTTTTGGCAGTATCATGTCAATGTCGGAACTCTGACGATTTGCAAGACAATACAATTCCCGTGTTTAGACGTAGAGGTGCGAATTATTTAGCAGCGTATGTGTGTGCATGTGGTATTAAAGTGAAAATAAATGTTTCCATGGTCAAGAAGTAGTACTAGTAGAGTCTACCAGACTTCCAAGAAAACATAACCAACTTTAATACATGTACTTGCACAATCACACAAAATGTGGCCTGGCTGTGTTGTATACATGTAACAGCCAATCTACAGACAGTACTAGTACAGTAGTAGTACGGTAGATCATTTTCTGCACAAAGTCTCAAGTCAATTAATTTTTCGTTTCAGGGGGGTGGGTGGGTGGGGGTGGGTCATAACTAAACTTTTTCGTTTCGTGAAAAAGATCGATAATTACGGATGGCCCCTTATCTCACGGGTTGCAACTTACACCTACTGAGATTCAGATAGTGTGCAGACGACAAACGTTTAAAAATTACAAAACAGTAAAACATACGCACTGCTCTACAATAAGGCTCCGTACCTGGGCAAGTTGATCCAGACAGATGGTTGGAGTACTGCTGCCGAGTTTCAGCTACCGAGAACTGCACAAAAGCACCGCAGGGCACACGATAATCAGAAATAAAGATCCCACATGGCCGGCTTTGTGTACAGTGTTTTTTAATCCCGTCACTGAGTCTATACTCAATCTATAGTACGCCGAGGTAATCATTTGTACCAACGCTTACCAGATTGACGGCGTTGCTGAGCGCTTGGAAGACGTTTGACGGGGTGAGATTCGGACCTGTACCACAAAGGAGAGAATGATACCGCCACAGCAGGCATTACAGAAGGCAGTTATCACAACGGGCATCGCACCAACATATGAATCTCACAGGTTCCCCAACAAAATGAGTCTGCCTCTCAGAAACAGACTACCACAGCTATTCAACTAACTTGTCTCGAACTTAAAGGGGAAGTTCACCCTATAATCAAAACTTAACAGCCTGTAGCGAACGATGCACTGATTCCAATGGTGAAAGTCCCACGTTGATTGGAGCAACCGTTCCGGTTTGACAGAGATCCGAAAGGAATAACATGTCACATCCATGCAGCCAGCACAACTTGAACCATAAGGACCTTCATGCTGAAGCTTTAACTGCTGAACTATGGTGTAGTGAGCCTAACTTACACTCGCTTATTTCAATGCAGGCGTTTCCACTGCGTACAAATCCTGGTTGACACTGGCATCCTGGCACACAGTAGCAGCATTGCTGTGCGGCATTGCGTGCCGTTGATAGCAGTGCATTGCAGGTGAGCGGACACGACGACGCACATCTCGAGTAGCTCTCATTCGTGCTGCATTCTGAGATCGGAGGAAAAACAGATCAAATGCGGCACAGTACAAACAGTTAAAACAGCCCGGATCGCCCTGCATGTAGTCGGACTCAACAAATACTAGCATGTTGTGTCCTGTTGTGGTGCTATACAATACAAGACAGTTCTCAATATACACATGCTCCACTGTAGCCATCCCTTATACCATAGGATGTTTGTGGTATTGCTCCATCCTTGTGGCGTTGAGCATTCTAGAAATCTGGGAATTCCCCCCGCTACTGTAAGCATATGATAATGAATGGTCACGTGGTTACAGTACAATGGGACACAACGGGACACAATGATCACATACCATAAGAAAGAGTTTGAACCACTGCCACCGGGCTGAAAGGACCTGCAACACCACCGACCACAGGTTGCAGTCGTAGTTGATAGCGTGTGTTAGGCGTGAGGCCATTCAGCCGGTACGTCGTCTCTGCGGGCGAGGCGTAGGGCAGGCGCCGGAACACCTCCGTCCAGTGCTCGCTCCACCAGCCGGTCGGCTCTTGCGGTCTGAACCACAGCACAAAGTGATCAGCCACCGCAGCCGGCTGCCTGTCCTCCTCAGGCAAGTTGATCATCAGGGACATTGACGTGGTGCCACTCTCCTCAACAGCGTACTCGGGCCAGAGTGGCGAACCTGCCAGCACCACAAAAGCATAACACGTTATAGGCAAGGGTGCAGATTACAACAAGACCTGCCATTGAGCAGTATGCGGCTGTGAATGTTTGTTGCTACCAGCTGCCAAATGTTTGGCATGGACAGGAACTGGTATAAGCAAGTTCACTGTTGAGAACTGTGACATCCTATAGGAAATGTGGACACTGATCTACGAGTATGAGTGCATGGTTGCATATATTAAAGGGCTATCGGGAAGCTTGTCAAAGCTGATCAGTTATATCACTTTATGTTCATGGAGCAACAGTCACATAGCCCATGCAGGTAAGAAAAGTGGTCAGCGTGATAGTTTTGCAAGGGTACGGAACTGGCAGAGGTCTATTCAGGCAGTGTATAGCTAGAGCTAGACTTGAAATGCCAAAGTGTACTCACAGCATAGACTCCAAGCTGGCTTACCTCTGGCAGCGGTTTTTGCAGTGCATACCGGTGTCAGGTCATCGTTCCGATCCTCACTCATTATCAGAATCTCATACTCTGTGTCGGGCTGTAGGTAGCCAACGATGATCTCGTCATTGGAATGGCCAGAGAGACGACTCGGGTACATTGTCCACGGCTGTCCGGCAGGCACACATGACTGGCCAGATCCTTTCTCCCTGTAGGCAATGGTGTATGTACCAGACGTGCTGGATCCTGGCGAGCGCAGTGTGACGGTGGACAGCGTGGCCTGGGATGACCTGGTACATCCACTTGCTGGCCATGCCAGAGTGCCTGCAGGTGTCCAAAGCAGAGTGTGAGCAACATGTCGTCAAGATTTTGAGATGGCATAACCCATGCCCATGGTGAATGTGACAGTACGCTGACAAGACCTTTAGATGCTCTCTACCCACTATTGGCTCAATTAGCACGGGGAAGTCCCAAGGGCACAGTACAGGCTGTCTATCCGTGATGCAGAAAGTGGAGAGTGGATTTGAAGTCATACATTCGCGTACACTCATCCCTCAGTTATCCGGACACAGAAGTTACGCGCACTTCGCCCGGGTCTACCGAAAATACTTTGGGTGAGTTTTAGTGGAAATAAATTTACTAATCTGTTGTCATTTTTCGGGGAAATAGTGATGCCACATCTCTGGTCTTCCCCATCAAAACCTACATGAATATAATTACGAAATATGGACATTTCAGTTCTGGGCAGCACCCTGTCCCGGACCACCTGGACAAACGAGGTATGCGTGTAGTACATCCATGGCATGCACCTACCTGATGATGGAGTGTGCACACTTATCACTCTGCTGTAAGCGCTTGGTTGACGGGAGCCCGGCTTGGCAATCCGCATCCGGAACTCATACTGCCTGTCGGGCATCAGCGGGGAGACAGTGGTCTGCGCGGCATCGCTCGTCGACACAATGCTCCAATCACTCCAGCTGCCGGATGGGCTCTGCGAGCGCTGGCTTAGCTCCACCTGCCGCTGATGTTGGCGGCCGTGATGTCTGCCCCTCGGCAAGTTCAGAATGACATAGGTCGGAGCTGCGGTCACAACAGCTGATCTGGGCCATGCTGGTGTGCCTGTATGCGTGAAATGAACAAACAGTGTGAGAAGTGGCTTCCTGTTATCCAGCTGACTCATCAATGTGATACTTACGTAACTAGAGGCAAGTTTCTATGGCAAGCACTGTGTTCTCCCGAACACAAATCGCACCTTTTTACGCTAAGCTTCAAGGGCGGAAAAGGGGTGCGACGTACAATCTAGTGTGACATACATCCTACCTATGTGAATATTTTGAAACAATAATCCTGGCTCAAAACTGGAAGTGGGGATGCGACTTATGATCTGGGAAATGCGGTAGACATGCCTGTCCATCATCACTATGCATAAGTCATGCAACAAAGAGGTCCAATCCGACCAGTAAGCAAGCACTTAGGACGCACACATGATGCGGGGAAGGAAAAGGCAACCAAATGCCAAAGACATTTCACAAAGAACTAGGCAAAACGCACTGTCAAATGTTTCAGCTATGGTGGTACCCGATCACCTTTCACTCTGTACAGTACTTGGCAAGAACCTAGATCATGCTATTCACACTTGCCTGTATACGGAGTACTGAACTCCAGTATGTTTGTTGACCTGCTCTCGCCAGAAGCCGACATGTAGTCAACCCGCACTTGGTAGTTGGTGCCTGGCTTGAGATGGCGCAGGTTAGCCTCTAGCATCGCCGTGTTCGTCAGCCGCGGTCCTGCCCTCCAAGCAGACCACAGCTGGTTCATCAACTGCGCACGGTACACTAGTCTTCGGCTTGCGGCAGTCTGTGCCGGCAGCGTGATGTGCACTGCCGTCGGAGAGACAGTCTCCGCGCTTACAGCATCCGTGTCCCACAAAATGTCACCTGCACAGGAACCACAGCATGAAAGACCGTTAGAAGAATGGACGTGTTTCAGTAGAAACTGCTGGAAGCACCACCAGTCTTCCAATAATATAATGAGCTGTAACCGGTAATATTTTTTCACAGAGAAGGCGGAGAGCCCGAACGTGCCGGTTTTCAATGTTTTGAGTTTTGCCCGTATAAGAGGCTGTTTTGAGTTAAGAGAAAGAAGAAGCTGTAACCGCCTACTAACCGGTTATCACGGAGCAAAAGCTCAAAAAAGAAAAGAAAAAGAAAGAAAGTCAACAAAAGTGAAAAAAACAACAAAGTGAAAAAAACAACAGCCGTCCCCGGGTGGGCTTGAACCACCAACCTTTCGGTTAACAGCCGAACGCGCTAACCGATTGCGCCACGGAGACCTGTTTGTGCAGCAAGAGTAGCCTGATCATCTTGTGCCAAAAGAAGTCTCACAATGAAACCGAGATACATGTACAGGGTGGGTACCCGGGACATGCAGCCCTTGCATGAGATTACTCACCTCATGTACAGGGTGGGTACCCGGGACATGCAGCCCTTGCATGGGATTACTCACCTGGTAGAGGGACACGCAGTGGCTCAGTTGCAAGGCCATCACCCGTACTAGCCACTACAACTACAGCAGAGGCATTGCTGAGACCTGGGATGGTGAACGTTGGATCCGACAGAGCAATGCTGGACAGTTTTATCTTCTCACTCAACTCGCCGGACGCTCTGTCAACGATACGATAGTCAACGGTGTAGTTGGCAGCATCAAGTGGTGCGCTGATAGTGGCCGAATCCTCGGACTGACACACTACAGGCGTGCTTGGCCAAGAAAGCCCTGTGAAAGGAAAAATAACAACAGCGACCAGCACCATGGCCACCAATAGAACGTAAGTCACGTTGAAGAGGCACAACTACGGAAGATATCAATATCAAAGACAATACCAGAAAGAGAAGTGGTGAGCGCACATGCTCTTTCCCTGGGCACTGCAAAATTCACAACTCGTTTCACAGAATCAACGTCAGAAAGAGAAGCTGTATCACTGGCAACGAAATGTCCATACGTCAATGTCTCAATGAGTAAGAAATGACCTAAAAAAGATGAGCAGAACATCAAGACAAGTGGACTATTCATGCACATACACATATAGCCAATAGAGGTGCGTGGAGCCAGTCAGACAAATGCACAGCAAATGGGTACTGCGTATACGTAACAAAGGGGGTGTTGTATGCATTATCGCGTGCGCACAGCAAAGGAGTACCGTACGCATACCGGTACATACTTGTACAAAGTGCTGCCCATGTACATGACTTGTGCTAGTGTCTGCAGGTTCAAGTGAGAAATGACATGTGTGGAGAACACTGGGTGTGAATCCCCCCTCCCCAGATTCTCTGTGAGCGATCAGAGCATACCACTTCCAGTGTAAGGCATTGTACAGCTCCAGCAAGCGACCTACCAGGACCATCAAGCTCAAATTCTTGCTCCGGCTCCACAACAACATCATCTACGGTGGTATCCATTGGTTCCACCACAACACGAATGTCGTAGGTTCCGGCTACCAATAGCTCTGGAAGTACAATCTGAGAAGATCCAGTAGGTACAGGTGCTCTAACCCAGTCTACTTCACCACTGGGACGGTATTCTACAACAACAGGGCCAATGTCCTTCATTGTTTCATTCAGCTCTGGAATATTGACCAGCACTTGACTTCGACCGGGTGTTGTTGTGGTTGTGTTGACTTCAACCAATGGCTTCTCATCTGCACACAAACACATACATACGTATTCAGGTATGGCCGGAAAAGACTTGTTTGCTACATTGCTGTGCGATCATTGAACAATCATACATATTCATAATTATACATGTACATACAATGTAGGTACGCACATATGTGCATGGTCACGCACATATGTGCATGGTCACGCACATAAACACACTCATAATCATTGCTGTTGTAATCATTGTAATCATTGCTGTCTGATGATCGACACAGGCGTGAAACTCTGAGTCACAGCCAACCCAAGCTCCGTATCCCATTATATTCTTTTTGTATGAAGTTCTCAGTGCACCCCGGTCCATTGAGCACTCTTTCGAGGACCACACCCAACTTTCCGTGTGTAAACACACTCATGCGTTTGCAATGGAATAAGGCTGTAGCAATGTTTGTTGTTACTCCGCTTGCCATGGTTATTCAACTAGTCTTCAAACAATGATGATGCTTGCAAACACGTTGCAAATTTGCAAACTTGTGTCATCTGGCTCTGCCCTTGTGGTATCGAGCATGTTTGCAAGTAATTAGCAATTTAGCATACACACGTCGAAAATGGAGGTGGCTGATTGGAAGGAGAGTTATGCGGAACAAGTGGCTAGTAACAGTGAAGGCATACAGCATCGAACAGTCGAACTCACTTAGTCAAGTTAGTGTGGCGGGGGGGGGGGGGGGGGGGAGTACTCCGATAAGACATACTCTTGCCTAGTACAGTACGGATCAATACTGAAGTATGTTCGGGTGAGAAGTAACTTGAATGCTAAGAACACTTTCCTGCCGCCCATGTGGGTACGTTGTATGATTGTATCCTAGTTCTATCCGAGCTCTACTGTATTAAAGTACATGTGTTATTATTGCCACTCCAAAGTAGATCCAAAGCAGATGTTCTTGTTACTCACCTTTCTCACTGGTTATAACAGAAACTGGTGCAGTTGTCATTATCGGTACGGTTGTTGGCATTGTACGAGGTGGACCCTCTGTGCAGCAAACATGTACACACAGCGAGCGAAGCATAGCATTATGCATGACTACGGGATACACTAGTCCTTTCTACTTCTGTCCGACATTTCGTTGCATTCAGTAGGTGTTGTAGACATCACGCGTGTACGTAACTAACAAAGAATCTTGATATAAAAAGAGAAACCCTGCCGACCAGTACATATTTAGTCATACCTCTATTCAGTGGAGCCTAGCAGAAGTGTTTGCTAAGGAACGATTTTAGATGTACCTTTAAAAAGGAATATTACAGCACAGAATAGAACTATTGACAGACACCACCCAACATACCGTAGACGACGGTAGCGGAACCAGGCAGAATATTGCCATCTGGGTCGCTCACTTCGCAAGTGTAGACACCGGCGTCGGATGACTCAGGCCTGAAAATGGTGAGCATGTCACCGAACTGGTCGCTTATCATCACGCGCTGCGTTGGCAACTGGCCGTCAGCTCGGCGCCATTTATACAAAGCAAGAGTGACATTGGGCTTGTCGTGAGCACACGTGAGTACAAGCGCTGGAACGCTCGCATTGACCACTACGCGGCTCGGTGATACGACCGCGTTGAATTCTGTGAACAAATTGGAAAAAAGAGATATCATTTGAGATGTGTGTACGCACCGAGATAACACTTTATGTAAGTGCATGCAGGCAAGCTCGGGCAGTGACAAAGGCCGAGTAGCTTTTGATAGACCAGAAGAGACGTAGAGAGAGAGAGAGAGAGAGAGAGGGGGGGGGGGGGGCTGTAAGGCCGAGAAAGCAGTTGGATCAAAGTTACATACCTTGATAAACAGTGGTGGGCAGCTGCTCAGTGGTCACCACTTCTGAAAGAAAAATATCAAAAAAATCAAGAAAAAAACAGAGTCATGTGCAAACAATATCGACACACACTGCCACGTCTCTATGCATCAAGTACGCTAGCAGAAAAAAACCCAGATAGGTGCACGGTTCAAGTAGAGAACAATGGATATGAAACACAAGCACATCAAACTGACATGTCTAATGATTCAAAGACAGTAGAACGGCAATTATACGAACATCGACTACAAAATTGTAGCCTGACCAACGAATATCCGACATGCCTGTTTTCACTGAATAGAAAAGACAGATACGAGTTTCGCTGATTCTCCCACCGGCAGCACCTTTTAAAATCATGCAAAGGATGTGTGGCAGCTGTTGCTGTCACCATGTATCCCCATTTTGTCATTTCGAGGAGCTGGAGTGAGTCTAATTCCTGTGGTACTGCCAATGAGAATGAGAAACGATGAAAACACGGGGCACGGATTATCATGTCTTAGACGTGTGTGTGTGTGTGTGGCAGTTGCCATATCCAAAACCTACTCCTCATATGAATCCCATGCAGACACCGCTGCCCCGAGGGGTGCGGATAATCGGCACTCTACTCTACATGTATATGCATGAAACTCGGAGTCGCAGCCAAACAGTTTCAATTTGTTTTCGGTACGTGTGCTTACACATTACGCACTGCAGCGAGCACTGTCGTGAGCTACCATAATTCGCTTCAAACGCGGTATCCAACTGACCTGTAGGTGTTGTTGGCTCCTGTGTCGTAACCACCATACTGGTTGTATCTGGCATATCAGCTGTGGTCGTGACAATAGCGGGCTGTGTTGTTGCCGTTGGTGGCATAGTAGTGCGTGCTGGACCGACTGCATACAGTAGACACACAGCACACATGCCCATCACAAGGCCACAGGGACTGTACGTCAGAAAGCCACCACACTGAATTCAACCGACAAGCCGAACTTCTGTTATAGAGAGCTCCATGGACCCCAGCCTGCATATCGAGCACTGTTTTGAACAGTGTAAGTTGAACAGTGTAAGTCGACTACTGTGCATCCCACAGTATGTTGTATGTGAGGTCGTTCATACTGAAGTAACTTTTTTCTATGCTATGTAATTTGTTGTATTCGATGCTTGGTCCCACCCCTGAACCCAAGACCCACGTTCGGGTCGGGGGAAGTATGCTCAATTCATCAGCCCGCTGCTCCGGCTCCCCACGGAATTGTTTCGTCTTCCCCTTGGTTCTGTTTTCTCATTACGTTCTCTGCTGGACTGTGCACTTTGGTATGTAAAAAAAACTGTCATGGTTGAGGGTACTTACCAAACTGAACCTGGGCAGTTCCACTGTAAAACATCACATCTGGTGCTTCGACTTCGCACACGTATTCTCCACTGTCCGATGGTTCAGGAGTCTGGATGCGCAGGATCTCGCCGTCATGACCCATTACTTGGTGACGTCGCTCATCAAGCGGTGTGCCGTCCTGCCGCCTCCATGTGTAGAGTGGGTAGGTGATGTTAGGTGCATCGTGACTGCACGTCAACACAATGCTGTCTGTACTGGCATTGGCCATCGCCGAGGATGGAGATATGCTAGCAATGTAGACTGCGAGTACACCACAAACAGAAACAGAAACACACAGCTGTGAAAACCCCCACAATACCTAAGCAGCAAAGCCGATGTCAGGCACAAACTATGAAGTGGATCACAATACGCAAAACCATGGTCTTTAACTAACCTGCAACTACTGGTTCTTCAGTTGTTGTTGTTGTTGTTGTTGTTGTTGTAGTGGCATTGATTGGCTGTGTTGTTGATGGTTGAGGTGCTGTAGTGCGTGCTGGATCTACTGCAACACACATGCACGCCCGCAAGCCCGCCCGCGCACACACACACACACACACACACACACACACACACACACACACACACACACACACACACACAAGCACACAGACACGGACACACACACACACACACACACACACACAGACACAGACACAGACACAGGTGTTTCCACACAGACTTCACTTCAGAATGTCAGCATTAACTGCCAGTTGGCTAGTATTACTACAGAAATAGCAAGAGGATTTAACTGGCGCTCATTCTCGGCCCAGCACGTAACCCTACCGATGAGCAACACAGTGTTGTAAGCTGATACAGGAGTAAGAAGAAACATCAGTGCTTCAGCACAGATGGTACCCCCCCCCCCCCATCTCACCCTGCCCTACCCCTACCCCTTTTCCGAGGTCAAAGCACTTTACTTCCACACTGACTGTACCTCATCACCTCATCCTTCCCTACCCCTATATCGAGGTCAAGGCACATCCCTTCCACACTGATTGTACCCCACTACAGCACCTCAGAGTCACTCTCCCAACCCTTCCCCTGTTTCGAGATTAAAACACATCACTACCAGTAAACTACTTGGAACATTTCCACCTTCGACCTACCGGTAGCATCAATCACAAATTCTTGCTCCGGTTCCACAACAATATCATCTACAGTGGTATCCGTTGGTTCCAGCAGAACACGAATATCATACGTCCCATCCGCCAGTAGCTCTGGAAGGACAATCTGAGAAGATCCAGTAGGTACAGGTACTCTGACCCAGTCTTCCTCGCCACTGGGACGGTATTCTACCACAACAGGACCCGTGTCTTTCATTGTTTCATTCAGCTCTGGAATATTGACCAGCACTTGACTTAGTCCGGGTGTTGCTGTTTCCGACAGGACTTCGACCAATGGCTTCTCATCTAAATTAGACACACGTAGACATAGTAGCAAGTACTGTAAAAAAAATTTAAAGTTGTTCCAAGCCTCTTCTTGTACGGGCAAAATAAACACAAGTGCAAGGTGAACAGCTTAGTACAGAGAGAACATGAGCTGAAATGGCTGTGAAAACAGTCTTATACGGAGGAAGCTAAGAGCAAGTACTGTAAAACATGTATTTTTAGGCGTGCTAAAATTTCGGTGTCAGCGACCTGGTGGGTTTCAGGTGTAACTTAGAATTAGGTGACACACATTCCCCTCACGTACAGTACACACTCTTGTGCCACTTGGTGTAATCTAAATGTAGGTGCCTGGTATTTCTACCGAAATCACCGAAAGTAAAGTTACACCGAAAATAACCTGTTCTACAGTAGCATAGTAAACAAAGGAAAGAAAGGTTTCAGAGCAGACCCGCTCTCTTACCATTCACTCTCGGCAAAACTGCCCTCAACAGATATGCATACCTGATGAGGGCAGTTTTGCCGAAACGTTGTTAACATTGATTGAGAAATGAGTTCGAGTTTGCAGAGTGAATGGGAAGAGAGCGAGTCTGCTCTGAAACCTTTCTTTCCTATGAATTAAGCTGCAGGAAGCCTCACCACTGCTACATAGTAAACAAAACTACAAGAATGCAACGAGAGCACATGTAATGCCAGATAGTTTTCTCTGCTTACCTGTCTGACTAGTAAGAACAGCGTCTGATGGAGTTGTCATCACTGACATGGTGGTTGCCATTGTACCGGTTGATCCTCCTATGCAGAACATGCACAAACGCACAAATTGACGTTGATTACTGCAGAATGACTGCGGACTCACACACACAGAAACACAGCGACACACACACACACACACACACACACACACACACACACACACACACACACACACACACACACACACACACACACACACTTGTACTTACTTACTCTATCTTGCTTTATTCTTTTTTTTTGTACTTGTTGCTCACTGCCAAAACTGGTCACGTGAGTCCCCCCGGGAGAGGGGAGAGAGACTCAAAAGGAATCTTGGAAAGATGACTCAATTGGTTATTGAACCGCCCAACGGCCGACACCCCCTGAAATCCCCAAAACTCTGGGTGGACTTGAAAATGATCCCACTTATGGGCTCACCACACCTCAGTAAGTGGGTGAGGACAAGGTGCAGAAAAAGGATTGACGGCATCAGGTATCCGTCCCGGGATCCAACTGCAGTTACCCCTGCCCCCAGTGAAGGTAATATTTGCTACACACACACACACACACACACACACACACGTGCATACACCATTGGACCATTGGATGCCCATCGCCGGAGGCGATGATAGCGATGCTACAGCAGAAGCCATAGCAACGTGTGCTGGGATTGCACCATTCAACAGCTTGCAAGGCTGAAGAATTGGCCGCCACTATTCAGCCTGGTCTACACCACACAGCTGTGAAGTGGCTTTTCCTGGCCAGTGAATTCCTACTTTTTGGTCTTTTTATTTTTTTTCCCGCACACACATCACACCACATACTCCGGCATGCACTGGCTGTTGGTAACCACCCAGGAGAATGAAAGAAAAGTCAGGAAGAGGCTGAGAAAGAGAAGAAAGACATGTGTGACCATAATCGTCGGGATACCACTGCACCATATGGGACACACACACACACACACACACACACACACACACACACACACACACACACACACACACACACACACACACACACACACACTCCAAATGTAGTGTTTTAATTGATCGCATCTCGACAAGGTCATTTCTCTCCCAAAAGCAATTTATCACTTCTGCCAAGTTGAAGCCAAAGCGACATACAAGAGAGCTTGTAGTTGGGAGATGCACTTTCGGTTTCTGGACCTCTAAAATGAAAATTACAATTCTAACACTGTGCATTGTTCAACTAATCATAACCCGAACCATCCCCCCCCCCCCCCCCATGAAGAATGCATTGCATGTTCATAGGCCCTCAACTGAGTAGATTACTTTGCAGAATCGCTGCTACAATTGGATGAAAACATCAACAGGCCTGCACTATCATGCTGTACTCTGTGTATGGGTCTATGCATGCTTGCATAACTATACCACCCAACCAACATTGAGTGTCCTGGCGAGAAGTTATGTATTCGTGCACCGAATACACAATTTGCCTTGTGTGCAATCATCTTTTCAATGCTAGTAATGAGTGCGTCAAACATTGCCACAACCACCTTATAGTCACCTGGTGCTGGCTATGAACACAGAACAAGAAATCATACTCACCTCGTGTTGTGGTTGCCACTGCACTGAATACCACTTCTGCAGATCCCGGTCCAATTTCAGTGGATCCACCACTATCTACACTGCATACATAGTTGCCTGCATCTGATGCAATTGGTTCCTGGATAGTTAGTACTTCTCCACTAAAGCCACCGATCTCAAATCTACCCAAAGGAAGATCTCCGCCATCCGCAAGAGTCCAGCGATAAGTCACGAATAACGCATTGGGATCATTGTGACTGCATCTGAGCACAAAATTGTTGGTGTTAGAATCAAACTCCACTCTTGAAGGGGACACCGTGGCAAAAAAGCCTACATCAAATCAAAGGGAACAGAACAAACAAGAAAGTGATCGTCAAACCTCACTAGCACAAACTATACTCGATCTGCCTTACTGAGGACTACGAATGGAACACCCCCCCCCCCACACACACACACACTCACCTGCTCGCGTGGGTGGCACTGTTGTATATACACGTTCTTCTGTGGTAATCCTTGGGGCTGAACTACCTGCAATTGGTCTCGTTGTTCTTCCATCATCAACTAAAACAACACAAAAATGGAGCAATCACAGACCGGCATGCAATATAGATAATCACCCACCTCCAATGTCACCGCTCAGCTTCAGCAAGCAAGTTGGATGCAGTAAGGGCGTGAGATAACGCAAGTAGCTTTGCACCGTCACTTTCCCATTAGCAGGTACACAGACTATACTGGATGAGAGCTATTCGCTTGACAACATAACTTAAAGTTCAACAGGTCTTTTTAACCCGTCTTATTTTGGAGCAGCTCCCAACCCTACTCCGTGCGGCGAATAGTTAGGTCCACAATGCGATTCCCTAGCAGGGTCCTTAACTGGTTTAGCTAGCCCCATCTCCACGGCCAGAGCAAGGTAGTGCAAGTCAAAAACTTTATTATACAGTTCCCACACTATCTTACCAGAAGCATCAACAATAAATTCTTGCTCCGGCTCCACAACAATATCATCTACAGTGGCATCCGTTGGTTCCAGCACAACACGAATATCATACGTCCCATCGGCCAGTAGCTCTGGAAGGACAATCTGAGAAGATCCAGTAGGTACAGGTACTCTGATCCAATCTTCCTCGCCACTGGGACGGTATTCTACCACAACAGGACCCGTGTCTTTCATTGTTTCATTCAGCTCTGGAATATTAACCAGCACTTGACTTAGTCCAGGTGTTGCTGTGTCGGACAGGACTTCAACCAATGGCTTCGTATCTAAAGCAGACACACACGGAAATACCGGAAGTAGTAAGCAGCATAGCAAACAAAACTTTAACAATACACTGGGAGCACATGCAAAGCTAGATATGCTTCTCCGCTTACCTGTCTGACTAGTAACAACAGTGTCTGATGGAGTTGTCATCACTGACATGGTTGTTGGCATTGTACCAGGTGATGCTGCTGTGCAGAACACGCACATAAACACAAATTGACAGTGAAAACTTCAGAATAACCCGAACCATTCCCCCCCCCCCATGAAGAATGCATTGCATGTTCATAGGCCCTCAACTGAGTAGATTACTTTGCAGAATCGCTGCTACAATTGGATGAAAACATCAACAGGCCTGCACTATCATACTGTACTCTGTGTATGGGTCTATGCATGCTTGCATAACTATACCACCCAACCAACATTGAGTGTCCTGGTGTGAAGGCATGCATTCGTGCACCGAATCCACAATTTGCCTTGTGTGCAATTGTTGTGAGTAGTGTAGCTGCATGCTGTCGGCACGTGTTTGCCTGGATACGGGATACTGCTAAGATTACGTGTCCGTGCCTGGGTTCGTGCCTGGGTCCGTTTTTGGTGATAACTCGTGGCCCTGCGCCGTTTCCCAGTCTTCCGTTTTTGGCTGTAGTCGTCGCAGCTCCTCGTGCTAGATCCGTAATTATTCTCTCTCTCGTGGTTTCTGCCTTTTTAGTACTCTTGTCGTTTCACCCTGTACCTTTCCTTTGTCCCCTTATCCGTAATAAGAGGCCAAGTAAGAATACGTGTTTACCCGAACATTCAAGGTGCTCTGTGTTGACTGGTCACGGGGGGCTCTGTCTGACTACATTTGGCGCCCAATTACGGCTCGAACCCTCGTCAAGTTCTCTTCTCTACCATACCGTCTACGATGCAACGTTTCTATTATGAACCAATGCCGGTCACTCTTCAGCTCCTGTTCGAGTAAGTACCGTTTTTTTTTTACTATTCCGAGTTTTGTTGCTGTTTGTTTTTTGCGCCGTTGTGCTGCTTCGTTCTGCGTCGTTCCTCTCTCTGTTCGCCACGCCGCCGGTCTTATCTTCCTGTGCGTTGCGGTGTGTATCCATGCGTGGCTCCTTGTCCTGTGGCTGTAGTGTCCTGTCTGGTGTGTGCCCTGTTCGGTACTCCCACTCAGCTTTAGTGTGGCGTTTTGGGTTTGTGGGGTTGTATAGTTTTCCACGTGGCTGTGACATTCATCGTTCGAACCTGCTACACTGTTTTTCTGTTTTTCCAAAAAAATTCATTGTACACTGTTGTAGCATACGGCACGTATCTTGTTTACTCCGGTGTTCTCAGTTAGGATTTTGAAAATGACTACGAGTGGCAGTGCTAGCTCTGGTTCGGGTTTGTTGTCTGTGACGATTAGTGAGCCCACTAAATGGCTGATGCCCAAACCATTTGGGGGTACCTCTACGGAGGACCTCCAAGCTTTTTTTACCGATTTTGAAATGTGTCTCGAGGCGAATGGTTTTGTACATGTCCCGACTGGGAACCAAGACACTGTTGATACAACCAGTCGTAGCAAGATGACCTCTATGGCGGTGATCATGCTGAATAAAAGCTTAGTCGGATCGGCCGCATTAATGTTGCAGTCGATGAGTGCGGCCGATCGAAAATCTCGTGCTGAAATCGAGCAGGCCCTGAATGCGCGTTTCGGTGATTCAGGCAAAGAGCTGTTGCGACAGGTAGAACTGCAGGCTCGGAAGCGGAAACCGGGTGAATCACTCACAGAGCTGGCTGACGCCCTGCAGGTGTTAGTGTCGAAAGCCTACCCGGACGCGCCTGCCCAAATTGCGAATGTAGTAGCTGTCCGGTCCTTTTTGGATGCGCTGCCACCAGATTTTGCACGTCGCATTGGTGACCATGAGCCGGCGAATCTCATGGCCGCCACCCGCAAGGCAGTTGTGCTCGAGACGCGAGATAAACTTCAGCAGGATACCGTAGTGGTAGCCCAGGCAAGCGCGAAGCCAACAGGGGACACTCGTCTCTCCAAATTAGAACAGCTTAGTGCCACGCAGAGCAAACTTTTAGCGAAAATAGCAGAGAGGCTCGAGAAATTGGAGACGTCGTCCCAGAGGCCTCCAGTCCGCCAGGCTCGGTCCGAAGTCACGTGTTTTGCTTGTGGGGAGTTGGGCCACTTCTCATGTTTTTGCCCCAACAAGTCTAGTGCGCAAAAGAGTGAGAAACGTGATTCGCAGAAATCTTTAAACGAGTAAGGGCGTCCGGAGAGGGTCTTCCGGTCGCCCCTGCCCATTGTCCTGCGCATGTTGTGGGGAGTGACCCTGTCCAGCCCGCCCTGGATACCGATTCTGAGGCTGTGGTTGGCAGAGCGCTCCCAATCTTTGTTGATGATGATGATGATGTACCCAATGTTTGTTCGGAATATGTGGATGCTGTGGATGTGGTGTGTGCTATTTGTGCATTCCATCACACTCCGGCGGAGTCCCACTTTTGTACTCCACCTGGTGTTCCGCTGCCTCCTCCCCTGCCACCGCCGATCGAGACCTCAGATTCCCTCCCGGTGGGTAGTGTTACGCCTGTCAGCGAGGGTGTGGCGGTCCACATTAACAGCGCCGGCACCAGTCTCTATGCTGCAGCCCGGGTAAGCGTCTCGAACCGGAGTTGTGATCTGTCTTGTTTAGTTGACACGGGGGCTGCTGTGACACTGATCGATTCTGATGTTGCTTGTCGACTCGGTGTAGAGTCGGTACTAGGTCCTGCTAGTGATTTGGGGGTGTCTGCCCTTGTTGGGGCGGGTGGGACCCACCTTGATGTTAAGGGTTCTGTGACCGTACAGCTGACCCTAGGTGATATTGTTTTGTCAACCCCTGTCCTTGTAGTAAGGGGCTTGTCTGAGTCTTGTTTGTTGGGCGCCGACGTACTGGCTGCCCATGGTTTCTCGCTCGTACTGAGTGGTAAGCCTCGGCTGTGTCTGGGTGAACACGTGGTTCCATTGAGTACAGGCCGTGGCGTGGGTACCCCATATGCGGTGGGGTGGGAGGATAGACTCAATCCCCGATGGGTGTGGGTAGGGTTTTCCTCCATTGTATTGTGCTTGCTGTCAATGATGGGAGACGCTCGCGGTCTCTTGGCAGTCAAGTTAAGTGTAGCTTTGTGTTTTGTGTTGTTGTTCTGCTCTCGGGGGGTGTTCACGTCCGTTGTTCGGCCCTGGGGCACGGGTCCTTTGCAAACCTCTCCGGTTAACTCTCTCCCAGCGGCCCCTCCTCCACCTGCCCCTCCTGAAAACATGTTTGTCGCTTTGACGTCCGCTGTTGAGATTCCACCTTGGTCCCATCGTACTGTGGACGGGCTGACTAATGCCCCTCCGGGTTTGACCGTGCTGACGGAACCATGGTTAGATAAACCAGCAGAATACACCCTTCCCCGTGCTATCTGTCGTGTAACTGCTGCATCTACTGTGCCTGTGTGTCTGACGAATTTGTCTTCTATGCCTGTTCTTGTCGAGTCTGGTATCTCGGTAGGGCAGCTCCTGCCGGTGGAGGACCCTCGGTCGGCGGCCCGGATGGCGGGAGTGCAGGTGGCGGATCAGACATCGAATGACCGCATGCAACCCTCATCGAGCGCTAACACCGCTGCTCTTTTCGACCTGTCTCACTTCAATGGCACGGAGGACGAACGCCAACGTTTGGTCAGTTCGTTATGTGCATTCGACGATATTTTTGCGAAAGATGCATGTGAAGTGGGAGAAACCCCTATTGTGGAACATACTATTGATACAGGGGATTCCTACCCAATTAGGCAGGGTCCCAGACGATTACCACCCGATAGGATTCAAATAGTCTCAGAGCAAATTGATAGCATGTTAGAAAATGGGATAATTGAGCCCAGCACTTCACCGTGGGCGAGTCCTATTGTTCTAGTTCGTAAGCCTGATGGTTCTTTCCGGTTTTGTGTTGACTACCGTAAACTTAATGATGTAACTCGGAAAGATGCATACCCTCTCCCACGCATTGATGCGACACTGGATAGTTTGGGGGGGGGGGGGCTCAGTTCTTTAGCACTCTAGACTTGCAGTCAGGTTACTGGCAAGTTCCCGTGGCAGAAAGGGACAGAGATAAGACGGCGTTCATCACTCCTCAGGGACTCTACGAGTTTCGACGTATGCCCTTTGGTTTGTGCAATGCTCCCGCAACGTTTCAGAGAATGATGCATGCCGTCCTCCGTGGCCTTTCTCCACTGTTTTGTTTGGTGTACCTAGACGATGTTATTGTGTTCAGTCGTACCTTTTCTGAGCATCTCACTCGATTGGAGGCTGTATTTACAGCATTACGTAAAGCTAACTTGAAGATTAAACCGCGTAAATGCAAGTTGATCGTGCCTGAGGTAAATTTTCTAGGACATGTGGTGTCAAAGGAGGGTATCGCAACGGATCCCGAGAAGGTGCGTGCTGTCAAGGACTGGCGAACGCCTAGCTCGGACACTGCGCTGCGTGCTTTCCTGGGATTCGCTTCGTACTACCGCCGATTTATTTGCCAGTTTGCTGAGATAGCTAGCCCGCTGCACGGTCTGTTATGTAAAAATACTCCGTTTGTCTGGACAGAGGTCCACGATGCTGCGTTTACAAAACTGCGCGATGCCTTTTGTTCGGCACCAGTGCTAGCTTTTCCTGATTTCGATTTACCATTCGTTGTCGATGCAGACGCTTGTTGTGCAGGGTTAGGCGCGGTTCTCTCGCAAGTAGTCAACGAGGTAGAACGTCCGGTTGCCTACATCAGTCGATCATGTACGCCAGCAGAGCGAAATTATCCGATCACTCGGTTGGAGTTATTAAGTGTAGTCTGGGCCTGTCGGACGTTTCGGCCATATCTCCTGTCGCGTCCTTTTCTGTTGCGTACTGACCATGCTAGTTTGCGGTGGCTGCTGAATTTCAAAAATCCATCTGGCCAAGTCGCGCGTTGGCTCGGTACTTTAGCTGAATTCCACTATACTGTCGAACATCGACCAGGTCGTCTCCATGGCAATGCAGATGGTTTAAGTAGGCTACAAGAGGGCGATACTAGTGTGAATGTAGTTGCCATTCCGTCAACTGGTACTGACGAGTTACGCAAAGCAGTAGCTAACGACAAAGAATTGCAGGTCGTTTTGTCTCGCCTCACCTCACAGTCCTCTGCGAAACCAGGAGACAGTCCCGCAGTCCGGAGTCTGTTGGCACAGGCCGACGTTCTCAGAGTCGAAAATGGTCTGCTTTATCGTGCGTCCGTTCCCGAGAACGATACGCGTCAATTAGTTGTCCCACAAAGTGAGCGAGACCGATTTTTGGTAGAAGCGCATGCCAGTCGTACGGCAGCCCATTTTGGCCAGGACCGCACCCTTGCCCGTTTGCGAGAGGTTGCCTACTGGCCGGGCATGGCAAAAGATGTTGCTTTGTTTTGTGCTACTTGTGAAATGTGTGAGCGTAGTAAGAACCCGCCGCGTAAGTCTAGGGCCCCCCTAGGTACTGTACGTGCGGGGTCCCCATTTGAAATATTAGCGATGGATATCATGGGACCACTTCCCCTAACTCCCCGAGGGAACCAGTATATTTTGGTAGTGGCAGACTATTTTTCAAAATGGGTGGAAATCATTGCAATTTCAAATATGCGGGCAGAAACGGTTGCAAACCAGTTAGTAGACCGGGTGTTCACCCGTTATGGTGTGCCCGAGCAATTGCACTCAGATCAGGGAGCGAATTTTGAAAGTAAATTGGTGGCTGAGTTGTGTAGTTTGTTAGGCATTAACAAAACTCGTACTACTCCATACCGGCCCCAGTCGGATGGTATGGTCGAGCGGGCCAATCGCACCATTCAAGTTGCGCTGCGTGCGTTTTGTGCTCCCGACCAGTCCGACTGGGATCGGCACCTGTCGTTAGTGCAGCTCGCTTACAACACTGGGGTGCACCGGGCTACAGGGTTTACTCCCCACTTTGTTCTGTTTGGCAGGGAGGCCCGTTTACCGTTAGATTTAATGGTTCCCACTCCCGATGCTAGGCCAGAAAGTAATATTCCCGTGTATGTAGCTAGTCTGCGTGAATCTCTAGCTCGGGCTTTCTCTGTTGTGCGTGAAAGATTGGATGTGGCGCACTCTGTTGTAAAGTTAAACTACGACAAAAAGGCCTCCGAGCATGGTTTGAAAGTGGGGGATTATGTCTGGCTCCATTCGGTTCCCCCTCCCGGGACTAGCCCAAAATTGCATAGGCCGTGGACTGGTCCGTGGCAGATCGAGCGAGTTCGTGGTGTGGTGTGCATGGTTGTGAGAGTGGGACCGCTGCCCTCGGCTCGACATGCCCGCCATTTAACAGTACATGCAGATCGACTAAGGTTAGTAAAGGGTCGGGTGGTGCTACCTCCAGTAAAAGAGGTGACTGAAATCGAGCCAGAGAGGGAGGTAGTACAGGCGTCCCTGGGTGGCCCCCCTTGTTTCCTTCCAGCCCCGTTTGGAATTAGTGACGCTGTACCTCCTGCCCCGGCACAGGAGCAGGATGCGCGGAGACCTGGCCTCCGCCAATTGACCAAAGGCCCTGGCCACTATAGGGCTATGTTAAGAGGGTAGTTAGTGTAGCTTGTTTGTGTACTGTTAGAATAAATTTGTTGCCCTATTGGCAACTGGCGCCCAAAAACATGTTCTCGTAATTTTGTAGGTAGCAGTTTTGTTGATGTTCGGAACCGCTGCCAGTTGTTTGCTCTCTGTGTTTTCTTTTTCTGTTAAGTTTGCGCGAGTATGCCGATCCGTCTCAGATTCACTTCATAGCTACTGGCCGCGAATGCGGCCAATCGTCTGTTGTAACATCACCACCCGCACCCACTCCCGCAACATCACCACCCACTCCCGCAACATCACCACCCACTCCCGCAACATCACCACCCACTCCCGCAACACCACCACCTGTACCGTCGGCAGGCCACGACTCTCTCGCGGTGGGGTTCCGGCGTGTGCGTCGCCGCTCCCGCCGGGCTCGGCACCGCCGGCGAGTACCAGGGCGGAGGTCAGTAGAGGCCGTCGCTTCCCGTCCGGCTTCTCCCCGCCCGGGAGTCATGGTGGATGCGACTGACGTAGTTTATTTAGTGGATATACATGTTTCTAATGATCTCGAGTAATTGCGCATTGTATTATTATTTAGGCCTCGGGGCGGTTGGGACGGTGAGGACATGGGTATTGGTGTTGTTCAGATAATTTAAGAGCCAAGGGCCATACACAGGTTGAACAACTTGCTTAATGTCGACATCAGTGTGGACGGTTATTTTGCAGGGTTTAGTTTAAGGGGATACGCCACACTGGTGCCGTCGTTAAGTATAAACCCACCTGGCCCATTAGTCACTTGCTCAACCGTTCCCTTTTTCACCCCTCCCCTTCTTAAAGATTTGTTGCTTTGTAAGTCTCAGGAGAGACTTAAGTATCTTAGGACGGAGTAATGTTGTGAGTAGTGTAGCTGCATGCTGTCGGCACGTGTTTGCCTGGATACGGGATACTGCTAAGATTACGTGTCCGTGCCTGGGTTCGTGCCTGGGTCCGTTTTTGGTGATAACTCGTGGCCCTGCGCCGTTTCCCAGTCTTCCGTTTTTGGCTGTAGTCGTCGCAGCTCCTCGTGCTAGATCCGTAATTATTCTCTCTCTCGTGGTTTCTGCCTTTTTAGTACTCTTGTCGTTTCACCCTGTACCTTTCCTTTGTCCCCTTATCCGTAATAAGAGGCCAAGTAAGAATACGTGTTTACCCGAACATTCAAGGTGCTCTGTGTTGACTGGTCACGGGGGGGCTCTGTCTGACTACACAATCATCTTTTCAATGCTAGTAACGAGTGCGTCAAACATTGTCACAAACACCTTATAGTCACCTGGTGCTGGCTATGAACACAGAACAATAAATCATACTCACCTCGTGTTGTGGTTGCTACTGCACTGAACACCACTTCTGCAGATCCCGGTCCAATTTCAGTGGATCCACCACTATCTACACTGCATACATAGTTGCCTGCATCTGATGCAATTGGTTCCTGGATAGTCAGTACTTCTCCACTAAAGCCACCGATCTCAAATCTACCCAAAGGAAGATCTCTGCCATCCGCAAGAGTCCAGCGATAAGTCACGAATAACGCATTTAGATCATTGTGACTGCATCTTAGCACAACATTGTTGGTGTTAGAATCAAACTCCACTCTTGACGGGGACACCGTGGCGAAAAAGCCTACATCAAATCAAAGGAAACAGAACAAACAAGAAAGTGATTGTCACACCTCACTAGCACAAACTACACTCGATCTGCCTTACTGAAGACTGCGAATGGAACACCCCCCCCCCCCCCCCACACACACACTCACCTGCTCGTGTTGGTGGCATTGTTGTGAATACACCTCCGTCTGTGGTAATCCCTGGTGCTGAACTTCCTTCAATTGGTCTCGTTGTTGTTCCATCATCAACTAAAACAACACAAAAATGGAGCAATCACAGACCGGCATGCAATATAGATAATCACCTACCTCCAATGCCACTGTTCAGCTTTAGCAAGCAAGCTGGATGCAGTAAGGGCGCGTGATAACGCCAGTAGCCTTGCACCATTACTTCCCTTTAGCAGTTACACAGACTATACCGGATGAGAGCTATTCGCTTGACAACATAACTGAAATGTGCAACATGACTTTATGAGGACTTTCTAACCCGTCTTTTTTTGGAGCAGCCCCCAACCCTACTCTGTGACGATGAATTGTTAGATCCGTAATGCGATCCCCTATCAGGGTCCTCAACTGGTTTTGCTAGCCCCATCCTCACGGCCAGAACAAGGTAATGCAAGTCAAGTGCTATATTACACAGCTTCAACACTATCTTACCGGAAGCATCAACAATAAATTCTTGCTCTGGCTCCACAACAATATCATCTACAGTGGTATCCGTTGGTTCCAGTACAACACGAATATCATACGTCCCATCGGCCAGTAGCTCTGGAAGGACAATCTGAGAAGATCCAGTAGGTACAGGTACTCTAACCCAGTCTTCCTCGCCGCTGGGACGGTATTCTACCACAACAGGACCCGTGCCTTTCATTGTTTCATTCAGCTCTGGAATATTGACCAGCACTTGACTTAGTCCGGGTGTTCCTGTGTCGGACAGGACTTCAACCAATGGCTTCATATCTATGAGTGCACAAATACACACAAAGTCACAGACGCGCAGACACACACAAACACACACACAACACACACACACAAATACACACACACACGTGCTTGCACACACACAGACACATTCACACGGGGAAAATAGAGCCCATAGGATTGTAACGGATGCAACAGGGATTAAACGAAGCACGAGCTACTAGCAAATAACCAGAATAGACAAAGATAGAATGTGCATGTATTTCTGAATGAACAGGTGAATTTTACTTGTCCACACGCCACTTATCTCTATATCTGAACTAGTATTTTCCTGCGCTGAAAGAATCAAAGTTTCTTTTCAATAAATTTCACCGTTTTCTTTGCCATTCTTGTCCTGTTATTGGCAATGCTCATTCACGCCGTTGTAGAAGCACTCTGCAAGAGATATCCATAAAAGGATGTTACAAATGCTTTGCTATTCAGGAGACTTCATTGCAGTTCGGCCAGTCTCTCTGAGCTCCGCCGATGAGACCTAAAAAGGTCAAAACAGCCAGCTGTCCGGAGATTGCGTAAATTAATTGAGATATTTAAAAAATTAATTGGGACAAGACAAGTGTGCCTACCTTCCCTCCCATGTTTTCATATAACTTAGAACCTTCCAAGTTGGAAGGCTGCTGGAGCGCGCACCCAAGACGTGCTAGAGATGATAGCCAGTTAGTCGTAGAACGTCAGTACTGTCGGTCAGTTTTTTGCAATGTTATCGCATTAGCTGATTGTCAAGTAACTGGTGGTGTTAGTGGACATTATAGCGTAACTTGTAGTTCCTTGGTCCTTTTCTTTATTATAAATTAATCATTGGCTCTCCATCCGAGTATATTATAAGTCATACACTCAGAATATAACAAGACTTATGGATGGTCAATATAGTGTGCATGTGCAAAGGTGTGTGTATAAGCGAGGCAAGGCTGAACATGCACTTCTCCGCTAACCTTTGTCAGTAGTTACAGCGGTGCCCGATGGAGTTGTCATCACTGGCCCGGTTGTCGGCATCGTACCAGGTGAATCCACTGTGCAGTATATGGGCAACATGCACACATTTACAGTGAAATGTTCCGGGTTACCCATATATCACTGTGTGTTTGGCGTGTGAGCGATAGCTATGTTAGGGTGCTGCAAAACACCCAGCCCTACCCTACCACCCCCTTCCCTCTTTTTTAAGTTCATATACCTCGCAACTCACTCGTAAAGAAAGAATGACAGGAAATGACACACGCAACAGACAAGGAAGACATCGACTGGAGGACCTTTGAGTCCACCTTCTGTGCGCACTCTCTGCCCGACTCCCCCCCCCCCCCCCACACACACACGCGAATACACTCACGTACACGGGCATTCAAAACAATGACTTGCATGCGCACATTGTCACAATAGTATTGTTGTACATACCAAACTCAACTCCAGCTATTCCAGGATAGAACATGGAACCAGGTGCCTCCACTTCACACACATACTGTCCACTGTCTGATAGTTCGGGATCTTGAATGCGCAGTATTTCACCACTGTCACCTTCAATAACATGACGCACCACATCCAGTGGTGTACCATCTTGCCTAGTCCATGTGTACGTGGGATTAATGTTACTTGGTGCATCGTGACTACATGTCAAGACAATCTGGTCTGTACTTGCATCGGCTATCACCCTTGTTGGAGATACACTGGCAAAGTAGACTGTAATAAACCATAACAACCATACACACACACGACACACACACACACACACACACACACCCCCCCCCCCACACACACACACGAGCGTGCAAACACACACACACACACACACACACACACACACACACACACACACACACACACACACACAAACACATGCATGCATGCACGCACACGCAAATCCGCACACACACACACGCACACACACTCACATACACTTACATGCACACACACGCGCATACACACATACATACATATGTACACACGCATGAACGTGTGCACATGCAGACACACACACACACACCCCATAGTGTTTTTAAACGGTGATGATACAGAACTATGCTATACCATTTGGCATATCTTGTGTCAGATTCTGACAGGGCTGAAGAGTAGTGCGAACAACACACTGCCATTGCCTTTGTGCAGAGGACGTGTTCTATTTTTGGTACCGTATTTTTCCGGTTGTAAGTCGACCTTCTAGGACTAAAAATAGAAGGAGAAAGGGTGGGGGTCGACTTACAACCGGAAATCGACTTATAACCGGGAACTATCAGAATCTTACAAAAAAATGACCTGCCCTGCATGCATGAGTGCACCATGTGTACACATGTTTGCCAGTTTATTGGCCTTTTTCAAGGATTGGGACTTTATACCGTCCAACAAGATTTGTTGATGTGTTAGTAGCAGGGCGTGGTTGGTAGTGCTTCGTTGGGTGAAAACTTTAAAACGCAGAATTGAGACCTCCGGATACGGGGGTCGACCTATAACCGGGGTCGACTTACAACCGGTAAAATACGGTATGTGCAGCCCACTAAAGTTCAGTGCTGCTCGATGAGATAAGATGGCATAAGTCAAGTATGTGCCGGACGCTGTGCATCCCTAGACCTATTCAATCGAACATTTACTGAGCAGCACTGTACATGTCCATCATGCACAGTTTATGACTACAGTACAACCTATAACTAAAGACCACGGTGACTAGCGACCAGCCTGGTACTACAGACCACTTTTTCCAGGCACAGACGGTCTCACATTCATATACGGTTGTGCGGTGCAAACCTCTAACTAAAGACCACCTGCCACTAAAGACCAGCCTGGTACTACAGACCACTTTGCCAGGCACAGGCGGTCTCACATTCACATATGGTTGTGCGGTGCAAACCTCTAACTAAAGACCACCTGCCACTAAAGACCTCTTTCTCTGGCCCCAAGGGGTGGTCGTTAGTCACAGGTTTTACTGTATCCATGCAGGGCTGATAGCACAGTGTATACTGTTGAAGTAGACTTGCCCCGTGCAAACAAAATTGAAGGTTCATACTGCATCAGTCACACTGATCACTGGTATATTCACTAAGCTTAAGCACACTTTGATGGACATGCCGTTGATAAGCAACTGTCCTTGTGTCATTGAATAGAATTCTTTTATTTTGACCTAGAGTGGTACAGAGTACCAACATTTAAAGAGAACTATGCCAGACGTTTCATAGTGCTGAACAACATCGTAAGTCTCGGGATAAAGAATGTGGGGCTATGTATGGGTGGCAGCATGAGTTATCCTCTTTAGCACGACGCTACCTGAGCGCGCCACACGACAACACCTGTAAAAGTCGCATTTTCCCATGAAAGTACTAGCTGCTCAAGGATCGATAACTTTACCTTCCCTTGGACGAATTCCACGATCTTGAGCTTCCTGGAAAGGTCTTGAGACGAGTGACAAACTGGTGTCAAACCTAGCTCGGAGCGAAACCAAAACCCCGTGCTACAGTCTGGCAAACTTCATCCACGCGCTCGACAGACTTGAGCACGGCCAAGACTAACAAAACTCAAATATTCAGCTGCCATTTCGGTCTCCTTGCTCGTATCGAGCTCAAATTTTTTGTGAGGACTCACGGGATCCACTACCATCATTTGAATCTTGTTTCCATGGCAGCAGGTAGCGCACAAATGATCCATGATGGAAAATACGCGTTCTGCAGACTGCGCAAAAAAATCGAGTTGAAATTTGCCGTGTCGAGTCGCATATCTCCACAACCGGTAGTCGCATCGCTTCGGCGATTGTTTCTATCGCCAGCTGAGAGTTTTCTCTTGCAGATACATGTTTCGATTGTGAGAATCGACCAAGTATTGAGTGAGTTACGATAGTTTGAACAAGTCACTATGGACTCAACACGGACCCCACGACTATGAGATGCAGGTTCACTGTACAGTGTACAGCGCGCGTCGTACTAGTACGACGGCCGTGGGGCATGCAACTCATGTGCGTCGTACTAGTACGACGCTCGCGCTAAAGGGGTTAATGTTACCTTCATTGACACAAACACAGTGTGCAGTACGGTGATATGATTGGTCTGCTACAGCTTTGCTAGGTGAAATCCGACCTGAAGTGCAAAGTTAAATGCCCTGGACCACTGAGCTTATATCATCACCTCTTTGTATGTGACACTGTTGACAGATGCGTCGACTCTGCTCCTGTCTAACAGGTTCCGGGAAGATGCGAGTTGTGTGTATTATTATAATTTTTTTAAAGGTGGGTATGTCCTAGTCAAGCAACTTTCGAATCATGCACTTGCAGAGGGTAATCGTTTGCTTCGGTTTTTACACAAAGGATGGGTTTTTGGGGCGGTTTCCGGTGAATTGGATGATTTGGCAGTACCGTGCACAACTCTTACCTTCAGCCACTGGTTCCAGATCTGTAGCAACAGAACTGGTTGTGTCGGCTATAGCATTTGTGCTGGTGACATCGCCTGGCTGAGTTGTCAATGGCTGTGTAGTACTCGCTGCATCCACCACAAGTAGCACACAACAGCAACAATAATCAGTGTAGGAGGGAGAGATACTCGACAGAGCAAGAACAGTTCTGTGAAGACACTACTGCATCATGCTTACATTATCCATGCATCCATGGCCAAGGTTTATATCATAGGCTCAAATTAGAGACTAGGAGTGAAATTGCGGCGTGACAGAGAACAGAAATTCTGCACCCACAGCACACTGTCCCGCATGTGCAACCTACTTGTACCGGAAGACAGCGTTGTGAATGTCAAAACGTCGCTGTAGCGAGAAACTCGGCAGTTGTCCGCGTCCTGGTGGTACCGGATACGCAGACTGTATGCCCTGTTGGGCTCCAGCGGTTGCAGACGAACGGTCAGTGCCAAAGCGTCGACAGGTACAGTTCCAGTCACGTTCCAAGAGCCGTCGCCTGTAAGGTATTCCACTTGGTAAAAGCTGACACCTGGCGTGTATTCCGGATAGGTACTGAACAGGACATCTGCATACGTGTCACTCAGCTCCGTGATGCTATCCTGGCTCCATCTTGGAGCATCTGCAGTGATTTGAAGTAAACACAAAGAGAGGATTCAAGCAGCAGATGGTTTAGAATGATACATTTCGCACAGCGGTAGAACCCCACTCCGTCTCATCGCTTACACAACATAGCCCCATAGCCAATCCAGTTTTCGTATCGATCCACACACATTGGGGCAGTTTATCTCACAGTAAGGCGATACATCCGCCAATACTGCCTGGCACTGACTGGTGTGAGCCTAACTGGCGGGAGACCCACTATTGGTACAGGAAATGGTCAGACCAGCATACGATGTGAGAGCCCCTACACCTGTATACTGTACTTTGCGATGGTCAGAGTGAATCAGATTTGACCCCAAAAATGTTCATTCGTGACTTGTGACATTTTCTTATTGTCCGCAACCTCCAACGCAATAGTGTTTCGGATGGGAGAGTTACCTAGATCAGCGCTACAGCCTGTCGATGGTGTTGTTCCACCAGTGCTGGGTTCTGTCGTGTTCCTGATAGCGGTGCCGGTGATTGTCACCCGAGTTGTAGCAGTTGGGGCACTGGTGACTCCTGGAAGAATGCAATGAATAATTCAGAGAACATAAAACCACAAAAGTTCCTGATTCAAGACTCTGGATTCCAAAGTCCAGATTCTAAACTCTGAATTCCAAACTCGGGATTTAAGAGTCATGATTCAAGACAGGTTTACGAACTTTGAATGTTACACTGGCACACACCCAGATCACTGACGAGAATGAAAAACTTTTGTTTTTGGTACCAGAGAATGGTATCAGCGCATAAAACATGCAGACAAGAGATAAATCATTCTTTAAACAAAAGTACAAAGATGAAAGGACTTACCCGGAGTCAGGGTACCGGTGCTGGTGGTGGGGAGGGTTCGGATTTCTAGAACATCACTGAACTCCGACACATTGCATCTTTCAGAGTCATCGATGTAGCGGAGACGGAGGCGCAGCTCTGTGTCGGGTGCTAGAGGTGATAGTTCAGCCGTTAGTGCTGTGTCAGCCACAGGCACCGTACCTTCACTCTGCCATTCGCCGTCCTCATAGCTCTCCAGCTCAAACACGCCAACACTAGGAGTATAGCCGGCGTACGTCGGGAAAATAACCTCCACATATGTAGCCCCAACTTCAACAATATCCTGTTCATTCCAAACAGGAGCAGCTGCATGTTGTGAAAGCACAAAAGAACCGTTAGCAGGCCAATAGTTGATGTATAAAGTTCTGGTAGCCGCTCAGACACAAGGAATACTTAGAAAGCATCCAGCTGAATGGAATGGCCTGTAGCTAGCATACACATTGATTCGCAAGCGTCACCAAAGGCATGTGATGTCACACAGAAGTGTGCCCAGTGGTCTTTGATTTGCATGTGTGGTTGAAGTGACAGGATTCAGGTATCAAGCATTATGTCCCGCACAATATCACACATCCCCAAGGAGTTTTCGATACGTGAACACGTGCAGCAAAGTAAGCGCCTCATGCATGCAATATCTCTTATTGACACGACATGCCAGGCAGAATAAGATCAGAAAAATGTCCACCCCAACCCACAGTATCCCACAAACAGTGTCTTCTAAGCTGGAAAAATCTGGCCGACAGCTCCCTTTCTCTCCCCACCATCATCTGTTTGCGCACGGCACCTAGTTGATGCATGGCTGGTGACATCCACATAGCTGGTTGCTATTGGACAGCCTGGAACCTTTCTGTTTTTAGATGGCTGGTACATCAGTTAGCGCCTGGTGCACTTGCAATGACACAGCGGCGACTTGGCTAAGGTTGTGATGTATGCTTCATCCCTGCAGGACTCATCAGGCAATCTTGGACGTCTTTGAACGGGGAACATTCTACTACGTCAAGCTGTCCACACATCACTAGAGATTGACTAAAATCAGCATAAATCACCACCAACAATTTTACGTCACTTACGCAGTGTTCGACAGTTGCCCGGTGCTGTTGCAGTCTGAGTAACATTGCTAGTAGTGACGCTTGCAGGTTCAGTGGATGGAGTCGGACCTGAGGCAAGTGAACACGAATGGTATGTTGACACGATAGCAGAATGTTGTATGCAGATAGAAGTTTGTACAGTATACAGACAACCCCTTACTTCAGGATCCAAACACCGTAAATTCTACATGGACGTGCTAGACTGAATGTGAGGCATTCGTGTGACAACTGGACTGCTGAACAACACTGTGGAACCTATCACATCTTGGTGCTGCAGTACCCACACCTACACCAATGACGACAACATTTCTTCCCTCTTGGATGCATATGTTCTTTTCTCCTATGAATCGGCGCACAGGAGTAACGATGATTCCGAGACCTTTGGTCGGAAGAGTTACTTTTGCCCTGCCCCCACTTCCATCCAATATGCCACCGCCCCCGCTGTGCAGCATCTGATGGTTCTGTGGTATTCAGTAAAAAAATTCTTCATGTGGTTGATCCACAGTGGAATCCCCCACCAGGGTCTTGAACTGGTCTGAACCAGGTGGGGACATCAAATATCAACAGAGACACTCTGAAAATCACAAACGCTGCGAAAAAGACATGAGATTGGTCTTCCAAACTGGTGGGTATTCCACATTCATGGTTGTGTAATATCTTTAGCGCCTCCAACCGCATACACATGTTCTTGGATTTCAATGTCCATGAAGCACAGTAGCCATTATAGTTTCGACTAGGCCTTTCGTACCAAAAAAACCTATTTCAACTAGCCCCCTCCCCATGGCCAGAGAAAAGAAATGCAAGTGAAGTGCACCACACAGCTCCAACACTATCTTACCGGTGGCATCAACAATAAATTCTTGCTCAGGCTCCACAACAATATCATCTACAGTGTCCTGTTGGTATCGGTTGGTACACAACTTCTGTATTCCCCATACAGAATGCATTGCATGTCTACAGGCCCTCATCTGTGTGTGTGTGTGTGTGTGTGTGTGTGTGTGTGTGAGAGTGAGTGTGTGTGTGTGAGCAGAGGCATCTTCTGACACACTTGAATCACCTCTTACGAACAATATGTCCTGCGAACGCTGCAGCTTCCACTGCACCCGCTGAAACCGCTGTGTGCTATCGCGCCAAGGCATGAAGCGTCACAAGTGCAGCCGTGCTTGGCCAGAGCAACCAACACAGACCGTAGCTCCTTCTGCATCGTTTGCAATTGCGGTCGGCGTTTCAGTAGACCACAGGACCTATCCCGTCATCGCCCCTACTGTTCCGAACCTGCTCAACCCCCCATGGGGTCCGCATAGCCAGAATATGGCAGCACGCCCAAGGTCCAAGGTGTGTGTGTGTGTGTGTGTGTGTGTGTGTGCGTGTGCGTGCGCGTGTGTGTGTACCAGTAAGCTGACTCACTACCACAAGAAAAAAGTCCTCTCAAACATTGAAGAACACAACACCTTATTGTCATCTGTAGCCGCTTGTGAACACGGAACAAGAAATCACACTCACCTTGTGTTGTGGTTGTAACCACACTGAATACCACTTCTGCAGATCCCGGTCTAATTTCAGTGGATCCAAAACTAGCTACACTGCATACATAGTTGCCTGCATCTGATGCAATTGGTTCCTGGATTGTCAGTACTTCTCCATTCAAGCCACCGATCTCAAATCTACCCAAAGGAAGATCTCTGCCATCCAAAAGAGACCAGCGATAAATCACGAATAACGCATTGGGATCATTGTGACTGCATCTGAGCACAAAATTGTTGGTGCTAGAGTCCAACTCCACTCTTGATGGAGATACTGTGGCGAAGGATCCTATATCACATCAAAAAGAAGCACAAACAATGAGGAAGTGGTTGTCAAACCACTTGTTCTCAAAACACAAAACACACCCGATCTACCTTATTGTTTCTATGCATTACCATAATGGCATTCCAGTTGTGATCATCAAACATGACATACATGTCCTCCAGATCATAGTTATCATGCATACAGTCTCTATTTCATTACTCACTTTCCTTTATATGTCACACTACTCATGGAATGGACTCGGATGGAGAGTCAATGATTAGTTTATAGATTAGTTGCAGAACGTTAGTACCGTCCGGCAGTATCGTGTGCAATGTTATCGCATGAGCAGATTGTTTAGTAACTGGTGATGTTAGTGGACATTCTAGCGTAACTTGTAGTTCCTTGGTACGTTTTCTTTTTCTAGAAACTCCTCATGGAATAATTTTATTCCCCACCCTTACCTGCTGGTGTTGGTGGCATTGTTGTCTCTGGACCTGAACTACCTACAATTGGTCTTGTTGTTCTTCCATCATCAACTACAACACACAAAATGGAAATCACAAGAAGGCATGCAATATCAATATACCATTGCTAGTGAAAACACAAGACAAAAGTGGGCAAAACACCTGTATCAAAGGAACAATGGCAATCACGAACAACACATCGCTGCCAGCAACGAAGTCCAGTGAAGTTCCTGCATTCTGATGAGGCCATTGAATACCAGGCGGCAGAAAAAAACTGAAACTCACCCGCTGGTGTCGATCCAGGTTGTTGTGTGCTCACTTCTCCACCTGGACTAACTGGAATTGGTCTTGTTGTTGCTGAGTCATCAACTGCAAGACATTGGATCAACGCAGGCAGCAACTAGTCAGGTCCTGGGAGGCAATCATACATTTCGGGGTAGTAAATAGTGCAGTGGCCTTGATCGGGTTACTGCTTTATATTGCCGGTATTTAGCCTGGAGGCTGCAACCTACAATACTACCATGGCCAGACTGTAAGCTAGAATGCTTTATTGATCCTTTGTTTAAACAGAGAGGCCATGCCAGCTGCTTTCTACTGGCATATTGTATCCTAATTCATGTAGTCTTGCTGTTCTAGGTGCAAAGCGCACCACGACAGGCCCTCAATCAGTTGGCAACACATGTGATTAGACCGGCTGCAGAGACATTCTATGTTTCGATCAGCGCCATAGCATGAATGCATGCCATGTGTGTCACACAGATGGCCGCAGCAATTAAAAGTGGGGAAAATCCACCCACGGTCGCTTTCTCTTGCTGCGCTTTCTCTTGCTGCGTTTTCTGCACCCGACATCATGCTGTAGAGAAGGGGTTACCTTCCGTGCTTTGCCGTCCGGCGCAGCGGCACATGTCTTATATGGGGACTAGGCATGTGGGGAATTGGTCTGATTCCTAGCTTGGTGGAAGCTGGTTTGAGTTTTCAGGGGCACTATGATAATGAGCAGTGCCACCCAACACGAATTTTGGTGCCCGAAGAAAACTAGAACTACATTGCTAGGCAACGACAAATACACTCTTACAATGAGTATCACCGATCACACATCGCTCATTACTCACCATATACAACCATTGCTGATCCAGAATCGACGTTGTTGTCCATTGTTTGCACCGTACACGAATATTGTCCAGCATCAGAAGGCAAAGCATTCTCCACGGTCAGGATCTCTCCAGATGCACCGCTGATCACCACCCGAGTCATGGGCAGTGGTACTCCATATGCTCTTACCCACTGTATGATTGGTGCCAGGCCAGCAACATCTGGATAGTCATGACTACATGTTAACTGGAAGCTGTACGTAGAGCTGTTCATCAGTACTCTCTCAGGGGAAACACTCACACTATATCCTGGAGGGAATGCAAAAGGTGAAATAAACCGTGGGAACAGGATATGATGGACATATTGATCGACTACGGTTTGATTATTATCCCATACAAAAGCAACTGACTATCAGATTTCGAGAGAAAGGATCAAGAACAGAGATGCTCTTCATTAGTTTAGATATTTATTAACTCAAGCTCATAGTATACACAAGCAATGCTAATATGAGGAGCAACCCCAGATATGAACGTGATAGCCAACCATAGAGAAATCTAGGAGAATATCTGATACGGTATTGAGGGATTGTGACTTCTGTCAGTTTACTCTCCGGATCTCTTGGGGTGGTATGGGTATTGTCTCGTACCACCTTTGTTCAACAAAGAGCATGTCCCCAGCTCTTCTATGTACAGTCAGTCTCGTGAGTAACGATCTTGGGTATAACAACTATTGAATAAGGACACGATCTTCAGACCCAGTGACAATTGGCCGGCATACTTTAAACCCCACGAATGATGACAAATCACAATGACAATGTTATAGTGGACGACAGAGGGTGGTTTTTCGCAAGTTTCAGTGTACTTCAAGTAACGCTGAAGAAAGTCATGAAAAAGTGTCACAGTGTCACATTGTCACAGTGTCACAGTGTCACAGTGTCACAGTGTCACAGTGTCACAGTGTTATCACTATCTGCACTCTTAGTCTTATGCCATATCGTGAAAGAAAGTTGTTAACATACAAGGAACGAGACTGTACGGACATTACGTACAAAAAAATGAATCGCTATGTATCACTGGAGCTTCATGAATGCGTGCATACCTTTAGTTGTTACAAGAACTTGAGGAGTAGTTGGTGTTGCTGCCGTTGATGTATCGGGTGCTGTTCCGGACCCTATGATTGGGACAGTTGTTCCATCCATGGCATCAGTACCAGTGACATTGCTCGGTGTTGGCATGTCAGTTGTTACAACTGCAGGCAATGTAGAACACCGGGAAGTAAACAGAAGTGTCACTACACGCAAGAAGAGAAGAAAGCTTCACGATCCTCAAATTAATAGTTTGCAAGCTTTTCAACCTGGTCTCTCACCGGATTCTCAACAGGCGGAATACAGTCAAATAAGAGAAACAACAACAATGGACAAAGCTAACGAGTTGTTGACGACCTAACACACCTCCAGTATAATAGTGAAGCATTCCAATTTTTTTTTGTCACGAATCAATTCTTAACTCTTCGCCCGCACCTTCATAGTAATGGTAAATTGATGCTTGCACAAGCGTTGAGCCAATAGATGAAAGACTAATTTTTGGCAACCACTGTGCATATTTACCTTGCAATGGAACTGTGAAACTCAATGCTTCACTCCATTCGGACACAATGCAGTTGTCTGCATCACCGTGATAGCGAATTCTCAGTGCTGCTTGTGTTCCCGCACCAAGTCGTGGTATCACAACCTCCTTTGTACTGTTACCCACAGCAATCTGTCCCACTGGTCCCCAGGCATTGTCCACAAAGAGCTCCACGCTGAAGAAGCTCACTCCTTCCACAAAGTTCGGATATGATGGCACTTGGTACATGCCCAGTGACTCATCAACAAAGCGTATTGCGTTATCTGGCCACACAGGTGCGTCTGAAGCAGTACAACAGAAAGCAAAATCAGAGTTAAAGTAGACATTCACAGTGTATTGGTTGCTTTAGATGGAGACTTTCTCTTAACGGGCACAAGCATTATCGGGAAGGCCAAAAGTCAAACAGAAAAGAACATTAGAAAATGGTTGATCTGATGAAGATGTCAAAACCTCCTTCGGTCCGGTATCAAATGTCCAATTGACTGCAAGATACTTCAAGTAAAATGTATTGCTTACCCACTGTTCTGCATGTGGAGTCCGTGGTGCCACTGCCGCCCAAATCAGTGACCATCATGTCACCAGATGCCGTAGTCAGTGAATCAGAAGTGATCCCTGCATTCACATAATCATGGAACAAATACATGTAGATGACAAAGATATTGTCGTACCTTGATCCACGACGGGGTGATAGAGTACCGACTATCTCACCTATCGACTTTTTAAAGTATTGCTCTGAGTACTCCTAACACTGTCTGTCCTCAGAGACTTTTCTCTCCTTCTCCTCCGAAGACAGTGTCCTATCTGTTTGTATTTGCCTGTGCGCTGTGATCATAATACAAAGATTAGGGAGGTTTCGTTCTAGCACACATAAAAAAAGCATATGACGCTCGCCTTTTCTTCTAGGTTCTAGCCAAAGCAGCGTAGCTAAGTGATGCATTCTCTGTCATTTTTTCACAGGAATGAAAAGTGCAATTGAACAATGCCTCAATAGACTAAGCACAACTCCTGTATTCTCCTTACAGAATGCATTGCATGTATACAGGCTTTCATCTTTGTAGACCACTATGCTGACTCACTACTACAAAAAAGAAGTCATCTCAAACATTGAACGACACAACACCCTATGTTTATCTGTAGCTGCTTGTGAACATAGAACAAGAAATCACACTCACCTTGTGCTGTGGTAGTAACTACACTGAATACCACTTCTGCAGATCCCGGTCCAATTTCAGTGGATCCACCAATATCTACACTGCATACATAGTTGCCTGCATCTGATGCAATTGGTTCCTGGATAGTCAGTACTTCTCCATTCAAGCCACCGATCTCAAATCTACCCAAAGGAAGATCTCTGCCATCCGAAAGAGACCAGCGATAAGTCACGAATAGCGCATTCGGATTATTGTGACTGCATCTGAGCACAACATTGTTGGTACTAGAATCAAACTCTACTCTTGACGGAGATACTGTGGCGAAGAATCCTGCATCACATCAAAAAGAAGCACAAGCAACGAGGAAGTGGTTGTCAAACCACTCATTCTCAAAACACACACACACACACCCGATCTACCTTATTGTTTCTATGCATCACCATTCCAGGTGTGATCATCAACCATGACATACATGTCCTCCAGATCATGGTTATCATGCATACAGTCTCTATTTCATTTCTAACTTTACACGCATACATGTATTTCACACCACTCATGGAATAATTTTATTCCCCCACTCACCTGCTGGTGTTGGTGGCATTGTTGTCGATACACCTTCTTCTGTGGTAATCTCTGGACCTGAACTACCTGCAATTGGTCTCGTTGTTCTTCCATCATCAACTACAACACACAAAATAAAAATCAATCACATGAAGGGATGCAAAATAAATATACCATTGCTAAAAAAAGAAAAATATTCATGGTTCACGTGAGACTCGGCTGGAAACCGACTTTTACACATCCGTAGGAACGCCACCACCCTTCAAGGATCAAGGCCATTGCTAGTGAAAATATAAACCAAAAGTGGGGCAAAACACCTGTATCAAAGGGACAATGGCAATCGTGAACTACACATCGCTGCCATCAACGGAGGCCAGTGAAGTTGCTGTATTCTGATGAGGACATTGAACACCAGGTAGCGACAGCAAAAACTGAAACTCACCTGCTGGTGTTGATCCTGGTTGTTGTGTGCTCACTTCTACACCTGGACTAACTGGAATTGGTCTTGTTGTTGCTGAGTCATCAACTGCATGACATTGGATCAACGCAGCCAGCCACTAGTCAGGTCCTGGGAGGCAGTTTATACATAACTGGGCAGCAAAAATTGCCCTGGCCTTGACCGGGTTACTGCTAGTATATTGCAGATGTTTAGCCTGGAGGCTACAAGCTACAGCGCTACCATGTCTGGACTGTAAGCCACAGTGCTTTATCAATCATTTGGTTCAACACACAGGCCATACTACCTACTTTCCACTTGCATTAATTTTAGTATCTTTATCAATGTACATGTAGTCTTGCTGTTCTAGGTGCGAAGCCCGCCACCTCAGATCCTTAATCGCTCATGGCCACAAAGGTGATCAGGCTGGCTGCAGGGACACTCTGATCTACTGCATGCACTACAAATCAACACCTACAAAAAGCTCAACAGGATTTGACCAGTGTGTTCAGTGGATGTGTGAAAAACAGTCCAGTTGTCCAGAGTGAGTGCAATCCTATGTGAAACAGGACAACGTCGCAATCAAAATAACACAATGGGAGGGGCTAACCCCCAATGACTTGTCCACCCACTCTTCAAAACACCACAATCATGGATATTGAATATACTCTTAAATGACTATCAGTCATCACTCATCGCTCATTACTCACCATATACAACCATTGCTGATCCAGCGTTGAAGTTGTTGTCCATCGTTTGCACCGTACACACATATTGTCCAGCATCAGAAGGCAAAGCATTCTCCACGGTCAGGATCTCTCCAGATGCACCGCTGATCACCACCCGAGTCATGGGCAGTGGTACTCCATATGCTCTTACCCACTGTATGATTGGTGCCAGGCCAGCAACATCTGGATAGTCATGACTACATGTTAACTGGAAGCTGTACGTAGAGCTGTTCATCAGTACTCTCTCAGGGGAAACACTCACACTATACCCTGGAGGGAATGCAAAAGGCAAAATAAACCGTGGGAACAGGATGTGATGGACATCTTGATCGACTACAGTTGGATGATTATCCTGTACACAAGCAACTGATTACCAGGTTTTGAGAGCAAGGCTCAAGAACAGAGATGCTCTTATTTTAACCCTTTGGCTCCCCACTATACAAATTTCGACGGTATTCCGTCGATGACTTCAAACAGCCATAACTCATTCAAATATTGCACTATCGTGAGAATCGAAGTATGTAGAGTGTAGCTAAAGTCCTCAGCTTTCCGTTGGTGCAATCGTTTTCACGATAGCTCCAACGGTTGTTGAGATATCGCGCTCGAAAGTTGGAGGACGGCACTTTTCTCGTTCCGAGCACATTTTCGAGCATGAACCGGGGAATTCCCCTTGTTCTCAAGTACCTGTGATGAATTTTTTTGCGTAAATCATGGTGCAGGCTACCTGCTACGGCAGTACAAAAAAAATCAGAGCTGGGCGAGCAAGGAAATTGAAATGGCTGAAGAAGAAAGGGATTGAGGACATTCCCAGCGATGTGGTACCTTCGCTGGGCTGTAGAGCTGGGCTTGCTACTCTGATTTCACTCGGTGATGGCTCATTGTGTTCGCGCTGAGAAGAGCTTTCCGGAGAGCCCAAGATTGTGGAAATCAGGCTACTAGAACGTAAGTTATGACCAAAAGTTGACACAATTTGAGCGAAAATTATGGCTATTGCTAAATAGTGGAGTTATGGGGGAGCCAAAGGGTTAATAAGATTTTTATTCAACTCAAGCTCATAGCAAATGCAAGCAATGCTAGTATGAGGGTGTAGCAACCCCAGATAGGAGTGTGATAGCCAACCATAAAGAAATCTAGGTGATTACCTGATACGATATAGAGAGATTGTCACGTTTGTCAGTTTACTCGCCGCATCTCTTGGGGTGGTATGAGTATTGTCTGCTACGATCTTGTTCAAAAAGAGAGCATTTGCCCAGCTATTCTATGTACAGTGAGCCTCGTGAATAATGACCTTGGGTATAACAACTATCCAATAATGACACAATCTTCAGACACAGTGATAATTTGACTGCATGCTTTTAACCCCACAAATGATGACAAATCACATGTTTAGTGGACAACAGAGGGTGGCTATTCGCAAGTTTTAGTGTACTTCAAGTAACACTGAAGAAAGCCATGGAAGAGTGTCACAGTGTCACAGTGTCACAGTGTCACAGTGTGATCACTATCTACACTCTTTAGTCTTATGCTATAAAAAGAAGTTGCTAGCATACAAGAAACGAGACTGCAGGGACATAACGCACAAAAATGAATCGCCATGTATCACCGGTGCGTCATGAATGCGTGCATACCTTTAGTTGTGACAAGAACTTGAGGAGTAGTTGGCGTTGCTGCCGTTGCTGCAGGTGAAATACAGTCCAATAAGAGAAACTGAGCAAGAACATTGACTAGTATTCAGAAAAGATGTAAAAACATACAGTGCGCATGGGAACATCCATAACATTATACCCATACACGGAATCACAAAAAGGTGAAAGTGAGAATAAACCTAACAAGTGTACGATGCATTGCAACAACAATGGACAAAGCTGACGAGTTGTGCACGACCTGAAAACCCCCATTATTATAGTGAAGCATTCCCAAATTTCTTGTCACGAATCAATTCTAAGCTCTTCACTTGCACATCCATAGTAATGCTAAATGGATGCTTGCACAAGCGTTGAGCCAATGGAAGAAGGGCTAATTTTTTCCCTGTTTGTAAAAAATCTAGACTAATGATGCCACTGGAAGGTATGCGGTGCATATTGAAATGATGTTGCATGGTCCCTCGTGTGTTGGCGAGGCGAGACTCACCGCATTATCATCCTCCACTGATGAGTTCGCAAGAGTGAAACACCTGTCTAGAAGCGTAACATTATCTGTCAACGGAAGTGTCCTTGCTGTGCTGGTGTGATATGCTTCGTGAATGGGTTCGGCTAAGAGCGCATGGTGGTGACGGGTTGAGGATGTAGCAAATTTTAACTAGATCCAGAATAATGTGTGTGGGTAATGATCTCGTCAATGTTAGAAAAGGTCTTGTCAAACATTGAAATACACAGCACCCTATGTTCATAAATAATTTCTTGTGAACACGGAACAAAAAATTCCACTCACCTTGTGTTGTGGTTGTAACCACACTGAATACCACTTCTGCAGATCCCGGTCTAATTTCAGTGGATCCAAAACTAGCTACACTGCATACATAGTTGCCTGCATCTGATGCAATTGGTTCCTGGATTGTCAGTACTTCTCCATTCAAGCCACCGATCTCAAATCGACCCAAAGGAAGATCTCTGCCATCCGAAAGAGACCAGCGATAAATCACGAATAACGCATTGGGATCATTGTGACTGCATCTGAGCACAAAATTGTTGGTGCTAGAGTCCAACTCCACTCTTGAAGGAGATACTGTGGCGAAGGATCCTATATCAAATCAAAAAGAAGCACAAACAATGAGGAAGTGGTTGTCAAACCACTCGTTCTCAAAACACACACACGCCCGATCTACCTTATTGTTTCTATGCATCACCATTCCAGGTGTTATCATCAACCATGACATACACATGTCCTCCAGATCATGGTTATCATGCATACAGTCTCTATTTCATTTCTAACTCTCCTTTATTTTTCACACTACTCATGGAATTATTTTGTTCCCCACACTCACCTGCTGGTGTTGGAGGCATTGTTGTCCCTGGACCTGAACTAGCTGCAATTGGTCTCGTTGTTCTTCCATCATCAACTACAAAACACAAAATGGAAATCAATTACATGAATTACTCTGATGGTGAGCCAAGGAAAGTGTTAAATTGAAACAAGGAAAATGGTGGGGCACAAGTTATGCGTTGGAGTCCACCAAGTCACTCTCTCTTACTCACTTCCTTGCTGTAGAATGTCTCAGTACTCCTTGTTAGTCTTGTGCTACCTTGTGCACGTCTGACCGTTCAAAACCTGGTTTAGTTGGTGGACTCGCATAACTTGTGCCCCACCGGCCGTTTTTCTCGTTTCAAATCACATGAAGGCATGCAATATAGATATACCATTGCTAGTGAAAGTACAAGACAAAAATGGGGCTAAAACCTGTATCAAAGGAAAAAATGGCAATCGCGAACTACACATGGCTGCCAGCAACGAAGGCCAGTGAAGTTGCTGTATTCTGATGAGGCCATTGAACACCAGGTAGCGACAGCAAAAACTGAAACTCACCTGCTGGTGTTGATCTAGGTTGTTGTGTGCTTACTTCTCCACCTGGACTAACTGGAATTGGTCTTGTTGTTGCTGAGTCATCAACTGCAAGACATTAGATAAACACAGTCATGCAGCCACGCGCCAGGTTATCGGAGGCAGTTAATACATTTCGGGGAAGTAAATAGTGCACTGGATAGCGAAAATCGCAGTGGCCTTGATCGGGTTACTGCTATATATTGCCGATGTTTAGCCTGGAGGCTGTAACCTACAATGCTACCATACCCGGATTGTAAGCTAGAATGCTGTATCAATCTGCTGTTCAAACAGAGAGGTCATGTTAGTTGCTTGCATTTTGTATCCTAATTAGAAACAAAATTGTAGTGTTGCTGTTCTAGTTGCAAAGCCCACCACCACAGATCCTCAATCAGTTGAAATTTGATAAGACCGGCTGCTGGAACACTCTCCGCTTAGATCAGCGTCACAGCATGAATGCCATGTGGGACGCACAGATGGCCACAGTAATTAAAACTAAATTTAAAAGTGGGGAAAATCCACCCACAGCCCCTTCCTCTTGCTGCATGGTCTGCAAACAACATCATGCTGTTGAGATGGGGCTACCTTCCATGCATCGGCACATGTCTTATATGAGGACCGGGCATCTGGGGGATTAATCTAATTCCTAGCTTGGTGGAAGCTGGTTTGAGTTTTCAGGCGTAACATGACAACCAGCAGTGCCACCCGACACGCAGTTCGGTGCATAAAAACTACGACTTCATTGCTAGGCAATGAAAACTACACTCTTAAAGTGACTATCAGTCATCACAGATCACCTACTACTCACCATATACAACCATTGCTGATCCAGAGTCGACGTTGTTGTCCATCCTTTGCACCATACAAAAATATTGTCCAGCATCAGAAGGCAAAGCATTCTCCACGGTCAGGATCTCTCCAGATGCACCGCTGATCACCACCCGAGTCATGGGCAGTGGTACTCCATATGCTCTTACCCACTGTATGATTGGTGCCAGGCCAGCAACATCTGGATAGTCATGACTACATGTTAACTGGAAGCTGTACGTAGAGCTGTTCATCAGTACTCTCTCAGGGGAAACACTCACACTATACCCTGGAGGGAATGCAAAAGGCAAAATAAACCGTGGGAACAGGATGTGATGGACATCTTGATTGATTACAGTTTGATGCTTATCCCGTAAAAAACAACTGAGTATCAGGTTTTGAGCGCAAGGCTCAAGAACAGAGATGCTCTTATTTTGTTTAGATATTTATTCAACTCAAGCTCATAGAAAAATACAAGAAATGCTAATACGAAAAGCAACCCCAGATATCAGCGTGATAGCCAAACATAGAGAAATCTAGGAGAATACCTGATATGGTATTGAGAGATTTTGACTTTTGTCAGTTTACTTTCCGCATTTTTTGGTGGTATGGGTATTGTTTCCTACCACCTTGTTCAACCAAGAGCATTTGCTCAGCTCAATCAGGCTTGTGTGACTACTGACCTTGGGTATAACAACTTTCGAATAACCACACAATCTTCAGACACAGTGATAATTTGACTGCATGCTTTTAACCCCACAAATGATGACAAATCACATGTTTAGTGGACAACAGAGGGTGGTTTTTCGCAAATTTTATAGAGTACTTCAAGTAACGCTGAAGAAATGTATGGATGAGGGTCCCAGTGTTATCACTATCTGCCCCCTTAGTCTTATGCCACACGGTGAAAGAAAATTGCCACCAGCAAGGAACGAGACTGTATGGACATAACGCACACAAAAAATGAATCGCTATTTATCACCGGTGCTTTATGAATGCATGCATACCTTTAGTTGTGACAAGGGCTTGAGGAGTAGTTGGCGTTGCTGCCGTTGATGTATCGGGTGCTGTTCCGGACCCTATGATTGGGGCAGTTGTTCCATCCATGGCATCAGTACCAATGACATTGCTCGTTGTTGGTAAGTCAGTTGTTACAGCTGCAGGCAATGTAGAACACCGGGAAGTAAACAGAAGTGTCACTACACACCAGAAGAGAAGAAAGCTTCAGGATCCTCAAAAGTAAACAGTTTTAGAGCTTTTCCACCACGTCTTTCACTGATTTCTCATCAGGTGGAACACAGTCAAGTAAGAGAAATAAGCGGACGATGCATTGCAACAACAATGGACAACGCAAACGAGTTGTTGACGACGTAACATAACCCCTTTATACCTTAAAGTACCGTTGATCCACCCCATCTTTAATTGTCCCACCGCCCGTCGATTTTCTGCCTGTGAAGCGACTTTGGGGTATGCAACGAAATACGATGTTGAACCGACGCATGCACTGCTGTACACAATACGTGCGAGTGCAGGATGAAAATGTGCACAACCCAGCACATCGAGTCTGAACTTCCACGTTGTTGCACATCGTACTGCACTTGACAGCCTTGATCAAATTCCCGCCCCCTGCCGAGAACCCAGCTGGGAAGCAACATGGCGTGGGGGCGGATCACCGTTACTTTACGGTAATAGTGAAGCATTCTGTAAAATTTCTGGTCACGAATTTATTCTTAACTCTTCGCCCGCACCTTCATAGTAATGGTAAATTGATCCTTGCACAAGCGTTGAGCCAATGGAAGAAAGACTAATTAGTGGCAACCACTGTGCATATTTACCTTGCGATGGAACTGTGAAACTCAATGCTTCACTCCATTCAGACACAATGCAGTTGTCTGCATCACCGTAATAGCGAATTCTCAGTGCCGCTTGTGTTCCCGCATCAAGTCGTGGTATGACAACCTCCTTTGTACTGTTACCCACAGCAATCTGTCCCACTGGTCCCCAGACATTGTCCACAAAGAGCTCCACGCTGAAGAAGCTCACTCCTTGCACAAAGTTCAGATATGATGGCACTTGGTACATGCCCAGTGACTCATCAACAAAGCGTATTGCATTATCTGGCCACACAGGTGCGTCTGCAGCAGTACAATAGAAAGCAAAATCAGAGTTGAAATAGACATTCACAGTGTATGGGTCGCTTTAGATGGTGACTTTCTCATAACGGGCACAAGCATTATCGGGAAGGCCAGAAATCAAACAGAGAGGAACATTAGAAAATGGTTGAGCTGATGAAGATGTCAAAACCTCCTTTGGTCCGGTATCAAATGTCCAATTGACTGCAAGATACTTCAAGTACAATGTAATTCTTACCCACTGTTCCGCACGGGGAGTCGCTGGTGCCACTGCCGCCCAAATCAGTGACCATCATGTCACCAGATGCCGTAGTCAATGAATCAGAAGTGATCCCTGCATTCACACAATCATAGAACAAATAGATGACAAAGATATTGTCATACCTTGATCCACGATTAGGGAGGTTTCGCTCTAGCACACATAAAAAGCATATGACGCTCGTCATTTCTTCGAGGTTCTAGCCAAAGCAACGTAGCTAAACGATGCACTCTTTTTCACATTTTACAGGAATGAATAGTGAAATTGAACTCTGCCGGAATAGACTCGTAATCACAACTCCTGTCTTCTACGCACAGAAAGCATTGCATGTATACAGGCCCTCATCTTTGTAGACCACTATGCTGCGTCACTACTACAACTACTACTACTACTACTACTACTACTACTACTACTACTACTACTACTACTACTACTACTACTACCGTAAAGTACCGCCAGAGCGCCCCACCATCTCGTCCTTTCGTGGCCGCCTTGTGGAGGTGGATTCCTGTCTTTAGGTCATACGACACGGACCTTGTACAAACATTGCACATTGTGCAGTCAATCCGTACCCAGTTTACCTTCGAGCTTCACATAAAAGCATACCAAGTGTGACCTTAGTACACGAAGGTTCTCACATCATACAAACTTAGTAGCATTCTGCCATACGATTTTCTTCCCTTGGCTGTAAAATCAAGGTGGGGCGCTCTCGGGAGACGGGGCGCTCTGGCGGTACTTTACGGTACTACTACAAAAAGAAGTCCCCTCAAACCTTGAACAACACAACACCTTAAGTTCATCTGTAGCTGCTCGTGAACACGGAACAAGAAATCACACTCACCTTGTGTTGTGGTTGTAACTACACTGAACACCACTTCTGCAGATCCCGGTCCAATTTCAGTGGATCCACCACTAGCTACACTGCATACATAGTTGCCTGCATCTGATGCAATTGGTTCCTGGATTGTCAGTACTTCTCCATTCAAGCCACCGATCTCAAATCGACCCAAAGGAAGATCTCTGCCATCCACAAGAGACCAGCGATAAGTCTCGAATAATGCATTTGGATCATTGTGACTGCATCTCAGCACAAAGTTGTTGGTGCTAGAGTCAAACTCTACTCTTGACGGAGATACTGTGGCGAAAAATCCTACATTACATCAAAAAGAAGCACAAGCAATGAGGAAGTGGCTGTCAAAGTTTGCAAGTGATTAGCAATTTAGCATACACACGTAGAAAATGGAGATGGCTGATTGAAAACTTGGAGGAGAGTTATGCAGAACAAGTGGCTAGTAGCTGGGAAGGCATACAGCATCGAACAGTGGAACTTAACTAGTGTGTGTGTGTGTGGGGGGGGGGGGGGAGTACTGCAATAAGACATACTCTTGCCTAGTACAGCACAGATCTTGTCCGGAGCACGGGTGTATTGCTCAATACTGAAGTATGCTAGGGTGAGAAGTACCTTGAATGCTAAGAACACTTTCCTGCTGCCCATGTGGGTACGCTGTATCATAGTGTTATCCAAGTTCTACTGTATATACAGTACATGATTGTGTTATTATTGCCACTCCTAGGTAGATCCAAAGCAGATGTTCTTGTTACTCACCTTTCTCACTGGTTATAACAGAAACTGGTGCAGTTGTTATTATTGGTACGGTTGTTGGCATTGTACGAGGTGGACCCTCTGTGCAGTAAACATGTGTACACACAGCGAACGAAGCGTAACAATATGCATGACTACGGGTTACGATACTACTTTCTACTTCTGTCAGACATTTCCTTGCATTCAGTAGGTGTTGAAGACATCACAGATGTACGTAACTTACAGAGAATCTTGAAATAAAAAGAGAAACCCTGCCGACCAGTACATATTTAGTCATACCTCTATTCAGTGACGCCTAACGGAAGTGTTCGCTAAGGAACGAATAATAGATGTACTTCTAAAATAGGAATATTACAGCACAGAATAAAACTATTGACAGACACCACCAACATACCGTAGACGATGGTAGCCAAACCCGGCAGAATATTTCCATCTGGGTCGCTCACTTCGCAAGTGTAGACGCCGGCATCGGATGGCTCAGGCCTGAAAATGGTGAGCATGTCACCGAACTGATCGCTTATCATCACCCGCTGTGTTGGCAGCTGGCCGTCAGCTCGGCGCCATGTATACACAGCAAGCGTAACATTGGGCTTGTCGTGAGCACACGTGAGTACGAGCGCTGGAACGCTCGCATTGACCACTACGCGGCTTGGTGACACGACTGCGTTGAATTCTGTGAAGAAATTGGAAAACAATATATGCATTGAGATGTGTGTGCGCACCGAGGTGACTTTTTATATATGTGTATGCAGGCAAGCTCGGGCAATGACACAGCTAGCTTTCGATAGCTTAGAAGAGACGGAGAGAGAGAGAGAGAGAGAGAGAGAGAGAGAGAGAGAGAGAGAGAGAGAAAGAGAGAGAGAGAGAGAGAGAGAGACAGAGAGAGAGAGAGAGAGAGATACCATGGAATGTCCGAGAAAGCAGTTGAATCAAGGTTACATACCTTGGTAAACAGTGGTGATCAGCTGCTCAGTGGTCACCACTTCTGAAAGAAAATTATCAAAATCCAGAAAAAAACAGAGTCATGTGCAAACAATATCGACACACACTACCACATCTCTAAAAATAGTTAGGTGCATGGTTCAAGTAGAGAACCATGGCTATGAAACACAAGCACATCTGACACGTCTGATGATCAGAAGAACGACAATTATACGAACATTGACTACAAAATTGTAGCCTAACCATCGTTTATCCGAAATGCCTGCTTGCACTGTATTGAAAGGACAAATACGAGTTTCGCTGATTCTCCCAGCCGCAGCACCTTTTAAATGATGCACAGGATGTGTGGCAGCAAGTTGTTGTCACCATGTATCCCCATTTTTTTTCATTTTGAGGAGCTGGAGTGAGTCCAATTCCTGTGGCAATGCCGATAAGAATAAGAAACGATGAAAACACGGGGGCACGGATTATCATGTCTTAGATGTGTGTGTGTGGCGGCTGCCTTATCCAAAACTTACTCCTCATATGAATCCCATGAAGACGACGCTGATCCGAGGGGTGCGGATAATCGGCACTCTACTGTACATGCATATGCATGAAAGTCGGAGTTGCAGCCGAACAGTTTTAATTTGTTTTCAGTACGTGTACTTATACATAATGCACTGCAGCGAGCACTCTCGTGAGCTACCATGATTCGCTTCAAATGCGGTATCCAACTGACCTGTAGGTGTTGTTGGCTCCTGTGTCGTAACCACCATACTGGTTGTATCTGGCATATCAGCTGTGGTCGTGACAATAGCGGGCTGTGTTGTCGCTGTTGGTGGCATAGTAGTGCGTGCTGGACCGACTGCACACAGTACACACACAGCACACATGCACATCACCAAGGTCACAAGGACTGTACGGCAGACTGTCACCACACTGAATTCAACCGAAGATCCGAACTTCTGTTTTAGAGAGCTCCATGCACCTCAGCCCCGGGTATCGAGCACTGTTTTGAACAGTGTAAGTTGAACAGTGTAAGTCGACTACTGTGCATCCCACAGTATGTTATATCTGGGATCCTTCATACTGAAGTGACTGCCAGGGTAGACGATACTTACTGAACTGAACCTGGGCAGTTCCACTGTAAAACATCACATCCGGTGCTTTGACTTCGCACACGTATTCTCCACTGTCTGATGGTTCAGGAGTCTGGATGCGCAGGATCTCGCCGTCGTGACCCATTACTTGGTGACGTCGCTCGTCAAGCGGTGTGCCGTCCTGCCGCCTCCATGTGTAGAACGGGTAGGTGATGTTCGGCGCATCGTGACTGCACGTCAACACAATGCTCTCTGTACTGGCATTGGCCATCGCCGAGGATGGAGATATGCTAGCAATGTAGACTGCAAGTATATCACAAACAGAAACAGAACACACACACACACACACACACACACACACAAACACACAAACACACACAACACACACAACACACAGCTGTGAAACCCCCACAGTACCTAAGCAGCAAAGCCAATGTCAGACACAAACCGGCAAGTGGATCACAATACGCATAACCATGGTCTTTGACTAACCTGCAACTACTGGTTCTTCAGTTGTTGTTGTTGTTGTTGTAGTGGCATTGATTGGCTGTGCTGTTGATGGTTGAGGTGCTGTAGTGCGTGCTGGATCTACTGCAATACACATGCACGCCCGCAAGCCCGCCCACCCAACACATGCACGCACACACGCGCGTGTGCACGCACGCACGCACACACACACTCACATACACACACACACACACACACACACACACACACACACAGGTGTTTCCACACAGACTTCACTTAAGAATGTCAGCATTAACTGCCAGTTGGCTAGCACTACTACATGAATAGCAAGAGGATTTCACTGGCTCATTCTGGGCCCAGCACGTAACCCTACCGATAAGCAACACAGTGCTGTAAGCTGATGCAGGAGTAAGAAGAAACATCTGTGCTTCAGCACGGATGGTACCCCCCCCCCCCCCATCTCACCCTGCCCTACCCTACCCCTTTTCTGAGGTCAAAGCACTTTACTTCCACACTGACTGTACCCCATCACCTCATCCTTCCCTACCCCTATATCGAAGTCAAGGCACATCCCTTCCACACTGATTGTACCCCACCACGGTACCTTGCCCTGCCCCACTCTTTCCCCTGTTTCGAGATTAAAACACATCACTGCCAGTAAACTACATAGAACATTTCCACCTTGGACCTACCGGTAGCATCAACAATAAATTCTTGCTCAATGAACAAATTTAAAGTGAAAACTTCGGTGTATTTCAAGACACTCACACTCACACTCACACAAACAAACATACACACACGTAAAGCAGAGAATTGGATTTCTACTCGAACCTCATCACGGTCATTTTCCCTCAACAAATGACTCTAACCCTTTCTTCGAGGTGCTAGCCAAAGCAACGTAGCTAAGTGATGCATTCTCTGTCAACTTTTCACAGGAATGAAAAGTGCAATTGAACAATGCCTGAATAGACTAAGCACAACTCCGGTATTCTCCTTACAGAATGCATTGCATGAATACAGGCCCTCATCTTTGTAGACCACTATGCTGAATCACTACTACAAAAAGGAAGTCATCTCAAACATTGAACAACACAACACCCTATGTTTATCTGTAGCTGCTCGTGAACACGGAACAAGTAATCACACTCACCTTGTGTTGCGGCTGTAACTACACTGAACACCACTTCTGCAGATCCCGGTTCAATTTCAGTGGATCCACCACTATCCACACTGCATACATAGTTGCCTGCATCTGATGCAATTGGTTCCTGGATTGTCAGTACTTCTCCATTCAAGCCACCAATCTCAAATCTACCCAAAGGAAGATCTCTGCCATCCGAAAGAGACCAGCGATAAGTCACGAATAATGCATTTGGATCATTGTGACTGCATCTGAGCACTAAATTGTTGGTGCTAGAGTCAAACTCCACTCTAGATGGAGATACTGTGGCGAAGAATCCTACATCACATCAAAAAGAAGCACAAGCAATGAGGAAGTGGTTGTCAAACCACTCATTCTCAAAACACACACACACACACACGATCTACCTTATTGTTTCTACGCATCACCATTCCAGGTGTGTTCATCAACCATGACATACATGTCCTCCAGATCATGGTTATCATGCATACAGTCTCTATTTCATTTCTAACTTTAAATGTATATTTCACACTACTCATGGAATAATTTTATTGCCCACACTCACCTGCTCGCGTGGGTGGCACTGTTGTAGATACATCTTCTTCTGTGGTAATCCTTGGGGCTGAACTACCTGCAATTGGTCTCGTTGTTCTTCCATCATCAACTACAACACACAAAATGGAAATCAATCACATGAAGGGATGCAATATCAATATACCATTGCTAGTGAAAATACAAAAGAAAAGTGGGGCAAAACACCTGTATCAAAGGAACATTGGCAATCGTGAACTACACATCGATGCCAGCAACGGGGGCCAGTGAAGTTGCGGTATTCTGATGAGGCCATTGAACAACAGGTAGCGACAGCAAAAACTGAAACTCACCTGCTGGTGTTGATCCTGGTTGTTGTGTGCTCACTTCTACACCTGGACTAACTGGAATTGGTCTTGTTGTTGCTGAGTCATCAACTGCAAGACATTGGATCAACGCAGCCAGCCACTAGTCAGGTCCTCGGAGGCAGTTTATACATAACTGGGCAGCAAAAATTGCCGTGGCCTTGACCGGGTTACTGCTAGTATATTGCAGATATTTAGCCTGGAGGCTACAAGCTACAGCGCTACCATGTCTGGACTGTAAGCCACAGTGCTATATCAATCATTTGGTTCAACCCACAGGCCATACTACCTACTTTCCACTTCCATTAATTTTATATAAGTTTCCGTGCATGGCACGGTAAGTGAAGTTAGCAACCCACCAACAATTACATTCCTAACATAATTTGCACGTACTTGCCATAGCGCATCACGTGCCCGTGCAGAACACGCACTCCGAACTCCCGCGCCCCGGCACGGGACCACGCGGAGCATGCGCATTACTCCGGCTCTCGATGCTGCTTCTTCTTCATCCTTGCTGCGCCAACAGTCAGATCGCTTGACAACCTTGGCCAGTTTTTGAGCTTGCTCTTCGCTTTGCTGTGCTGACGGTCAAATTGTTTGACTATCGCGGCCAGTTTCTGATCAATATCCGATCAACCAGGTCTCTGTCAGTGAGCGATGTCCAGCCAAAACGCTCCGTTTGCTTTGCTGCGCTGACGCAGTGACGGTCAAATTGTTTGACAATCGCGGCCAGTTTCTGATCAATATCCCGGATCAACCATGTCTCTGTCAGTGAGCGATGTCCAGCCATAACGCTCTTTGCTTTGCTGCCTTGACGGTCAAATTGTTTGACAATCGCGGCCAGTTTCTGATCAATATCCGATCAACCATGTCTCTGTCAGTGAGCGATGTCCAGCCAAAATGCGCTCTGCTGAGCTGCGAAACGCACTGGCATCCCGCAATTATTTAGACCCGACAGGAACAAAACCTACTCCGCGGACTCGCCTGCTCGAGTTGAAGTTGGCTCCAGACTACTGTACGCGAGGACTTGGCCGCTCCGGCAGCGGAGCAGAACCTAGCCGAGGCAACTGCAGCCCCATCCCTGGCCTGGGAGACTTTAGTCGGGAGGAGGTTCGCGACGCTTGGAGCACGTATTGTGCGACTGACGCAGCAGCACACCCCTCCAGGGCCCCGGAGCTGTTTTCGCACCAGCCCATAATCTTGAAGATGGCTCGGAAATTTAGGTCCCTGATGCTGAGCTCTCCTCTCTAAAGCTGACACGAAGTATGCCTGGCGGCTTTGGTCTGTTTCCCCTCATGTCTGGCCCCGGCCTGGCATTTTTTGGAAGGTTCGTACCATGTAGATAAGGCACCACCATTTGGCCTTAGATCCTCCCCCTTCCGTTCAACAGACCGGCTGATGTGGACTCTCAGCCCAACGGCGACTCAAGTACGTGCGCATGCTCCGCGTGCTCCGCGTGCTCCGCGTGGTCCCGTGCCGGGGCGCGGGAGTTCGGAGTGCGTGTTCTGCACGGGCACGTGATGCGCTATGGCAAGTACGTGCAAATTATGTTAGGAATGTAATTGTTGGTGGGTTGCTAAATATAAGTTTCCGTGCATGGCACGGTAAGTGAAGTTAACAACCACACAAGCCGACCTGTTTGGGAGCTATTACGCGTTGTATTATCAGGGCATAGGCAACAATTGCCGCATGCAGTATGCAATACTATGGACCAATGCCGTAGTATCGCAGGCAACAATTGCCGCATGCAGTATGCAATACTATGGACCAATGCCGTAGTATCGCAGGCAACAATTGCCGCATGCAGTATGCAATACTATGGACCAATGCCGTAGTATCGCAAGCACCAATGTGCGTTAGACTGGCCAATGCCAGGGCTAATGGGGGCAACAATTGCCCGGCGTGTCAATACACGCATACGGTAGGGATGCACTTGTGAGCACATGTAGGCGCACTTGGCTCAATGCCGGCCTGACCCACGATCCCTACCGTTCTCCCAAAATACAACATGACCCAAACAGGAATTATCGGCATTACTATAGTTATAGTAGCGTTACTATAGTTATAGTATAATAGGTATATCATATGTACACTACAGCTGTTGCTAGGGCCGTCCAATGCGGCTACCCATTAGCATAACGGGCAGAGACTAGAACAATGCCGCTGGCAATGCTCTGTCTGCGACAGGGGTGCGGACATAGCGGGGGTAGGCAGAGCTTTGCCACCTGCCGGCGGTCTTCAGCACGTACTCAGGCACGCCAGCTTTGCCTGCCAGCGTTGCAGCGCCTCGTCTGAGGCTGTGGCTGCGCACGTCTTTGTTAGGCAAGGCTGTTTGTAGTAGCCTGTTGATGTTATGCGGCTTCAGGGGCGTGCCGTCATCATAGCGATAGAGCGGGCCAGGTGCCGAGCCACGGGCTGCTAGGTAACTGGTGGCTGCCGTGTGCGGGCATGTCGGCGAGCCTGTCCTCCTGACGCTAATGTCCTGGCCGCTGCCGTATTGGCTCGTCTTTGTCACACGCAGGCGCAGCTCCACGCGGTCTGGGTACATGGTCGCATCGCTGTACTCAAGGCCGGCGCCCCGTGCCGTGAAGGTGTACTCGTTGACTCTGAGCAGCCCGTGGAAGGCCAGAGTCACGGCGCTCCAGAGCATGGCGCGGTTGTGCGGGCTAGGCACGGTGGACTGCAGGTAGTGCTGTACGCCAGCCAGATCGTCCAAAGTTGCGGCCCGCGTCGTCAACTGCTGAAGGGTGGACTGCGCTGGTTGTGTCGGCACTGCGTCGGCAGTTGGGCTGCGAGTCCAGAAGCGTCGACAACCTGACCCAAACAGGATTTATCTACATTACTATTACACTACAATTGATGTGAGTGCCGTCCAATGCGGCTGCCCATTAGCATAGTGGGCAATGCGCTCAGCGTACCGGATATGGAACAATGCTGCTGGCACTGATCCGTCACTGGGTATGGCTTGCCCTAGTGCGGGGTGACAAGCGTTCGGAGCGCTGCAGCGAAGCGTATGTTGTGCTGGAGCTGCCCGCCAGGCCCTGGCGGATGAGGTCCATGGTTGCGTCATCAACTGCTGAAGGGTGGACTGCGCTGGTTGTGCCGGCACCGCTTCGGCAGTTGGGCTGCAAGTCCAGGCGCGCTGACAACCGGACCCAGACAGGATTTATCTGCATTACTATTACACTGCAATTTATGTGAGTGCCGTCCAATGCGGCTGCCCATTAGCATAGTGGGCGATGTGCTCGAAGTACAGGATCTGGAACAATGCTGCCGGCACTGATCAGTCCCTGAGGTTGGCTTGCCCTGGCGCAGGGCGACAAGCGTTCGGAGTGCTGCGGCGAAGCGCATGCCATGCTGGAGCTGTCCGCCAGGCCCTGGCGGATGAGGTCCATGGTTGCGTCGTCAACTGCTGGAGGGTGGACTGCGCTGGTTGTGTCGGCACCACTTCGGCAGTTGGGATGCGAGTCCGGCAGCGCTGACAACCTGACCCAAACAGGATTTATCTGCATTACTATTACACTGCATTTGATGTGAGTGCCGTCCAATGCGGCTAGCCATTAGCACAGTGGGCAATGCACTCAAAGTACAGGATCTGGAACAATGCTGCCGGCACTGATCAGTCCCTGAGTGTGGCTTGCCCTGGTGCAGGGCGACAAGTGTTCGGAGCGCGGCAGCGAAGCGCATGTTATGCTGGAACTGGCCGCCAGGCCCTGGCGGATGAGGTTCATGGTTGCGTCGTCAACTGCTGGAGGGTGGACTGTGCAGGGTGTGTCAGCACTGCGTCGGTAGATGGGCTGAGAGTCCGGAAGCGCTGTACTCGAAGACGAGTAAGAGACTTAGCAGGATCATTGCAGAGTCGCCGTTGGGCTGAGAGTCCACATCAGCCGGTCTGTTGAACGGAAGGGGGAGGATCTACGGCCAAATGGTGGTGCCTTATCTACATGGTACGAACCTTCCAAAAAATGCCAAGCCGGGGCCAGACATGAGGGGAAACAGACCAAAGCCGCCAGGCATACTTCGTGTCAGCTTTAGAGAGGAGAGCTCAGCATCACTCAAAAACTGGCCAAGGTTGTCAAGCGATCTGACTGTTGGCGCAGCAAGGATGAAGAAGAAGCAGCATCGAGAGCCGGAGTAATGCGCATGCTCCGCGTGGTCCCGTGCCGGGGCGCGGGAGTTCGGAGTGCGTGTTCTGCACGGGCACGTGATGCGCTATGGCAAGTACGTGCAAATTATGTTAGGAATGTAATTGTTGGTGGGTTGCTAACTTCACTTACCGTGCCATGCACGGAAACTTATATTTAGCAACCCACCAACAATTACATTCCTAACATAATTTGCACGTACTTGCCATAGCGCATCACGTGCCCGTGCAGAACACGCACTCCGAACTCCCGCGCCCCGGCACGGGACCACGCGGAGCATGCGCATTACTCCGGCTCTCGATGCTGCTTCTTCTTCATCCTTGCTGCGCCAACAGTCAGATCGCTTGACAACCTTGGCCAGTTTTTGAGCACCACCACCCACCCCATCATCTCTAACCATCATTCTATTCTAAGCCATCCCGGAAGGGAGAACGGTAGGGATCGTGGGTCAGGCCGGCATTGAGCCAAGTGCGCCTACATGTGCTCACAAGTGCATCCCTACCGTATGCGTGTATTGACACGCCGGGCAATTGTTGCCCCCATTAGCCCTGGCATTGGCCAGTCTAACGCACATTGGTGCTTGCGATACTACGGCATTGGTCCATAGTATTGCATACTGCATGCGGCAATTGTTGCCTGCGATACTACGGCATTGGTCCATAGTATTGCATACTGCATGCGGCAATTGTTGCCTGCGATACTACGGCATTGGTCCATAGTATTGCATACTGCATGCGGCAATTGTTGCCTATGCCCTGATAATACAACGCGTAATAGCTCCCAAACAGGTCGGCTTGTGTGGTTGTTAATGTATCTTTATCAATGTACATGTAGTCTTGCTGTTCTAGGTGCGAAGCCCGCCACCTCAGATCCTTAATCACTCATGGCCACAACAGTGATCAGGCTGGCTGCAGGGACACTCTGATCTACTGCATGCACTGCATGCACTACAAATCAACGCCCACAAAATGCTCAACAGGATTTGACCTGTGTGTTCAGTGGATGTGTGAAAAGAGTGCACTTATCCAGAGTGAGTGCAATCCTATGTGAAACATGACAACGTCGCAATCAAAATAACACAATGGGAGTGGCTAACCCCCAATGGCTTGTCCATCCACTCTTCAAAACAACACAATCATGGATATTGTATGTACTCTGAAAATGACTATCAGTCATCACTCATCGCTCATTACTCACCATATACAACCATTGCTGATCCAGCGTTGAAGTTGTTGTCCATCGTTTGCACCGTACACACATATTGTCCAGCATCAGAAGGCAAAGCATTCTCCACGGTCAGGATCTCTCCAGATGCACCGCTGATCACCACCCGAGTCATGGGCAGTGGTACTCCATATGCTCTTACCCACTGTATGATTGGTGCCAGGCCAGCAACATCTGGATAGTCATGACTACATGTTAACTGGAAGCTGTACGTAGAGCTGTTCATCACTACTCTCTCAGGGGAAACACTCACACTATAACCTGAGGGATTGAAAAAGGCAAAATAAACCTTGAGAATAGGATATGATGGACATCTTGATGGACTACAGTTGGATGATTATCCTGTACACAAGCAACTGAGTACCAGGTTTTGAGAGCAAGGCTCAAGAACAGAGATGCTCTTATTTTAATAAGATATTTATTCAACTCAAGCTCATAGCAAATGCAAGCAATGCTAGTATGAGGGTGTAGCAACCCCAGACAGGAGTGTAATAGCCAACCATAAAGAAATCTAGGTGATTACCTGATACAATATAGAGAGATTGTCACTTTTGTCAGTTTACTCGCCGCATCTCTTGGGGTGGTATGAGTATTGTCTGCTACGATCTTGTTCAAAAAGAGAGCATTTGCCCAGCTATTCTATGTACAGTGAGCCTCGTGAATACTGACCTTGGGTATAACAACTATCCAATAATGACACAATCTGTAGACCCAGTGATAATTTGACTGCATACTTTTAAACCCCACAAATGATGGCAACTCATGACAATGTTTTTATGCACGACAGAGGGTGGCTATTCGCAAGTTTTAGTGTACTTCAAGTAACACTGAAGAAAGCCATGGGAGAGTGTCACAGTGTCACAGTGTCACAGTGTCACAGTGTCACATTGTCACAGTGTCACAATGTGATCACTATCTGCACTCTTAGTCTTATGCTATAAAACAAAGTTGTTAACATACAAGGAACGAGACTAGGGACATTACGCACAAAAAATGAATCGCCATGTATCACCGGTGCTTCATGAATGCGTGCATACCTTTAGTTGTGACAAGAACTTGAGGAGTAGTTGGTGTTGCTGCCGTTGCTGCAGGTGAAATACAGTCCAATAAGAGAAACTGAGCAAGAACATTGACTAATATTCAGAAAAGATGTAAACACATACAGTGCGCATGGGAACATCCATAACATTATACCCATACACGGAATCACAAAAAGGTGAAAGTGAGAAGAAACCAAACAAGTGTACGATGCATTGCAACAACAATGGACAAAGCTGACGAGTTGTGCACGACCTGAAAACCCCCATTATTATAGTGAAGCATTCCCAAATTTCTTGTCACGAATCAATTCTAAACTCTTTACTTGCACATCCATAGTAATGCTAAATGGATGCTTGCACAAGCGTTGAGCCAATGGAAGAAGGGCTAATTTTTTCCCTGTTTGTAAAAAATCTAGACTAATGATGCCACTGGAAGGTATGCGGTGCATATTGAAATGATGTTGCATGGTCCCTCGTGTGTTGGCGTGGCGAGACTCACCGCATTATCATCCTCCACTGATGAGTTCGCAAGAGTGAAACACCTGTCTAGAAGCGTAACATTATCTGTCAACGGAAGTGTCCTTGCTGTGCTGGTGTGATATGCTTCGTGAATGGGTTCGGCTAAGAGCGCATGGTGGTGACGGGTTGAGGATGTAGCAAATTTAAACTAGATCCAGAATAATGTGTGTGGGTAATGATCTCGTCAATGTTAGAAAAGGTCTTGTCAAACATTGAAATACACAGCACCCTATGTTCATAAATAATTTCTTGTGAACACGGAACAAGAAATCACACTCACCTTGTGTTGTGGTTGTAACCACACTGAATACCACTTCTGCAGATCCTGGTCTAATTCCAGTGGATCCAAAACTAGCTACACTGCACACATAGTTGCCTGCATCTGATGCAATTGGTTCCTGGATTGTCAGTACTTCTCCATTCAAGCCACCGATCTCAAATCTACCCAAAGGAAGAGCTCTGCCATCCAAAAGAGACCAGCGATAAATCACGAATAACGCATTGGGATCATTGTGACTGCATCTCAGCACAAAATTGTTGGTGCTAGAGTCCAACTCCACTCTTGAAGGAGATACTATTGCGAAGGATCCTATATCACATCAAAAAGAAGCACAAACAATGAGGAAGTGGTTGTCAAACCACTCGTTCTCAAAACACACACACACCCGATCTACCTTATTGTTTCTATGCATCACCATTCCAGGTGTGATCATCAACCATGACATACATGTCCTCCAGATCATGGTTATCATGCATACAGTCTCTATTTCATTTCTAACTCTCCTTTATTTTTCACACTACTCATGGAATTATTTTGTTCCCCACACTCACCTGCTGGTGTTGGAGGCATTGTTGTCCCTGGACCTGAACTAGCTGCAATTGGTCTCGTTGTTCTTCCATCATCAACTACAAAACACAAAATGGAAATCAATTACATGAATTACTCTGATGGTGAGCCAAGGAAAGTGTTAAATTGAAACAAGGAAAATGGTGGGGCACAAGTTATGCGTTAGAGTCCATCAAGTCACTCTCTCTAACTCACTTCCTTGCCGTGGAATGTCTCAGTACTCCTTGTTAGTCTTGTGCTACCTTGTGCACGTCTGACCGTTCAAAACCTGGTTTAGTTGGTGGACTCGCATAACTTGTGCCCCACCGGCCGTTTTCCTCGTTTCAAATCACATGAAGGCATGCAATATAGATATACCATTGCTAGTGAAAGTACAAGACAAAAATGGGGCTAAAACCTGTATCAAAGGAAAAATGGCAATCGCGAACTACACATGGCTGCCAGCAACGAAGGCCAGTGAAGTTGCTGTATTCTGATGAGGCCATTGAACACCAGGTAGCGACAGCAAAAACTGAAACTCACCTGCTGGTGTTGATCTAGGTTGTTGTGTGCTTACTTCTCCACCTGGACTAATTGGAATTGGTCTTGTTGTTGCTGAGTCATCAACTGCAAGACATTAGATAAACACAGTCATGCAGCCAGGGGCCAGGTTATCGGAGGCAGTTAATACATTTCGGGGAAGTAAATAGTGCACTGGATAGCGAAAGTCACAGTGGCCTTGATCGGGTTACTGCTATATATTGCCGATGTTTAGCCTGGAGGCTGTAACCTACAATGCTACCATACCCGGATTGTAAGCTAGAATGCTGTATCAATCTGTTGTTCAAACAGAGAGGTCATGTTAGTTGCTTGCATTTTGTATCCTAATTAGAAACAAAATTGTAGTGTTGCTGTTCTAGTTGCAAAGCCCACCACCACAGATCATTAATCAGTTGAAATTTGATAAGACCGGCTGCTGGAACACTCTCCGCTTAGATCAGCGCCACAGCATGAATGCCATGTGGGACGCACAGATGGCCACAGTAATTAAAACTAAATTTCAAAGTGAGGAAAATCCACCCACAGCCTCTTCCTCTTGCTGCATGGTCTGCAAACAACATCATGCTGTTGAGATGGGGCTACCTTCCATGCATCGGCACATGTCTTATATGAGGACCGGGCATCTGGGGGATTAATCTAATTCCTAGCTTGGTGGAAGCTGGTTTGAGTTTTCAGGCGTAACATGACAACCAGCAGTGCCACCCGACACGCAGTTCGGTGCATAAAAACTACGACTTCATTGCTAGGCAATGACAACTACACTCTTAAAGTGACTATCAGTCATCACAGATCACCTACTACTCACCATATACAACCATTGCTGATCCAGAGTCGACGTTGTTGTCCATCCTTTGCACCATACAAAAATATTGTCCAGCATCAGAAGGCAAAGCATTCTCCACGGTCAGGATCTCTCCAGATGCACCGCTGATCACCACCCGAGTCATGGGCAGTGGTACTCCATATGCTCTTACCCACTGTATGATTGGTGCCAGGCCAGCAACATCTGGATAGTCATGACTACATGTTAACTGGAAGCTGTACGTAGAGCTGTTCATCACTACTCTCTCAGGGGAAACACTCACACTATATCCTGGAGGGAATGCAAAAGGCAAAATAAACCTTGAGAATAGGATATGATGGATATCTTGATTGATTACAGTTTGATGCTTATCCCGTAAAAAAACAACTGAGTATCAGGTTTTGAGCGCAAGGCTCAAGAACAGAGATGCTCTTATTTTGTTAAGATATTTATTCAACTCAAGCTCATAGAAAAATACAAGAAATGCTAATATGAAAAGCAACCCCAGATATCAGCGTGATAGCCAAACATAGAGAAATCTAGGAGAATACCTGATATGGTATTGAGAGATTTTGACTTTTGTCAGTTTACTTTCCGCATTTTTTGGTGGTATGGGTATTGTTTCCTACCACCTTGTTCAACCAAGAGCATTTGCTCAGCTCAGTCAGGCTTGTGTGACTACTGACCTTGGGTATAACAACTTTCGAATAACCACACAATCTTCAGACACAGTGATAATTTGACTGCATGCTTTTAACCCCACAAATGATGACAAATCACATGTTTAGTGGACAACAGAGGGTGGTTTTCGCAAATTTTATAGAGTACTTCAAGTAACGCTGAAGAAATGTATGGATGAGGATCCCAGTGTTATCACTATCTGCCCCCTTAGTCTTATGCCACACGGTGAAAGAAAATTGCCAACAGACAAGGAACGAGACTGTATGGACATAACGCACAAAAAAATGAATCGCTATTTATCACCGGTGCTTTATGAATGCATGCATACCTTTAGTTGTGACAAGGGCTTGAGGAGTAGTTGGCGTTGCTGCCGTTGATGTATCGGGTGCTGTTCCGGACCCTATGATTGGGGCAGTTGTTTCATCCGTGGCATCAGTACCAGTGACATTGCTCGTTGTTGGCATGTCAGTTGTTACAGCTGCAGGCAATGTAGAACACCGGGAAGTAAACAGAAGTGTCACTACACACAAGAAGAGAAGAAAGCTTCACGATCCTCAAAAATAAACAGTTTTAGAGCTTTTTCACTGACTTCTCATCAGGTGGAACACAGTCAAATAAGAGAAATAAGCGGACGATGCATTGCAACAACAATGGACAACGCAAACGAGTTGTTGACGACGTAACATAACCCCTTTATACCGTAAAGTACCGTTGATCCACCCCATCTTTAATTGCCCCACCCCCCGTCGATTTTCTGCCTGTGAAGCGACTTCGGGGTATACAACGAAATACGATGTTGAACCGAGGCATGCACTGCTGTACACAGTATGTGCGAGTGCAGGATGAAAATGTGCACAACCCAGCACATCGAGTCTGAACTTCCATGTTGTTGCACATCGTACTGCACTTGACAGCCTTGATCTAATCCCCGCCCCCTGCCGAGAACCCAGCTGGGAAGCGACATGGCGTCGGGGTGGATCACCATTACTTTATGGTAATAGTGAAGCATTCCCAAATATCTTGTCACGAATCAATTCTAAACTCTTTACCCGCACCTTCATAGTAATGGTAAATTGATGCTTGCACAAGCGTTGAGCCAATGGAAGAAAGACTAATTAGTGGCAACCACTGTGCATATTTACCTTGCGATGGAACTGTGAAACTCAATGCTTCACTCCATTCAGACACAATGCAGTTGTCTGCATCACCGTGATAGCGAATTCTCAGTGCCGCTTGTGTTCCCGCACCAAGTCGTGGTATGACAACCTCCTTTGTACTATTACCCACAGCAATCTGTCCCACTGGTCCCCAGGCATTGTCCACAAAAAGCTCCACGCTGAAGAAGCTCACTCCTTGCACAAAGTTCGGATATGATGGCACTTGGTACATGCCCAGTGACTCATCAACAAAGCGTATTGTATTATCTGGCCACACAGGTGCGTCTGAACCAGTACAACAGAAAGCAAAATCAGAGTTGAAGTAGACATTCACAGTGTATGGGTCGCTTTAGATGGTGACTTTCTCTTAACGGGCACAAGCATTATCGGGAAGGCCAAAAGTCAAACAGAGAAGAACATTAGAAAATAGTTGATCTGATGAAGATGTCAAAACCTCCATTGGTCCGGTATCAAATGTCCAATTGACTGCAAGGTACTTCAAGTACAATGTAATTCTTACCCACTGTTCTGCATGGGGAGTCGCTGGTGCCACTGCCGCCCAAATCAGTGACCATCATGTCACCAGATGCCGTGGTCAATGAATCAGAAGTGATCCCTGCATTCACACAATCATAGAACAAATAGATGACAAAGATATTGTCATACTTTGATCCACGACGGGGTGATAGAGTACCGACTATCTCACCCATCGACATTTTAAAGTGTTGCTCCGAGTACTCCTAACACTGTCTGTCCTCAGAGACTTTTCTCTCCTTCTCCTCCGAAGACAGTGTCTTGTCTATTTGTATTTGCCTGTGCGCTGTGATCATAATACAAAGATTAGGGAGGTTTCGCTCTAGCACACATAAAAAAGCATATGACGCTCGTCTTTTCTTCGAGGTTCTAGCCAAAGCAACGTAGCTAAGCGATGCACTCGTTTTCAACTTTTACAGGAATGAAAAGTGAAATTGAACTATGCCTGATTAGACTAATCACAACTCCTGTCTTTTACGCACAGAATGCATTGCATGTATACAGGCCCTCATCTTTGTAGACCACTATGCTGACTCACTACTACTACTACTACTACTACTACTACAAAAAGAAGTACTCTCAAACCTTGAACAACACAACACCCTATGTTCATCTGTAGCGGCTTGTGAACACGGAACAAGAAATCACACTCACCTTGTGTTGTGGTTGTAAGCACACTGAATACCACTTCTGCAGATCCCGGTCCAATTTCAGTGGATCCACCACTATCCACACTGCATACATAGTTGCCTGCATCTGATGCAATTGGTTCCTGGATTGTCAATACTTCTCCATTCAAGCCACTGATCTCAAATCTACCCAAAGGAAGATCTCTGCCATCCGAAAGAGACCAGCGATAAGTCACGAATAATGCATTTGGATCATTGTGACTGCATCTGAGCACAAAATTGTTGGTGCTAGAGTCCAACTCCACTCTTGAAGGAGATACTGTGGCGAAGGATCCTATATCACATCAAAAAGAAGCACAAGCAATGAGGAAGTGGCTGTCAAAGTTTGCAAGTGATTAGCAATTTAGCATACACACGTAGAAATTGGAGATGGCTGATTGGAACGTGGAGGAGAGTTATGCAGAACAAGTGGCTAGTGATTGGGAAGGCATACAGCATCGTACAGTGGAACTTAATTAGTGCGGGGGGGGGGGGGGAGTACTCCAATAAGTCATACTCTTGCCTAGTACAGTACGTATCTTGTCCGGAGCACGGGTGTATTGCTCACTACTGAAGTATGCTAGGATGAGAAGTACCTTGAATGCTAAGAACACTTTCCTGCTGCCCATGTGGGTATGCTGTATCATAGTTTTATCCAAATTCTACTGTATATATGTATAATAGTACATGTGTTATTTTTGCCACTCCAAAGTAGGTGCAAAGCAGATGTTCTTGTTACTCACCTTTCTCACTGGTTATAACAGAAGCTGGTGCAGTTGTCATTATCGGTACGGTTGTTGGCATTGTGCGAGGTGGACCCTCTGTGTAGTGCACACGAACACACAGCGAACAGAGCATAGCATTATGCATGACTACGGGAGACACTAGTCCTTTCTACTTCTGTCCGACATTTCGTTGCATTCAGGTGTTGTAGACATCACACGTGTACGTAACTAACAAAGAATCTTGAAATAAAAAGAGAAACCCTGCCGACCAGTACATATTTAGTTATACCTCTATTCAGTGGCGCCTAGCAGAAGTCTTCGCTAAAGAACGAATAATAGATGTACTTCTAAAATAGGAATATTACAGCACAGAATATAACTATTGACATACACCACCAACATACCGTAGACGACGGTAGCCGAACCAGGCAGAATATTTCCATCTGGGTCGCTCACTTTGCAAGTGTAGACGCCGGCATCGGATGGCTCAGGCCTGAAAATCGTGAGCATGTCACCGAACTGATCGCTTATCATCACCCGCTGCGTTGGCAGCTGGCCGTCAGCTCGGCGCCATGTATACACAGCAAGCGTAACATTGGGCTTGTCGTGAGCACACGTGAGTATGAGCGCTGGAACGCTCGCATTGACCACTACGCGGCTTGGTGACACGACTGCGTTGAATTCTGTGAACAAATAGGAAAACAAGATATGCATTGAGATGTGTGTGCGCACCGAGGTGACTTTTTATATATGTGTATGCAGGCAAGCTCGGGCAATGACACAGCTAGCTTTTGATAGCTTAGAAGAGACAAAGAGAGAGAGAGAGAGAGAGAGAGAGAGAGAGAGAGAGAGAGAGAGAGAGAGAGAGAGAGAGAGAGAGAGAGAGAGAAAGAGAGAGAGATACAATGGAATGTCCGAGAAAGCAGTTGAATCAAGGTTACATACCTTGGTAAACAGTGGTGATCAGCTGCTCAGTGGTCACCACTTCTGAAAGAAAATTATCAAAATCCAGAAAAAAAACAGAGTCATGTGCAAACAATATACACACACTACCACATCTCTAAAAATAGTTAGGTGCATGGTTCAAGTAGAGAACCATGGCTATGAAACACAAGCACATCAAACTGACACGTCTGATGATCAGAAGAACGACAATTATACGAACATCGACTACAAAATTGTAGCCTAACCATCGTTTATCCGAAATGCCTGCTTGCACTGTATTGAAAGTATGAGTTTTGCTGATTCTCCCATCCGCAGCACCTTTCAAATGATGCACAGGATGTGTGCCAGCAAGTTGCTGTCACCATGTATCCCCATTTTGTCATTTTGAGGAGCTGGAGTGAGTCCAACTCCTGTGGCAATGCCAATAAGAATAAGAAACGATGACAACACGGGGGCACGGATTATCAGGTCTTAGATGTGTGTGTGTGTGGCGGCTGCCTTATCCAAAACCTACTCCTCATACGAATCTCATGAAGACGACGCTGATCCGAGGGGTGCGGATAATCGGCACTCTACTGTACATGGATATGCATGAAAGTCGGAGTTGCAGCTGAACAGTTTTAATTTGTTTTCAGTACGTGTACTTATACATAATGCACTGCAGCGAGCACTGTCGTGAGCTACCATAATTCGCTTCAAAATGCGGTATCCAACTGACCTGTAGGTGCTGTTGGCTCCTGTGTCGTAACCACCATACTGGTTGTATCTGGCATATCAGCTGTGGTCGTGACAATAGCGGGCTGTGTTGTCGCTGTTGGTGGCATAGTAGTGCGTGCTGGACCGACTGTACACAGTACACACACAGCACACATGTACATCAGCAAGGTCACAAGGACTGTATGGCAGACTGTCACCACACTGAATTCAACCGAAGATCCGAACTACTGTTTTAGAGAGCTCCATGCACCCCCAGCCCCGGGTATCGAGCACTGTTTTGAACAGTGTAAGTTGAACAGTGTCAGTCGACTACTGTGCATCCCACAGTATGTTCTATCTGGGATCCTTCGTACTGAAGTGACTGCCAGGGTAGACGATACTTACTGAACTGAACCTGGGCAGTTCCACTGTAAAACATCACATCCGGTGCTTTGACTTCGCACACGTATTCTCCACTGTCCGATGGTTCAGGAGTCTGGATGCGCAGGATCTCGCCGTCATGACCCATTACTTGGTGACGTCGCTCGTCAAGCGGTGTGCCGTCCTGCCGCCTCCATGTGTAGAACGGGTAGGTGATGTTCGGCGCATCGTGACTGCACGTCAACACAATGCTCTCTGTACTGGCATTGGCCATCGCCGAGGATGGAGATACGCTAGCAATGTAGACTGCAAGTATATCACCGAAACAGAAATAGAACACACACACACACACGCACACACAAAACACACAACACACAGCTGTGAAACCCCACAGTACTCAAGCAGCAAAACCAATGTCAGGTACAAACCGGCAAGTGGATCACAATACGCATAACCAAGGTCTTTGACTAACCTGCAACTACTGGTTCTTCAGTTGTTGTTGCTGTTGTTGTTGTTGTTGTTGTTGTAGTGGCATTGATTGGCTGTGTTGTTGATGGTTGAGGTGCTGTAGTGCGTGCTGGATCTACTGCAACACACATGCACGCCCACAAGCCCGCCCATCCGCATGCACAAAACACACACACTCACACACACACACACTCACACACACACACACACACACACACACACACACACACACACACACACACACACACACACACACACACACACACACACACACACACACACACACACACACACACACACACACACACACACACACACACACACACACACACACACACACACACACACACACACACACACACACACACACACACACACACACACACACACACACACACACACACACACACACACACACACACACACACACACACACACACACACACACACACACACACACACACACACACACACACACACACACACACACACACACACACACACACACACACACACACACACACACACACACACACACACACACACACACACACACACACACACACACACACACACACACACACACACACACACACACACACACACACACACACACACACACACACACACACACACACACACACACACACACACACACACACACACACACACACACACACACACACACACAGGTGTTTCCACACAGACTTCACTTCAGAATTTCAGCATTAACTGCCAGTTGGCTAGTACTACTACATGTACATGAATAACAAGAGGATTTCACTGGCTCATTCTGGGCCCAGCACGTAACCCTACCGATAAGCAACACAGTGCTGTAAGCTGATGCAGGAGTAAGAAGAAACATCAGTGCTTCAGCACGGATGGTACCCCCCCCCCCATCTCGCCCTGCCCCACCCCTACCCCTTTTCTGAGGTCAAAGCACTTTACTTCCACACTGGTTGTACCCCATCACCTCGCCCTTCCCTACCCCTATTTCGAGGTCAAGGCACATCCCTTCCACACTGATTGTACCCCACCACGGCACCTTGCCCTGCCCCACTCTTTCCCCTGTTTCGAGATTAAAACACATCACTGCCAGTAAATTACATAGAACATTTCCACCTTGGACCTACCGGTAGCATCAACAATAAATTCTTGCTCAATGAACAAATTTAAAGTGAAAACTTCGGTGTATTTCAAGACACTCACACTCACACAAACAAACATACACACACACGTAAAGCAGCGAATTGGATCTCTACTCGAACCTCATCAAGGTCATTTTCTCTCGCCAAAAGACTCTAATCCTTTCTTCGAGGTTCTAGCCAAAGCAACGTAGCTAAGTGATGCATTCTCTGTCAACTTTTCACAGGAATGAAAAGTGCAATTGAACAATGCCTGAATAGACTGAGCACAACTCCTGTATTCTCCTTACAGAATACATTGCATGAATACAGGCCCTCATCTTTGTAGACCACTATGCTGAATTACTACTACAAAAAGGAAGTCATCTCAAACATTGAACGACACAACACCCTATGTTTATCTGTAGCTGCTTGTGAACACGGAACAAGAAATCACACTCACCTTGTGTTGTGGTTGTAACCACACTGAATACCACTTCTGCAGATCCTGGTCTAATTCCAGTGGATCCAAAACTAGCTACACTGCATACATAGTTGCCTGCATCTGATGCAATTGGTTCCTGGATTGTCAGTACTTCTCCATTCAAGCCACCAATCTCAAATCTACCCAAAGGAAGATCTCTGCCATCCACAAGAGACCAGCGATAAGTCACGAATAATGCATTTGGATCATTGTGACTGCATCTGAGCACTAAATTGTTGGTGCTAGAGTCAAACTCCACTCTTGATGGAGATACTGTGGCGAAGAATCCTACATCACATCAAAAAGAAGCACAAGCAATGAGGAAGTGGTTGTCAAACCACTCATTCTCAAAACACACACACACAAACGATCTACCTTATTGTTTCTATGCATCACCATTCCAGGTGTGATCATCAACCATGACATACATGTCCTCCAGATCATGGTTATCATGCATACAGTCTCTATTCATTTCTAACTTTAAATGTATATTTCACACTACTCCTGGCATAATTTTATTGCCCCCACTTACCTGCTCGCGTGGGTGGCACTGTTGTAGTTACATCTTCTTCTGTGGTAATCCTTGGGGCTGAACTACCTGCAATTGATCTCGTTGTTCTTCCATCATCAACTACAACCCATAAAATTGAAATCAATCACATGAAGGCATGCAAAATATACCATTGCTAGTGAAAATACAAAACAAAATAGGGGCAAAACACCTGTATCAAAGGAACATTGGCAATCGTGAACTACACATCGCTGCCAGCAACGGAGGCCAGTGAAGTTGCTGTATTCTGATGAGGCCATTGAACAACAGGTAGCGACAGCAAAAACTGAAACTCACCTGCTGGTGTTGATCCTGGTTGTTGTGTGCTCACTTCTACACCTGGACTAACTGGAATTGGTCTTGTTGTTGCTGAGTCATCAACTGCAAGACATTGGATCAACGCAGCCAGCCACTAGTCAGGTCCTCGGAGGCATTTTATACATAACTGGGCAGCAAAAATTGCCCTGGCCTTGACCGGGTTACTGCTAGTATATTTCAGATGTTTAGCCTGGAGGCTACAAGCTACAGGGCTACCATGTCTAGACTGTAAGCCACAGTGCTTTATCAATCATTTGGTTCGACACACAGGCCATACTACCTACTTTCCACTTGCATTAATTTTTGTATCTTTATCAATGTACATGTAGTCTTGCTGTTCTAGGTGCGAAGCCCGCCACCTCAGATCCTTTTAATCGCTCATGGCCACAACAGTGATCAGGCTGGCTGCAGGGACACTCTGATCTACTGCATGCACTGCATGCACTACAAATCAACACCCACAAAATGCTCAACAGGCTTTGACCTGTGTGTTCAGTGGATGTGTGAAAAGAGTGCACTTATCCAGAGTGAGTGCAATCCTATGTGAAACAGGACGTCGCAATCAAAATAACACAATGGGAGCGGATAACCCCCAATGGCTTGTCCACCCACTCTTCAAAACAACACAATCATGGATATTGTATATACTCTGAAAATGACTATCAGTCATCACTCATCGCTCATTACTCACCATATACAACCATTGCTGATCCAGCGTTGAAGTTGTTGTCCATCGTTTGCACCGTACACACATATTGTCCAGCATCAGAAGGCAAAGCATTCTCCACGGTCAGGATCTCTCCAGATGCACCGCTGATCACCACCCGAGTCATGGGCAGTGGTACTCCATATGCTCTTACCCACTGTATGATTGGTGCCAGGCCAGCAACATCTGGATAGTCATGACTACATGTTAACTGGAAGCTGTACGTAGAGCTGTTCATCAGTACTCTCTCAGGGGAAACACTCACACTATACCCTGGAGGGAATGCAAAAGGCAAAATAAACCGTGGGAACAGGATATGATGGACATCTTGATGGACTACAGTTTGATGATTATCCCATACAAAAGCGCCTGATTTTTAGGTTTTGAGAGCAAGGCTCAAGAACAGAGATCACTATCTTCCCTCTAAGTCTTATGCCACATTATGAAAGAAAGTTGTTAACATCCGAGGAACGAGACTGTAGGGACTTTACACACAAAGTATGTATCGCCATTTATCACCGGTGCTTCATGGATGCATGCATACCTTTAGTTGTGACAAGAACTGGAGGAGTAGTTGGCGCTGCTGCCGTTGCTGCAGGTGAAATACAGTCCAATAAGAGAAACTGAGCAAGAACATTGACTAGTATTCAGAAAAGATGTAAAAACATACAGTGCACATGGGAACAACCATTACATTATACCCATACACGGAATCACAAAAAGGTGAAAGTGAGAATAAACCTCACGATGTGTACGGTGCATTGCAACAACAATGGACAAAGCTGACGAGTTGTGGACGACCTGAAAACCCCCATTATTATAGTGAAGCATTCCCAAATTTCTTGTCACGAATCAATTCTAAACTCTTCGCTTGCACATCCATAGTAATGCTGAATTGATGCTTGCACAAGCGTTGAGCCAATGGAAAAAGGGCTATTTTTTTCCCGGTTTATAAAAAATCTAGACTAATGATGCCACTGGAAGGTATGCTGTGCATATTGAAATGATGTTGCATGGTCCCTCGTGTGTTGGCGAGGCGAGACTCACTGCATTATCATCCTCCACTGATGAGTTTGCAAGAGTGAAACACCTGTCTAGAAGCGTAACATTATCTGTCAACGGAAGTGTCCTTGCTGTGCTGGTGTGATATGCTTCGTGAATGGGTTCGGCTAAGAGCGCATGGTGGTGACGGGTTGAGGATGTAGCAAATTTTAACTAGATCCAGAATAATTTGTGTGGGTAATGATCTCGTCAATGTTAGAAAAGGTCTTGTCAAACATTGAAATACACAGCACCCTATGTTCATAAGTAATTGCTTGTGAACACGGAACAAGAAATCACACTCACCTTGTGTTGTGGTTGTAACCACACTGAACACCACTTCTGCAGATCCTGGTCTAATTCCAGTGGATCCAAAACTAGCTACACTGCATACATAGTTGCCTGCATCTGATGCAATTGGTTCCTGGATTGTCAGTACTTCTCCATTCAAGCCACCGATCTCAAATCTACCCAAAGGAAGATCTCTGCCATCCGAAAGAGACCAGCGATAAATCACGAATAACGCATTGGGATCATTGTGACTGCATCTGAGCACAAAATTGTTGGTGCTAGAGTCCAACTCCACTCTTGAAGGAGATACTGTGGCGAAGGATCCTATATCACATCAAAAAGAAGCACAAACAATGAGGAAGTGGTTGTCAAACCACTCGTTCTCAAACACACACGCACACACACACACACACACACACACACACACACCTCAGACCTCAGACATGCCCATCGCGGGAGCGATGATAGCGAACAGCTATGTTAGATATAGCAACTTGTGCTGGGATTACACCATTCAACAGCTTGCAAGGCTGATGAATTGACCGCCACTATTTTTAGCCTGGTATCCACCACACAGCTGTTTGAAGTGACTTTTTCTGGCCAGTGAATCCCTATTTTTCATTTTTCCATTACACACACACAAACACACACACACACACACACACACACACACACACACACACACACACACACGATCTACCTTATTGTTTCTACGGATCACATTCCAGTTGTGATCATCAACTAAGACATACATGTTATCCAGATCATGGTTATCATGCATGCAGTCTCTTTCATTTCTAACTCTCCTATATATTTCACACTACTCATGGAATAATTTTATTCCCCACACTCACCTGGTGGTGTTGGAGGCATTGTTGTCCCTGGACCTGAACTAGCTGCAATCGGTCTCGTTGTTCTTCCGTCATCAACTACAAAACACAAAGTGGAAATCAATTACATGAATTACTCTGATGGTGAGCCAAGGAAAGTGTTAAATTGAAAGAAGGAAAATGGTGGGGCACAAGTTATGCGTTAGAGTCCACCAAGTCACCCTCTCTAACTCACTTCCTTGCCGTGGAATGTCTCAGTACTCCTTGTTAGTCTTGTGCTACCTTGTGCACGCCTGACCGTTCAAAACCTGGTTTAGTTGGTGGACTCGCATAACTTGTGCCCCACCGGCCGTTTTCCTCGTTTCAAATCACATGAAGGCATGCAATATAGATATACCATTGCTAGTGAAAGTACAAGACAAAAATGGGGCTAAAACCTGTATCAAAGGAAAAATGGCAATCGCGAACTACACATGGCTGCCAGCAACGAAGGCCAGTGAAGTTGTTGTATTCTGATGAGGCCATTTAACACCAGGTAGCGACAGCATAAACTGAAACTCACCTGCTGGTGTTGATCCAGGTTGTTGTGTGCTTACTTCTCCACCTGGACTAACTGGAATTGGTCTTGTTGTTGCTGAGTCATCAACTGCAAGACATTAGATAAACACAGTCATGCAGCCACGGGCCAGGTTATCGGATGCAGTTAATACATTTCGGGGCAGTAAAATAGTGCACTGGATAGCGAAAATCGCAGTGGCCTTGATCGGGTTACTGCTATATATTGCCGATGTTTAGCCTGGAGGCTGTAACCTACAATGCTACCATGCCCGGATTGTAAGCTAGAATGCTGTATCAATCTGTTGTTCAAACAGAGAGGTCATGTTAGTTGCTTGCATTTTGTATCCTAATTAGAAAAAATTGTAGTTTTGCTGTTCTAGTTGCAAAGCCCACCACCACAGATCCTCAATCAGTTGAAATTTGATAAGACCGGCTGCAGGAACACTCTCCGCTTAGGTCAGCGCCACAGCATGAATGCCATGTGGGACGCACAGATGGCCACAGTAATTAAAACTAAATTTAAAAGTGGAGAAAATCCACCCACAGCCTCTTCCTCTTGCTGCATGGTCTGCAAACAACATCATGCTGTTGAGATGGGGCTACCTTCCATGCATCGGCACATGTCTTATATGAGGACCGGGCATCTGGGGGATTGATCTGATTCCTAGCTTGGTGGAAGCTGGTTTGAGTTTTCGGGCGTAACATGACAACCAGCAGTGCCACCCGACACGCAGTTCGGTGCATAAAAACTACGACTTCATTGCTAGGCAATGACAACTACACTCTTAAAGTGACTATCAGTCATCACAGATCACCTACTACTCACCATATACAACCATTGCTGATCCAGAGTCGACGTTGTTGTCCATCCTTTGCACCATACAAAAATATTGTCCAGCATCAGAAGGCAAAGCATTCTCCACGGTCAGGATCTCTCCAGATGCACCGCTGATCACCACCCGAGTCATGGGCAGTGGTACTCCATATGCTCTTACCCACTGTATGATTGGTGCCAGGCCAGCAACATCTGGATAGTCATGACTACATGTTAACTGGAAGCTGTACGTAGAGCTGTTCATCACTACTCTCTCAGGGGAAACACTCACACTATACCCTGGAGGGAATGCAAAAGGCAAAATAAACCGTGGGAACAGGATATGATGGATATCTTGATGGACTATAGTTTGATGATTATCCCGTAAAAAACCACTGAGTATCAGGTTTTGAGCGCAAGGCTCAAGAACAGAGATCCTCCTATTTTGTTTAGATATTTATTCAACTCAAGCTCATCAAAAATACAAGCAATGCTAATATGAAAAGCAACCCCAGATATGAGCGTGATAGCCAAACATAGAGAAATCTAGGAGAATACCTGACATGGTATTGAGAGATTTTGACTTTTGTCAGTTTACTTTCCGTATCTCTTGGTGGTATGGGCATTGTTTCCTACCACCTTGATCAACCAAGAGCATTTGCTCAGCTCAGTCAGGCTTGTGTGACTACTGACCTTGGGTATAACAACTACCGAATACCCACACAATCTTCAGACACAGTGATAATTTGACTGCATGCTTTTAACCCAACGAATGATGACATCACATGTTTAGTGGACAACAGAGGGTGGTTATTCGCAAATTTTAGAGTACTTCAAGCAACGCTAAAGCTATTTATGGATGAGGGTCACAGTGTTATCACTATCTGCCCCCTTAGTCGTATGCCACACGGTGAAAGAAAATTGCCAACAGACAAGGAACGAGACTGTAGGGACACATAAAAAAATATAAAAAAATTCGACGGGTTCGCGTACCGGGCAGGTCAAGAACAAGGAGTCGTACAACTCCGTCAGGCGAAATAGCACGTCATAGTACATTTGAGATCAGCGGGAAGAAGATGACGACGTCCACTAATTTAGTATCTGTGCACACGAATCTGCTGTGTGTGTGACTCTGTGTCAGCTATGATATCATCTTCTGTGGTTCCATGCCTAGCATGTACGTCTGAACCATCCTGCAAAGTTTGAATGACGTAGGTTGAGCGATCGCTCCGCGAAACATACTTTTTGAAATTCTCTTCGTAGTGTTAGGTACCTCCTCCCGTACCTTTTCTAGCTGGCCTGCATGCACTTACGTACTCACCTTTTGTCTCCTTTTGTTCCGTTGGCCTGGGTAGCTACTTGCGCGCCCATATTTGCCATAGCTACCCAGGCCCTTTATCTTGCCATTCAGACTTGATCTCTCTCTCTCTCTTTTCTCACTCTTCAATGTAGTCGTTTCGTTCGTCTTGGTCTCTTGTCTCGTCGTCTATAATAAATGTCGTTCCCACTAACTTGTTCCCGTTGTCAGTCGTCCTGTTTCAAACTCAACATTGGCGCCCGATTATTGATCGACCCACGACCCTGAGATCATCCCATGCCCAGCCGTCCTCAACCACCATTCGTCTCGTCTATGTCAACCTCGTCTCGTCCATGTCAGTCTCGTCTCTCCTACGCCAACCTCGTCTCGTCTCTATCAACCTCGTCTCTCCTACGCCAACCTTACCTCGTCTATTCTCGTTCAAGCCATGCAGGTCAGCTACCTTTCTCTCTTTCTTTTTTTTGTATGCTTCTTCGTCAAATTTATTTTCGTGAATTTTTTTGTAGTGTATGCGCGCGCGTGTGTTCGTAAAACATAACCAAGTTAGGGGTCCGATCATGGTGAGCCACGCTCTAATTTTTGGATGTTTAGCAAAAGTGTAACTAGGCTGTATTAGCCATGCAAAATACTAGTAATTCACGTTCCTCGTCAAACTCCAATAGTTATTACACACAATAAGTAGTACAGGAATGATGTGTACGAGTGCATTTTTAGTACACACTTTCGTGAGATCCATGCGCGCGTGCAGTATGTGTGTGTGTGTGTGTGTGTGTTTTCTCCTCCAGTTCATTTTTTTAAATCTTTTTCTCTCTTTTTTTTTCTCTCCGCGAGGACGCGGGATTTTTTTTCATGGAGGGGTTGTATGTTAGGTACCTCCTCCCGTACCTTTTCTAGCTGGCCTGCATGCACTTACGTACTCACCTTTTGTCTCCTTTTGTTCCGTTGGCCTGGGTAGCTACTTGCGCGCCCATATTTGCCATAGCTACCCAGGCCCTTTATCTTGCCATTCAGACTTGATCTCTCTCTCTCTCTTTTCTCACTCTTCAATGTAGTCGTTTCGTTCGTCTTGGTCTCTTGTCTCGTCGTCTATAATAAATGTCGTTCCCACTAACTTGTTCCCGTTGTCAGTCGTCCTGTTTCAAACTCAACATTGGCGCCCGATTATTGATCGACCCACGACCCTGAGATCATCCCATGCCCAGCCGTCCTCAACCACCATTCGTCTCGTCTATGTCAACCTCGTCTCGTCCATGTCAGTCTCGTCTCTCCTACGCCAACCTCGTCTCGTCTCTATCAACCTCGTCTCTCCTACGCCAACCTTACCTCGTCTATTCTCGTTCAAGCCATGCAGGTCAGCTACCTTTCTCTCTTTCTTTTTTTTGTATGCTTCTTCGTCAAATTTATTTTCGTGAATTTTTTTGTAGTGTATGCGCGCGCGTGTGTTCGTAAAACATAACCAAGTTAGGGGTCCGATCATGGTGAGCCACGCTCTAATTTTTGGATGTTTAGCAAAAGTGTAACTAGGCTGTATTAGCCATGCAAAATACTAGTAATTCACGTTCCTCGTCAAACTCCAATAGTTATTACACACAATAAGTAGTACAGGAATGATGTGTACGAGTGCATTTTTAGTACACACTTTCGTGAGATCCATGCGCGCGTGCAGTATGTGTGTGTGTGTGTGTGTGTGTTTTCTCCTCCAGTTCATTTTTTTAAATCTTTTTCTCTCTTTTTTTTTTCTCTCCGCGAGGACGCGGGATTTTTTTTCATGGAGGGGTTGTATGTTAGGTACCTCCTCCCGTACCTTTTCTAGCTGGCCTGCATGCACTTACGTACTCACCTTTTGTCTCCTTTTGTTCTGTTGGCCTGGGTAGCTACTTGCGCGCCCATATTTGCCATAGCTACCCAGGCCTTTTATCTTGCCATTCAGACTTGATCTCTCTCTCTCTCTTTTCTCACTCTTCAATGTAGTCGTATCGTTCGTCTTGGTCTCTTGTCTCGTCGTCTATAATAAATGTCGTTCCCACTAACTTGTTCCCGTTGTCAGTCGTCCTGTTTCGAACTCAACAATAGTATATCTTCCACCATTGAAATTTCGAATTTCTTGCTGAGAGGGGTGGCTTGCAACCTCGATATGGCTTGTTCCAGGCATGCTTTGGAGCCATCTTCTGTTGAAGTAGTGGCGGGGATCTGCCATGCAACTGCTACAACAAAAAATGATTCGATCTGAGAAAGGGTGAGACCGCGAATCTCGGTTGAATATTGAGTATTTCAAGCCTTTTCACGACGAAGATGGAGTTCTTTTTGGAGATGGACGTCGCGGCAAAGGACATGGTGTCCGACTTCTGGCGTCTGGTGAAGCCAGGGATCATTTGTCCAGTCAGGTCGGCAGCCTAACCGTCGGTAAGCTTGTGTTTGGATCCCGTTCTGCTCGATGTGGTAGATCACAAACAATTTGATATCGCACAAATTGATCTCAGCATCGTGCGTACGGTATTTTATATTCAGAAAATCCCAAAGTTTCTCTGTGTGGCCGTCCTATGCCACGAGAAACTCCAATCAGGCTCCTATGTCCTCTGCCTTCATGATTGAATGTCCACTTCGTTTGAACAATGAACACAACAATCAGGGACGGCTTTGCAATGAAAAATACAGCTATACTGAAGCTGAAAAAAAGAAGAAAAAACGTGCTCCGGATGAGACTCGAGTACACGCATACTCTCCCAGCAGGTGAAACGCAAATTTTTGTGAAAAATGCGTGTCGCCGACTGACCAGTAATTTCGCCTGACGCCCTGGTCAAGAACCACCTTTCCGCTTCCGTGGGATGCCACCACCCCATGATCAGGCGTCAGATGCGGCTCCTAAACGGTGGGGGAGGATAGATCAGATCCACCACCCATAGGCCAAAGGTCTAAATCCCATTTGCCACATCCATGTTTTACTCATGCCAGACATGGACATATGGACATAACGCACAAACCGGTGCTTTATGAATGCATGCATACCTTTAGTTGTGACAAGGGCTTGAGGAGTAGTTGGCGTTGCTGCCGTTGATGTATCGGGTGCTGTTCCGGACCCTATGATTGGGGCAGTTGTTTCATCCGTGGCATCAGTACCAGTGATATTGCTCGTTGTTGGCATGTCAGTTGTTACAGCTGCAGGCAATGTAGAACACCGGGAAGTAAACAGAAGTGTCACTACACACAAGAAGAGAAGAAAGCTTCACGATCCTCAAAAATAAACAGTTTTAGAGCTTTTTCACTGACTTCTCATCAGGTGGAACACAGTCAAATAAGAGAAATAAGCGGACGATGCATTGCAACAACAATGGACAACGCAAACGAGTTGTTGACGACGTAACATAACCCCTTTATACCGTAAAGTACCGTTGATCCACCCCATCTTTAATTGCCCCAACCCCCGTCGATTTTCTGCCTGTGAAGCGACTTCGGGGTATACAACGAAATACGATGTTGAACCGAGGCATGCACTGCTGTACACAGTATGTGCGAGTGCAGGATGAAAATGTGCACAACCCAGCACATCGAGTCTGAACTTCCATGTTGTTGCACATCGTACTGCACTTGACAGCCTTGATCTAATCCCCGCCCCCTGCCGAGAACCCAGCTGGGAAGCGACATGGCGTCGGGGTGGATCACCATTACTTTATGGTAATAGTGAAGCATTATCTTGTCACGAATCAATTCTAAACTCTTTACCCGCACCTTCATAGTAATGGTAAATTGATGCTTGCACAAGCGTTGAGCCAATGGAAGAAAGACTAATTAGTGGCAACCACTGTGCATATTTACCTTGCGATGGAACTGTGAAACTCAATGCTTCACTCCATTCAGACACAATGCAGTTGTCTGCATCACCGTGATAGCGAATTCTCAGTGCCGCTTGTGTTCCCGCACCAAGTCGTGGTATGACAACCTCCTTTGTACTATTACCCACAGCAATTTGTCCCACTGGTCCCCAGGCATTGTCCACAAAGAGCTCCACGCTGAAGAAGCTCACTCCTTGCACAAAGTTCGGATATGATGGTACTTGGTACATGCCAAGTGACTCATCAACAAAGCGTATTGCATTATCTGGCCACACAGGTGCGTCTGAAGCAGTACAACAGAAAGCAAAATCAGAGTTGAAGTAGACATTCACAGTGTATGGGTCGCTTTAGATGGTGACTTTCTCTTAACGGGCACAAGCATTATCGGGAAGGCCAAAAGTCAAACAGAGAAGAACATTAGAAAATAGTTGATCTGATGAAGATGTCAAAACCTCCATTGGTCCGGTATCAAATGTCCAATTGACTGCAAGGTACTTCAAGTACAATGTAATTCTTACCCACTGTTCTGCATGGGGAGTCGCTGGTGCCACTGCCGCCCAAATCAGTGACCATCATGTCACCAGATGCCGTGGTCAATGAATCAGAAGTGATCCCTGCATTCACACAATCATAGAACAAATAGATGACAAAGATATTGTCATACTTTGATCCACGACGGGGTGATAGAGTACCGACTATCTCACCCATCGACTTTTTAGAGTATTGCTCCGAGTACTCCTAACACTGTCTGTCGTCAGAGACTTTTCTCTCCTTCTCCTCCGAAGACAGTGTCCTGTCTGTTTGTATTTGCCTGTGCGCTGTGATCATTATACAAAGATTAGGGAGGTTTCGCTCTAGCACACATAAAAAAGCATATGACGCTCGTCTTTTCTTCGAGGTTCTAGCCAAAGCAACGTAGCTAAGCGATGCACTCTTTTTCACATTTTACAGGAATGAAAAGTGAAATTGAACTATGCCTGATTAGACTAATCACAACTCCTGTTTTTTACGTACGGAATGCATTGCATGTATACAGGCCCTCATCTTTGTAGACCACTATGCTGACTCACTACTACTACTACTACTACTACTACTACAAAAAGAAGTCCTCTCAAACCTGAACAACACAAAACCTTATGTTCATCTGTAGCTGCTCGTGAACACGAAATAGGAAATCACACTCACCTTGTGTTGTTGTTGTAACCACACTGAACACCACTTCTGCAGATCCCGGTCTAATTTCAGTGGATCCACCACTATCCACACTGCATACATAGTTGCCTGCATCTGATGCAATTGGTTCCTGGATTGTCAGTACTTCTCCATTCAAGCCACCGATCTCAAATCTACCCAAAGGAAGATCTCTGCCATCCGAAAGAGACCAGCGATAAGTCACGAATAATGCATTTGGATCATTGTGACTGCATCTGAGCACAAAATTGTTGGTGCTAGAGTCAAACTCCACTCTAGATGGAGATACTGTGGCGAAGAATCCTACATCACATCAAAAAAAGCACAAGCAATGAGGAAGTGGCTGTCAAAGTTTGCAAGTGATTAGCAATTTAGCAGACACACGTATAAAATGGAGATGGCTGATTGGAACTTGGAGGAGAGTTATGCAGAACAAGTGGCTAGTAACTGGGAAGGCATACAGCATCGAACAGTGGAACTTCGGTGCTTTCGTCGTAACGGAGGGATTGCAAGTTAGCAATTAGCAGAAATATGTGTGTATTTCTAGTCACCTCTGATCAGTACGGACTTAGAGCACCCTTTGCGACACCAAAATTTGATATAAAAATCAGCAAACTCCAGCGAAACGGATCGGATCGAAAGATGGCCTGGTTCAATCGAGCCTGGCCTCAGAACAAACTTGGACAAGATACCTTCCATCCACGAGCAGGATTCTGGCAACTGATCATTGCTATTGTGAGTTTCAGCTCGGCAAACACACACTGTAAAAGTGTCTGGACTTCGAGCACCTGGGTCTACTCTTTTGAGCTACCATAATTCGCTTCAAATGCGGTATCCAACTGACCTGTAGGTGTTGTTGGCTCCTGTGTCGTAACCACCATACTGGTTGTATCTGGCATATCAGCTGTGGTCGTGACAATTGCGGGCTGTGTTGTTGCTGTTGGTGGCATAGTAGTGCGTGCTGGACCGACTGCATACAGTAGACACACAGCACACATGTACATCACTAGGTCACAAGAACTGTATGGCAGACTGCCACCACACTGACTTCAACCGAAGATCTGGACTTCTGTTTTAGAGGGCTCCATGGACCCCAGCCCCGAGTATCGAGCACTGTTTTGAACAGTGTAAGTTGAACAGTGTACTGTAAAAGCCATTATTCTAACGAGGCGCATATATAACGATTTCCCAAAATTGACTAGTTTACGTGTACCAAAGGTAACGATTCTCACTCATTCTCAACACTCAGTAGGACAGTATAATGTATCGATTTCTATATAACGGGTTTTGAGGGAATGAGACAAACGGGAAAAGTCTGAAGAAAAAATTGACTGTCACCACCAGGACTCGAACCAGGGACCCTCGCTTGTAGCCAGCGATATAACGATTTATATTTTAATGACAGATTTCTCCTCGTTAATTTGTTAGAGTTAGCACTTCGTTATACAGATGGCTTTTACAGTAAGTTGACTACTGTGCATCCCACAGTATGTTATATCTGGGATCCTTCATACTGAAGTGACTGCCAGGGTAGACGATACTTACTGAACTGAACCTGGGCAGTTCCACTGTAAAACATCACATCTGGTGCTTCGACTTCGCACACGTATGCTCCACTGTCCGATGGTTCAGGAGTCTGGATGCGCAGGACCTCGCCGTCGTGACCCATTACTTGGTGACGTCGCTCGTCAAGCGGTGTCCCGTCCTGCCGCCTCCATGTGTAGAACGGGTAGGTGATGTTCGGCGCATCGTGACTGCACGTCAACACAATGCTCTCTGTACTGGCATTGGCCATCGCCGAGGATGGAGATACGCTAGCAATGTAGACTGCAAGTATATCACAAACAGAAATAGAACACACACACACACACACACATACACACACATACACAAACACACACACACACACACACACACACACACACACACACAAAACACACACACACACACACACACAAAAAACACAACATACACACAAACACACACACACACAAAACACACAGCACACAGCTGTGAAACTCCCACAGTACCTAAGCAGCAAAGCCAATGTCAGGCACAAACCGGCAAGTGGATCACAATACGCGTAACCATGGTCTTTGACTAACCTGCAACTACTGGTTCTTCAGTTGTTGTTGTTGTTGTTGTTGTTGTTGTAGTGGCATTGATTGGCTGTGCTGTTGATGGTTGAGGTGCTGTAGTGCGTGCTGGATCTACTGCAACACACATGCACGCCCGCAAGCCCGCACACGCAAGCACACACGTGCGCGTCATCTCAAACATTGAACGATACAGCACTCTATGTTTATCTGTAGCTGCTCGTGAACACGGAACAAGAAATCACACTCACACGGAACAAGAAATCACACTCACACGGAACAAGACATCACACTCACCTTGTGTTGTGGTTGTAACCACACTGAATACCACTTCTGCAGATCCCGGTCCAATTTCAGTGGATCCACCACTATCCACACTGCATACATAGTTGCCTGCATCTGATGAAATTGGTTCCTGGATAGTCAATACTTCTCCATTCAAGCCACCGATCTCAAATCTACCCAAAGGAAGATCTCTGCCATCCGAAAGAGACCAGCGATAAGTCACAAATAACGCATTGGGATCATTGTGACTGCATCTGAGCACAAAATTGTTGGTGCTAGAGTCAAACTCCACTCTTGATGGAGATACTGTGGCGAAGAATCCTACATCACATCAAAAAGAAGCATACACAATCTCAACAACATACATACCCGATCTACCTCATTGTTTCTATTAGGGGTGAAACAATTATACCGAATATTCGAATACTCGTTTGGATTTTTCGAATATAATCGTACTCGGAATAAATCAGAGTACTTGCTTATACATGGTACATACATTTACCACAGAAGTCTGCAGTTTCAGAGCAGCAGTCAGCAGATATTCATGTGCAGACTGTGTGGTGAACATTTGTTCACGAGTAGAGAGAGCCCAAATGACCCACCAACCAATACACCCGAGAAAAGAACTGCCAATCGTTTCAAACCAGGGTTGTATCATGTGGTTTTTGAGGCGGTTGGTGTGTGATTTTTAGGATATCAAGAATACTCGAATACTCGAATATTCGATCGGAGAAAATCAGAGTACTCGAACTCGGGATCTCAGTGCCAACTTTCACCCCTAGAACTTTCTATACATCACCATTCCAGTTGTGATCATCAACCATGACAGACATGTCCTCCAGATCATAGTTATCATGCATACAGTCTCCATTAATTTTCATTTTAACTTTCCTTTATATTTCACACTACTCATGGAATATTGTTATTCCCAACACTCACCTGCTGGTGTGGGTGGCATTGTTGTCGATACACCTTCTTCTGTGGTAATCTCTGGACCTGAACTACCTGCAATTGGTCTCGTTGTTCTTCCATCATCAACTACAACCCAAAAAATTGAAATCAATCACATGAAGGCATGCAATATCAATATACCATTGCTAGTGAAAATACAAAACAAAATTGGGGCAAACACCTGTATCAAAGGAACATTGGCAATCGCGAACTACACATCGCTGCTAGCAACGGAGGCCAGTGAAGTTGCTGTATTCTGATGAGGACATTGAACACCAGGTAGCGACAGCAAAACTGAAACTCACCTGCTGGTGTTGATCCTGGTTGTTGTGTGCTCACTTCTCCACCTGGACTAACTGGAATTGGTCTTGTTGTTGCTGAGTCATCAACTGCAAGACATTGGATCAACGCAGGCAGCAACTAGTCAGGTCCTGGGAGGCAGTTAGTACATAACTGGGTAGTGAAAATTGCCGTGGCCTTGACCGGGTTACTGCTGTATATTTCAGATGTTTAGCCTGGAGGCTACAAGCTACATCGCTACCATGTCTAGACTGTAAGCCACAGTGCTTTATCAATCATTTGTTTCAACAGACAGGCCATAATAGCTACTTTCTACTTCCATTTTGTTTCTTTAATTTAATGTAGTCTTGCTGTTCTAGGTGCACCACAGATCCTCAATCACTTGTGGCCACAAAAGAGATTAGGCCGGCTGCAGGGACACTCTGATCTACTCTATGCACTACAAATCAAAACCCACAAAAACTTCAACAGGATTTGACCTGTGTGTTCAGTGGATGCGTGAAAAACAGTGCATTTGTCCAGAGTGAGTGCAATCCTATGTGAAACATGACTACGTCGCAATCAAAACAACGCAATGGGAGTGGCTAGCCCCCAATGGCTTGTCCACCCACTCTTCAAAACAACACTGCAATCATGGATATTGAATATACTCTTAAAATGACTATCAGTCATCACTCATCGCTCATTACTCACCATATACAACCATTGCTGATCCAGTGTTGAAGTTGTTGTCCATCGTTTGCACCGTACACACATATTGTCCAGCATCAGAAGGCAAAGCATTCTCCACGGTCAGGATCTCTCCAGATGCACCGCTGATCACCACCCGAGTCATGGGCAGTGGTACTCCATATGCTCTTACCCACTGTATGATTGGTGCCAGGCCAGCAACATCTGGATAGTCATGACTACATGTTAACTGGAAGCTGTACGTAGAGCTGTTCATCAGTACTCTCTCAGGGGAAACACTCACACTATACCCTGGAGGGAATGCAAAAGGCAAAATAAACCATGAGAACAGGATATGATGGACATCTTGATCTACTACAGTTTGATGAGTATCCCATACAAAAGAACCTGATTATCAGGTTTTGAGAGCAAGGCTCAAGAACAGAGATCACTATCTTCCCTCTAAGTCTTATGCCACATTATGAAAGAAAGTCGTTAAGATACAAGAAACGAGACTGTAGGGACTTGACACACAAAGATTGTATCGCCATTTATCACCGGTGCTTCATGAAAGCATGCATACCTTTAGTTGTGACAAGAACTTGAGGAGTAGTTGGCGTTGCTGCCGTTGATGTATCAGGCGTTGTTCCCGACCCGATGCCTGGGGCAGTTGTTTCATCCGTGGCATCAGTACCAGTGACTTTGCTCGTTGTTGGCATGTCAGTTGCTACAGCTGCAGGCAATGTAGAACACCGGGAAGTAAACAGAAGTGTCACTACACACAAGAAGAGAAGAAAGCTTCAGGATCCTCAAATTAATAGTTTGAAAGCTTATCCACCAGGTCCTTCACTGAATTCTCATCAGGTGAAATACAGTCAAATAGGAGAAACTGAGCAAGTACAATGACCTATATCCAGGAGAGATTTAAAAAAAACCCCATACAGTGCACATGGCAACATCCACAGCAGTAGACCCATGCAGGGAATCACAAAAAGGTGAAAGTGAGAATAAACCAAACAAGTGTATGATGCATTGCAACAACAATGGACAAAGCTGACGAGTTGTGCACGACCTGAAAACCCCCATTATTATAGTGAAGCATTCCCAAATTTCTTGTCACGAATCAATTCTAAACTCTTCGCTTGCACATCCATAGTAATGCTAAATGGATGCTTGCACAAGCGTTGAGCCAATGGAAGAAGGGCTAATTTTCCCCCCGTTTGTAAAAAATCTAGACTAATGATGCCACTGGAAGGTATGCGGTGCATATTAAAATGTTGTTGCATGGTCCCTTGTGTGTTGGCGAGGCGAGACTCACCGCATTATCATCCTCCACTGATGAGTTTGGAAGAGTGAATTCTGTCAACGGAATTGTCCTTGCCGTGCTGGCGTGATATGCTTCGTGAATGGGTTTGGCTAAGAGCGCATCGTGGTGACGGGTTGAGGATGTAGCAAATTTTAACTAGATCCAGAATAATTTGTGTGGGTAATGATGTCGTCAATGTTAGAAAAGGTCTTGTCAAACATTGAAATACACAGCACCCTATGTTTATAAATAATTTCTTGTGAACACAGAACAAGAAATCACACTCACCTTGTGTTGTGGTTGTAACCACACTGAATACCACTTCTGCAGATCCCGGTCTAATTCCAGTAGATCCAAAACTAGCTACACTGCATACATAGTTGCCTGCATCTGATGCAATTGGTTCCTGGATTGTCAGTACTTCTCCATTCAAGCCACCGATCTCAAATCTACCCAAAGGAAGATCTCTGCCATCCGAAAGAGACCAGCGATAAATCACGAATAACGCATTGGGATCATTGTGACTGCATCTGAGCACAAAATTGTTGGTGCTAGAGTCCAACTCCACTCTTGAAGGAGATACTGTGACGAAGGATCCTATATCACATCAAAAAGAAGCACAAACAATGAGGAAGTGGTTGTCAAACCACTCGTTCTCAAAACACACACACACACCCGATCTACCTTATTGCTTCTATGCATCACCATTCCAGGTGTGATCATCAACCATGACATACATGTCCTCCAGATCATAGTTATCATGCATGCCGTCTCTATTTCATTTCTAACTCTCCTTTATATTTCACACTCCTCATGGAATTATTTTATTCCCCACACTCACCTGCTGGTGTTGGAGGTATTGTTGTCGATACACCTTCTTCTGTGATAATTTCTTGACCTGATGAACTACCTGCAATTGGTCTCGTTGTTCTTCCATCATCAACTACAATCCACAAAATGGAAATCAATCACATGAAAGCATGCAATATATACCATTGCTAGTGAAAGCACAAGACAAAAGTGGGGCAAAACACCTGTATCAAAAGAACGATGGTAATCGAGAACTACACATCGCTGCCAGCAACTAAGGCCAGTGAAGTTGCTGTATTTCGAGGGGGCCATTGAGTACCAGGCGGCAGAAAAAAACTGAAACTCACCTGCTGGTGTCGATCCAGGTTGTTGTGTGCTCACTTCTCCACCTGGACTAACTGGAATTGGTCTTGTTGTTGCTGAGTCATCAACTGGAAGACATTGGATCAACGCAGGCAGCAACTAGTCAGGTCCTGGGAGGCAGTTAGTACATAACTTCGGGGTATACAATGAAATACGATGTTGAACCAAGGCATGCACTGCTGTACACAATATGTGCGAGTGCAGGATGAAAATGTTCACAACCCACAAATCGAGTCTGAGCTTCCATGTTGTGTACATCGTACTGCACTTGACAGCCTTGATCTAATTCCCGCCCCCTGCCGAGAACCCAGCTGGGAAGCGACATGGCGTGGGGGCGGATCACCGTTACTTTACGGTAATAGTGACGCATTTCTAAATTTCCTGTCACGAACTACTTCTAAACTCTTTGTCCACACCTTCACAGTAATGGTAAATTGATGCTTGCACAAGCGTTGAGCCAATGGAAGAAAGACTAATTAGCGGCAACCACTGTGCATATTTACCTTGCGATGGAACTGTGAAACTCAATGCTTCACTCCATTCGGACACAATGCAGTTGTCTGCATCACCATGATAGCGAATTCTCAGTGCCGCTTGTGTTCCCGCATCAAGTCGTGGTATCACAACCTCCTTTGTACTGTTACCCACAGCAATCTGTCCCACTGGTCTCCAGGCATTGTCCACAAAGAGCTCCACGCTGAAGAAGCTCACTCCTTGCACAAAGTTCGGATATGATGGCACTTGGTACATGCCCAGTGACTCATCAACAAAGCGTATTGCGTTATCTGGCCACACAGGTGCGTCTGAAGCAATACAATAAAAAAGGAAAAACAGAGTTGAAGTAGACATTCACAGTGGATTGGTGAAGTAGATATGTAGCATGGCTACTTGATAACACGTAATTTGTATACACATAAATAGTACACCGTAGGAATGCATAGATAGCTGTGCGCATACTTGCACTGCCCTGGTCTTCTTCTTCTCCTTGTGAGACAATGAACACAGATGATAACTTACCTATTAGTATATGGGCTACAATGCTGGCAGCGGAAAAATAGTCGTCGGTTTTGTCCTCGGCTGGGAAGACGCCTCCGCAGGAGAGACAAGTTGCAGATTCGACACGTTCCAGAGAGTCTGAGACCAGCTCCAGCTACTCGGGAGACCAGATCACATACTAAGTTCTAATTTACTAGTATTGATCATTCTATCCTTCGTCTCGTTGTCCATTCTTTACTTCTTGACTGATCGTTCGCTGTGCATGAGTAACAGTTTTGTTTGGTGTAGAACGGGCTACATTTTCACAAAAATATTTTGCGCACGTGAGTGTGCGTGCATACTTAGCAAGTACACTGTTGACGTCATGTCCTGTGCACGTGTATGTCCGTGTGACGTAACCAGAATGTTTTGTGTAGGTCATTTTTTTGTTGTAACATTTTTTCAAAAGGTTTTTTGAACTACAAATATTTGTAACTAAATACTTGCAGCTAGCTTGGGCCATTGATAGTGAGATATCGAGATGGGCAAGTCCAAATGCAAAAAGAAGACCAGGTCCCCTCGACCTCGTCCGTTCAAGATACCGTCTGACGGACATGCCAGTGCATCAGAGTTGCACCAGTCTAATGACACCGGGGTGCGTGATCAACTAGCTCAAGCGCTCGAGAAACTTGATCGCAGGTTGACAGACCTCGAAAAGAGACTCAGCTGTTTGAAAATTGTTGCCCCACAAACACAGGTTCCTACAGGAGCAAGTTTCGAATTTGATCAGCCTCATAGTAGTAACAGTGGTCGTGGGTATTCCTATGGTCGTGGTGGTCATGTGGAACCACCAATTTGTTTTGGTTGTGGACAACCTGGCCATTTTGCTGTAGATTGCCCACACAACCCTTGGCGCTCGGGAAACTAAGTTCGACTGGTGGTGTGGGACAACTCCCAGTCGTTCACGAGGAGCCATCAGATGAAGTACGTATCGAGGCTGTATCGTCTGTAGTCCCTACCCTAGATATCAATGTTCAAGGCAAGTGTGTAACGACGTTAATTGACTCTGGTTCCTGTGTTTCTATGTTGCATGATCCACCAGACGGTGCATTGGCCAAGTAAACGACTTTCTACTTACGGGCGAGAGCATTATCAGGAAGGCCAAAAATCAAACAGAGAAGAACATTAGAAAACGGTTAAACTGATGAATATGACAAAACCTCCTTTGGTCCGGTATCAAATATCCAATTAAAAGCAAGGTACTTTCAAGTACAGGGTACTGCTTACCCACTCTTTTGCATTGGGAGTCCGTGGTGCCACTGCCGCCCAAATCAGTGACCATCATGTCGCCAGATGCTGTGGTCAATGAATCAGAAGTGATCCCTGCATTCACACAATCATAGAACAAATAGATGACAAAGATATTGTCATACCTTGATCCACGACGGGGTGATAGAGCACCTACTATCTCACCCATCGACTTTTTAAAGTATTGCTCCACATACTCCTCCCAGCACAGTCTGCCCTCAGAAAACCTTCTCTCCTTCTCCCCTGAAGAAATAAAGTATTTGCCTGCCAGGTATGATCGTATTGGGAAATTAGAGGCCACATTATATATAATAGGTATGATCGTGATACAGAAATTGACTTGAAAGGGAGTAACAGATAGTTTTTTTTTCTTCTGAAACAAAGAATCTTACACGAAACCCTTTGGATTTTCATCAAGGGTCTCCAGTTCATAGCAATAGGCGGTTATGAAGTGGACACCATCACGATCTCAGCATTCTTCCTGTGCCTATTTTCTCCCCATAGAGACGATGCAGATTGCTCCACTATCTGAAGAAGTCCCTTCCCCGTGACACTGAGCTTATCCACACATACATGTACATGTCACGTTCGAGAAGAGAAGGAGATAGGCTGGAATTTTCTTGAAATTCAGTAAACCTTTCCTCTCTCCTCGTCAGGCGAAATAGCACGTCATAGTACATTCGAGATCAGCGGGAAGAAGATGACGACGTCCACTAATATAGTATTTGTGCACACAAATCTGCTGTGTGTGTTACTCTGTGTGTCAGCTATGGCATCATCGCCTGTGGTTCCATGCCTAGCATGTACGTCTGAACCATCCTGCAAAGTTTGAATGACGTCGGTTGAGCGATCGCTCCGCGAAACATACTTTTTGAAATTCTCTTCCTAGTATATCTTCCACCATTGAAATTTCGAATTTATTCGAATTTTTTGCTGAGAGGGGTGGCTTGCAACCTCGATATGGCTTGTTCCAGGCATGCTTTGGAGCCATCGCCTGTTGAAACAGTGGCGGGAAGCTGCCCTGCAACTGTTCCAACAGGAAATTAATCGATCCGAGAAAGCGCGTGTCCGCGAATCTCGGTTGAATATTGAGTATTCAAGCCTTTTCACGACGAAGATGGAGTTCTTTTTGGAGATGGACGTCGCGGCAAAGGACATGGTGTCCGACTTCTGGCGTCTGGTGAAGCCAGGGATCATTTGTCCAGTCAGGTCGGCAGCCTAACCGTCGGTAAGCTTGTGTTTGGATCCCGTTCTGCTCGATGTGGTAGATCACAAACAATTTGATATCGCACAAATTGATCTCAGCATCGTGCGTACGGTATTTTATATTCAGAAAATCCCAAAGTGTCTCTGTGTGGCCGTCCTATGCCACGAGAAACTCCAATCAGGCTCCTATGTCCTCTGCCTTCATGATTGAATGTCCACTTCGTTTGAACAACGAACACAACAATCGAGGACGGCTTTGCAATGAAAAATACAGCTATACTGGAGCTGAAAAAAGGAGAAAAAAACATGCTCAGGATGAGACTCGAGTACATGCATACTCTCCCAGCAGGTGAAACGCAATTTTTTGTGAAAAATGCGTGTCGCCGACTGACCAGTAATTTCGCCTGACGTGCTGTTTGAATTTCCTCCATTTTTTTTAGAAAGAACATTCTGTGATACAGCTGCTTTCTGGATTATACAGTGCAGCATTTATCCAGCACACTCTACAGGGTTGAGAGATGGAAAATGTCAAAAATGACAACACACGGATGCAAAATGGTAAAAACAACAAAAATATTAATTTTCAACAATTCTTACCAATAGGCGTGGTTGCATCTGTGCTCGTCGCAGTAGGAGTTGGAGCTGTAACAGGAGAATTGCGGACGAGAGTTATGCATAGGCAGGTTCTAAAAGAGGAATGCATTCGCTACGGGTGCTGTCCCACACATCTATGGGAAAACTGAAATGCGTTGAAAATGCTCGTACATGTAGTTAAAAAAAACATTGCGTCTTCGCGTGCTCCTCATCCACGAACAAGAAGCGTGCAATACTGCAAAGCATGAGTGTCCATGGATTAAACTTCATCTGCTGCTAAGTCACCACAAGAGACGCTTTCTCTCCCTCTCTCAAGATACTTGTTTTAACCATAGCAAGTGATTGACTGGGAAAGCTGCACCAGGTGGACCAAGCTGCAATCTACTACTATCACCGTTGTAAAAAAGAGAAGAAACACATGAGAACGAGTTATGCAGCAACTATCCACGACTGTAACAAGATGATAAACGGTCAGAAAGTGCGATAATAGGGCACAAAACTGACAGGCTACTGTGTTTCTTCTCTTTTTTTACATTTTTATTACTGGCTCAGTATCCGAGTTTAAATTAATATCACCGTTGTGTTGAAGAATAACTGTTATCAGTACAGTAGACACGGGGAAAAGAAACAATGGAACAAAATGGTGCTGTGCATGGAGCGTCTTAGTAATGAAAGCATCTTAGCATCTTAGTAATGAACTTCTAAGGGCACTACTCACAATAAATAACATGTCCTGAACCAGATGAAGTTTGGCCATTTGGAGCACCCACTGAACACAAATACTCTCCGTCATCATGCCAGGTGATGTTGACCACCGTCAGAATTTCTCCATGCATGCCGCTCAGTTGAAAGCGACCACCGGAAACTACCCGGCCCTCGGCTGTGAACCAGGAGATCGTGACGTTCGCTCCAGCGGGCAGGCTAGAGCTGCATGTCAACTGAAAGCTCTCATTTGTGTGGCTGATTATGACCGTTTCCGGTGTTACAGTGACCATGTGTGCTGATAGCAGTGCAAGGAGTGAAGAAAAGCATGCGTGAAATGAATATAGTCAACGTTATTCATCTATTCTTCGAAATGATCTACCACTAGATGTACTTAGAATCATAACTAATCGCAAGAAGTTCCCTTGCTCTGTGTGTGTGTGTGTGTGTGTGTGTTCGTGTGTGTGTGTGTTTGTGTGTATGTGAGTGAGTGAGTGTCTCTCTCTCTCTCTGTCTCTGTCTCTCTCTCTCTCTCTCTCTCTCTCTCTCTCTCTCTCTCTCTCTCTCTCTCTCTCTCTCTCTCTCTCTCCTGTCTCTGTCTCCATCTCCGTCTCTGTCTCTCTCTGTCATTGCTCCTCCCTCCCTCCCTCCCTCCCTCCCTCCCTCCCTCTCTCTTTCTGTCTCTCTCTCTCCTTCTCTCCCCCTCCTGACAACCCCGGCAAAGTCATCAACATCTAGGTGAGATGGAGAGATCATGCCCTCAGAGTGTAACCTTACTTCCGTGTACATGTAGTACTGGTGTAGGGAGTTCAAATTTCACTGCAACAGAACCCTATGCAGACAGAAATGTACACTTGTACCCGATGGACGCTAAGGAAGTTCGATCTGGATTAGATCAATACAATTATGTTGCACATACACTTTATCGGTGGGTGAAAGCCTTTGACTGGGACAGCTATGAAACAACAGGGCTAGCACTCACTGATAGGAGCAGCAGTGAAGTTCAGGATAGCACTCCATTCGGACACCAGACAATTCTCGGCATCCTGATGGTAACGCATTCTCAGGAATCCCGTTTCCCCAGGAGGAAGGCGGGGCAGGAATGAATCTTCTAGTTCAGCATGTGCATGCAGTGTCCACGTATTGTTGACGAGGAACTCCACCTCAAAAAAGCTCACGCCAAACACGAAACCAGGTTGGCTCGGTGTGAAGTAGACGCCAACGTCGTCAAAAAACATGACGGCAGGCTCAGGCCACACGGGTGCCTCTGTATAATACACATAAAATAGAATCCAAAATGCAGACAGAGAGCAAGAAATTCACAACAAAATATGTTGCATGTTTCTCTCTTTCTCTCTCTTCCTACCTGCCACTCAACTGAAGATAGGCAGGCGATAGTGTTGTTGTTGTTGTTGTTGTTGTTGTTGTTGTTGTTGTTGTTGTTGTTGTTGTTGTTGTTGCTGTTGTTTTTGATATCTAAATTTGTACACTTAATCTAGTGACTAGTAATTTGTAAACAATAGTATGAAGGCAACACTGGCTGCTCATTATCGATGTCAGCTGACTGAAGTGAGAGAAGTACCATTAAAAGGAGCAATACACAAAGGAAAGAATTGCCTGTGCAATAGTGCTCGATGCGCACGAAGTGCAGAGCTGCTCACAAACTGGCACCAGAGAGATTCTAGCTTTTTTACTGGGAATGCGAGTGTTATTGCTACATCAGCTAACAATAAAAAAAGCGCAAATGGAGCATTAGAAACATGCCCAGGTCCATCAATCGTGTGTGCTGAGGATGCATCCGGAATTCATTTTAACGACCCTGGATACATCATGTTGAGCAAGCAGAAGCAAGGCAGGACTGAGTCGCAAAGATTTTACTCCGTTCACGTCACCTTACCGAGAACTCTGCATGGACTAGTTGAAGGTGGATCTCTTGTGGAATCAGTTCCGCTGCCCAGGTCTGCTGTTGTGACACTGTCGGGTTCTGTCCCTGTTGCATCTGTCGCAGTACTAGCTGTCATATCAGCGACTACACAAAGATACAGACAAGCAAAAAATCGATTAAAGACCGAACAGAGATTGAGCCTGGATTTAGCACCTGCCGCATGGGGCCTATCTGCGAGCTCAAGCCACATACGGAAGTCTACCCTACCAGTGGATCGTTTCTGGACATTCTGGCAACAACAGACATCAACCATTCAGAAAGTGGTGGACATCACGCAACTGCATTGTAAATAAAGGGGGGTGTTGTCAACTGACAACCGCTCTCTTCAGTTGCTATTCATGCGCCAAGAGTGAATAGCAGCTGAAGAGAGCGGTTGTCAGTTGACAACCCCCCCCCCCCCTTATATTAACAGACATCAAACCTGACTAGGACCATACATCAGCAGCAATAATCGCAACTCAGCAAACCAGAAAACCAAAATGGGTGAGTAGAGCGTTTCGATTCTCACCGTAGACAACAGTGGCCGGTTCACTTTGTATCGTGACGCCTCCCTGGGACACTTCACACACATACTCTCCAGCATCTCGCTCAGTCACACTTTGGACCGTCAAGACATTGCCTCTAGTGCCGCCAATTTCAAACCGACCCGCCGGCAAGTCCTCTCCATTTCCGCGACTCCAGCTGTACTGCGCAAACAGCAGCCCGGGGTGGTTATGGCTACAACTGAGTACAAAACTGAATGTGCTGGAGTCAATTGTTGTTCTGGATGGTGATATGACTGCTGTGTACGCTGGTGGTGGTTCTGTGCTTGATACTTCCGAGTCAGTTGTGATAGTGGTGACCACGGGTGCTGTACTTGACCTGGCGCCACTGGTTCGTCTGGGTGTTGTCACCTCGGTTGGTGGAGGACGTGTCGTCGGATGCACTGGAAAGAGGCAGCAGGAAAGCACAGGAAAGCCCAGGAAAGCACAGGGAAGCGGCACAGAAATAATCCCAAGCACTGTACCACACTGCTGCCTTCCTATACTAGTATCTTCAAAACGTGTATCTTTCACACAACACTTTTACTGCTAAACAGATACACGTGAATTGGTGGGGAAACTCAACCAGCCTGAAATTAAGATGATGAATATCATAAGCAGCCAGAGTCTCAAGATGAGGTAACAGGACAGTGGATACAGGTGAGAGGCATACAAACAACTAGACCATGGCTAAAATGTACTGCTTTACAGGATCTACATATCTAGAGGAAATCCCCAAAACTCTGGGTGGACTTGAAAATGATCCCATTTATGGGCTCACCACACCTCAGTAAGTGGGTGAGGACAAGGTGCAGAAAAAGGATTGACGGCATCAGGGTATCCGTCCCGGGATCCAACTGCAGTTACCCCTGCCCCCAGTTAAGGCAATACTTGCTACTAGTGGGAGCGGCTACTAAACACACACACACATGCACACACACACACTACATACACACATACACTACTTACACACACATTATGTACATACACACACGCATACACACACGCACGCACGCATGGACGCACACACTACACGCACACTACACGCACGCAATTCTTATGCCATTGGCCTTTAGCGTACGTACCGAAAATAACACGAGCTGGCTCACTGTCCAAAGTTAGTGCAAAGGCAGATACCGAGCACATGTACTGTCCAGCATCACTCTCCTCTACGTCTCGAATGGTCAAGCGGTTGCCAGCACTACCGTGTACGCTGAAGCGACCCGCTGGCAAGGGCTGGCCGTCCAACCTGCGCCACGAGTGCCGCGCAAAGATAGGAGCTGGATGGTTATGATTGCAGAGCAGAGAGAACTCAGTGCTGGTCGCGTCGATCATCGTCACTGCAGGAGACACGGTGGCGTAGTACGGCGACCTAGTGCCTGTTGTCGCCATGGAAGTTGTCACGGGAACGGCTGGAGATGAAGGGCGCACACACGTGGATGAAAGTCAACAATAAAAAATAACAGTTACAGGGCTGCAACACGTGGAGGGAGAAAAATCTGACGGGGGTCCGGGGGTGTCCTCCTGGGAAATTGTTTAGGAAAATGGCTTGCTGTTGGGGCCCCAGAACACATTTTTAACTGTCCACACACATGCAAGCACGCGTGCATGTTGCAGCTACATGTACATGTACAATGACCGGCCAAACGCGACCTGGAAGCGCCAAATGGCCAACTGGACTAAAAAGCGCTCAAAATAAAATAATCGGTTGTCCCTCTTTGGGAACAAAATCGGTCGGTTTGTCCGACAGGCGATCAAAAATCGGACGATTTTCGAAAAATCGGAGCAAGTGGCAGCCCTGCAGTATAATGGCACAGCTTCGCGTACTGATTTGGTGTACTATTTGTATACACATATAAGTAGCCAAGTGTTCCGCTTCTGTTCCATTCGAATGCTTAGGCATACATGTTATAGTAGTGTTAGGTACCTCCTCCCGTACCTTTTCTAGCTGGCCTGCATGCACTTGCGTACTCACCTTTTGTCTCCTTTTGTTCCGTTGGCCTGGGTAGCTACTTGCGCGCCCATATTTGCCATAGCTACCCAGGCCCTTTATCTTGCCGTTCAGACTTGATCTCTCTCTCTCTCTTTTCTCACTCTTCAATGTAGTCGTTTCGTTCGTCTTGGTCTCTTGTCTCGTCGTCTATAATAAATGTCGTTCCCCCAACCTACCTGTTCCCGTTGTAATGTCTGGATAATGTGTCGTCAGTCGTCCTGTTTCGAACTCAACAGTAGGTAGTCTTCTATTATCATGTGTCATGATGCTGCGGCAAGTGTCATTCTCCGCATGCCAGCACCCTCCTGATGATAGTCAACAGCAACAGGCAATCAGTGATGATCGCTGGGTGGCTTCAGACGCACCCCAACAGCAAGGGTTCATGCATCATCTTCTCTGTAGAATAGAGCTGTCGTAACATTAATCTGCGTTTAAGTAGAACGTGTACTCGGCAAGCGGACAGCGGAACATAAATAGTCAACAGCATGTTACAGATGCTGTAAGGGCTGTCGTCGCTGCTTCTAATTCAAAACACTACGGGTCCATGAGAAAATTACGGATAAGTTAAGCTACGGCCAAGCAAGGGTGCACCGCACCTGGGAACGTTTTCACAGCACCTTGCCAATGCAATTTAGAAGTCCAGGGCATCTGGCACTATTAACGCCCTATAGGAATTGCACTGTTTATGTAAGATCCTCACAAGGTGAGCTGAAAGGCAATACACGTTGAATACTCCTTCAAAAAGAATTGTGTTCCTGCAGTGGAGGAGTTAACAAAAGAAACTTACTCGATGGTGTTGTTGGCAAAGTTGTGAGTACTCGTTGCATGGTGGTTTCTGGAGCTGAACTGCCTGGTCTTGGTTCCGTTGTTCTTGCAGTATCAGCTATGGAGAAAACCAACAACAAACTTCTCGTATAGGTATCGTGCCAACCTGCCCCCTCATGACGAAAAATATAAACCGTACATGAAAGCAGCCTACAAAAAGTCAATGTCATGATGACATACAGAGGGAAAGTATGTGTCAAACGAGAATTTTAAACGTGCCTGCTGATACAATGGTGAGTAAACAGCACTAGCTGCAACACCCAGACACACCCAGACACACACACACACACACACACACACACACACACACACACACACACACACACACACACACTCACACACACACACACACACACACACACACACACACACACACACACACAATCACACACACACATACATGCTCCCATACAAAAGCAGTCAAAACATGTACACATTATCACAATAGTACTGTTGTACATACCAAACTCAACTCCAGCTACTCCAGGATGGAACATGAAACCAGGTGCCTCCACTTCACACACTATCGTCCACTGTCTGACAATTCGGGATCCTGAATGCGCAGTATTTCACTACTGTCACCTTTAGTTCAAGCTCCACAACAAGCCTTCTCTACTCAACCTCATTCACACCAGAAGCACAAGTATTTGCCTACATCGGAGAAATATATTCCTCTATATATAACTGCTGCGATCATGCAAAGGCTAAAATTTACTGATAGCACAACAACATAATGGAGGAATAATTTACCCAATATCTACACCTCCTTACTGCCATCTGTAACTTTGTGTGACCACGGAACGAGAAATCACACTCACCTTGTGTTGTGGTTTCAACGACACTGAACACCACTTCTGCAGATCCCGGTCCAATTTCAGTGGATCCACCACTATCTACACTGCATACATAGTTGCCTGCATCTGCTGCAATTGGTTCCTGGATAGTCAATACGTCTCCATTCAAGCCACCGATCTCAAATCTACCCAAAGGAAGATCTCTGCCATCCGAAAGAGACCAGCGATAAGACACGAATAATGCATTCGGATCATTGTGACTGCATCTTAGCACGAAATTGTTGATGGTAGAGTCAAACTGCACTCTTGACGGAGATACTGTGGCGAAGAATCCTACATCAAATGAAAAGAAGCACAAGTACCGAGGAAGTGGTTGTCAAACCACTCATTCTGAAAAACACACACACCAGAACTACCTTCAATGGGTCTCGTTGCTCTTCCATCATCATCTACAACCCACAAAATGGAAATCAATCACATGAAGGCATGTATCTTATTATAAATGAACCATAGCTTGTCAAATAAACAAAACAAAGATGGGGGAAACACATATACATGACCTAAAGAGACCATTGATTACCAGGCAGCAGCAAAAACACAAACTCACCCGCTGGTGTTGATGCAGGTTGTTGCGTGCTTACTTCTACACCTGTACTGACTGGACTTGGCGCAGACGTTCTTCCACCATCAACTACAACACACAAACCAACCAAAAGCTAGCTGTCATTTGCAAACACTGAGAAACCATTAAATTAGCAAGCAAAATTCATTTGGAACAGATATATTCCTCATGACAATCAATCCTGCCAGGAGTGCCAAGCTAATCCTAGAAGACTATTTACTTCCTAACTGTTCTTCTTGACACACACACACACACACACACACATCTGACCTGACCTGACCTTTGACGCCCATCGCCGGAGGCGATGATAGCAATGCTACGGCAGAAGCCATAGCAACTTGTGCTGGGATTACACCATTCAACAGCTTGCAAGGCTGAAGAATTGACCGTCACTATTCAGCCTGGTCTACACCATACAGCTATTTGGAGTGACATTTTCTGGCCAGTGAATCCCTATTTTTGGTCTTTTTATCATTTTTTTTTCCCGCACACACATCACACCACATACTCCGGCATGCACTGGCTGTTGGTAACCACCCAGGAGAATGAAAGAAAAGTCAGGAAGAGTCTGAGAAAGAGAAGAAAGACGTGTGTGACCATAATCGTCGGGAATCGAACCCGCAATCTATCGATTGGAAATCGCTGCACATACCACACACACACACACACACACACACACACACACACACACACACACACACACACACACACACACACACACACACACACATACACAAACACACGTACACACACACACACACACACACACACACAAACACACACACACACACAAACACACACACACACACACACACACACACACACACAATCACACACATACTGAGACGGGTTTATTGTCCAGAATCCAACTGACTACAAATCACTACTGAGGCCTAACTATATATGGCCAAGGTGTGAGAGTAGCCAGCAATAGGCGCCAAGCGTTGCAGGCAGCACAAGCGCAGATATGACGTGTGGTATGGTATGGTGAGTGTGTAGTATGGTGAGTGTGGCGACAGCGCAAGTGCTACCTATGGAAGTGACAATACCTAACAAGGCCATGTGAAGGTAGCACTAAATGGAAGGTGTGATCGTCATGGTCCAGCTCTCACACTCCCCCACCCAAACTCAACTAAATAGTCAAATAAAACTCGAAATAGATGCATGTATAACCAATGCAAAAGTATCACGCCAATGATGAACTTCGTTATACCCAAAATAATGCATCCATCATTTCCATGCCCATATCTCATTTGTAGACTTTGCACAAAGTCACACATCTTCACTGCTGTCATCAGTTTCCGACAAATCTGCATCCGCTCCACTGCTGGCCGAGCTAAACCGATACCGCCGCTGTTTCGGGTCCACTTTAAGGAATTTCGTCGGCCGCTTAACCCGTGTACTCTTTCGTACCGGAGTCCCTTCCTCGATTGCCTCGCCCGCAGTGCCATCGGTTACCAGGGTTTGGTCACTTGGAGACTCGCCTTTTTCCCAGCTTAACCGTTGAGATGGTGCTGCCTCCAGCTCATTGTAATGGCGTTGAAGGCAGTGGTGGCAAGAACTAGACCCACACGGTTCAAGGAGGTACGTATTGTTGTATCTCTCAACTACGGTATACAACTCAGATTTGTGGGCGTGTAGCTTCCCCAATTTTCGTTGCGTAGGCTGAAGCTTTATTCGGACCTGTTGACCCACCTCATAACCACAGTTAGCCTTGCCGCCAACTCGCTTCCGTCTTTCCTCTTGAGCACTCCTTATTCGAACTTTTCACTTGCCGAAACACGCTGTCCATGCGTTCTACCGTCCGCGGAGGCCTCAATCCTGCAGGCCGAGGTACTGCAAACTTCTCTGGCCTGTTCGGATGCTGGTGAAATAACAGTTCATATGGAGAGTGTCCAGTAGTAGCATTTCTCGACGTATTATGGGCATATTGCACCACGCACGAACTGCTTCAGGCCATACCGCTGTGTTGTCCTCACACACACACACCGCACATTATCGATGAGTTGATTTTGGCGCTCCACCTGACCGTTTGACTGGGCGTGGTTGGGACTGCTGAGTGCTTGCCGCATGCCAATTGCTGTACACATTTTGCGGAAGACAGCTCCAGTGAAATGCGAGCCACGGTCACTCTGCACAGTTCCTGGGATATCGTACCCAGCGCTCCAACAAGACCATGGCGGCCGTCTCCGCCGTGCAGTCCACTGTTGGAATCAACATCGCATAGCGGGTCAGCACGTCCTGAATTGCCAGGATATACCGAAACTTCTCTGGTACAGATGGTTGGAAGGGGCAAACAAAATCAATCTGAATCCGAGACAATGGAGCCTTCAGAATATCCGTCGTCTCTAGCTGCATCTTGTCTGGTTGCTTGGGGCGCTTGTGACGCTGGCACGCCTCACATTCTTGTACGTATGTCGCCACATCCTTGGACATAAACGGCCACCATACAATATCTCGTATGCGATCGTTTGTTCTGTTTCTTACCATGTGACCACTCAGTGGTGCATCGTGCACCAATTCCAGAAACCTCCTGCGCACAGACTGCGGTAGAACCACTACCATCATCTTTCTGTGACCTAGCGGCTTCTGTTGTGTCGATCTCCCTTTGATTCTGTGTAGCGCAAGATTCCGCCATTGCCAATACTCAGTCGCGACCTTTTCCTCAGTACACACTTGGCTTCTTCCTCGAGCACCCCTACTGAGCCCGGCGCTTTCAGCTCTTTCATCACTGGGCCCAGTGCCGGACACTTGAGCTGTTCTTCGACTGTTTCCTGGGTCGAGAACAGCGGCGTCAGTTGGTGGATACCGTCCTGCCCTCTGTCTTCCTGTTGCATGCTGAGACACTGCATCACTTTTGGCAGGCTGCAGTGGCCAATTCTCGACAGGTAGTCCGCCATACTCAATTCGGGTGATGCGCCAGGGCGGTGAACCGGCTTCATTTTGAACTGCTGCAGATAGTCTAGCCGTCGTGCCCTCCGGCCATGGATCTCATCCATGGACAAGCTGTTGATCCACTTAAGAGCTGCATGATCCGTGATTAGGTCGAATGGCTGGCTGGCCAGGTAGACCCGGAATTTCTTTATTGCTAAAACCACTGCGAGCAGCTCCCGATCCGTCACTGGATAGTTCCGCTCTGCCTTTGTTAATGTATGTTGAAAGAATGCTACCGGCGCTAACTGCTTACCATCTCGTTGCTGTGCTAACATTGCGCCTGTTCCGACGTCCGATGCATCTGTGACCAGAACGAACGGCCTGTTCATGTCTGGTAACTGCAGTACTGGGGCTGAGGCAACTTGTTGCTTTAGCATGTCAAACGATTTGATAGCTTTCTCACTCCATTGCAGAAGCGTGTTCCGTGAGCCCTTCATCACCATTTCGTAAAGTGGTTTAGCAATTGTGGCCATGCCTGGAATCCAGCGCTGAACATAAGAAAAAGCACCCATGGCTTTCCGGAGCAGCGTCACTGTTGTCGGTCTTGGTGTGCGGAGCAACGCCTGGACTCTGGCGTCTGATATGCGCATTGTACCTGCTGCAATCATGTGTCCCAGGAACTCTACCTCGCGTACTCCAAAACAGCACTTGTCAGGGTTCAACAGCACTCCTGCCGACCTGAGCTTGGTGAGAACCTCGCGCAAACGGCTGCCGTGCTCTTCCCAGTTTTGGCCCCAAACCAGCACATCATCTAGGTAGCAGAGCGCAGCTGTCCAATTCAGTTGGCCCAGTATGGCCGACATCAGTCTCTGAAATGTGGCTGGAGCTCCCGACAGGCCAAACAGAGTTCCCCGACCTGTCCATTCATACTGGCCATCCGGTGTGACGAAGGCAGTTTTTGCCGCATCCTCACCACACATCGGCATTTGGTAGTAGCCAGACTTCCAATCCACCGTGGAAAAGAACTGTGCTTCTGTTAGCTGATCCACCAGGTCATCTATCAAAGGTAGCGGGTGATGTTGGGGTGGCTTGCTGCGTTTAGCCTCCGATAGTCCATAGCCAATCTCAGTCGTCCGTTCTTGCGCCGAGCAGCTACTATCGGCGCAGCCCATGGTGATGTAGATTCTCGAATCAGTCCCTGTTGAATCGGGTATTGGACTTCCTCTCGAACCTCTTTCCGTGTGTCCTGTGCCAACCTGCGCGGTCTTGACCATTGTGGAGCCGAGTCACTCTTGAGGTGGATTCTGTGCTGGATTGTCGTTTTTGCTGTTGGGAGCTGATCACCCTCTACCCAAAACACGTCGCTGTACTCATTGACCAGGTTATGGATTTCCTGCTTCTTGCTGGTATGCAGATTTTCATCCGTTTTGTATCCGGTAACCTGCCGTCGCTTCCCTTCTGCTCCCAGCGAGCTCTGTAGCGAGACTTCAAATTCTGCACCTGCTACGCCAACAACTCTCCCTTTGGCTGCCTCTACTTCACTGTCCCCGGCATTGACCATACGTACCGTCGCACAGGAGGAAGCCGGTCTGAGCAGACAGCACATTGCTCTGACTGTGTCATTGCTACCGGTAGAACTTGGCTCGAGGAAGTACTCAGCATTGGGCGTATGGCCACGGAGTGTGCACGGGACCAATGCTTCCTCATCCGGCCTGATCTTGGTCGTGTCTTTCACCACCACTCTGCACACTCCTGTTGGACGATTGGCTCGGTCCAATGACCTTGAGTTACGGTATACTGGCTCCAGCTTCAGGCGATGTCCCTGTGTTATCAAGGTGCTACGTGGCCAGTCCCAGGTCTGCTTGCCTAGCCGACTCAGAAAGTTGGCCCCACCGATCATGGGTACGACCAGGTCAGTCACAACATGGAAAGGGTGGTTAGTAACAATGACCTTACCCAAGCGAACTGTCATTCTCAGGACACCCTCTATCTTGACTTCATTGCCGGATGCTGCTCTTGGGTTTGATTGCGATGACTGCTGGATACACTGCTTTTGGCGATCACTGAGGTGTGCCCTACTGATCAAACTGATATCAGCACCGGTGTCCAGCAGCATGCTTACCTCCTGGCCTGCCATCTGGGCCCGCACAAAAGGGCTGCGTGACAATTCACTGGCACCACGGATACTTGGCTGTGTCGGTAATATTGGTTGCCCCATGCTACCGCCGTCCTGCACCTTGGACCGGTGGGGCTTTAACGAAAATCCTTCCGGTTAGCAGCACGACGCTCAGCCTGGGTGTGTGGCCTCCAGGTAGGCGTCTCCCGCTTTCTCGCTGGGCAATCTCGCCAGCCGCCTCTGTGACCCACAGTACCAGCACTTCCAATTACTAGGGCCCGGCTGCCTCCTGGCTTGAGGTGCCCGTGCTGAGGGCGACCGCAATGCCGCTACCTGATCAGTCAGCTCCTCGATCTGGCTCCTTAACGCTTCCACAGTTGAATCCGTCCTCAGTATGTTTGCACTTTGCTGTCCAGTTCTTCTATTCTCTGCTGCCCTCCAGCACGACTTCAGTCTTGTGACTTTGGAAAGAATTTCCTCGTACGTCCTTGCCGTACTCGACTCCTCCTTCATGAAACCGTACACTTGCAACTCTTCCTTTAACCCTTTGGTGCCTGACTGAATTTTAGATTTTTCGTAGTTTCGGCTCAATTTTTTGGAAAGCCTATATCTCCGCAACCGTTTAGATGATGTAGAGACAAAAGTATGTATTCTGAATGGGAAGACACAGCAAAATCCGATTTCTGAATTTTCAAGTCAGAAAATCTACAATTAGGGTCAGGGTGCTGTGAAGTGTACGGTGGCGCGAGCATGCCCAGAATACGGGCGTTAATTTGGGCTGTGAAATGCTTTTCTGCTTACCTCTCTCGGAAGTCACAACAGTATCTGGCGGAGTTGTCATTACCGGCATGGTGGTTGGCATTGTCCTGGCTGAACCAGCTGTGCAGTACATGCACACAGAAAGGAACAAATTTACAGTGAAAAACCCAGCGGAGGTACCTAACACAAGGACACACACAAAAACTAACACAAAAATAACAACAGATACAAACACAAACCCATACACTATTGAAGTGGTGTTCAGTTGGTCCTCTTCTAACACCATAGCAACGGTCATTGCCCTACAACACCTTATGTTCATAACTATTTGCTTGTGACCACGGAACAAGAAATCACACTCACCTTGTGTTGTGGTTGCAATCACACTGAATACCACTTCTGCAGATCCTGGTCGAATTCCAGTGGATCCAAAACTAGCTACACTGCATACATAGTTGCCTGCATCTGATGCAATTGGTTCCTGGATAGTCAGTACTTCTCCATTCAAGCCACCAATCTCAAATCTACCAGCAGGAAGATCACTTCCATCTGAAAGAGACCAGCGATAAATCACGAATAGCGCATTCGGATTATTGTGACTGCATCTTAGCACAAAATTGTTGGTGCTAGAGTCAAACTCCACTCTTGACGGAGATACCGTGGCGAAGAATCCTACATCAAATCAAAAGAAGCACAAGTACGGAGGAAGTGATCGTAAAACCACTCATTCTGAAAAACACACACACACCAGAACTACCTTCAATGGGTCTCGTTGTTCTTCCATTATCATCTACAACCCACAAAATGGAAATCAATCACATGAAGGCACGCATCTTATTATAAATTAGTGGTGAAACGAATATACCGAATATTCGAATGTTCGTTCGGTTTCAACCGGTCACATTCGAACAAATATTTCTCCTGGCGAATATTCGCTAACCGGGTATGCAGAGTTTACCGGGCGACTTCAAACTTCCGTAACTTCGCGAATACTTGACCAAACCGCTTCATCGAAAGTTCCATCGGCATTAGAAAACTCTCAGCTGTCGTCTTGAAGCAGCCCGGACACGATCCGAGGTCCTGGAATGGAGTTATGGCGGTCGAACAAAAAATCACGTCTTGAGTTGTTTTTTTTCACGTGTAAAATGCACTTCAGCTGGGGATTTTGTGAAAATTGACCTAGAAATGGTGGAGAAATATGTGCCTTCGTTTGTCATGCCTAATAATAGTGACAATATCCAATAAAACGACTGAGAGGAGGGTGTGTGATGTCATCCGTGTTAACGAAAGAATATTCGTTCGTTCGTTCGTTAAGCCAAAGAATATTCGGCTACTGGGTTTTGATATTCGTTTCGGCACTATTATAAATGAACCATAGCTTATCAAATATACAAAATAAAGATAGGGGAAACACATATACATGACCTAAAGAGACCACTGATTACCAGGCAGCAGCAAAAACACAAACTCACCCGCTGGTGTTGATGCAGGTTGTTGCGTGCTTACTTCCACACCTGTACTGACTGGACTTGGTGCAGACGTTATTCCACCATCAACTACAACACACACAAACCAACCAAAAGCTAGCTGTCATTTGCAAACACTGAGAAACCATTAAATTAGCAAGAAAAATTCATTCGGAACAGACATATTCCTCATGAGAAGCAATCCTGCCAGGAGTGCCAAGCTAATCCCAGAAGACTATTTACCTTCGTACTGTTTTTCTGGGTACAGCAGCCAAACCTACCCAGTTACCACAAAGTGTCTGCTTGTGTTTAGTTCACAGTGCAATTCGCTACCAGGGACTGGAATTTATTAAGCTAGCCCCCTACCCGTTACCAGACACAAACACAAAAGCAAGAAAAAAACATGACATTCAATGGGAAAGAAGTCTTCAGTAACCGGTGTAGTATGCTCGTCTAGAAGTGCAGTTCACACAACATCACCAATACATTGAGACTACATTCGATGCTCGATATGCTTCTCTGCTTACCTTTCTCAGAAGTCACAACAGTATCTGGTTGAATTGTCATTACTGGCATGGTGGTTGGCATTGTCCTGGCTGAACCGTCTGTGCAGAACATGAACACAGACTGAATGAACAAATTTAAAGTGAAACTACGCTGCATCTAACTACGGTGCATCTAAAGAAACCAACACAAACACCCACCCACACGCACATACACTCCTTTAATGTCTCGAGAGCCGCTCCATAGTTGAAGGCGTCGTGAACGACAGACACATACAAGGGCAAAACCTCAACAGATCGTAACTGAGTCAAATCTTGGGAAAGTGCAATGCGTCAAAAGAAAACAAATCAAACCCACCTAATGATACAATGGAGAGCAAAAAGCACTAGCTGAACACGCAGACCCACACACCCATACATGCTCACATACGAAAGACGTCAAAGTATGTACACATTGTCACAATAGTATCGTTGTACATACCAAACTCAACTCCAGCTACTGCAGGATAGAACATGGAACCAGGTGCCTCCACTTCACACACGTACTGTCCACTGTCTGAAAATTCGGGATCTTGAATGCGCAGTATTTCACCACTGTCACCTTCAATAACATGACGCACCACATCCAGTGGTGTACCATCTTGTCTAGTCCATGTGTACGTGGGATTAATGTTGCTTGGTGCATCGTGAGTACATGTCAAGACAATCTGGTCTGTACTTGCATCGGCTATCACCCTTGTTGGAGATACACTGGCAAAGTAGACTGCAGTAAGGCGGGGCACACACACACACATGCACACACACACACAGACACGCACGCGCACGCACACACACGCACACACATACATACATACACACACACACACACACAAAGACACAGACACAGACACAGACACAGACACACGCACACACACACACACACACACACACACACAAACACACATACAAACACACATACATACACACACACATACACACACAATCGTATCAATTCAATCACACACAGACACATACACACACAACTGTGAAACATAACTGCAGTTGAAACTCGATCGTGTGGAAACACCTAGGCTAACCATATGCTCTTTCTCTCCTTGGTCACTTTCCGCTGATACATACACGTATACGCAATTAGTGGAATAATATAGCTGTGATCAAAGACCTAAACAGGATGGGACAGCTGGTGGCCACTGAATAAATTTCACCTGCATAATAATTATAGTTGCAACAGACCACCATCGAAATTGGAAATGTCTCACATAATAAGCTTGTAGTAGACGGACTTTCTACCGTATCATACCGTATGTACCGTATATCGATAGACTTACCATATCGTATATAGTACGTTATTTTGTGTACGTCCTGTGTACGTCATGTTGGTGCATGCGCGTGTTGCTGTGGTGTAAAAAGCATTCTTCGTCTTGAGTTCGTCATGTCTAGTTGTGTTTCCGTAGTCGTCTTGAAATAAACAGTCTTCCAAATGTAGTTATCGTCGTCCCTTTGTATAAGTGTGGAGATGGTACGGGACTGGGAGCAGGTGGAGAAAAGGCAACTACAGCATTGGTTCATGGAGTTTCACTTACCTTCAAGCACTGGTTGTTTAGTGGTTGTTGAAAACACAGGGGTTGCTGTGCTTGTATCAGTTGTAGTTATATTGTCTGCCTGTCCTACTGGTGTTGGCGGGGCAGAAGTAGGTGCTGGGTCAAATGCAACACAAAAGGAGCAATCACATGCAATGATATCATTAGGACTATACAAGCGAGTAGCCCGCAAGGGGCACGTGCACCCCCTAAAATTTTGACTCTGTTCAGCATGCACATAGTGACCATGAATGACATGCCAGCCATCCTACACATATGCGCCCGTCCCCCACCCCCCCCCCCCACCCCTAAAAGTGGAACCAGCTAATAAAACCCCTGCTATAACCTGACTTTAACGATAACGTTATCAAGCCAAACAATTAGCATTGAACAAAAAATATAGAATGATGCACTAAAACCCTTAGCAGGCCAAGATGCTCAACACAGAAGGCAGAGAGGGGACACGTTAGCTGCTGCGATCATGCAAATGCTGGAACCTATTGATAGTGCAACGGCTATATGGTGGAAACAAATTTCCAAATATCTATATCACCTTACTACCATATGTAACTTATTGTGACCAAGGAACAAGACATCCCACTCACCTCGTGTTGGGGTTTCAACGACACTGAATACCACTTCTGCAGATCCCGGTCCAATTTCAGTGGATCCACCACTATCTACACTGCATACATAGTTGCCTGCATCTGACGCAATTGGTTCCTGGATAGTCAATACTTCTCCATTAAAGCCACCGATCTCAAATCGACCCACCGGTAGATCAATGCCATCCGCAAGAGACCAGCGATAAGTCACGAATAGCGCAGTGGGATCATTGTGGCTGCATCTTAGCACAAAATTGTTGGTGCTAGAGTCAAACTGCACTCTTGACGGAGATACTGTGGCAAAGAATCCTACATCAAATCAAAAAGAGCACAAGTACTGAGGAAGTGGCTGTCAGATTGCTCATTCTCAAAAACACACACACACACACATACATGTACCTGCCCTATCTGTTTGTGTCTATGATGCAGCACTATTCCAGTCGTGAGCATCAACCATGACACGCGTTGCTCTTCTATCATCAACTATAACCCACAAAATGGAAATCAATCACATACCGTCATGCAACTTTGTACAAGTATACCAATGATTTTTGAACACACAAGAAAAAACTGGAGCAAAAAATTAGATATAACCTAAAGACACTAATGACCACCAGGCAGCAGCAACAACTCAAACTCACCTGCTGGTGTTGATCCAGGTTGTTGCGTGCTCATTTCTCCACCAGTACTAACTGGACCTGGTGCAGATGTTCTTCCACCATCAACTACAACACACAAACCAACCAAAAGCTAGCCGTTAATGGCATCCAATGGGAAATCGTTTGTACTAGTAAACTAGCAAGCATCATTGACAGTTTCCTCATGACGAGCAATCATGCCAGTAGTTTCAAGCTAATTCTAGAAGACAATTTTACCTCCTATGTGTTCTTTTCCTTGGTGCTGCCAAACCTGCCCAGTTACCAGAAATGTCTGCTGATGTATGATCCACAGTGCTATGTCTCACAGGGACTGCAATTGGTTTTGCTAGCCCCTTCCCCAGTCCAGAGCAAGGTAATGCAAGTCAAGAGCTTTATTGCACAGCTCCAACACTATCTTACCGTAACCATCAACAATAAATTCTTGCTCCGGCTCCACAACAACATCATCTACAGTGGTATCCGTTGGTTCCAGCACAACACGAATATCATACGTCCCATCGGCCAGTAGCTCTGGAAGGACAATCTGAGAAGATCCAGTAGGTACAGGTGCTCTGATCCAGTCTTCATCGCCGCTGGGACGGTATTCTACCACAACAGGACCCGTGTCTTTCATTGTTTCATTCAGCTCCGGAATATTGACCAGCGCTTGACTTAGTCCGGGTGTTGCTGTGTCGGACAGGACTTCAACCAATGGCTTCTCATCTGAAGGAACACAAGTACACATACACATACAGTCAACTTCGCTAATAGCGACTGCGGATATAACGACAATTCGTGAATAATGACAGTATTTCCACGCCCAGAGCAAAGTCCCATCTTACTGTAATACATATAATGAGACTTCGGGTATAAGGACACTTCGCGAATAAGGACACTATTCTGATGCCCCGCCGAGTGTCGTTATACGCAAAGTTGACTGTATACACACACAAACATACACTAACAAATCACACACACACACACACACACATACACACACAAAGCAGAACTGATAAGAAGATGATGTCCAATGGGAAAGAAGGTTTAGTAACCTGTGTAGCATGCACATCTAGAAGTGCAGTTCACACAACATCAACAATACACTGCGAGCACATTCAATGCTAGGTACGCTTCTCTGCTTACCTTTCTCAGAAGTTACAACAGTGTCTGGCGGAGTTGTCATTACCGGCATGGTGGTTGGCATTGTCCTGGCTGAACCATCTGTGCAGAACATGTACGAAGAAATGGACAAATTTGGGGTGAAAACTTCCGTGCATCTAAGTGATCACAGTCCAATATGCTGCAAAAGATCATGTAGTTTGCTGGGATTGTCTTCAGGAAGACACGCAGCCAAACATCCTACGACACAGTCTACTTTCTCTTCCATAGTCCAACACCAAGTTGGCATGAATGTGCACACACACGCACACACGTGCACGCACACACGTGCACGCACACACACACACACACACACACACACACGCACGCACGCACGCACGCACACATACACACACACATACAATGAATGGTTACTTGCAACAGTGTGTAAGCAGAATTCTTACCAACATTGACAGTTGCTGGCTCACTACGTAACGTGACTCCATCACCAGTCACCTCACACACATACTCTCCAGCGTCGCTCCCCTCCACATCAGATATCATCAAAACATTGCCAAAGCGACCACCGATTTCAAAGCGGCCCACAGGCAAATCCTGGCCATCTGTCCGACTCCACCGATACTGTGGAAACAGGATGCGTGGGTGGTTGTGGCCACACATGAGCATAAAGTCCGAGGTTGAGCGGACGGTCGTGTCTTGCGGTGATATGCTGGCAAAGTAGTCTGTAATCAAGATCGAGTTCATACAAACACACCAACACAATGTAAGTCTACAAAGACATGCAGGTGTGCATGCACCTGCTTGTCTACGTACAGTGGTTTCCTTTTGACGACTTAATTCGACCAACATAGAATGGTGCATCTAGCGTATGATCAAGAGGGACACACACAGAACATAGAATGGTGCATTTAGCCCCAATTGTAATGAGACAGAAGAGTTACTGACGTCACAGCCGATAAGAGGTTCACGGTTAGTCGTTGAAGACACTTACTGGGCTCTGGGGTTGTCGTAGGGAGTTGCGTTGTAAGCTCCGGGGTTGTGGTGCGAGGCTGTGTAGTCGGCTCTTCTGGAGTTGTAGGCATTACTGTTGGCTCAGCTATGGGTTGCATTGTACACCGTTCCAGAACAGAAAGAGAAAGGTGCACACAATCTTTGCACAAATCCCAAGAATTCAAGGTGAAGGAGATGTACTATTTTGCCAGTATAAGCCAGCGTACTACCACGTAGCAAAGTTTACTAAATAATACTCATTGGCATTGAAACGGGTAAAATCCATGCTACGAACACTTCACAGTGGGGTTAATCCTCTGCTCCATCAGTGTACAATGCCCCAAAGAGCAGAGGTGCCTAAGAAACCTTTGTATTGCAGGATCAGTGAATGTTCTAGAGAATACACAAAACCACGTCACACCACTTGGCTTACGGAAACACGGCGGATTCGAGCCGGACCACGTGCCATCGGAATCGCAGCTACGAGCAGCATACAGCTGCTGGCCGGTTGACGGATCCAGGCACAGGATGGCAACGGTCGAGTCCACAGCATAGGTGACGTCAGAGTAGTGGTACGTGAATCCCTCCAGCGGGGGAAGTCCCTCACAGTTCGTCACCACTGAACAATGCATCAGATGTCAGAGAAATTATACACGGGAACCTTGAAGCAAAATTATATTGTGCTCTTCAGTTTCCTGTTTACTATATAAGTACAAATTTTCGTTCGCGAAATCTTTCGTTAGATCACTCCACCAGCAGGCTTGTTATGTACTAAATTTCGTTCTTGGTCGAGGTCTGTCACCCCGAACGTTAAAAAAAAACCTTTAGTTTGGTACAAACTTTAGTTATTTCATACCCCTAACGAATATAGCGAAAGTTAATTCCAAACAAAAATTTGTACTTGTACAGTATTTGATTCTCCGGCAGGACTGACTAGTAGAAAAATGGCAGCTGAACTATAAACATCCAAGTCCGGGAGCATAACAAATTCCTACAAAGTTAGTTTGGCTGCAAAGCTCGTGCATTTTGCAGTTTACACACTGACTGATGCTACCATGGTGAACTTTTCGTACCAGCCATTAGGAGTGTTAAGACGTGTGACTGTTCAATCATGGGTAAAGTGTAACAAAAATAGGGTTGCGCCACTTTTGCATCTGCATGCCAACTACATGGTAGCTGTGTACATCGTGAGTGTGACCACTGTGTACAACAGATGAATCAGATGGTCTGTCTTAAGGAGAGTACACTGTAAAACCGGAAAGTCCAACGAGTCACAAAGTCTAACATTTTAACGACCAATTTTTTCGTTTGTTGAAGAAACGTTATCGTGTGAACCCGGTTTGAGATGTCTGTGTAAAGATGCGCATACATCGATGCATGTTCTTTCCGTTGTACAAACATCGTTAAACTTTCTGCACGTTATCATGCCAAAAATTACAAAACGTTAAAAACGTTTTGGTCGTTTAACTTTCCGGTTTTACAGTAAAGCCTGGCTCAAATCGCACATACCTTGTCTCCCGGCGCCCAGTGCAAACAGGTGATCAACTGTGGACGCAGACCTTTCGCCCGTAGTACCAATAGCGGTGACACGCACTTGATTACTACCATCGGATAGCCGGGCTGGCAGGAGAAGCGATGTCGTATCACTCGGAACACGGGTTGATTGATAGTTGGGGTCGTTCTGGAAACGCCACTCGACCAAAAGCGACGGGAAGCGAGCACGTTCGTCGTCCGATAACCGAGGTAGCTGCACTGTCACTCTGTTTCCTTGTGGGAAGACTAGTGTGCTAGTGATGATTGTGTTTGAGGGCCACTCTGGAAGGAACAGTGATGGATCTGCAATGACAACAGCAGCATTGGTAAATACATGAGGTGGGGGGGGGGGGGGGAGGGGGAGGATGAGTTGCGTCTCAAATTAGTTCAAGCTGTGGTGCCACCTTTGCACCATGGCCGGTAGCTCGGCTTACTTAGCTCGTAGCTGTACTGATGAGGCCTATATAGCCAAAACAGCTTGCTGTCTACAGCATTGGGTAGCTTAAAAGCTAATAGTGCTTGGGTCCATCTGCAGTATAATATACTAGGCTGAGTGACCATGCAGTGCATGTGCATGCATGGACTATGCACTGCATTGCAGATGTCGCAGAAGACAGAAAAAGCATGAGTTGCACCAGGCAGCTGCATTTCGTCACCTGTGTTGCATGTCTCTTTCCTATTCCTACTGCTGCACCATGCTATTCCATGACATGATCATACCCTGTACTCACCCAATGTGCCTATGGGGAAAGTTTCAATGTTGGACGTTTCCACTCCGAACGGCGTGATAGCTTCGACGCGAGCCACATAGAAGTCTCGGGAGAGCATCGTCAGGGTCACCGGGAAGGAGTCAGCGCTGGGGTATCCCTGTTTGAACGCTACCGACATCTCACCTGTCTCCGGGTCATACTTATACAAGGATAGCATGTATGCGTACGGGCTCGTGTGTTCAATGTCAATGTCAACTGTCAGCGAGCCTGCAAGCCATAAACACAAACACACACACACACACACACGCACACACACACACACACACACACACACACACACACAAACACACACACACACACATACTCAATGGGACCAACATTTCCTGGATCAACAAAGACTGGTCTGCACATTGTGGATTTCTTGTGAAAGTTGAGATGACTGTACTTGAAGAAAATGCAACAAAAAGATTTTTGTAAGAGCAAGAGCATTATGTGTATAGCAGCAGCAGAGGCAGGCTGAAAAAAAAGCAATGCAAGTACTTCACCCCACTTGTTCATAGAAAGCACAAACCTGGAGACCACAAGAATAGACATCTACAACAAATGTACAACACAAGTCTAAGTTAGCAAAGCCTGAACAGGCAAGATGAAGGATGAGCGGCGAACACTGCCGACTTACTGTTCATCGGGTCAAGGTATTTATCTGAAGCACACAGGGGAGAAAGCATACGAAAAAAGCTCTCATGGCCGTTTCAATATCTATCTTGCAAACCACAGATATCAAATTACAGCCAAAGAGTACTACCGAAGCTTTGGTGCAGCATTTTGAACCTTAGCTGACTATTCCTGCACAGCGCTTTGAACAAACACCACAGAGTAGTACAGTTTAAAACTAGTGAGTGAATGATCATCGCCCTGATTAGTAAATGCCTATCCAGGTCTTGTTCCTGCATGTAGATTGTGGGCTTTACAGTGCTAGTACACATAAGAGTACACAAACAACGGGGCACAACTCACAAAATGGATGATTAAAGGACAGGTAAGCTCGCCATTTTACGTCACGTTTGATTTATTTTTTATTTTTACAAAGACCACTTAAATGCCAAACATGAGATGCAGCTAGGGGAAGTTCGCACAACCTGAATCGTGGCAGTGGTGGTGAGGTCTAGGGAGCTCCGCCGACCTAGGGTCTCGACTTCATAGCCACCTAGACGCACCAAGAGTGGGTGGGGGAGGTATAATTATATATACAGGTAGACTCCCTCTAATTCGAATACGGTATAATTTGAACATTCCGTGTAATTCGAACTTTTTTGTCGTACCGATCTTCTGCAAGTCACTTCAAGTCAAAATCGAATGCATAATTCGAAGTACGAAAAGTGCGCCGGTTGGATAATTCGAACCCAGTCTTCGTACAGAAGAGCTGTTTACAGTACATTGGCTATGTCCTTTGAACGCTTATTTCGAAGTGAGATTGAGTTGCTATCCTTGTAATTCGAAGTTCATTCTTTTCTCCTTCTCTAGCCAAGAGTAGCTCAAAAATCGATCGATGGTCCGCTGCAGGATCGACTATAGCGTTCAAGAAACCCACCTTCTCTCGAAATTTGATTCAAGCCCGTGCGAGGCAAATTGCAAAGGTTTGATTGAAGACGACTTCTTCCAGATGGCTGACTCTCTTCGCGGATCTCGATGGCCTTTCTTACCGCGCCAGCTCGTGCGCGGAGATGTTGGCGCACAACAACACTATTGTCGTAAATATTGTCTATGCCTTTGCTCCACTTCCGTTCTTCAGAACGACGTGCTGCTGTCCAACGGCCTTTCATGACGCGGATTAGGCAGCGCACTGAGCGCAGTTCTTTTCCGTTGAAATTGTTTCAGGAAAGCTGCAGTGACTGACAACTTCTTCACTAGAAGATGAAGATAATGTCAAAATGATTTTGTGTCGATCCAGTGTTTTGATGATCCGTTGTACATGACCCGTACCTATGTTTCGTTGATGCAAATAAAAATGTGCAAAAAATATTCAGCATGCGATTTCAAGCATTTTGACATACATATCAGTGCATGGGGCTGCATTTGGATAATTAGAAGTTCTGGATAATTCGAAGTTAGGGCCTGGCAATTTGAGGTTCGAATTAAAGGGAGTCTACCTGTATAATATATGTCATGAATGCAGCGAGCCACAACTGCACAGCCGCACTACATCATCATGCATTCCGATCTCTGCATTTATACTGCCTTGATCTCAATAAGGCGCAATAGGAAGAGCTATGCGCTCCTGTTCAGAACTCCACATTCAAACCCCTTCAGGCTAAAGAGAATTCTCGAAATCTGAAAGATACGTTTGATCACAATAACACTCTGCGTCGAAAGAAATGAGCTACCAGAATGTGTATGCCAGCACACTCACCAATTGCAAAGTACCAATCCTGCGTGAAGGCTGATTCAACCGCGCCAACGGTGATCTGTGATCTCAGCACATACTGGCCTCGGGTGAAGCCTGCGGCTGGAATTTCAATTACCACGTCTTCCAGCAAATAGTCGTATTGAACCGAGTGCCAAGTGGTATCGTTAACCTTTTTATACTCAAACACCACTGTACCAGGTCCGGTCAGGTCAATGCCAGGGCTCGCCAGGAGAATAGGCTGTATCACATCAATTGTGTTGCCAGGCGAGATCGAGACCTCATCCAGCGTTTGCCAGGTAGGCGAGAGTGTAACACCAGGGCCTAGGAGAGTTAAGACATGTACACATGCAATAAGATATGCCGCGCATGTGCAGACAGACACACAGACCGATACGCCCACACACATACATGCACACAAGCACAAACGCACACAAGCAAAAAACACATACACACACAAAGGGTGGAAAGTGAACAAAAATGTGTACTTCAATAAACCCTAAAGAAACATGTGCAACTCGAAATTGAACCGTATTAATGCCACCTATCCAAAAGCTTTTGCCTATTCTGCAGTTGAACTCTTGTGTTCACCTCATTGGCCTTGCTCGTTTCTCATTTCTTTTGTTCATTTGGCTTATGCGAAGACTAGCCAAGCTTGCTTGGTGATGACAACGCGAACAAACGTACAATAATAATAATAATAATATCCAAAAGTTGACAACAGCAGAATGCATAGCAAAGTGGTGAATGGTGATCCCACTGGGCTCTTCTTCGGAGCCACTGGACAACAAGGATAGCATGTAAAGATTCCATGCCAGCTTCTTAAGACAAACCCTTTAAGAGCCACAGGAAATTTTCAAAATTGTGCATTTTTTCGTGTTCTTTGGATCATAGCTTCAGTTCTACTCACTCAATCCTCACAATCTAGGGCTTCCTGGAAAGGTCTCCGTGAGAGGAAGAGAATGAGGTCGATCATGATAGCCAGCACACCGTCTATCCAGCGCTAGATCGCAGCGACAGTACGAAAAATGCCCCAAATGCGTCCAATTGCGTCCCGCTCCAGATATTTCATTTTACTCGATCGTGGAGTTCCAATTTTTTCGCTGTGTACTCTTGACAATATCAACAGTGAAACCCGTGCAAATTCGAGTAAGCCAGCTTGACGAAAAGTCTCAAAATTCTCAATACTAAAGTCGCACTGCGCGTTTTTGAAATTGCCGCGATCGCGGCTCAACTTACGAGTGATTTATCTCAGGAACCGTTGCTCGCAGCGCTTCGCGGATTGTTTCTCCCGACAGGTGAGAGATTTCTCTTCGCCCTGGATATTTCGATCACTGGATTTGAGCGAGATTGGACTGAGTTACGATCTTTTGAAGTTTTGCATTTGAATGCGTCGTTTACGACGCATTCAAGTATGGGGCGGCTCTTAAAGGGTTAAGACACAGTAAAACCTGTCACGGCAAACACTTGGATAGGGCAACCACCCGTCCCGGAAGACCACCGCAACCAGGACCAAGGGATGCTATTCCTTGTCAAATATTCCTGGATAAGCAGACCACCTGGTGACAGAGACCACGTTGTGATGCTCCGTTGAGCGATCGTCTTAGACAGGTTTCACCGTATCTCAAACTTACCCATATATCCCAAATCGCCATCTTGCGCTGATCGTGTAACTTGTAAACCGCTGGGCAACACCTCGCTCACAGTGTAGCGGTAGTACTCGCCCACTGCCACGCGCAGATCCCGCGGGAAGTCCCTGCCCGATGCCACTTGCACAGGCTCTCCTTCTTGCACAAATGCTCCGTTGACAAAATGCTCCAGTCGGATGATGAACGGGTTATCGATGTCAGAGATGAGGTCTGGTATTCTGACACCGATTGGGACTACTGCGTAAGTGGAACAAAAATACATAGATGTCTACATGTTAGCTTCCAAAGACCAATTGCAAGCAACTGGGAGGACATGTTGCCTGGGATGCAGCTGATAAGATATGTTGAAAAGATGAAATATCACAGTACACTATCATCATTCTAAAATACCTGGCTGGCAGAGCTCATGAAGAAACAAGTTCTGTCTGATCTGCTTAGGAATAGTGAACCAGATACAGTCAACCTCAGGAAAACGACCCTCCACCGGGCAGAGAAAAGAAAGTGCTGTCAGGCGCGAGTTGTCACTATTCACCAAGTTTAAAGTATGCAGTCAAGTGGAAACTTTGTCTGAAGATAGCGCTGTCATTTTCAGGTTGCTGTCATATCCGAGGTTGCTACTCATGAGGTTGACTGTAGGTATTTGCAATACATGGTACTTGCCTGTCTGCAGAGACACTGGGTCTATCAAACTCTATCTTTTTTTTTTCGCTCAGGCCAAACCCATCGTCACAGGAGCGTTGCTCGAACATCTGTGATGTGGTGCCAATGTGCCAGAGTATGCCCACGGTGTGGTGACCATGTAACCACCAGCAACCCCATAGCCGCCATTTTGCCTATTTTGACTATGTAGCACCTATGACGGCTATTTCCTGGTGTGATGACCAGACTTTTTTTTTTACTATTGACACAGCCCTACTGGAAAACAGGTGGAGAACAAAAAGAAACGAGGAAAAGGACAAAACATAGACTACGCTGACTATACGCGAGCAACGCGCCTGAATCACCCTAGTTATATCCTAGTGGCAGATGTAATGCCTAATGGTGGCACTAGGAGATACAAAATACTAAACCTTGGAAAGTCCCTTTTTGACAAAGGCACGAATTCGAATTACTCTCCGCAAAAGCAAAATGATACTATAACGGGACTTACAGACTTGCGGCGGTGGTGTTGTTGCTGGTGGCATGGTGGTCGTAATGCCTGAAATGCAGGTAGAAAACAGTTAAATATACGGGAATAGTTTATTTACGAGTTTCAAGTATTTTGACGGAAGTGCGAGCACCGATGCAATCCACAGAGTAGAGCCAATTTTAAACTGGAAGTTTTCGTTCCAAAATAGTGGTGGCTACTTCGGCGACAATTTTCTAGGAAAGAGTCTGCTCCCCATACTGGAGCTCATGCTTTCCCGCCGACTTTTACTTGACCCTTGACCGACCCACGACTGCCACCCAGACCACATGACAAGTCCCTCAAGCCTTCGACAAACCTGCAAGAAAACACCACTCCTTTTCGTTTCTAGAAGAAGAAAAAGGACCAAGGAACTACAAGTTATGATTTTCTTCTATAAATTTATCCTTGGCTCTCCATCCGAGGCCATTCCCTTTCGTTTCCTTCATGCATTCACTTATTTATTTTGACTGCACCTCACAGCATGAATAAAATGTTTTAAAAAAATCACGGTTCGCAGACTCGGCTGGAGACCGAGTTTCCCACATCCGTAGGAACGCCACCAACCCCAAGGATCAAGGCGTAGATGCAGCTCCAAAAGCGGTGGGAGGTGAGAAGATCAGACCCACCAAAGTGGTCAAAGACCGAAAATCCCATTCGTTGCATCCATGCTTCCTCCCAAAAATAGTGCCAGTGAATTATTGAGGGAGGGTGATAAACCAAGCCCCTGCAGCCCCAGCGCATACCCAGATTTCCAATACATGGTACAGCCAGGCCTTGCATAACCGCACACATCCGTTAACCACAAAAATATCCAGATAGGCGAGGGAACCGGATAATCAAACACACATACTATATGTATGCATGACATCTGCTGTAAATCGGTAACCAACAATTCTCTTCCGGATGGCGAGGGATCCGGTTAAAAGAGGACCGGATAAACGAGGTCTGACTGTACTAATTTCCCTCTACAAATATCTCACAGCAGAGGGCAACGGAGTTCAGGCTCATGAATACAGTGAAGCACGACTCCAGAGTAATACAAATTCGCCCCTAGGTTGTTTCGAATTTCGATCAATACACACTTTGTCAACAAGCAAGTAGCGTGAAAACAGAAAACTAAAGCCTGTTTAGGGTGATGTACAGATCATAGTTCGATAATGCATCTGCCTTTAGGACCATCAGCTAAAATAGATCAAAAGAATGGACAGTTAGAAGGGGTTCAAATTTTGCTTTTATAGATGTTACGCAAGTGATTTCAACTTGCGGATTCGCTTATGGGCGCTAATTATACAGGATGAGTCGGCAGATTTGCTTGAGGCAGCGCATACTGCGCCGCAGCTTTGCCAAGACATCTCAATTGATGATGTAATCACATAATCTATATACCTCACTGACAGCATTTACATAACTGCCCATTTGTTCGACACAAGATGAGAAGAGCACGGATACATTTGAAATGTGTGGGACAGTGACAACCACGGCTGCAAAATGTGACTTTGAGTTGTTAACAACCCCAAATTTCCTTATCCCTGTGCCTTGCATCTCTGCATACAGTGCATTAATTACTCTGGCCGGCCGTTCAGTTTCTTTGGTAACCGCCACAAGTGAATAAATCGTATCGTGCGGACACCAGAACCCGGGCTCACGCATCCAATGCTGCATGTACTTTGCCTTAGCTGTACGTACAAGTTAGCCAACTTCCACCTATCAAAACAGTGCTCGACATTTGGGGTAGAACTCTTTAAAACAGAAGTCAGGGTTGTCGGGTTGCTACCGGATGGCAACCCAATGATCGCTTAGCATGATACTCAGAGCTGCAATCAGCGATCCTAATGTCTGTGTCATTTGTGTGCATAGTGCTCTTTTGCCATGCCGAGCTCATATCGAATAAGTACATGGTGAATGCATTACAGGGTACTGGGAGAGCAGAAACAAGGAACTGCGTGCAGTGCATGTACTCACGACTGCAATCCAGCCTGGTACCGGTCCAGGTCCCAGATTCGTCACAGGTCAAGAGGGACAGAGGCGCCCCAGAAGCCGACCTGTAGTCTTCTGCACACAATATCGTAGCGGTACTGCCCACGACCAGATTGTCCTCGGTGGTGGAGTAGTAATAGCGCAGTGCTGGGTCAGGAGCATGCGGCGAACAAAGAACCAGCGGTGTGGTTGTGGGTGCAGCTGTGGTGGTCGGCGGTGGTGGCTCGTAAACTACAACCTCCGTGATGCCGCTCGTGGCCGTTCTGCCACCGACGTACTCTGCAGTAACACGCACTTCAAGACGGTTTGCGGACAAGCCGCTCAGAACAAGGCTGGTCTGGCCAACGTTGGGGAATCGTATCACTGACCACCCACCAGGCATTTCAGCATCACGGTAGTAGACTAGCCAGGAATCGAGTTCCGCCATAAGACCATCCGGAACTCGGGGTACATTTATAGATGCCCTAGTTCGGGTTGATTCATTAGATCTCAGGACAGGCTCTTCCCAAACCGGTACAGCTGAAAGAAGAAGAAAAAAAGCGCCAGAAATTGACAGCTTCAGAAAGGAATTTTAAGCTTCCGTAATACAACTGTGCAGGAGCTGTTCAAACCGTCACCATAGAAACTGGGCTGTGCAGCCGACATGGCGCTGCCATGCTCTCTCCAAATTACTCCTGGGATTATGGATAAGTGACACATACAACAGTAGACTAGACCTTATTTCCATTGGACTGTTTCGTGCCACAAGAAATATGTCAAATTATCCCCCAGAGTGCACACCAGGGTACCAGTTGCGATACACGCAGTTTCATACACGAATATAGCCCACGGGCCCACCGGAGAAGCGCCCTGCTAACAGTCCTGGCAGGCAATAGGAAATATGCATGTGTTCTCTGAGTTGCACAGGGCCCGATCGGCACTAGGTCTGAGTTGAACGGGTCTGAGGCGCGCTGGAATATTGGTACCAGCAACCACTATCATGATGCAATCCTGAGCAAGAGAATCCTGGGTATATGGTCTGAGGTGCGTGCTGGAATATTGGTGCCAGCAACCAGTATCATGATGCAATCCTGAGCAAGAGAATCCTGTGTACATGTTGAAGTCCATCGCACCCGAGAAGGAAAGAATGGCTACATGCATCTGCTGTAACACACTACCTGTACAAACTCATTCTCATGGTGGAGCTTAAGTATGCCGTGCAGCTGTGGACCGCCATGTTTTAATTGCATGTACCCGCACATGCATACATGCACAAATGTGCGCACAGACGCACACACATACACACATCATGTACCATGTACCCAGACATACGCATGCACTTGGACACACGCATGGACACACATGGGCACGTGCACATGCGTGTGCATGCATACGTGCACACACACACACACACACACAGACACACACACACATACACACACGTGCCAGGGCCTACCTGTTGCACCAAGGGTGACAAAGATGACAGGCACAGAGGCAGTTGTGGCAAGACCACCACCATCAACTGCAGATATTCTGACTTCGTAAATTCCAAACGGAAAGTCCATGAGCTGTCCTAACAGCTCGCTAGTTGAAACTGTTCTCGTATTCCACGCTGCGTTGCTGCCACTAATTCGCCACTCAACCAGCCAGTTCATATAGCTCCTCTGATCAGCAGCACTCGTAAACACCGGGAATGGAATGCTAGTGAGCGACGAGCCATCTGACATGAAGGCGGTTGTGATGGGTGTGCTGGCATCGAGGTTGAACACCTTCGGAACCCTCCCTGCAGGCCGGTGCACAAACAGTGGACTTGGTAAAAAATTACATAAAAACTAATGGACACGGACACCATCCATGAACACACATCACATCAAGCAAAGCTGCAATAGCAGCAACTCACTTGCGTACATATAGGGTTCTCTAAAAGGTTCCATGCCCGAGTACGCAACCTGGCCCCTGCAGCTAGACTCCAAGAGAAACAAATACATTAACTTATCTAATTTCATGTCCGCCAGCTACCACGGTGATCGCACATCGTGCACAGGGATAAAACATGACCAACGCTCACCGGAGAATCCAACGTCATATTTAGAAATGCTTGCAAGCTGCGGAATACCATCTCGGACGGCGTCCACGCGCGAGTAGAAGTATCCAACTCCGGTGTGTATCCAGTATGGGAACTGCGACGCGGAGACGCCATTGACAGTGTTGACGAGATCCAGCTGACCGGTCGTCTCGTTGAACTGGTATACGAATATGTTGTACAAATCCGCACGCGGTGTCGGGTCGGGAAGCTTCACATTGATACCTGCACACAGAGCACAACATCAACATGCGGCGGTGCACCTCAGAAAGCACTACTACAGTGCCGACCGTTTAGTCACATCTGGCTGCGGCCTACTACAGTACCGTTCAATGTGTGTGCTGTTGCTATTACTGTCTATGTCACTGTTGTGCATGTCAGTACATGTGAAGTGCAGTGCTATATTGCTAGAAGCAGTGAGCCGCTGTCAGCAAACCTCGTAGCGCCTGCGTCAGACTGCACGAAAGCAATGCACTGAAATCTAGCTACTCCTTGACAAGCTGTAAGTTGCACGTGCCCATTCTTCCACGCTCTCAGAAAGTAGAAAGTATTTAAGACGATCAGCAGGCCAACTATGCACTGCTTAGGAGCACACGTTCTGAAAAAGGCTGTGAAATCTGGGTGTTATACTGACGCAGCTCACGGCTTTCATGTAATCTGGCATGTCCTCTCAGCCAACACGAATTTAGACTTGGATGTGTTGGGGTGAACGTGTGTGCTTGCGCTCGCAGTACTTACCAGCATCAGCAGTACTTACCAGCATCAGGAGTGGTGAAGGTCAAGATATCACTGTACGCTGACGAGAACTCGTTGTACACGGTCCTGAAGCGCAGTCGATACTGGGTACCCGGCGTGAGGTTGGGAAGCGGAATGTCCTGGAAGTCCGGCAGAACACGGATCGTACCAATACGCGCCCATGCGCCGCTGTCAACGCTAGCGTCCAGGACGTACACAGCACCGGGAAGATCTGGCCCGGTGTAGCCTGGAAGAGTGATCGTGACCGCCACAGGCGTGAGCGATCCTTTAACTAAGCCAGGCTGCGGCCAGAATGCAATAGCTGCACAGGAAACAGGCAGACAGGCAGACGGGAATTGAACAGTTGAAAGTCAAAAGGGATAACAGTCAGAAGACACCCAATCCTAACGGTGGAATGAGACCGCCGCTACAGCGATAGCAGGTAAAATGCACATACATTCTTTCACAATACGACTTTTAAGAAGCATTGGGAAATTTTGTCTTGACTTACGCAAGTTGATTGGAGGTGGAGTTGTTGTTGGAGGTGGAAGAGTCACTGTGGGAACACAACGAAGAGTGGTACCTGACATAAGAATTGACCGACAGCTATCAATCTCCCCACTCCACCCCCACCCCCACCCATCCCTAAACAAAAGTACACTCATACCTCATTTATCCGGGCGGTCCGGGACCGGGCACTGCCCGTAACTTTGAAATGTCCGTAACTCCGAATCACATACATTTTGATGGGGAAAGGCCATAAAATATGGAATATGACATCACTATTTCCACAAAAAGTGACAAAAGAGTAGTAATATTTTCACTTAAACTTGGCCAAAGGGTGCCCGGTAGACCGAAGTGCCCGTAACTTCGGGGTTCGGATAACCGAGGTATGCCGTAACTTCGGGGTTCGGATAGCCGAGGTATGAATGTAAAATGTTATGCAACTTCATCGCCCTATTTTTGCGCAATGCAGCTGATTCACAGTTCACGAATCAGTACTTCTAAAAGGTTCCTGAAGTCTGTACAAAACCTACTGAAGAACGGCCAATTTTAGCGGGTAAATTTTTTAGCGCTTTGTGAACCTGGGCCAATTCGTGATGAAATATTTTAGCGATCTGAGTTGTAAAAAGAAGGATGACTAGTACTGTACTGTACATGCAAAATTTCGATTGGCGCGGCAAAACTTTAGCGAAAACACTCCTTTCGCTAAAGTCGCTAAAATATCAACGTCACTAAAATTAGCCGTTTTACAGTATTCTGTTAGGACCCTGACAAGATCAAGTTATCCAGATGATGGTCACACAGCCAAACTTGACAATATACTGCGCAGGGAATAATTTGAACTTAGTCCTCGTTGCAACAACCAACTAAGTGTGTGTTTAGGTACTGCAACCCGTTTAGTTAGAGGAAGGAACAAAGGGAAAACTGGGACAAGGGAAACACAGGATCACACAAAAGGCAACTAAGGCAAACACAAGGATCATCCCATGGGTACCAGTCAGGCAAGTTGCCATGACAATCATGGTGGCCAAAAGTACACTACCATAATGACGCGCGCAAATCCCATTTACTATGCACGGGTCATTTCCACAGAAGTATTGTTCTCCACATAGGCGCATGAGCTTGCAGCTGCTGAGACCATAAGCAGCAGGATACTCTGGTAGCCTACCTGTTGATCGAGTGGAAAAGACAATGGGAATGTTTGTCTTTTGGCCGATGATTAAATTAAGCGTGGTCAAGTACAGCTCGTAAACGCCATCTGTAATGTTAGCGGGGAGTTCAAGCGAGCGGGTTCCAGGTGGCGCACTTGCAATCTGATAGAGGGGAATGTCAATGCTTCTCCATTGAGCAAGTATCACAACAGTGTTATTGTCTGTCTCCGGTAGGTTCACCGTGACTCTACTCCGCATGGGGGCGATGCTGGTAGAAGAGATGAATTGCGGCGGGTAACGCAGAATCTGGATGCGGTCTAACAGTGCCAGTGAGAAAGGACAAGAAACACACGCAAAATTATGTTCATGTAATTAATTATGGTTGAACTCGGATGGTGAGCCAATTCAATTATGGTAAAAAAATAATAATAGCAGTGCATTTGATGGGGGAAATTTTGCCGAATCGTTGTAAGAAATGATCGTATCATGAAAACGAGTTTGATGATAGCAGAGTGATTGCAAAAGAACAGGTCTGCTCTACGCCACTTCCTATACATGAAGCTGAAGGAGGCCTCATCACTACTACTACTACTACTACTACTACTACTACTACTACTACTACTACTCTGACCTACAGTACTCCGTCGTCATGCACCATCTTCGTGCCAAGATTGCCTTCTGCCTCCTCCGCTGGGCCGTAACCTGTCTGCGTGGATGCCGGGGAGCTCGGGGCGTACGCCGTGGCAATTCGTTTGTCACGGAGTGCAGGCTGCTCCGGTAGTGGCATGGGGCTGTGTGGCCGATCCTAAACGGATGTTGTGACGTAACGGACATATCTGTGTTTGAGCATGTCTTTGTTTTTTTTTTGTTTTTTTTGTTTTTTTGGTTCTACTTTTATAATAGTTTGTTTTGTTTTGTTTATCGGACAGATCGAAATAAGCATTCACACGCAGACAAATTATACATCCACCACCCTATTGGTTTATGATGTTTTTACACATATACCCCCAATAGGCTATTTATCAGACTCGAGTTTTCAACTTACACATTCCACATTCACCACTCAATCGGCTTTTGGTTTGTTCACACATACGTACCATACGCGATCTATTGGACTTGAGTTTTACCTTGTGTCCTTTTTTTGCAGTCAGCAGATTCTTTTGTTGGACATTGTTTATTGAGTTTCTTGTTGCTTTTGGTTTACGCATATGCGTCATTTGCCCGTAAAAGAGGCCTTACTACTACTACTACTACTACTACTACTACTACTACTACTACTACTACTACTACTACTACTATGCTATTGGTGTGGTGATGAGAATCACGGCAGTTGTCAACACAGAAATCCCACCTAATATCAACTTGCTGAGCTCCGCACCAATGTGAACACAGAACCGCTTCATGGTGCTGCACCAGATTGCCAGGATTTCTACTGACAGTACTGAGACTGATTGTTCTTGTACCGCCGAACGTTGAGAGCGCAACCGCAGTAACAGGGGGAAATGACCAACACTGCTGACTGTGCAGCTTCAAAAGAAACATGCATTACGGATAAACTGCCTCCTGTGCTTGCGGCACAAATACATATCTACAGAACACTGTTCACAAAGGAGGGTGCACAGTGTGTTGGTACATTGAAGTACAATATTGTGTGGGTAGCCTTTTTTCTCACCTTTTTCGGCAAAGTCGAAATACTTCAACGAAAAGCTTGTCCTGTCTCCATTGGCCTCCTGGCCGTCAATCCTAGTAACATAATATCCAGCTGGAAGGTCCGAGAACGTGTACGGGAAGCTCGCGCTAGTCAAGTTGTGCACTTCCTGAAGCTTGCCAAAACCACTTTGCTTTAGGGAATACAATGCCAGTGAGAGCTGTGGAAACTGTGATGGCACTTGAGATGGCAAGTCGATGACCAGGTCACCTGCAATAATAGCCACAGAAGATCCAACCATAATGATGTCTTGCAGTCCAGTCACGATAGGGCGGTAAGCGCAAACCCTGATATACATGTACCCAATGTGGAGTGGATTTAGCATCGAAATTCAGACTCTACTAGTGTGGCTTGATGTGATGTTTTAGGCCTGCATGTTGCCCAACATGATTATATGTTTGACACAAGGTCGAATGCAAAGCTCATCTACAATTCGTCATAAATCAAGTTTGGCTCCTGGCCGAAAATATGATTAAGATATGGAATTAGCAGCAAAGAGACCACTTGCTTTGAGGGTTTTCCGTGTTGTGAAGTGGCTGCAATGGAGCTTGCATACTCAATAATTTAGCCCAATATCTGAGAAAATCGACCTTCCGGGCTGTTTTGGTGAAATTGATTTTTTTATTGCAAATTGATGTCTAGCCTTTGTAGAGTATTGTGACTTCGTTTCACGGCCATCAGACTCAGACCAATATCGACTATGTAGAAATGCATTTTGCGGTCAGGAGTCATGTTCATGAAATGTTCTTTTTTTTACAATTTTGAAAGATCAGTGTGCTTGGAGCCACCAAAAATTGTTTCCATGTGATATCAATAGCCAACTAATATAGTAGAGTGTTTTGACTGTTCAGGTACTTCATTTCCAGCATTCCGTGACTTTATTGAAGTTATGTAGTTGCAACAGCAGCAATAGCAGCATTAGGCCACCCTTTGTTAATTAATTGTTTAACGTCCTTTTTTTCGCGAAAAGGTACGCGGGAGGGCGGAAAAAAAACAAAAGCCCATTCCAAAAACTGGAAACCCCAATCAAACATTTTGACCAGTAAAGCATGTGATATATACAATATTTCTGGGTCTAACGGCACTTGCAGGCATAGAACAACACTCTTTGATGGTACATTGGAGCACATGCCTGATGAATCCAACAAAACAGGTACATAGCATGGAGTTAGCATGTCATGAATTCATTACATCTGGATTTTTACTAGGACACACACCGTACGATATTTAAAAGCCAACAAAAAAAGAAAAAGAACACAAGACAAAGGCATGCCCGGGAGGCAAGATTATAAGTTTACGGTCATGATCGGCACACTGTGAAACTACACAATCATGTATTTACAACTTCGCATATTATTGGTACTACTACTTTCTTGTTTTTTTTTTCCGGTCGGAGGCAAAAAGGTACGCGGGCGCGGACGTTAAACAACGAAAAAAGAAAGGGTGGCCTTAGAAGGAGAGGTGATTTATCTGTTCTCCTGGTGATGGACATGCTTGACAGGATAGTCTGCGACAGATTTTGACGGAACACCGTGATATCAGCATTCACATACTTATTGTGAAGGAGTCAAACAGAGCAAATGCGTCCAGATTCGCCTTGTTGCACTTTGTAGAGACTGATCATTTCCAAACATCAGTAACACAGCCTGACAAGCGTTTCACACCACCAACTCAAAAGTAACAGAATGTTACTCGAGATTGCCCAGCCTCATGTGCTCCGTGATGGTCTGATTCGCCATTATTAGCTCGAGTATCGAGCTTGCCATCCAAAACATTTTAGGATCATCGTCGCAAAGAAAACTCGCATCATTTCGTGCTGTTTTAGCAGGTCTGGCGTGACACTCAGGAAACAGTTCTGCCACCCGCGCAAGGGCGGCCAGCGACCTTGCAAGCGGCGTACCCTCAGGAATCTACTTGGTTGTCCTTGCCTGGAGCTGTAGCAGCTATCGCTGAGGCAGACTGTGGTTGGCCTTGATCATACTCATCCAGGCCAAGTCCTCATCATCGTCGCCCCCGACAGGTAAGTACCGCGTGTCACTTGTGATCGATTCACCTGACATGCGCTCTCAGAACTAGAAGTGCTGTCGCCGCTTGACAGGGTATCCACAAAGAACGATGTATCACGGTCCATGGGATCGCGGCTGCTGTACTCCGTGAGCCCAATAACCAACTGACACAAGAATCGCCTTCAATTTTCTTCCGCCATTGTCGTCTCTGCACTTTGCTTTGACGGAATCGATTTTTTTGGGAACAAATTTGTTTTTAGGGTTTTCTCAAAAAACCCGCATAGCTCCGAAGGTCGAAAGTCTCAGATATCGGGCCATTTGTCATTTGTGGACTTCAAGCGAAAATGGGAAACCAACACGAACCGGGTACGCCCTTGAATCTGTTCTCAAAAATAGGCCTATTCATTGAATCTTAGGACTCAAAAACAGAACACAGAACACAATTGATGATTGTGATGAGAAAGTGTTCTGGAACATTCACGAAACCATCTCTAAGACCTTGGCCAACCAAGCATAACCCATAACGCATAATCCGCACATCCCATCAAGCATAGTATGGACTGCATGCAGCATATGTGTAGTACGGAGAGGCTGTGGATGTCCTGCTTGCGGGTCGTACACAGATACACACCCGGACACGTGCACACACACACACACACACACACACACACACGCGCACAGACACACACACACACACGCATGCACAAACACACACAAACACACACACACACACAGACTCACAGGCGCATATCCACCCAGCATGCATCACGCATCACCCACTCACCTTTCCCTGAGGTAACTATCACCAGCGGTTGACTAGGTATGCTTTGCCTCAGGCCATCAGCAGTAACACCTTGCACAGTAAAACTGTATCGCCCATCACTGACATCTTCGGGTAGCATGAATGTTTGAGAATCACTCGAGATGTTTTGAACACGTTTCACGGTTCCATCGTCCATGCGAACCAGAAGTGTTGGATACGTCTGCTGAGGGAAGGCAGGAAGCTGGAGGGTGACTCTGCTTGCTCCCGGGGCTGTAGACACAACTTCAAATGGCTGGTTGGAAGGCCACTTCGGGATGAAGGGAAGATCTCCTGAACAGTTGAACAGGTCATTGAAAATCTGATGAAGTTGCTGCACATTGCACAATTCCTTGACGTGCCAAAATACCTCAAATACCTAAACTTGAATGCAGGCTCTCGCCCGCACTGAAATCAATGCACTGGATAGTTTCTAGTAGTGAATGCATGAAATGAGGGTGCTTTCAAATTTCAAGAAAGTTATAGCGATACGTCAGGCGAAACAGCACGTCATACTTGGTCCGCCCAGTTAAAATTGGCGCTTATCTTCACACTTGTCTCAGGAAAGAAATACGAATATTTGAAGCAAACCACGATCACAAAGCACTATATACATGATTATTTACATGTCAGTAAGCAACTAAATATTGCGACAGAGCTTTCGGCCATATTTTCAATTCATTGCATTCCCAACTCATCACAACCACGTGCTCTTCAGCCGAACCATACAGACACCAGCAAGAACAACTCAGTCGAAAATTCAAGCAAGTTACACATCCTCCTCGCCACTATCGTCGCTCAAAACGAGCTCAAAACGTACGATCACAGCTGCTGCACGGGTCGTTTCATAGCTTGTTCCACTTCTCCTCGTCTCGAATCACGCTCAAGGGCAGTGCGTGCCTGTCACCTTCCCATTATTTAGCTGAGTGAGACTGCCCGCATGTTGACTGTAAGTGTTATCCCCGTTCGTCGCAACAATGCCTTTGTTTGAGACAAAAAGGCAACCCCGTATCAGTGTCCTTTTTTCAAAATCGCCTCTTACGCTTGTCGTTCTTGCTGATCAGCACCCGTACCCACGCGAGCCGCTGGTGCTTGAAGATCTACATGCAGCGCAGTACGTACATGCAGTGATAGCTTCCGCTTGAAGTAGCACCTGTGCGTACTGCACCTACAACACTGTGCACCAGGCTTTTCGGCTAGTTTCCTGAAAGTCCTTTGCACGAGTGTTTCTCTCAGCACTTGGTGTTTTCTTTGATTAGCTCCTTTGCCCTGTCCTCTGTGAGCTTCAAAGTGTGTCCGCCGGAGTGGTCTCACTTACTGGAGACGTCGACATGAGCTGCAGTTTCTTCGTCAGCGCTTTGCTGGTGATAGCCCTTCACTAGGCGCTGTACTGGGCAAGCACTGAAATTCAAGCTCGCGAAGCGCTTTTTCAGCTTTTCTATACCTCCCCGGGGTAAACAATCCTTGCCATCAGACAGGTGGAAGTAGACAGAAACTGTATTCTCCATCGATCTGAAATGCGAACATCCTGACCTATTTTACGGGCTGGAGCGGAGGTTGCAGTGTTTTCTTGCGCTGACGGAAGTGTTCGTCGGCGGCAGCTCCGTCAAAAAGACTCAAACGAACCGATCGCAACTTCTGTGATGGTTTGTGCTGCCATGTCGTCGGATGGAATGGTCAATGGTTATGTTCGGATGGTGAATCGGTGGTTCCATGCCGTGTGGCACAGGCAGAACACCAAAAAACCAAAGGAGAAGATAAGCGCCAATTTTAACTTGGCGGACCAAGTAGTACATTTGAGATCAGCGGGAAGAAGATGACGACGTCCACTAATTTAGTATCTGTGCACACGAATCTGCTGTGTGTGTGACTCTGTGTGTCAGCTATGATATCATCCCCTGTGGTTCCATGCCTAGCATGTACGTCTGAACCATACTGCAAAGTTTGAATGACGTAGGTTGAGCGATCGCTCTGCGAAACATACTTTTTGAAATTCTCTTCATAGTATATCTTCCACCATTGAAATTTCGAATTTCTTGCTGAGAGGGGTGGCTTGCAACCTCGATATGGCTTGTTCCAGGCATGCTTTGGAGCTATCACCTGTTGAAGTAGTGGCGGGGATCTGCCATGCAACTGCTACAACAAAAAATGATTCGATCTGAGAAAGGGTGAGACCGCGAATCTCGGCTGAATATTGAGTACTTCAAGCCTTTTCACGACGAAGATGGAGTTCTTTTTGGAGATGGACGTTGCGGCAAAGGACATGGTGTCCGACTTCTGGCGTCTGGTGAAGCCAGGGATCATTTGTCCAGTCAGGTCGGCAGCCTAACCATCGGTAAGCTTGTGTTTGGATCCCGTTCTACTCGATGTGGTAGATCACAAACAATTTGATATCGCACATATTGATCTCAGCATTGTGCGTACGGTATTTATATTCAGAAAATCCCAAAGTGTCTCTGTGTGGCCGTCCTATGCCACGAGAAACTCCAATCAGGCTCCTATGTCCTCTGCCTTCATGATTGAATGTCCACTTCGTTTGAACAGCGAACACAACAATCGAGTACGGCTTTGCAATGAAAAATACAGCTATACTAGAGCTGAAAAAAGAAGAAAAACGTGCTCAAGATGAGACTCGAGTACACGCATACTCTCCCAGCAGGTGAAACGCAATTTTTTGTGAAAAATGCGTGTCGCCGACTGACCAGTAATTTCGCCTGACGTGTTTTGTGGAATCGACCATTGCTATTTTGTGTATAAGAAGAACACACGCACACGCACGCACGCACGGCCGCATGCATGCATGCATGCACACACACACACATGGAAAACACCACTAACACGAGCCACACACAGAGAAACCTTTCACACGCGTACTTCAAAGTATAAAGTGCTTTAGACAGAACGTGGGAAGATTCGGCTCTCACAGAACACAAAATATCAAAGGGGTATTCGTCCGGCATCCATCTTTCCCCAACTAGAAGGTAAAAAGCGGGTGTATCACGAAACAAACCTTTTGTATAGAAGTCATGCTCTCCGAATGCAACCGTGCGATCAGGATCTTCGGACAATGCAACAATCCGGCTCGCGTAGTAACCGCTGCTTGCATTTGCTACTTCAAGCGGGAATGCATCGAACGCGACAGGGGGCGGTGTCCAGTAATCCTCCATAGTCATGCTCTCGCTATCATACTTGGCTACAATGACCAGGTAGAGAGCGGCACTATCAGGCATGGGTGGATCAATGAAGAATGAGCCTGGCAAGCACACAGCATGACAATACACTATCAGGCACGTAGCCTACATGGGGCATGGGGGGGGGGGGGGGGGCACGTGCACCCCTCCCCTAAGAATTTCGACCTAGGTTCAGCATGCACATAATGACAATGATGACATGCACCAGCCATCCTACACGCACGATACAGAAGAAACGGCCGTGCCCCCACATTTCCATATTTTCTTCTTTACACAGCTTTGATCATTGCTATCAACGGACTAAGAAGTTCCATCATTACATTGGCGCTGTGTTTGTCGCGCTACAGCAAAATCAAAAATTCCACATCCGCCCCGCTTTACACACAACTGCGGTCGTCCTAACAACCAGTGAAGTGTGGCAGATGTCTGTCGTGAGGCCATCGTTTTTTATATCTATGTTTCGCGTCGTCCAGGCGCATATGTTTTGATTTTTTTCGGAAAAAATAGAAAATCAAACATGCACATGTAAAGTGAGTGTACGATTGTACGAGGCATCATGGGCGTGGACTGGTTGCATACGTCAAAATTGGGATTCAGAAATAGCCTAGAGGCCAGCGTTGGTATACCGTTTGTTCGGCAACTGCGATCAGTATTCTATGAGCTTACACCTGACCGCATCGATCGCCTCAACGTGAGAGGACGCGTCGTTCTGGAGCTCTTTGCACCGCTGCTGAAGGCTGCGTACAATAACCCAGCGAAGCATGGACACCAACGGTTGCCTCCTCTGTCCAAAGTGAATTTTACTCATGCTGATAACCCAGATTTTGTGTTTCGATGTGCGATTTTTCTTTCGAATGTGCACCATGCGCGAGCTATTGTGCTACATACAGTGCTACATGTATACACCTCTGATGAGCTTTTCTATTTTTTGCAACTTTTTATTTTTTTCCATCTCTCGCATATGATTCTGGAAGTTGAACTGAGGCGAAATATAGATATAAAAATAGTGGCGTTAGGGAGCAAAGTCCAGTGGCTGTCGGGCTCTGGGTAGAACCCACACCCTTGCCAGCGAACAATGGTTGCAACCAGTTACACATTCTGAACGAAAACAGAAGATTCTCACATACCTGTGCCAATGAGACGAATGGTTACCGTGGCCGGTGGTGATGCGGCTGTGCCATCGGCAGACAAGGCACGCAGCTGCAGCTCATACAGACCATCAGCAATGTCGGCAGGTAACGTCAACTCCGTCAACTCCAACGAGCTCGCGCTGGCACGTCCTCCGTCAAGCCATGCCTCACTGTCCACGAGACGGTATTGAGCAACGAACATGGAGTACACATTGGAGACGCTCTCCAGAAGAAATGGTATAGAGATAGTGACGTTGCTCCTTCCGATACCAGTCGAAGTGGCCATATACCGTATTTCCGGAGGTACGTAGTTCAAAAATCTCTCGGTGGGACTTTCGGCGGTCGTGCCTCCGTTGTACACTGCAACAACTCGCACGTCCCCTAGAGTGTTGGGCTGTGACGGTAGAGCCACCGTGCTTTGGCCCGTGTTGGAAAACTGGCGGCTTGCCCAAGGCGCATCCGGGTCGGACACGTCTCGATAGTACACCACCCAGGAGTTGACCTGCTGGCGAAGATCTTCCGCGACTTGCGGCAGGTTTATAACGGTCTGGCTTTCCGTGGTGAATTGCGGATTGACGATGGTATCTGGCCATGTAGGTACAGCTAGTGATGCAGAAATACACACAGCATACAGGTACAGCTAGTGATGCAGAAATACACACAGCATACAGGTACAGCTAGTGATGCAGAAATACACACAGCATACAGAAGATATACAGGAGGGTAAGCAACAGATTTTACCCCTTTCATATTATATTAGTCCAAACATTCCATCACATGTGCACTTGGGTTAATCTCATTCACCACACCAGCAACACGTCTCCAAGGTATTGCTATATCTGCAACAACTTCAAGTCGTGTTGCTGGCGTAGCGGATGAGATTAACCGAAGGGAACATAGCCTAAGACACTCATAAGGCAACTATTCATATCAAGAGCAATAGCACAAAAGGCCTTGTCACAATTTCCAGTGGCATCTGTGCTTCGTGTTTCAATGCAACGATTCTGGTACGCATAATGAATATGGCATGTACATGCCCGCGTGCATGCACTCACAGACACACAGACACACACGCCCGCGCGCACAAGTAGACAAACGCACACATGTACACGTTGTGGGTGAGCATCGGACTGTAGTGTGTGTGTGTGTGTGTGTGTGTGTGTGTGTGTGTGTGTGTGTGTGTGTGTGTGTGTGTGTGTGTGTGTGTGTGTGTGTGCGTGTGCGTGTGCGTGTGTGTGTGTGTATGCGCACACGGGCGTGCATGGGTGTGTACGTGAAGAGTACATGTGTGATTGTGATAACTTAAACACTATCTCTTTCTATTTCTCTCTCTCTCTCTATCCTGTGGCTAACAACGCATTTGCCAGTTCTATATGTGCTCACCGCGGGCTCCGATCGTGTTGATCACAAGTGGTACGGAGTATGGAGTTTGAGCAACTTCCCCAGAAGGCTCAGAACCGGACGCTGAGAGCCGAATTTCATATTGGCCACCGGTCAAGTTTGTTAGCTGTGCCGTCAGTGAAGTTGTGGGGACCTGGATTGACTTCCACTCGTCGCCACTTCCGGCTGGTTGCCACTCCAGCAGCCAGTTCTGATATGTTTCGGTCAGAGCTGCTGAATCCAAAGTGGGAAACGTAATCTGCGCTGTTGCCGTACCGTCAGGACCAATGTTGATACTCACCTGGTCAGCACTGTCGATGTTTAGGAATCTTGGCAAGTCACCTGTAGAATACATGCATGCACACCCATACACAATTCAGTTGCCTTGTGATCGGCTTTGTACAACACTCAGGGTAGCAAGACAAGTAAGTACCAGCGACTACTAACAGGAAAACCTGTCAATGCGACCACCTGTCTAGGAAGACCACCTGTCTAGGAAGACCACCTGTATAGGAAGACCACCTGTCTAGGAAGACCACCTGTCTAGGAAGACCACTGCCGCCAGGACCAAGGGATGTTATTTCCAGTCAAAAGATTCTGGATGAAGGAGGCCACCTGGTGACAGAGACCACGATTTGAAGGCCCCTTGAGCAGTCCTTTTACACAGGTTTCAGGTCACTGTACATAATTGCGTTGACTATGTCACAAGGTATTGTGCTGCACATATTGAGCACTGCACCAAGACACCTACTGGCTGGACAGCCGCACTGCTATTTGCAAGCATGCCCAAGCAACACGCGTGGCCTATGTGTGGTCAGGATTGGTGGCGTTGGATTACGGCCGTACAATGGAGATCTGTCATGAACATACATTGAGTCATAACACAAAAAAAAAAATAAAAAGCACACAACTCTTCAAGCACATAATTATGGAAACTGAAGTACCCGAATAGAGCAGGTAGACCAGCTGACTCGACGACTACCGTATTTCCCCGTAAGTTAGTTCTCCCCAATGACTTAGTACCCCCTATAAAAAATACACTTTCCACTGCCGAGGTTATCACCCGAAAGACAGTTCCCCCCGAAAGATAGTAAGTTCGTACCCGTCCTACATGTACAGACACCGTACAGTACATACATCATATGCACGGACACTAGAGTTGCGCAGGCTTCCCACTGCGTGTCATTTACCCCCGATAAAAAAGTACTCCCCGAAAGATAGTACCACCCCCGAAAGTTAGTACTCATGTGGCTGCTAAGTTCGAAAGTTAGTACGTACTAACTTACGGGGAAATACGGTATTTCAAGTACATGCACACAATCAGATGGATGATGCGCGAACTTGTTCTTCGGTTGTCACTCATTCACTTACCACTGAATCCGACGTCGTATGGTGTGACTGATGCCATCTGGCCAATGCCGCCTCTAACCGTGTCCAGGCGAGCAAAGAAAAACCCAACGTCCGTGTCCACCCAGTAGGCGAACTGTGATGAGTTCGCCACAGGAATAGTCCTCTGAAACTGCAGCTGTCCAGTGCTGCTGTCGTACTCGTACACGGAGATCTCGTATGAATCTGCACTCGGGATGGAGCCGGGCAGTGCCACATTGAAACCTGCAGAATAATAGGCGAGATGTTATAGGCACGACAGAGTACTTATACGGTGGAGAGGAGAAAGGGAAAGTATGCTGCTGCTCAGAGGTTTACGTGTGCGTGGCCACGAGGCAAGTTAACTTAACCATGCTGGTCACCACAGATGCTGGATATGACATTGCAACAAGACACCTAAACCCATTGCGCATTGCCCATTTTGAAAGGTATGAGTACATAATTTGAGTAGGCTGGGATAAGGAATGCAATGCTAAACATCCCACACAGTTATCCCCAGGTCATTGTGTGGGGAGTTGGTGAAAGGAACAACATCATTGCGCAATGAGCTTACGAGACACATGAGACAATGGCAGGAAAGGTAGCTGATGGACAGGTAAATGTGCAGCACATGCACATGTCTAGGTTGCCACTGTCTTGTGACAGTGCTCAGATAGTACTCAAGGCCACAAAATGGAGCTTGCTGCCCAGTGCATGCACACGAGCTGGCACGGCAATAGAGATGCTTTGATAATAAGTCATTACTCATGGTTTCAAGGCACTAAGCAAGTCATCAGACAACAGTTCCCTGTCACCGTCATCAACTTGCCCACTGCTTATCTAGATGCTGAACACAAGTAGGCTGTATGCGGAGATTCTGCTTCACTACATGTGCATGCACTCCTAGGCTTGCCTGGGATGTGTGGGGAGGATTGCCTCTCAAGTGTAACGACAAGCATGTGGAGAAGGCTACTGTGGGCATACCTGGCATGGGTGTAGTGAAGTCCAGAACGCCACTATAGCCGGAGTACTGGCCATCGACCGCTGTACGGAATCGCATCAGATACCGAGTCGATGGCTGCAATCTTGGCACAAACACGGCCTGGAAATCCGACGCCACATTCAGCGCTTGCAGGCCAAACCAGCGGGCGCCGTCCAAGCTGATCTCAGCCCCATACAGAGCGGTGCCTGGGCTAGGACCGTCGTAGCCGGGCAAATAGAGGACGACCGACACTGGAGTTAGTGAGTTGTCTTCAATCGCCGGTATAGGCCAAGCTGGCACAGCTGAATGCAAAATTTGACAAAATATGACAAGTCAAGTTTTCCCTAATGTGAAATGCTATAGGAGTAATGGTACAGAGACTCCCTCGGCTTAGGCTAAGGCCTGTGGAGAATCCATAAATACAGATACAAACATTCAATAGTTCAGGGTGCACAGATAACTCACTAGATACAGATGAGTGGGCCTGCATGAGACTTGTACACAATCTTGTTATATATGTTGGACTCAGTAGAGCTTCCAGCCCCTATATGATGTCCAACCCCTATATAGAGTCCATTGGTCCAAAATCCACTGTACAGAGTCCAAACTTGGAATCAACTGTGAGCTCAAAGTTTCGATGGACATCACTCCCTGTATAGAGTCCAGCCAATTGGCTTCACCCCTATATAGAGTCCATTGGTCCAAAATCAACTGTACGGAGTCCAAACTTTGAAATCAACTATAAAGAGTCTTTATGTGGACAACACCCCCTGTATAAAGTCCAGCCAATTAGGCATCCCCTATCGAGTTCGAAAATAGACATAGGATCTGCTGTAAGCAGTGAATATTAACCAGAAAACGGCCTCTCCCTTTAATCCTTTACATCATTCACTTCTCAAGATAAAAAAATATGTATTGAGGCGCCACTGCAGCCACGTCATTACATGAAAAACCCTACAAACACCATCCTCAAATCAAGTGGTCTCTTCGCAGACGCTGCAAATTACAATATCTCAATCATGTAGTGTTGCCAAATTGTTGTGCACGCACACACACATGCACACACCCACACAACGCCAAGAAAACACCTAGAAAAAAACCAAGAATCGAAAGAGAATAATGGAGAGCCCAGGATTAATTATTTGTTTTCAAATTATTGTGCGCGCGCGCGCGCGCACACACACACACACACACTTATACAACGCCAAGAAAACACCAAGAAAAGAGTAGAGACACAATACACACGCAACTCCAACAGCCATGCAAACGTCCACCCATTTACATGTAAAGTCAAGAGGGATAACAAATAATTATACGAAACGAATGCATACGGGGACGGGTACACGCACGTTTACAAATACGTAGTAGTGTAAGAGAGTAACATAGTGCAGTGGTCAGCATAATACTAGCACATGCTGAGAGTGCAATAGCAAGCTTCACCATTGCTCATGGCCATGCAAATGTTCAGCAGCACTCAGTTCCGCAAGCTTCTGAAGATCAGCACACCTGCAACAAATAGATAGCACAAGGATACGCTTATTACCGTAATGATGCATGGGAGCACACAACTACCAAGTTCTCAACGAATGTGATGCTCAATGAAAATCAATCCACTCAAAGACCTGTGAACAGGTGATGATGAGTACAATAATCTATTAGTAATACGAGGAATAAGTTCGTTTGTGCACACTCAAAACGCACAGACACACCAACATACATGTAGTGTACACAGTGTTTCACTTCACTGCAACTAAATTGAAATGAGATGATTTGAACACAGCGTTGCTGTCAGTCAGTCTTCCCCAAGATGGAAATGCAATGATTTGTTGTCACGAGGCAGTTTCACTGACACAATGTCATGTTCGTGACATCAAAACGGTTACTTCAGGGAATACGAGTATTAGCTTGAGAAGCTTTTTCTTGTCATTGGCATACAAGCAATCCTCCTAGTCCTACTACTACTAGTACACTGGCACTGCGTTTGTGGATCCCATTGTATTCGACATCATACTACAGGAAGAGTGTCGTGGAGTTCACATAATTATCACAGGGATAAAAATACATTTCTCATGAAATAAAAATTGATGATAGCTAGACGATCATATACGATTGATGCAAAGTCCTTGCAGTCCTTGAGGACTATTACGAAGTGGTTGATTACTTTTAGGGCATTCATTCAAGCAACATCAAACAAACGCGATACGCTCCTTGAAAATGGAAAAAAATTCAAGCATAACGACAGAACAGCAGACCAATCGAAACGAGTAAAAGCTTCCTTACCTCAGTCATCGTCCTGCCATGTAGTTGGACAGCCTTTTGACACGGTGGTACAGGCAGCTCTTGTCCAGTCAAACAGGGGTATCCTTGTGGCGTCGAACGAAAGAGAGTGTCAGTGTATCTGACTCGTCAGATTGCAACTGTGCTGAACTTTTCTCTTTCTCCGCTTTCTGCTTTCATCCCTCGCTCTGATGAAACCGTTCAAACGTCTTACTGGCAGCAATGGCCAGCCAAACAGGGGATCCTTGTGAAAGAGAGCGTCAGTGTACCTGACTCGTCAGATTTGAACTGTGCTGAACTTTTCTCGTTCTGCAATTTCTGCTTTCATCCCGCGCACTGATGAAACGTCTTCAGAGAACCACAAGACGCTTTCCAGATTTGATTTTGAACGTCTCCTTATCCTCCTTGGTTAGCTCGAGACAGATTACTGTCAGCAACTGCACAGCAGAATTGGCAGCCATGGCTGAAGTGAAGAAAGGAATGCGCTGCCACGAGGCAAGCAAAACTGAATTTTTTTTTCAAAATGTGTTCTCTTTCGGGGCACAACACACAGGACGGCGTGACTGCATAAACTGGACTCCTGGACCGTGAATAGGGGACTTGTAGAAAAAGTGTACTCCTTATAGGGGATTGCGCGGCAGGATGAAGCTGATCAAAACTGAGTGGACTCCTGGACTCTGTATAGTGGATTTTGGACCAATGGACTCTATATAGGGTGCTGGACATCATATAGTGCATGGACTCTATACTGAGTCCTACATATACTTTTCCACATTGATCTGAAACTTACTACAATAGCGCGTGATCACCAAGTTAGTATATTCTCGGGCCCTGAGCCAACAATAAATTAATGGGTTATCACCTTGTCACGTCCCTTCCTCCCTCTCTCATAACAGCCACCGTCACTTCCTTTCCCCAGGAGACTCCCTTTGATAGGCATCCATTTGCCTCTGGAGAATCCTTGAAGATGTAATATCAATAATATCAATAAGTAGCTGCACATCACTTTTAAACTAGGTAGTATGCAATCCTTCAGAATATGAACAAACTGACATTGGACCGAGACATTCAACTGCCTGGAACCTTGCGCCAAGACATCTCCAATGGGCAGACCAGCAGCCTTACAAACACACACACACACACACTGTTGGATTGTACAAGTTGGAAGGCTGTTGGTTCGCGCATAGGAGATATGCTGGAGCTTGATGTGAGGTCGATGAGTGTCTCAGTACTCTGTAACTTTGGTGCCTAGTTGCCAACCTCTCTCATTCTATCATACATACAGTTCTGGCCAGAGGAATCCGACCTCGTTAATATGACAGCACGGGGGGGGGGGGGGGGAGGGGCTATGTGGCCCTAACTCGAAACGCAACACTATGTGCGCACTTCAGCGCGGTGCTACAGTGCTGGTCAATGAAATCCAGTCGATGCACTCATGTACGCGCCGTGCATTGCGCAGCCCTAGACCTGCAGACACTGGGATTCGAAATGGTGCAAGGCACAAACTTGAGTGCCGCGACTGACTTTCATTGAGCATGACTGTACGTTATTCATGAGGTTGTATTTCTCTGGCCACTGCAGTGGTGGAAAATTACCCACAGCTTATTTTGAATTGTAACCTTTCCTCTATTATGACTCGGCTGAGTCACCGGCATAACGCACGAAACCACATGCAGAAAGGACTTCCCAGGCAGATGTCAGTTTGCATGGTCCCAGGCACATGTTTGGTACAACGGAAATGCTTACGTAGATTCAACGCGGGCTCTGTAGTCGGCGGAGGTGTTGTCGTAATCTGGGCTGTGGTCGGTGGTGGTGCAGTCACTGTAGTAGTAGCAGTAGTAAACAAGGGAGATGATGCATATCAACAAGAGTACATAACCCCCCAGAGTGTGCAACGCCTGCTCCAGCTCTGCATAGGGTCTTGGTCGAGCGGAATCGGATCTTTGCGTCATAATACCGTACACATCTGAGGGGAACCCGGGGAGTCGCGGGTACTCTTGGATCAAAAACAATGGTGCCCTGCCTCGAGACCGGCCTTGCGCTGGTGTGAAGTGTACGCATGACATCAGAAGATCCGATTCCGCTCGACCAAGACCCTACACAGAGCTGGATCGGCGTTGCACACTCTGGGGGGTTATGTACTCTTGATATCAATTATCACACACCGGTACACCAATGCACCACACTATGAGCTTACAGTTTCCCCGGAGACCGGAATGCAATAATACTGAGAAGAAGGACACATAAAACTCGGATGTTGAGCCAATAGTAATATGTAAAGAGAAAAGGACCTATAATTAGTCATAACTAGTAACTTATAACTAGTAACTTATAGGTCCTTTTCTCTGTAAGAAGGACACAGTTCAGGCTAGTGAAAACTTGCGAGAGACTATAATGGGGTGTAACTTGAGGAAGACATTGATGTAAGACAAGACTGCAGGAGGGTTAAAAAACGCAACACGGTTCGAAAGAACACAGCGCAGTTTGCCATACCTGTTGAGCGTACAGAGAAGGTGAACGGTATGTTGGTCAGCGAATCACGCCCTGTGACCGCAGCACTTAGTTGCACTTCATACGAGCCATCGCTAAAATCGCCAGGCAGTGCAAATGGTTCACCCTGAGAGCTGAGGGGAACAACTCGAGTCTGCCAGTCACTGCTGCCGGAACGTCGCCATTGCACGTTGAAGGCTCCGCCGGGGCCCTCCACCATTGGCAAGTTCACTGAGATGCTACTCAAGCCAGGTGCAGTGCTCACGGAGCTGATCAGGGGCGTTGCGTAGGTCAGGAGTGGCACAGTACCTGTGTGGAACATGGCAGGGGCAGGAAGCAACAGCAAGAAGATGTGCTGTAACTCGCCGAATCTTACCACCGGGAGCGAGGGCCTTGCTGGTAGAATTCATTGCTACACCACAGCCAACCGCCGCCCAATCTTGCTCCTCTCGGTAATGAACTATCTCTATTCTCAGAAGCGGCGAAACTACATTGGAAAGGACTTTCTGTACCAAGAGACTATCTATGGAAGCACAACCGGATAATAAAGACTACGATGAATACTGACTACAGTCAACTTTGCTAATAACGACTGCGGATAAAACGACAATTCGCGAATAACGACAGAATTTCCACGCCCAGAGCAAAGTCCCATCTAACTGTAATACATAATGAGACTTCGGGTATAAGGACACTTCGCGAATAAGGGCACTTTTCTGATGCCCCGCCGAGTGTTGTTATACGCAAAGTTGACTGTACCCATAGAACAATAACAAGTGCATGCACCAACAGCACGTAGACGTACACGCAATAGCATATTAGTACTGAGGCATAGATACTATCCCATGCTGCAGGTACAAGGACGTCCCCAATCTGCAACTGGCAGTGGCATGATGAAAGCATAACACTCGTCATAGGGCTCACATACAATTGTACTAAACACCCACTGCAGTTGATGCGTACTTCAGTGCGTACAGGTACAAGTTCTCAAGCGCTACACGTATTTCCTTTGAGCGATACGGAGAACCCATAACATATAGGAAGACATGCGTAAAGAATGATTGAAACCGTTCGCACCGACTCTGAGTGTCACTCATAGGTGATCAGCAGACGGCATCACAGTCCATCTTTCTATGATACACGTGCTGCGCACATAGACCTATCTTTTGAGATGCTGCAATTTGAAGTGCAACAATTAGCTAGAGCACCGCTTGCCTCAAGCGAAGGTCCCTGGTTCGAGTCCTGGTGGTGACAGTCAATTTGTTCTTCAGACCGTTTTCCCTTTTTCATTCCCTCAACCAGTGAATGCAAGATACTACCAGTGTTATGTTTAGGCCCAGTACCTTCAAATCCCTCATTGATGTACCGGATAGAGAATGTGTTACGATCACCAGTGGACCGGATTCCGTCGATTCTTGCCGAATAGTATCCAGCGCCACGGTCCGTGAACGTGTATGGGTAGCTAGCACTGGTCAGGCCCGTAGCTTCGGGCTGTGCGAGCTGAAATGATCCAGCCGTGTCGTTGTAGATGTACAACGTGATAGTGTTTGATGGGAATGGATTGCTAGCTGGACCTGGGATTGTCACATCACCTGCAGTTTTAAAACAAGTACAACATAGCCAAATCACTGACACCTGCTGCAAACCGCTTGAGACCAAATACCGCCGTGAACGTTTCACAACGCATCGATGATAATTGTGAACCTATGCAAACTTCTGCACAAGCAGCCATGACGAGCTAGTTCGAAATCTACAGAAATGGTTTCAAAACAGCGATTCCAGTACCAAGGTCAGTCTCAGTGCAATGCTGGTATGACAGTGTTCAATGTCATGCTCGTAGTCGACACTCGCTTCCTAAGAAGCTGTTCTGTTATTCAAATCACAAATACACGATATCCCCTACCTCTAGCGGATGTCGTGAATATCAAAGACGGTGTCTGTGGCGTACGTCCAAGGCTGTCTGCTGCCACGGCAACAACACGAACCTCGTACACACCATCGGGTATATCATTTACGAGGGTTGCTGACAGTTGGCTGCTGCTCGTGACGCCACCCTGCAACCAGGTATCACTGCCAAGCCGACGATAGATGACCTGAGAGCGTGGGAAGAGTCGCTCACCATCACTTCCAAGTCTAGGTAGTCGTATTGTAACGGAGCTGGAACCAGGTCCTGTCGCTCGGATCGTGACTGGATTCGCCGAGGGCCAGTTGATAAACACCGGCCCATCTCCTAAGCAAGCATAAAACAATAAAAGAGATTGATGACAAAGACATGAAATGCAGTCATTATAGAAACGCTTCATTTTCAGGGTGATTTTTCTATCTCAATTAACATGCCGTTAGATTGCAGTGGGGGGGTCAGGAAATGAGTTAATTAGAGTGAAAGTCAGCACATCTACATGCAGGGGTTTTTCTTTAGCTAAAGCAATAATCAGTGGTGCTCCTACTCCAAAACCCACCCTCTTGGTTTGAGGGGCACCTTCATTCAAATCTGCACTGTCCTTCCTAGCAACTGAGGACAATGAAGAACAGGCCAATCTTCCCAGCTAAAGAAGGCCGGCGTACACCTGGTGGCACCCAGTCACCATCAAGCTTCCTCTGAACATACTCAAATCGAGTCGTTGTCACAATAGCCATTTTCCTGACCTACATGTAGCACCTCCAACCTTGTTGTCCCACTCGCTGACTGTATATGATCTGGCTACTTTGGTGAACAGTTGTAACTTGAACTAAGATGTTGCGACTTCGGCGGTAATGGTAGAAGAAGGTGGCTAGCCCAAACGTTGGAAAGTGTCAGTCAGTCGGCAGGAAGCGCAAGCTCCAACGTTTGGAGTAGCCACCTTCTTCTAGTTATAACTTGTAACATGTTTCTTTCTTCTTCCATAAATATTGCGACAGAGCTTTCGGCCATACTCCAATTTACTATATTCCTAACCCGTCACCACCATGCACTCTCCACAATGCACAGCTATCCTACATTACATGTGCTCACCGCTAGCAGGAAGGTGATTGTGCTCTCCGAATCCCACACTTTGCCTACTGCCATCAGCACGGTTTGCCACCACAGCAGTTTGATAGTAGCCCTGTCCAACGTTAGGGACCGTGTATGGGAAATTGGCTTGGACCAGGTTGTCACGCTGGAAGAAAACATCCATCAGGCCAGTTGATTGGTTGTATCGATATACGGTGACTGAATAGCTAGCTGCATTCGGATCCGGCATGGCCAAACTGATCGATAGTGTCCCTGAGGCAAAACGGAGACAGTTCAAGTAGCATTCATATGATTTCAAAATGAGTGAGCAGAGCACCAGAAAACTTCAAGTGCCTTGAAGTGTGGAGTGATGCAGCTATCTCTACATCATTGGCATAATGGCACGATCTGATGCACAACCATCTTCGGAAGTTCTATTATGAACCAGTCTTATTCCCAAATCACAGGCAAACGAGCTTCGGCCACCTTCTCGGGCACTGGTTGCGAGACGTACAGCCTCAAGCATCGCCGCTAGGTGCTGCATCCGCCACTGTGGCATCTCAGGCATGGTGGTGGCCTGTCACAAGCGGAACTTCCTAAGCTGGTTATGTTTCTGAACACACTTGTATATCTGGATATCACGCGGATGTGCAAACTTTGCTTGTTTCCCCTGCATGCAAAATATGAAGCTGGATTCTGATCTGCCCAAGCTCAGCTATTGGAGTGAGGAACTCTACTACCAGTATGCATTGTTCAACCAAAGTAGAATGTAGACCTCTCAACACATGGCAAGAAATGTGAACAAGGAACTTACCGATGCTTTGCAAGGGCACGCCAACTGGTACAGAAGTCAACCTTCTCCCATCATTAGCCACTGCCTGCACCTGCAATTCATAGTTACCATCAGTGTATGTTCCAGGAATAACATATGTACTGCTGGAACTAGCAGTCCTGCCACTTTGCCACTGTGGACTGCCAATGTCACGGAATCTGATCTCAAAGTTGTTGTAAGTGGCCTGTTGATTGGGGGTCAATGTTGGTAGATTGATTCGAACCTGACTTTCACCTGGCCTGACAGCTTGTGTCGTGATCAAGTTGCTTGGGAGCTGGAGAATCTCAGGTGCACCTGTGGAGAAAAATTATGTTAGATAAAAATTCATTTCTTGCTTTGATTGTTAAAATTCACATTTGTAAATTTCACTGCTCTTAGTGTTATTTCTCTAACTTAGATAAAAACTAATATCTTATTCTACACTTTCAACCACACACACACACACACACACACAAACATGAAAGACAAGCTAGTCAGGTAGGGTTGCAATTTCAAGCCTCACACCCATTGCAATCGTCCCGCAACCAAATACTTGACAATCTACTTCGTATTGCCAAGGCTCTGTGAGCATTATCCCAGAAGGGTTTGCCGCTTTCCTATAATTGTACCTGGCACGTATTGACTGGGATTCAGAAGTCTGAAAAATGCATGCATGTCGATCAAACGAGGCATTGCAACGCAGACCAAGAAAGGAACAGAATCCCAGGCTTTCGGCACAAATCTAACACAAACACACACACACACACACACACACACACACACACACACATGACGTGCCACCTATTGGCCACAGACAGTACAAGTCTGTACTCGCAGCTGGAAGAAAGGATAGAATTCACAGGATCCATTCCACTCACCTGTACCGCCATACGTATTGTACGCCACTGATCTGCTAGACCGCACTCCAGTTGGTGATACTGAGCTCACTACTATGCCATAAGAACCGGAGCCTATTCCAGTCAGACTGTACGGGAAGCTATCTCCGGTCAATGCAGAAATCTCACGTTGGTGTACAAACTCCATGCTACCTGCATCATATCTGTATACTGCGATGATGTACTCTGGACTCAGATCACCACCGGGTCGAATCACCAAAACACTTCCTGCATGGATACAAGGTGACAAGCAGAGGAGGATGGACAAGAACAAACATGTTACTAATACGAATACAGATGAGTTTATACACAAGTAGATATAGGGATCAAATCTCAATCTCTCCATGTTCCAGACAGTACATTAACACATGTCGATGTAGCCATTTCTGCAGCAGATTCCTGCCGCGACAGGACCAAGTCAGAATGTAAAAAACTGATCTATGACCCGGTGTCGGCTGCTAGTCCTCAATCTTCCGGCACGTTTCGGAGACTGCACCAATTTCCGATGCGTTCAAGCTGTTCATGCCTTTCTGTCGATTGCAAATTGTCCTAGTCAACATGTCAACAAAATCCATACTCAATGGCTGTTGGAACGGAACCGATGGCATAGTTGACTGCAGCAGTAGACCCTACTATCGAAAGCAGAAAAGCAGTCATTCTACAATGAACAGTACAGAAAGAAATCACAGCTTACCAATGCCTTGCAAGGGCATACCAACTGGTACAGACGCCAATCTTCTTCCATCATTAGCCACTGCCTGCACCTGCACTTCATAGTTACCATCGGTGAACGTTCTAGGAATAATATATGCATTGCTGGAACTAGCAGTCCTGCCACTTTGCCACTGTGGACTGCCAATGTCACGGAATCTGATCTCAAAGTTGCTGTATGTGGCCTGTTGACTAGGGGTCAATGTTGGTAGATTGATTCGAACTCGACTTTCGCCTGGCCTGACAGTTTGTGTCGTGATCAAGTTGCTTGGAAGCTGGAGAATGTCCGGAGATGCTACAAAGAAAGCAGAATGCGCAAACATTGCAGCAGTGAGTATTATCATCCTTGATGTGTGTGGTCTTTAACCACTTTCCTGGGGGGTCTGATCTACTCACCTCCTGGCGCTTTAGGAGCTGAAGCTGTGCCTTAGATCTTTGCAGGGTGGTGGCGTTACTACGGGTGCTGAAAACAACTGAGTCTCAAGCGAACCATGATTTTTTATCATTGCACGATGCCGTCCACTGTTATATTCAACATGACAGGTCATTAATAGCAGGCAATGAGTTCATGCAAGCTAAGAAAACAATACCTCAAAAGATAGATGTTCGTATGCACGGATGTGAATAAGAATCCCTCGTTAAATAGAACCCCCGCATGGCACCCTAGCTAACATGTCGGGCACAACTGCAGTGCTGGTGTGATGCAGTCCAGCACAAATGCTACAGATCTACATGTACATCCAGAAAGCATTTTTTTCTTTGTGGTTCGAGAATTCTTTTGATGGTCTTTAGTAGTGGTGTGCACGGGTAGTCGGGTACCCGTGCTACCCGTGAGGACCTCGGGTAGTCGGGTACCGAATAGTACCCGAAAACCCAAGGTCGCAGATGACATCATGTACAGTACAAATAATTCACACATGTCTACCCAATGCGCAAGGGAAGGGGCCGGTGTGCATTGTGGTCTTACCATGGAAACATTACCCGATCGGGTACCCGTGCTACCCGTGGAAAACTACCCGGACCCGATACCCGAAGAAAATGCTACCCGACTCAGCCCTAGTCTTTAGGCACTGCGGAGCGTCAGCAAACAGTGAGTGTCGTGAATTCGAAGACGTCTCAAGGCCACTCACCTGCACCGCCATACGTATTGTACGCCACTGATCTGCTAGACTGCGCTCCAGTTGTCAATACTGAGCTCACTACTATGCCATAGGAACCAGAGCCTATTCCAGTCAGACTATACGGGAAGCTGTCTCCGGTCAATGCAGAAATCTCGCGTTGGTGTACAAACTCCATGCTACCTGCATCATATCTGTATACTGCGATGATGTACTCTGGACTTAGATCACCACCGGGTCGATTCACCAAAACACTTCCTGCATGGATACAAGATCAGCAGAGAAACATTTTACAATACAAAATTAGATGTAGGTTGAAACTGTACGCAAAAAGATAAATGGATCCAACCTCTATCACTCTATATTCACTAACACATCACCACCACCACAAGACCTAGAACCACCGACTCAATAGAATTCCTGCTGATACGCAAACCCAATACGTGTCTGCTGGCTGCAATTATTAAGATGATCATATGTGAGCAAAGAGGACCTGGTTGCATTTGCAAACTCTGTACATGCAAGCATATGACCACTACCAACATTGCTCACACAGTAAACCAAAATGTCTACTAAACAATAAGAAAACAATGCAATAAATAAAGCGAGTTCCGCATTCAACACACACACACACACACACACACACACACACACACACACACACACACACACACACACACACACACACACACACACACCATTAGCAAAGAGCAGGTGTCCTTGTTTTTACTACATTGATTTCTTTTGTAAGAGTGCATGGTGGGTGACCGATGGAGCAGGGCATAGATTAACGGCCGGCATCGGATATTTTCCGACCATTTTTGGCGACTGACTGGACGTTTTCAATTTCACCGGACATAGTGTCCGGTCAAAAGTAAAAAAAAGAGCAGCGACCTTTCGACCTTTTTATGCAGAGTTGGGCTTTCTTCGGAGCTTCGTGCCAAATGCGACTTGCATATCGTACAACTAACACGTACACCGTAGTCTCAGGCGTAGACTTCACTATATTTACTTGATCCGCCTGTAGCAACGCATTGTTGCTACAGTCAATTCAGATACGTCCACATAATGAGTCATTGTGAATATACTTCAGTACTACTAAAAAAAAGAGAAGAAGAAACACCCTGAAAATGTGGAAAATGTCCGGGCATGTCCGGACAGATTTCAAAACGGAAGGACATTATTTTGTCCGAGCTAAATGAAATCCTTAAGCTATGCCCTGTGGAGGATGTAGATTTCTTTTCTGTCGCCATGACAACTGTTTAAATTTATGAATAAAAACAGTCTTGCTAGAGCACAACAGTGGAGTAGTCCATCTACACATACTAGAACGCCAGTCTACCCAAATCAGCCCGCGACCACACAACAAACAACTGTGAGACAGACTGGGTTTCGAATCTCCCTACATACCCGTACTATCTCTAATATAAGCACAGTCTCCAATAATAGAACACCTCGGGGCGGCATTCAAAAAATAAAGTGCTCAGTCTCCATTATAAGCACACTGCCTATCGATACCTGGTAAAATGCATGTACCGTATTATCTCTAAAATGCAGTACCGGCGAAAAAACCCTGAAATGTGTGTGTCTGACATGAATTTGGCATGGCAACATGCCTCTGAAATGAGGTTGAAATAATATTGGAACAGTCTTCAAAAAAGGAACGTCTCCATTAATAGCACGGGGCCTATATTAGAGATAATACGGTAGATATCTACTCCAAGGAAGTACCTTGATTACGAGTCAAAGTGCTCGATGCAAGACATGCAGAGCTTTAATCTAGCTTCAGATATATCTAGTCCATAACACTGACCTGAGGCTTCCGTCGGAAATCTGCGAGGAATCGAGACCAGTCTGCTCCCGTCGTTGCCCACTGCTTGCACCCGCACTTCATAGTTTCCATCAAAAAACGTTCCTGGAGCGGAGTAAGTAGCACTAGAAATACCGGTCGTACCAGTTTGCCACTGAGTACTGCCCAAGCGTCGGAAACCTATCTCAAAGTTCCTGTATTCGGCTAGCTGACTTGGGCTCAATGTTGGCAGGCTTATTTGCACTTCACTTTCGCCAGGCCTTACAGCTCGCGTTGAGATCAAGTTAGCCGGAAGTTGAAGTGTGGCGGGACCATCTATGAATAGAAAAGGAGAGCATTGCAAATTATTACTATCAGTTTCTTCCGCAATGACATCACCGGGCAAGCTTGGCTAGTCTTCGCCTAAACCAAATGAAATGACAAATGAGGAAAGCGCGGGGTCAATGAGGTGCACATACGCATGCAACTGCGGACTAGGCAACACAGAAAATACCAAAACAGTCCTGAAACACACACACTGTCAACTACCTACTTCAACAAATATAACCCGAAAACAGCATTGCAAAGGTAGAAGGTAATATGAATTGACTGATGATTCACCTGTCTTTTTCACCAAACGCCCACTCCTTACACATCAGCCACGCCTTGTCTCAAGTGGCTCATAAAAGAGCTGTGCATTTTTTTTAATCCTCTACACACAACTCTCATTTACCATTGCTATTAGGCATTAACAGCAGATGTACAAAACCATACCTGCATCGCCATATGTATTGTACGTGATTGATCTGGTTGCGCTAGCTCCAGTCGCGGACACGGAGCTCACGGCAACAGCATACGATCCTGAGCCTATTCCACTCAGACTGTATGGAAAGCTACCTTCATTCAGATTGGCAATCTCGCGTAGCTGTGTGTATTGCATCTGGGTTGTGTCAAATTGGTACAGAGTGACGGTGTATTGGGACCCTGGCAGTGTACCGGTTGGAGCAGGTACATCAATATCACCTATGAAGCATCAGACCATACCAACCATTGCATGCACACACACACACACACACACACGCACACACACACACACACGCACGCGCACACACACACACACACACACACACACACACACACACACACAGACAAACAAACAAACAAAATGTTGTACGCACATGACGTTGTACAAGAGGGAACACCAGTTTGTCTAAAGTCCCTGACGACACACATCTTGTGTTTTTGCTTGATTACATGTATTTAGAAACAAGCAGAGATGCTCATTCACAATAAAAGAATGGAGGTGCCATAGAGAAAGATGATGCATCAAATCAGACTATACCAGAAGAAGGGGTAGGAAGGAAGATGCGAGCTCTGATGAAGAGGAGTGAACTATTTTCAGCATGGCAACAAACCATGACGACGTGGGGTTCAAAAAATTGTATACAAAAAAATAACCCTGTTGGCACGAGGCTCGGCGGAAACGGTCCGGTACGTCAGGCACTTGTTGACTGCTGAGTAGGTCATGTGTACCCGCCATATCATGCACACCACATGTAACCCAAACAAAATCAAAAATCACCAATCAAAACCTGCTTTCACCGATCCTGTCAGTGATTTGCTATTCTAAGCAAGATACAAAATCAAAATCACCAATCAAAACCTGCTTTCAACGATCCTGTCAGTGATTTGCTATTCTAAGCAAGATACAAAATCAAAATCACCAATCAAAACCTGCTTTCAACGATCCTGTCAGTGATTTGCTATTCTAAGCAAGATACAAAATCAAAATCACCAATCAAAACCTGCTTTTAACGATCCTGTCAGTGATTTGCTATTCTAAACAAGATACCATGTTCTGCTGATCTTAGCATTCTTATTTCACAACAGCATGCTTTCAAATGGTCTTCTACCACATTTTCCTTCTTCTTTGATACTCCTGTCCTATCTTATTGGCAAGGAAACATATGGAATGCGGACTATTGCAGTCACGGCACTAGAAGCCACTTACCCAACGCTGTGAGCGTGAATCTAACTGGGATGTTGGAGAGTGCAGACTGGCCATCACGTGACACAAGACGCACCATTGCCTCGTAATCTCCATCGGCAAGCACACCAGAAATCAAATAGTTATCACTCTCCAGACCAGCCCGACCCACGATCCAATTAGCGTCACCAATTCGGCGGTAGTACACCTCAAAGTTACTGAATTCAGCTCGCTGCGGGGAAGACAGCTGGGGCAGATTGATTTGCGCCGTGCTCCAGCCAGGAACAAGAGCACTAGAAGTGATCAGCTGTGCTGGGTATACGAGGACTTGCGCAGGATCTGGCGAAAAAAAGGAACAATGAAGACATTCATACAATCTCGCAGTGTACACAGATCTAGATCATCCAGTCATTCTCATGCTTCTGCTCCTCTCGTACAAATACTGCGTTCCCCATTCTATTCTCATCCGACGCTCCTGCGCGAGCTGCATATTTCGAGAACGCAAGCAAACTCCAAAATAGAACAAATACAAAAGACATCACTCATTTACATGGATCAAGTTTTGGTAGGGAAACCCGATGTGTACATTCTGAAGGCTTATATTGTCCAATCATATTGCCAGACTACACACCACACACATGTACACGTACGTGTAAGCAGAAACTGTGATATTAATCAACTAGTCCATGCTGCACCAAAGGACGGTGTAGAGCAATAGATCCTGGCTTGTGGCAGCTAACGGTCCTAGTGGTCCGAAGCCAGTTATACAAGCAAATGGGATGCTCCACTGTCCGAAGTGTGCTTAATATACCGGCAAGTAGAGCTTGCCGGCACAATAGAAAGAAGGGAGAGAAGTACATTGCTACTCTGCAGTTCACAAGGTCCCAATCGTCAGGCACTAATACATTTTAAGCCAAGGGATGTGGATATCACCAAAGTGGAACAGTAAAAAGCACTGTGCAAGACCATTGTACTGTATTCCAGGGTGGCTTGCAACTCTCACCTCCACCTCCATATGTATTGTAGGCCACTGATCTGCTGGACCAGGCGCCATTCACAACGGTGCCAATAGTCACGGCATACGAGCCGGAGCCTATGCCACTGATGCTGTACGGGAAGCTGTTGGCAGTCAGCCTGCGGATCTCCTGCTCTGGCATGAAGTCCCGTGTGCTGGCGTCGTACCGGTACACTGTTATGATGTATTCAGCACCAGGTACCGGTGGGCCAGCTGGAGCATTCACGACCATGTTACCTAGTAAGCACACACACACACATACACCCGGGTTTGTCTTCTTTGTACAAAAAAATACACACAAATACACATGCACACCCAAACACACATACATGCACACACACACACACACACACACACACACACACACACACACACACACACACACATACACACACATACACACACATACACACACAATTGGCACAAGCAGAAACCCTTGCTCGCGTGCAGTGTCAAGGTCAGTTTGCACACCAAGCCAATATGAGAGCAACAAATTGCAGTCTTGCAATGAAATCTCGAAATTGCACTACACATACCCAGGGCCAGGGAAATTCCAAAATCAAATGAACTGCTCATACCATGCTGATGCAGTTCTAGCATTCTAGTTCTGCAACGAAATCTCATTTTTTTCAAACTCTTAGCGTCAAGGCCAGCTAAATTCCGAAATTGCAGATACCATGCCAAGGCCGTTCTAACACTCCGGTAGTACAAAATTAATATCACTTGAGCATGCATGTCACTGACTGTTCTTCAGGGTTGTGTTGCTGGAGGTCGTGGCCAAGGCAGGCCCAGAGTGTCATGGCTTGATAATATTATTTCATGGACTGCACTTGACGTGCAGTTCCTGCTCGCTGCTGCACGCGATCGATTTTTATGGCGCTCGCTTGCTCATACTTGCTCTGTGACACCCCGACGGCCTTAGGGCTATGGGCTTGTGATGTGATGATGATGCTGAACCAACACAGCAGTCATCTACTGGGCATTAGTCACCGCAAACACTCGACTGTGATGGAGGTAACTGCATCAGTACATCTACCTGCACATGTCAACAATCGACAGAGCTCACCTGTGGCTTGAGTCGGGAATCTGCGAGGAATCGAGACCAGTCTGCTCCCGTCGTTGCCCACTGCTTGCACTCGAACTTCATAGTTTCCATCAAAAAACGTTCCTGGAGAGGTGTAAGTGCCACTAGAAATACCGGTGGTATCAGTTAGCCACTGAGTACTGCCCAAGCGTCGGAAACCTATCTCAAAGTTCCTGTATTCGGCTAGCTGACTTGGACTCAATGTTGGCAGGCTTACTTGCACTTCGCTTCCGCCAGGTCTTACAGCTCGCGTTGAGACCAAGTTGCCCGGAAGCTGAAGGATGTTGGGAGCATCTACCGATCAGAACAAAATAGCACAAAGAGAAGGAACTTGAACTCTAAACTCAGCGAGCATTTTCATCCCACATTTATTTCTGATACAACGGCCATGGCCATGCCACAGCAGATTCATAAAGCAGCTAGGCTATGAAACATTGTCAGAACTCATCTACCGTCAAACATTGCTATCATGCTTTTCAAAGACCATGATTCAAAAAAGATTCATACCTGCATTGCCATATGTGTTGTACGAGATTGATCTGGTTGAGCTAGCTCCAGTCGCCGACATGGAGCTCACGGCAACAGCATACGATCCAGACCCTATTCCACTCAGACTGTATGGAAAGCTACTTCCAGACAGGCCGCTAATCTCCGGCAGTTGTCTGTATTGCATGGTGCTTGCATCATATCGGTACGGGGTGACCGTGTACTGGGTACCTATAGGGCTAACGGGTGGCGCAGGTACGATAATGACACCTGAAAAACACACACCAAACAAATGCAATGGTTTCATTATAATTATTTTCAGCGCATCACACCCATGTCAGGATGTATTATAGAGCAGTTGAATACTATGAATTCATATTCTGCAGTGAATACGACCTGGCTTCTATGCATAATGCCATGTTCTAGTTCAAAGCATTCTTGCAGGTCCGGGCATTCTTTCTTGAACGTAGTATGTTTCAGTAATCAAGACGTTTCTTTCCTTGTTGACAGTAGAGCCACACATTCGGGAAATCATCAAGAAACGTCAGCAGTGCAGGCTCCAGCAGGTGTTAGCGAACGAAAGGAATGAGTAAAGTGACTATCGTTATTGGTGGACACTTACCCAACGCTCTGAGCGTGAATCTAACTGGGATGTTGGAGAGTGCAGACTGGCCATCACCTGACACCAGACGCACCTTTGCCTCGTAATCGCCATCAGCAAGTACACCGGGAATTGCATAGCTATCACTAACCAGACCAGTTCGACCCACGACCCAATCTGCGTCACCAATACGGCGATAGTACACCTCAAAGTTATTGAATTCAGCTCTCTGCGAGGCAGACAGCTGTGGTAGATTGATTCGCACTGTGCTTGTGCCGGGACCAGCAGCAACACTGCTGATCAGCTGGCTCGGATATGCGAGGACTCGTACTGCATCTGGGTCAGAAAATGCACACAATGTAGACATTGAATATCTCACGTTGCGTAACATTGTGTACCATATTTGACCACTTTATCCTTTGCTAAATTCTTCCCTAATCTTCAAAACCACCTACAATCACCACTTGTGTGATCTTGAGGACTCAAATTTATTGACACGACCACCAAGCCAACACGCTACTTGTAAGCAGGGATTGCAATTCAACTACAAACACCTTGCATGATATCCAATAACTAAGCTCCAGTGTGAATCCTGCGTTAAACGTTGCCACTTATAAACACGGCTCACGAGTCAAGTCAATCCATGGTGTGCAAAACACTGGCCTCGTGCCTGAGATGTTGACCAACTACAGTGGTCCCTCTATAATCCGGCACCATTTGTGCCACGAAAATCTGCTGGATTAGGGAGGGTGCTGGATTAACAAATCTGATCTACTGCTGCAATGTGCATGAAGAGGACATTTGGCTACTGAAAATTGTGCCGGTTTATCGAGGGTGCTGGATTATAAAGTGCCGGATTAGAGAGGGACGACTGTATCCAGTTGGCTCACAGTCAGGTTAAACCCGTTTTACACACAAAACAGCTGTGGTACTCCACAGTCCAATTAGTGCTCAATACTCACAAATTTGTAGATGTTGCTGGCACAGACCCTTCGCCTACAACTTACAAGCCGATCTCGGGTTTTAGTCGACAGCCATACTTAGGGGCTCAACTTCCCGGTACAATTGCGGTTTAACCCCGGTTGCAAGTCATCGGCCCTGTTTAATTTTTTTTAATTTTTAATTTTTATTTTTTCAACATCTTATGGCTTCCAATGGCGGGAAGATGTGAGTGCTAGGCAACCATGGTAAAAGAAGGAGAAGATTATAATACATGAAAAGGAAACAGCCGAAAAGCTATATTGATTTAATTATTATTATTATATGCATGTTCGCGTTGATGTCAACAATGTTCACATCTTCGCATATGCCAGAACCAAACGATCAGCTGTATGATACTGTAGAAGCAAGAATGCATTTTAACGGTACAACACAACGGACAATATACTTTACTATGGTGATTGCCAGCATGGTCGGTGACTACCGAAACCTATGCGGGGAAATAATAGTCATGATGGAGTGGTAGATGCCAGCATACTGTGGCCTTCCTCAATATAGAGCACGGCAAAAGTCTCTCCACTCCTCGCAACTAGCTGCGGTAGATCGAAGGCTGTCTAGGTCCGCTGCTGTCTTTAATTTGCCCATGTTCTTCTTCTCCAAGTCCTTGGACAGGGTTGTGACCAACGTTGTTCTTGGTCGCCCTCGGAACGACCCTTCTCGACATACAAAGTATGCCTTCATTGCCATCACTGCCGGGGTATCGCCAGGAAGCCGCAGGACATGGCCCATCAGTCTCCATCGGGCACGCTTGACCGTTGCGCTGATTGGTTCCGCACCACAGCGGGAGTATACGTTGATGTTGGAGATGAGCTGTGGCCAACGGACGCCAATCAGGGACCTCAGCTGCCTTCTGTGGAAGGAATCGAGCCTCTCCTCAGTTGCTGCTGTCAAGCCCCAAGTGCCACAGTTGTACAGCAAAATTGGGACGATCAGGGCATTGTACAGGCGAAGCCGAACCCGCTCGCTGACCTGTTTGCTGCGACGCCAGAGAGAGAACATGGACTGATATGCTGCTGATGCCAGCTGCTTTCTCCGGATCACGTCTTGTTCGTCGCCGATGAGAGAGCCCAGCTTTCTTGTCGAGCGCCAATCTTCTGCTATACGGTCCTTCTCCTGGCGAAATGTTGTCTTCTCTGTCTTGTCATGGTTGACGCGTAAATGCCATTCACCCAGTACCTCCGCTGCAATGGGTTCGATATCCGTCAGCCACTGCCTCGAACTACTTATGAAGTCGGTATCATCTGCGTAGATCACTTCTGGGGGTAGGTGTTGGTCCTGTAGTGGACGGGGAGGTGCTGCGGCTCTGAAATCACGAAGAGCTGACTCTAGATATACAACAAAGAGAACTGGTGATAGTGCATCACCTTGTGGTGTTCCCACATTGGTGTTGAAGAGCGATGACATATCGGTGCCTAAGCGGATGCGTAGGGTGGTGTTGCATAGAAGCACGCGGATGAGTCGAATGTTGTCTTCGCCGACAATGGGTTCCATTACTGTCAAAAGCTTGGCCCTGGAAACAGTGTCGAATGCCTTCGACATGTCTATCCCGAGCACTTTAATTGTTGTGCGGTGTTTCTGGGTTAATGCAGCGAGCCAGCGATGGGTCCACACAGCATCAGCGGTTGACCTTCCAGGTCGGAAACCACTGTGGGTAGTGCTCAGATAATCGTTGACAGCTGGTTGAATCCTCCGGAGAGCCAGCAGTGAAACAGCTTTCCGTACAGAGTCCAAAAGAACAATGGGCCTTAGATTGGCTGGTGGACCTCGCTTCTTATTTGGCTTTTGGAGAAGGATGACGATTCCTGATCCCAGATCAAGAGGGCTATGATGTACGAACATACGATTAAGGCAATCAATTAGGTTTCCGATTAACATGGGCCCTGCATACTTCAGCAGCTCCGCTGCTACACCGTCTGGGCCTGACGATCTGTTGTTGTTCAGCCTGGTGATACTTTGCTGCAGCTCTTCAGTCGTAACAGGTCGTTGTAATGGCCTTGGCTCTCCGACAAAGGGTTCCAGGATTCCGCCACCTGGCACGCTGAATTGTTTACAAAAATGGCCTTTGATAATATCAACGGACTCCACTGCATTGCCAACAATATGGCCATCGACATCCTCAACAACTGGTCTTGGTTCTTTCTTCCTTGTCAACAGTGCAACAGCCTTGTACATTTGGGCTCCATCCTTCTGCCTCTCCACTTCCTCTGCCATAGCATCTAGTCTCCGCTCAGCATTCTCCCTGCAGCGTCTTCGAATCTCATGCGATATACGGTTTCGCTCTTGCTTGAGCTGTGCGGCCTTGTCATTGCCGACGGTATTCATAATACGGAGAAGCAAATCCTTCTGTGCTTCCGATAATGCATCAATCTCCGGGTCCAGTGTGCAATGCCTATTTCTCGGCTTGTTGGCATATCCCACTGCAGCAGCAGCAGCAGCAGCCTGCTTGATGGCACTCATAACTTTGCTGAGGTATTCTTGGCTCGATTCATCCGCAGAAGGCAGTGGTAACATTCTCTCCACTTCCTTACGGTACTTCTGTTGAGCACCAGTGCTCTGCACTAGTTTTGGCACATTGAATTGTTTCTTAGCAGAGGAGACCTTTCGTGCTACATCATGCTTTGCCATTATCCCGTAGAGTCTGTCGAGCTGGATGTCGGCCACAACCAAACGATGGTCTGTGGAAATGCAAATGCCTCCGTAGCTCCGGCTGTCCCTCAGCAGTCGCCTTTGCCCTTCTCTACACACGACATAATCAATCTGGTTGTAGATTGGTACAGTCTTTCCAGAACCCATGTCTCTCCGATATCCTGTCCAAGTGGTCTTGTGGCGTGCAGCATGCTGGAAAGTCGTGTTGGCAAAGTATAGCTTGTTCGACTCGCAGAAGTCCACCAGAGTCTGTCCATTGATATTCCTTCGGCCACGTCCATGACTTCCAAGCGATGACTCTCCCGCACGTCGAGTTCCAACTTTGGCGTTGAAATCACCAATAACATAAAATAGTGTACAATTTCGAATTTCATCATAAGCTTTTTGGAGTGCTGAGTAAAACAAATCCAGCTCGTCCGCCGATTGAGCACACCTCGCAGCAGTTGGAGCATAAACGTTGATGATACCAATATCGGCTCTTCCGGCGTTCCGTCTGTTTCCTTCGAGCCTGCCGCCATGACCTGTTTTCAAAATCCCGCTGAACGTAACGACGGCCACACGGTCTGAAACCTGCCAAAGCCGGTCGATATTTCCTGTGAAGCGTGAGGAGATAGCGAAGCCCAAACCATAATGCCGACACACAGGAGGAAAGCTAATGAGACGATAGCCGTCGGCTTCAGTATCCAGGTCCTTCACCAACTTCGTTTCTTGAATACAACAAATATCAACTCTGTAGGAATTTAATCCGCGTTTCAAACATTCCTGCTTCACTTTCGACGACAACCCTCGAACGTTGAGCGTCGCTATCCTAAGTGGCGCTGAAGAACGCCTTGGTTTACTGTTACAGTCCATTATAGTTCCGATAAATACAAACCCCTTCGAAGAGAGAGAGAAAGCGTAACCTTCCTCAACCAAACAAATTTATGATTTAATAGTTTATTATTATGGTGCACGCAGTCATCAGCAAACCCTCAGATTCACTTTAAATTCTTGCAATGATCCAGAAGTCTTCACTGAGTCGGGAAGTTGTAGCCACGAACAGTAGCCCTGGAAGAATGGCGATCTTGTGAATTGCGTTGACTTGGCCTTGGGAAGAGACACTTTGTTTCTGGTTGAGCGGCCCGAAACAAACCAGTTTTAAGGCTTTATATGTTCAGGAACACAACCCAAGAGCATTCGATGACCCAATATACAGAGGCAAATTAGTCGGCGTTGCTGTAACGAAGTAGTCTGAGCTAATAGTACAACTCATTGGAGGGAAAGGAAGGTTTCCTCGAGAACAATTTTTTTTTTAGGTCGGTTTTCAGATCGTATAACTTACAAGGTTGACTTCGGTAAAACATGGTAGTAAGAGGGGGGGGGGGGGTATGTAGCTGCTACGAGTTGGATGCTTGTGTGATCATCATGCAACTAACTTGTAGGGCAACGTGAGGGGACCGGAGCATGAAACATACAAAAGTGAGAGGAGGTCCTGTGCAAAGCAGATTCACCAGATTTCATGATCAGCCCCAATTCTCACCTCCACCTCCATATGTGCTGTACGTCGCCGATCTGCTCGACCAGGCGCCATTCACAACAGTGCCAATGGTCACGGCATACGAGCCGGAACCTATGCCACTGATGCTGTACGGGAAGCTGTTGGCAGTCAGACTGCGGATCTCCTGCACTGGCATGAAGTCCTGTGTGCTGGCGTCATAACGGTACACTGTTATGATGTATTCAGCACCAGGTACAGGTGGACCAGCTGGAGCATTCACGACCATGTTACCTAAATCACACAAACACACACACACATACACATACACACACACACCGCGTGTATAAAGGACTAGAGAAAAAAGTCACCACCAGAACTCAAACGAGGAACATAATCCATTCGAATTTCTGTGACCAAGAGACTGTTTGATGTGCAAAATGATGCATGGATATGATAAATGGCTACAGTGGAGTCTTCACATTTTGAGACAGATTTAGAAAATCAAATTCATCTAATTACCTGAACGTTTATAGTCAATACACATGTCATTTCTGTGTTGCCACTGCAAGTCATGCACATACTGAGAGAGGCACGGTAACGACTATACCAATTCTCCATAAAGGCTTACCGACAGCTTGCAGTGGAAACGTGAATGGAACATTGACCAGACTGGGCTGACCACCGTTGGACAGCGCAGCCACTTTCACTTCATAGCTGCCGTCCGAGTACGTCCCGGGTACGACATATGTCGAGCTTGACGTGCTCGTGCGGCTGGTTCTCCAAGTGTCTCCGACGCGACGGAAAGAGATCTCAAACGTGCCGTACTCGGCTCTCTGGCTGGCACTCAACGCTGGAAGGTTGACTGTTATTTGGCTCTGGCCTGGCCTGACAGCTTGGGCTGTGATCAGTTGACTGCCATACTGCAACAATGGTGCTGCACCTAAACACAAAGGAGCAACGGCCACAAGAAAATTCACAATTTGTATCGCCTCACAGAACACGCACTAGGGGGTGCGCACACACACATACAAACACACACACACACATACACTCGGAAACAAACACACGCGATGCACAAACAGATGGGAAGACAGATGCACAAACAGATGGACACACACCATGTACCATGTATACGCCCGTCGCAAGAGAAGCACACAAATCTGCAAATGCACTGGATGTGCACCCACAAATTTTCTCTTATAGCAACGATAGCGGATCTGATTCTGAATGAAACAGATCAAGACAAGCGCCAGATAACTGTCTAATCCACACAACTGGTGAAGCCATGTGAATCGATCCCCAATGCACACTTGGTCTACACCACACAGAGTACATCGGAATAGGACGGCCAAGACAGATACATATGCACACCCTACACTTGCTGGGGTAACCAGTATAGACAGCACGCTGCTTTGATAGAAGCAGACACTAGATGCACTAGTACCTTGAAGTGAAATTGGAGTTAGTTTACCAACCAGCCTCTGCAATTGAGTACTGGGAACCCAGGGCCAACAGATATACCAACAACCTCAGCCATGAAAGCTATAATTATTATAGTTACGACACACTGGATTGTGGAGCCGAAACTAGTCCAACTTCCAAATGCTTTGGCAAGAAGGTAGACTTTCGACAGGTTGGACAGGCGGACACACACATCCACACGCACTTGGCTAGTTACAACCCAAACACTGGAGAGCCATACCGTATACTCATAGGCTCGAATAGAAGCCCGAGGCTCTATTTTGGCGTGGGATGGGGCTCTATTCTCGATAGGGAGAGTATCTTTTTTAATTAAAAAACATCAGCTATGCCACGCACTGCTGCTGCTGCTGATTATAGAGTAAGGGAAGAAACATCCGCGCACACCATCACAGTTGATGAACTGAATGATCTTGGCTGCTCAATTATAGCCCTAGGATAGAATATGAGGCAGGGATTTCCTATCGGACGCCCTCCGACAGATTTGAGCTTTACGCAGAGGGGAGCTTGTATTCACGAGCGCACGTTACACGTCACAATCAGTGCCAGCCAGGGCAGCTCGGGGAAATGCTAAATACACCAGGGTGCACCCGACCCATAGGCAAACAGAATATGGCAGAATGGGGTTAACATACCAGCATTTCCAAATGTAGTGTACTCGGATGACCGTGATGACAGGAGCCCAGCGGACGACGCTGCAACAACGGATGTACCGTAAGACCCGGCGCCAACATTGCCAATGCTGTACGGGAAACTGGTAGCAGTCAGACCGGGAACCCTCTGCTGCGCAACAAAGTCCATACTGTTGGGGTCGTATTTGTACAGCGTGATGATGTATTGAGGAGCGGCCGGTCCACCTGGAGCTCTAATCTCGTAGTCGCCTGCAATACAAAACAAGCAGTGTTTGGAGTGTATTGATGTCACTTCCTTTCATTCCTATCTTATTATACCAAAAGGAACGAATTACAAAGAATTCACACCAACAAAAATCATACAGGTACCTCTCAGGACTCTGGTACCCATAATAGTGACATAACACTCCGGTATTACCCCCCCCCCCCCCCCGTGCAACCCTCATTCATGCTTGTCATCAAAATTACTGAACCTCATTGCTTTCCTGACACTGCACACCAAGTCACCACAGATGGTAAAGGTCTTATGTTCACCAGCCATGAATATTGTAGTGGCTGATAGTAGTATGCACAAGTCAGATTAGCCAGTACTGTCAGATGACATTGTTCAGGAGTTTCAAAAAAATGCAGCTGCAATTTATTTATTTCATTTTTAGGCGGGGGGGGGGGGGGGATCGTACTCATGCTATTGAGTATGGCCACGTTTTGATCATGGAAATGTGAATGGCTCAGCAGAACAAGGGGATTGAAATATTCCACAATTAAACCTTTTAACAGATTCCAACCTGCCAACTCTACTCAACCAGACCAGCGCCATAACACCAGGCTAGACTGCGATCTTGGCAGCATGGCGGCCGACACTCACCAAATCCTCGCAACGGGAAGACAGACGGAATGCCCGACAGCTTCTGGTCACCGCCCAGCGCGTCTACCAGCAGCTCGTAGTTGCCATCCGGATAGGTTCCGGGTAGAGTTGTCGACGCGAGGGAACTACTATATTGGTGGGTTGTCCAGTTCCGACCACCGAATGGCCGAATGCGTACAGCAAATGAACTGAACTGAGCACGTTGGGCACTGCTCAATGCAGGGAAGTCAACACGCACTTGACCAACTCCTGGGCCAGCTGATAGAACCCTAATACGCGACTGCGGCAGTATATCCGGTGCGTCAGCTAAAGCAGTAGAGAAAGAAAAGAAAATAGACAGAACACCATTCACAATAGTCCCCTCTAGCTCCATTCTGTCTTCTCTTTCACAATAGTCCCCTCTCCATTTTCGTCTTCTCTCCTCTCCCTAGAAACTCTCATGGTGCGCAAGCTCGCGGTAACGCCGAGACCACAGGTTGGCATTGTTGCCTTGCCTCGCCAGCATAGGTTCCTTCTTGGAGCCCCTACTCTTCCCATTGTTGTGTTGTCCTGCTACATCTCTCCCCTCTTCTTACGATAAGGTCGCGTCTTCAGTAAAATAATAATAATAATACACACACACTTGAGAGGGACGAAAAGTGTTTCTTCTGTAACTCTGAGTTTCACGGTTTTAACCGATCATCAGACAGCAATAATAATAATAAATAAATAAAAAGAACAGACTAGGACCATGTGCACAATCTGCCATGTCATGATGTGTAAAGTGGTGGCAAACGATATCAGACCTAGGGGACGTAAGTACTCCAATCAGGCACAGTCCTGAGGGCGCGTTCAGACTAGCGTGAATCCCGTCAAACCGTGAATGGCGATAAACCGTGAAGGGCATTCACACTACCGATAAATAACGTTACCGGTACGTAAGTTTTGCAGCTCTCACCGCGGCACTGGGAAGGGATTTTCCCTTTTTACAGCCTGAGCACTTTTTTACAGCCGGAATGCAGTTACCGCCGCAGCAACCGCGGCAGTAAAACCTTTCCGCCGGTAACGTGCCAGTAACGTCACGTGATCAAATCACCTTGGAAACTTTCCCATTCCGTCACTTTTTATCGGTGGTCTGAACGCGCCCTAACGCTAGCGCTATACACACCGGACGGTATGATGGGCGCTGCACTGCTTTATTCGTATCGCCGGACTCCGCTCTACGCAATTGTACCTATCTATACAGGGCACAGTGCTCACTAGAGGGTTGGCAAAATCCAATATCATCACAGGGACTATGGATAGACCCAGCATATAACAATTACACGTAGTTTGTGATTAGTTTTACTTACCTGCTTGGAGAGCGAAGAACTGCGCGCTCCTTGTGGATTGGTCACCATCTGGTTCAGTTGCTACTACCGTAGCAACATAATAACCTCCGCCAACACCGGTGAAGCCATAGGGAAAGTCAGCGGCATTTAGCTGCTCTGAAACCTCATTCTGAACAAATGAGCCGCTCCCAGCATCATATCTATACAGATAGATTGTGTAGGAGTGGGTTGGGTCAAGTACTTGGCCAGAAGGTGCACCCACTTGTATATTAGCTGTGGCAAAAGAAATGCACGCAACACACACACACACACACACACACACACACACACACAAAAAAGTCACGGTTCGTGTCAGACTCGGCTAGAAGCCGAGTTTTCCGCATCTGTAGGAACACCACCACCCTTCAAGGATCAAGGCGCAAATGCAGATCCTAAAGCGGTGCGAGGTGAGTAGATCAGCTCACCAGCAAATCAGACCATTAAAAGCACACATTATTGATTAATCAAGCAGCTCATTATTATCCTTCCACTGCTCATCCATTGACCAAGCAATTCGAAGCCACCATATCACTTTTGGTCAAAATATAACCTGAAGATAATTGAATAAAACGTCATCGCTCGTGACTTGCTTACCCGAAGATGGCACTGTGAACGTGACCGGCACATTTGTGATGGAATCTCCATTGCTTCCCTCAGCACGAAGTTGCAGCTGGTAGACGCCACCCGTCAGTGTTAGCTGGTGTGTCGTGGCAGTGGTGCTCAGCTGCTCCTCTTGCCATGGGCCCGATCCCAGCCGCCTGTAGCGCAGTATGAACCTGTTGTACATGGCCAGCTGCTCTGGAGTCAGCTGTGGCAGATTGATTTGTACCGTGCCCAGCATCACTTGCACCATATTACCGGGATACTGTAAAAGGGTGGGTGCCACTGCAGGAAACATTCGTCAACCAAGCATTACATTTAGAACCACTCCTGAGGCCTAGCCGGACTTTGACGTATGCTTCATTATACGAGGGATGCATGTAGTGTGCAAATAGTGCTTGAAACGCCGTGGGGGCAGAACGTAGAACACACACACACGCACGCACACGCACACGCACACACACACACACACACACACACACACATACACACACACACACACACACACACACACACACACACACACATCAGTTCACTCATGGTGGGATCCACTGACCTGATACAGACTGGCTTAGAAAGAGCGTGAACACCGTCCGTACTCCACCACTACTATCCCTAGCATCCACAGTGCTAACATAATGGCCACAGGTTGTGTTGTACACGGTGTAGGGAAAGTCCCCAGCGGCAAGGCCACCTTGCTGGAAGAAGACGTCAAAGTCATTTCGGCTCGGGTCGAATGCATACACACGCAGTGTGTACTCGGGAACTGTGGAGTCCCTTTGGTTGAACGCCACAACCATCGATCCTAATGAACACACATGCATGCACATGAATACATACAAACACACACACACACACACACACACACACACACACACACACATATTACACACATGTGTGCACAAGCATGCACACGCATGCCGTACACCGTGAGCAAGCGAGCAACGACAAGCAAATGATATCACCTAAGAATGGATGAAAAGAATCTGCAGAACCATGAACAACATCACCTAAGAATGGATGAAAAGAATCTGCAGAACCATGAACAACATCACTTAAGAATGGATGAAAAGAATCTGCAGAACCATGAACAACATCACCTAAGAATGGATGAAAAGAATCTGCAGAACCATGAACAACATCACCTAAGAATGGATGAAAAGAATCTGCAGAACCATGCACAGCATCACAGCAAGTGAGTGCGCATCATCCTTGATTGTGTCTGCCCGTAAAAACTATCATCTTTAAAGTTCACTTCACTCTACAGGTAGAATAATTGTTAACACAAGCATCTGCATGCCGCACTCACACAACGAGCAACCAGTTTGGGGAATAGGAGGGTTTGTCAATTGCTTTGCCAGGCTCCGAGTGAGTGACAGCTTAGAGCTGTGTGAATGTTGAGAAAGAAATCCACTGCCAATGCGGGCACAGCCAGAACTGAAATCAGGAACAGCGGACTTCGGACAACAATGAGCGCATGAGAGTTTGTTGGGAACAGAGCATGCGCCTTTTGTGTTTTAACATCTTTTGCGAGTGCGCAAAAAATCATTTCTCACACAGCAATGGTACAACCAAGTCCCTCGTTGACGTTGCTCAGAGTTTCATGTTTGAAAAGCACTCATCTGCTGTCTTATATGGGTTTTTTAAACACGAAACTCTGAGTAACGGCAAAGGAGAGGACTTGGTTGCACCATTGCTGTGTGAGAGTTGTATCACGGGCTCCTTCCACTGGTGGACATAGAGCACTATACGCAGCCTGAGTATCCTATACACATTGATCCTACATGAATATAAGTTACAGCAGGTGATTGATCAAAGACTTACCAAGGCCTCGCACTTCAAACGGGATGGGATTGCTGAATCGAACCCGATCACCTCCCACAAGGGTTCCAAAGTAGCTGACTTCATACTGACCATCGCCCACGAATGGAGCCAGCAACACAGATGTGGCAGCAATGGGAGCTCGAGCTATCCTGTTGGAGCGGCCTACATTGCCCCAGCTCAGTATCCAGCCGGACAACGCTTGCCTCTCGGCATCCGTAGCAAAGGTGGGAAGAGTCGCCGTGATGCGACTGAAACAGCTCAATATGTACGAATGCTGGATGAAGTCGCCAGGTATGATGGGTGAGAGCACTAGATAGACAGACATGGGCACACACACACACACACACACACACACACGTACACACACACGCACACGTACACACATACACCCACGTACACACACACATACACCAATGTACACACGCGCGCGCGCGCGCGCGAGCGAGCACGCGCACGCGCACACGTACACACACAAGCGCGAGCACGCACACACACACACACACGCGCGCGCTCGCTCGCTCGCACACACCAAACACACACACACACACATAACATATACAGACAAGCACACAGTCATATACACACATAACACATACAGACAAACACATTCAAACCTGATGTCATCAGTCATGCTGCTACAGGGAAATGTTCGCTAAACACAACAGTGTGGATAAAATGCCCCTCTATAGATATGTGCTAAATGAGCCGAAGATGGTTCCCTCATACCTCTGCTCTGCACGCAGAACTGATGTGCGTAGTTGAAAGATGACGTGCTCCCCTCCGCATTGGTAAGGCCAAAACGAACTTCATACACACCATCAGCGAGATCTTCCGGTATTGGCACAGGGGAACTGCTCACTCTCAATCTAATCCAGTCAGCATTGCCTGTTGCAGCTCGGTATTCCATCACATACAGCTGGTCAACCGTTGGTTGCACCGGCAATACTGGAGCGCTGACGTTCGCACGGCTCACGCCGAATGTGACTCCGACACTGGAAATGATCGGACGGGCTGCAGTTTGCCAGTCTGGCACTACGGTGGTACCTAGCCGGCACAAACACACAGCAAGAAGAGAACAAACTAGATGAAGACACAAACTGGGGGAGGGCAGAAAGAAATCCAAAGTCACAAAAGAGCAGGTGAAGCGTTTCCTAGCCTTTCTAGATAGCTAACACAAACAAAGTTAGTCACGGTATACGGTAATACGTGTGCTTTATCTGGAATATCATGTACTGAGGCCTCACCAAATGTGGGCATTCTGCCCTCAGTAATGCGACCAGTAACCTGAACCCTCAGTAATGCGACCAGTAACCTGAACCCTCAGTAATGTGACCAGTAACCTGAACCCTCAGTAATGTGACCAGTAACCTGAACCCTCAGTAATGTGACCACTAAGGCCATGGTAAAATTATCTTTGATTCTCAAGTACGCGCGCACCGATTTTTGGCGGCGCACCGACGATTTTTTTATTTCTATGCATGAATATGCGTGCATGAAAAACGGTCAATGCGAAAGGCATGAATCCGGGAGTAGTAAAATACCGGTATTTTTCTACTCCCTGGCCTGGATAATAAAATAATTATAAATTAATTATGAACCTGTGACGTACACATGTGTGACCCTGTCTTTGGAAATATAAAAATTGTGGGAATTAAAATAAAAATCGCTCGCTCGCACCGATTTTCACAGGCTCATGACCTGAGAATCAACTTTATTTTTTACCATGGCCTAACCTGAACCCTCTGTTGTGAAACCACAAGTTCTCGAGAGTGAAAGGCCTTCTCGCTTGTGACATTGTGTTCGTTCCAATGCAGTTGTATCCCGACTCCGCCGTACTGCTGATGTTTACGACGTGGTATACGCTACAGGCGCTATGTGCGGTTTGCTGTGTGCGCTGTACTTGTATGTGGTATGTGTATGCTTTTCTCATATACGCTGTCATTTTCACGCTATAACTACCTGGTGGTTTTAGTGTTATTCATTCATTCATTTCATTGTTGTTAGTCGATGGAAGTGAAATATACTGTTGAGAATAAATAGTTGTCCTCGTGCCGTGTGGGGTCGTTCGTTCCTGACACTTTAGAGAACCAGAGGGTTCACAACACCCTCAGTAATTTGAACTGACCATAGACAACAGATACTTGACTACATTGGAAATTCTGCAAATCCCTACCTTGATAGCCATTGCTTGATTGGAGAGTGAAGATGGTGGTTCGGGTGCAGGGCTCCACGGTGGAGATCTCATCGACCCGAAATGAGTGAAAGCCACGGCTCAGCCCGGTGATGGTGTGTGGGAACTCGGATCCCTGCAGGTCAGTTGTGCTCAACACATTCCAAGCAGAGGAGCCTCCCTCACCAGTTCCCAGCTTTGCAGCAGTTACTCGATACATGGTAGATGGTCCGCCACCGAAAGCTTGGATGGTAAATGATGCTGAGCAGGAAATACACGCAGGCACAACTCAGCTCATGTTCCTACACTTGAAGACATGCAGGCACAACTCAGCTCATGTTCCTACACTTGAAGACCTCAAATCAGTGAACTAGTGGCAACTGCAAGTACAGAGTTGGTGAATGAAATCCGATCGCTGGAGTCAGGTCTGCGCTCTGCACCAGTGCAAACGCTCTCTCTCACACACAGCGTCAAGCCTACGTCGATAGAAGCATCCAGTGACACAACACAAACGATAAACAAACAGAGCACAGGCAATGCAAAAACCTGGTCAGCGTTGAAAGAGCAAGACGGATTGTGAACTTTTGAGTAATTCGTCTCAATGAAGTAGCCCAGCGCAATTCTTTTTGCCACTCTTTGTTGTACTCTCCCCCCCCCCCCCCCGTGTACAGCAAGAGCGGACATGTGGACTGGCCACATCTGCATGAAAGCTCCGTTAACACTGCCGCGGAAGTGCCAATAATAATATAGTAAGCCACAGCGAAGTCTGTACACGCAAAGAACGCAGCATGATGGCTCGCACTACAGAATACGGATACACGCATAACGGCTTACTGGGAAAGGGCACGACGAACGTGAGCGGAGGCGAGAATGCCGACAGGCCGGTCTGAATTCTGTACTGAGCTCTTGCCTGAACAATAGAACCTGGTCGCAGATTGTCAAGCGTGGCCTGACGGCGACCATCCTGAATCTCACGACGCTGCCATGCCTGTCCTTCATAGTTGTTATCCGCGTTAGCAAAGCGATACTCCAAATAAGGTAGAGTAGCACCAGGCAGCGTTGGCAGATTGAGAACGGCAGATGTTGTAGTTAAATTAGAAACCGGAGGCCGAGGCCACACCGGTGTTCCTATGCACAACAATCACATCAGAAATCAAAAAGGAAACGGAACAATAACACAATAAGCATAGGTGCTCTGCTCACTACTGATGCCACCCCCACGTAACCCACGCACGCACACACGCATGCATGCACGCACGCACGCACATGCACGCACACACCTCAGACCTCAGACCTCAGACATGCCCATCGCGGAAGCGATGATAGCGAACAGCTATGTTAGACATAGCAACTTGTGCTGGGATTACACCATTCAACAGCTTGCAAGGCTGATGAATTGACGCACACACACACACACACACACACACACACACACACACACACACACACACACACACACACACACACATGCGCGCGCGCGCACACACACACACACACACACACACACACACACACACACACACACACACACACACACACACTGATCTGTCACTCAATCCAAACCATACGCAGCGATGTCATTCATACGACCTCCATTATAAGCGCGGAACACCTGGTATGAGCTATTTCCATCAGGCAGTTGGATAAACTCGGGAGAGGACACGGCATTCAAAAGCTCGGGCGATGTGTGCCTCGTTATTCTTGGAGAAGCCCCTGGGTAGAAATCGCGGGAACCTCAGAATGGGCTAAACAGTAAGAGCAGCGAGACAAGGTAAAGGGTTCGAAAAGCCCCGGCACTTCTTACCAGCTGCCGATGTTTGTCTCTGGACCGTGCCGCCCTCAAGCGTTTCGCCACTGTCCGTTCGATTGATCAGCTGTGCCTGAACATCACTGCTGGCTGGGAGGCTGGTGATCACCACAGTGGACACTTCTGCCTGCGTCTGTTCCGAGCGAATCGTAATGACCTGCCAGGTAGAGTACGGAGTGTCACTGTCCTGAGGCTTGTAACGGTAGCGGATACTGACGTCCTGTTCCGATGTGCCCGGAACGACCAGGCCAACTCGACTGGGGCCATTAAGGTAGTCAGCTGCGGCCTGATCCGGAAACGCAGGTACAGCTGAAGAAGGAGAATAGGCAGATAGTCCGAACAGCATGGCCAGTTTCATTACATGTCATTCCATACCAATACCCACACAAAGGAGAAAAATAAATGTTACATCTTACTTCCTCCACGTAATTAAAATTGTCGCTTCCCAGAGCGATTTTTCAATTATATTTTTTCCACTAGAAAGGCAAAGAGATCAGCTAGAAATTGAAGCAGGGTATTGTCGACGGATCAAGCTTTATTTTGTGGCCTCCCGCTTCGCTGTTCTTGCAGCTAAGATCAACGTCTTCAATGGAGTTTGAGGCAGACTCTTCAGCACTCAAAAAGACGCTGAACAAGACGCGCGTTCAAATTCAGGTCATGAAACTTCGTTTTCAAGCACTCCGTGCCTCCAGGTGGCAGGCAATGACCCCAAAGTACACTGTAACGATCTTTCAGCGGGATAGGGTAAGCAGTTCGACACCTTCTTTCTTTGGCAAACGCTTCGCTGATTCTGTTGGTGTTTTCAGACCTGGTACCTTCGCAGTAAAATGCGCCACACGTAGCGCATTTTAGGAATTTGAGAACACTTTGTTCTTGCCATCGTCAACTTCAGCATTTCGAATTCAGGAGAATACCAGGATTCTTATACCTGAGCTTGAAGTCTTGATAAGTGCCCACACGAACGATGTGGGCCAGCACGAACTCCAGAATAAAGACACGTCTACGCACTGTGAGACCACCACGGCTTCAGTAACAAGTAGACATTGAGCAGGGTCGCACCAATGTCCAAACACAGAAAACAGGGATTCCGACACGCCGACTAAGACGAGCAAGTCACAAACATTGCGATGTGCAAAGCGACAATTTTAATGACGCAGAGGAAGTAGCTTCTATGACTTGACACGTGATCATCCACTAGGCGAAGTTTAGACCCAGCACCAGTGCGATATCCGCCCTTCAAGGTCTAAGCAAGTCATCAGAAAAATGCCAAACAGCCAAGGTGTACAGATCGGTTAGGAGAGTGATACTGCCAATTTTCCACCATGGAATCTCTGTTCTTGGCTCTTTCCTCATGATTTACCACTTGACAGTTCACAGCGGAGGATCTTTTGGACGTTGGCTCCAGTATTTGTCAGTATGAGGTTTGGCACATGTTGAAAGGTTCAGTTCATCTAATAGGGTGCCATGTACACAAATGTAGACACAATGTGACACAATGTAGACACAATGTGACACAATGTACACACAATGTAGACACAATGTACACACAATGTGACACAATGTAGACCTACCGTTTGAGAGTGTGCTGAACTTAAGAGCAGACGACGGCAGTGAAAGTGGCTTTTCGCCGACGAGAAACTGGGCAGTCACCTCGTACTCCGTATCGCCCGTCAGGTTGGCTAGCAAGAGCTCCGGCTGACCGGGAGCATCTATCGATATGATCGCCCAGTCACCGTCGCCTGCGCCGGACACAGGGCGGTAGCGAACCAGCATACGTGTGGCATCGGTACTGCTGAATGCTGGCAGCCGCAGGACGGCACGGGTCTGGGTCTTGCGAAGAAAATCAACAGGGTTGCTCCCCCAGGTGGGTGCAGGTGCTGCAGGAATACGTGACAGAGTGCAAAGCACAGACATTATCAACAGGGAGATGAGAAAGTGAGAAAAAAATCACGGTTCGCTTGAGACTCTGCTGAAGGCCGAGTTTTCCGCATCCGTAGGAACGCCACTACCCCCAAGGATCAAGAGAAAGTGAGAAGTCTGAGTGATAATGGAGGGCTAGCACATGGACTCGGACCACAGATGTCGGTACAGAACTGTATGAATCCAACCACACGTTGTGAATCCCAGCAACGACTGAAAGAAAGTGCTCAGAAGAGGATACTGGGTCAGAGTTTGCAGAAGAAAACCAGTCATACCGCAACTGAACCGAGCTAACTTGAGTCAACTTACCAGTACGAAACACGGCGGACAACTCCGTAACTGGCTCGCCCAGCGCATCCAGGCCGATGGCGCGCACATCATACGTCGCTGCAGATATGGCATCGGGGACTGTGAACCAGTCGGGCTCAGATGGGACGGTGATCGTCTGCCATGCGCTTGCATCGTGTCGGTAAAAAAGGATGGAACGGCCGCCTAGCCGTACTCTCCGTGCGGTGATAACAACTCTCCGATAGTCCACACCGTAAGTGACGACATCATTCCGTATGCTGGGCAGAAGTGCTCGCGGAAAGTAGAAGCTCAGGGCCGTAGGATCCATCTCGTTGATTCTGAGACTATCCCAGCGCCAGACAAGAGTTCCTACACCCCAAATCCGTTCGCGCACACGCGCGCACACACACACACACACACACACACACACACACACACACACACACAAACTTAGGAGAGGGGATTCAAGATCTGCCAGATACAATGATCAAAATTTAATATCGGTTGCTTGTTAGGTATACAGGATTTCTTACAAATCATCGCCGAAGTTGCAACCACTATTTCATACAGGCTTTGTTGCTCAAAATACCCAAGGGGGTCTCTCGGGTGCAATATGTCGCTAGTACGTGCGCACTTTGTGTCTCAACTGGACCCCACGGGACACTCGCAGGCACACTCACACACGTGCACGAACACATGCGCTACGCATGTATATCCACTTGCATTTGTGTATGCATGCTTTGCATGGGTGTATGTGCGAGTACGTGTGTGTGTGTGTGTGTGTGTGTGTGTGTGTGTGTGTGCGTGTGCGCGCATGCACGTGTACGCCGCGTGCAAGAGTGTTTGCTAGTGTATACGTACGTTGCGTGTGTGTCTGTGTCTGTGTGGAGGGGTGGGGAGGAAGGGATATGCAAGTGTGTGCGAATATTCAGTCAGTGACAGTAAAACCTTACTGTCGGTTCTAGGCTGGATTGTGAGCGGGGCGCCCCAGGCTGACATGTTTGATACAGAAATGAATCCTCGCGCACGGACTTGGTAGCGGCGATCTGGAATCAAGGAAGTCAGAGAACGGACAGAACCTCGCAGCGAGAGCCCTCCAAGTCTGGACCAAGCTGTCCAGGTGCCATCCGACTGCAAGTATCGCTGATCAATCACGTAGCGTGGAAAGTGCGCGGGCATAGTGGGAACGAAAATATCAACACCTGTCGGTGACAGGGAGCTGACATTGTACGCTGGCTTGCGCCACACAGGGGAATCTGAAAGGAAACAGAAATGGTCACAAAACAGCATCTTGGGTGTCAAGAAACAGCAGCAATATACACCGCTGGCTCTGCTTTATTATGCCCGATTGCACCAATGCTGGGCAGCAATGTACAGTCAACTTCGCTTATAACGACACTTGGCGGGGCATCAAAAAAGTTTCCTTATTCGCGAAGTGTCGTTTTTCCCAAAATCTCATTATATGTATTACAGTTGGAAGGGACTTTCCTCTGGGCATGGAAATGCTGTCGTTATTCGCGAATTGTCATTATATCCGCAGTCGTTATTAGCGAAGTTGACTGTGTGCCTGCTCAGTTACCAAGTGTTTTTGTGTTGTCAATGACTCAATGTCCATTGCTGAGAACAGCTATTAGATACTTTGGCCGATATTGCAGAGTGATAAAATGAAATTAAAAAGAAGAGGATGGCAAACCCGTGAGACTAGGTTTTCTGCTTGATGCGCCAGTGTGCTCACAGTTGGTGTATACACTTGTGCTACGGCGAGTATGTGCATGCCTATGCGTGTACACGGGCCAATGAGCTGTGTGTGTGTGTGTGTGTGTGTGTGTGTGTGTATGTGTGTGTGTGTGTGTGTGTGTGCGTGTGCATGTGCGTGTGTGTGCGTGTGTGTGTGCGCGTGCGTGTGCGCGCCTGCGCGTGATGTTATTTATGCTGTCGCAGTATCTGACAGTAAAACACCTCGTTACCTTGGTGGACTGTTAGTCATAACTCGTAACTTATTGGTCCTTTCTCTTTACTCAAAGTACATGTATGGTACTTTCTTGTCTCTATTGACCAGCATGGCACCTACCTACTCTCAACAACGCACAAAATCTTCTACGAACCTGGTGCAAGGGTCCGAACAAACAAGCCCAGAGTCTGTACTGGGGACTGCGGCGGGTTGAAGTAGACGGGTGCGTTGAGTCGATACTGAGTGTCCGGCCGGAGGCCGATGATCTCATGCTCGGAGGCGTAGGGAGCTCGCTGGTATCCGTCGTTGTTACGCTCATCCCTGGTGATGTCACCGTCACCATTCCTGTCGAAATAATACTGAAGAAAGAGACCTTGCACTGTAGTATTGACTATGGGCTGTCCCACTGGGTGAAGCTGAACCGTGATGGAATTGGCTGTAGTTTTGGACTCCACCCAGCTGTCTTCGCGCCAACAGTATTGCTCTGGAGTGAAAACAAAAAGAATGCCACGCACGCGAGCAGAGAATGCAGAGTCTCCAATGATTCCACGTGCCTCTGGGAGATTTAATAAACGTGGCGTCGCATTGAATGAAAAAAAGAATGCACATGCACATCCAAAAGTAAGTACCAGCGAGGAGTGATGAAGACACGAGACATGCACAAGCTAGTTATCATGTACTGATAACACTTGGGTCACATGAAAAATCCGGTGGACAATCGAGTCATGTGTGAAGCAGGTCACATGATGCACAAAGAGCAACAGGTCATGTGACCTATTTTCAGTCAAAGAGATCGTGCCATGTGACTCATCATGCCAATTCGCAGTCTCTCTCTCTCTCTCTCTCTCTCTCTCCGTCTTTTGATGTGCCAGGAGATGTCTACAAAATTTAATGATGTGAGCAACTTTCTAGAACCCTCACCTCAAACACTCTAAAACATGGTCTCTTTGCTGCATACGTAGCTTGAAATGGTCACCAAATATTCAGGCATGGCCCGTTATCAGGGTGGAACAGAAACTTTCTAGGAGACAAGAAGTTTATATCGAAAAAGGTTCGGGCTTTGTTTAAATCTGGCTTTGTAAATTTATTTTTCATTGCTGTATAAGGTTCGGCCTCATTTCCCCGGTGCTGCGCACACATCCACAAAGGACGAAACAGTTGTGTCCGCAGAATGAGTAACGAAAAAGTACAAATTTTATGCTCTTCACCATCATCATCATTAGGACTCAATACTAATGTGACTAAGAAATGCCACTTCAATTAGCTCAACAGCACAGAAACTGTCTAATGTATGGTTGCAGGGCGGGGGTTGCAGATACAACACTCACGTGGTTGGTTGGTTGTCAGTTGGAGAGTGTTACTGTACGCTGACTGTTGTTGCTGCAACGTACGCTCAGCAAAGCGCACATCGTATGCCGTGAACGCCTGCAGCCCGTCCAACCGGAAGAATCGGGTCGAGAACGGCGTCGTGCGCACCTGCCATGGGCCGGGCGGGCTGGCCATGCGATACTCGACGACAAGGAACGAATCGGCGGCGCCAGTCGGACTGACAGCCGGCAGGCGCAACATGAGTGCATTGTAGCAGTGAAGGGGCGCTGCGTACTGCTGCGATGGCCATACTGTACCACAGTGACATAGCAAACATGAACAAGTCGTCAGTCACCATGATCATCCAAGTGGCATGAAACCACAACCTTCTTCCTGTTGTCTCCACATAAAGTAGCACACCGTCCAGTCATGTAGAAAAGCACTATCACCTGTGGCATAGGCAACATACTTGAGGATAAAAGTTACAACAAACCCCATATTCAAAAAGGTTCATTCTTTAATGCACTTGTCTCCTGGTACCTCCCGTGGATGTTGTGACTGCTCCCAGGATGACATGAAAATAGCTAACCAGTGTACCTGCAGCACACTGTAGAGGCTGTGCGATTACGTCACCGTCCCAATGCAGTGAACTGTAGGCTAGTGTAGAGGCTGTGTGGTTATGTCATCATCTGAATGCAGTGCACTAGAGGCTATGCGATTACGTCATCATCTGAGCCAGGTTGCACTAAAAAGTCAAAGCACTGACATGCAAGCACATGCTTGAAACTCTAAATTCAATGGGGAACTTGTGGCACTGCTTGGCAGTGTTTGCCACTCAATTTGCCACTCAATACGCCCGAGGCACCTTTCAATTAACCTCTCATACATGTATGCTGTGTGCCACACATGGACAAGTCAACAGCAACAGAATAAAGTTATGCTGTCCCGTGGTTTCTTGTCATGCCGCCCATACCACACACCTTTTTGTTTGGCCTAATGAGGAAAAGGTACTCCCCTTTTTAACTCCACCAAACTATAATACAGTAAAACCTGTGACAAACGACCACCTGGCCCGGTTTGGGGCCAGAGAAAGCCGTCTTTAGTGACAGGTGGTCCTTAGTTAGCGGTTTTCACCGCACAACCATGAATGTGAGACCGTCCATGCCTGGCGAAGTGGTCTGTAGTGCCAGGCTGGCTGCTAGTCACGGTGCCGGTCTTTAGTTACAGGTTTTACTGTAATTACGAAGTTGAGGAGAAAATAATAGGAAGATTTTGCAATATAATTTTCTCCACTGAAGTCATTTTCCCCAATGTCAAGTCGCTACAGTCATATCTCGAGAGTATCTACAATCACAAGTGCAACAAATCAGGTGTCAGCTCAATGTAATGTAGCTAATACATGACGTTGTACATTCTCTGGCCACTTGGGCATGAATTGTGCCAAGTCCACGTGTGCTTTACAAGGCCTTGACAAGGGAGAGATTAATGTTCGCCGCACGGCACAACTTTGTGGTATCATCTATCGAATAATGCCCTGGAAACTCTCACAAATAAATTCCTCAGCATAAAAAGCACTGAAATAGAGATGAATCAAAAAATATATAATTATTATAATATATTCGTAGCCCCCTATTGCAGTAGTACAGTAGAGAACTTCACGTACATTGTTCCTAGGTCAGTTCCACGATACCACCCACCGCAAAGCTTCCAGCAAGGGTTTTCCACAAGAAATAGTTTGCTCTCCACTTCGATTCAATGGCTTGACTATTGTAAACTACACTGAATCGAGTCCGGAGTATGTTCAAAGTAGTTTTCAAACTCGACAAAATATTCCTTTCGGGATGCTTTTGGATGTTTACCGTAGCGTCACAGGTGTTGTACTTTGACCTCACAGAATTTGTCCACGTGCTGCATCATGCATGCAAGCACCAAAATTCAAAACGACAAAAGTGACGGAACGAGTAGCTAGCCTCTGGCCTGGGTCAGGCCAAGATAAAGCAAGATCGAGCTAGTTCTACACTGACTACAGTAGCTTTGGCTGTATCAGCTTTCTCCCATCGCAGGACGTAAGGATTTTGCAACAATTACTGCACATTTTTCCAATCTCTACTTTACCACAATTACCTTTAAAATTGTATTCACAGACTCAGTGGGCCCATTGTTAGTAGGCATATGCCTGTTTCGATTTCCACTACAAATAAAGTATACAACATATGCGTAATTACAATCATGTTCAGAATATTCCATGCACTTCTTCAGTGCAGTCCTTCTTCTGCCGGCCCACATACCAACCAAGTGTCACAATAGTATTGCTGCGATAGTCATTGCAGTTCACCAGGGTTCACACCGACACAATACAAAGCAGCACTGATGAGATCAAAGTATAGTATACCTAATGACGTTTGTCGCTTGCTCCTGCTGAGGCTTGCTTCTTGCTCATTCTCTACAACAGCACAGAAAGCGAACATGAAGGAAAGTTCAGTAAAAACGAGTGAGAAAGTTAAGAACCACGACGACAGTGCAATTGCAATGGTCTAACAAGTGCGCTCCGAAATCTCCTCGAAATAGCCCGTGTGAATGGCCTAGCATGGCGATGGAAACCGGCGGGATCGCTGCAGTGCTCAGTCTAGTCCGACGTTCAGGAGACCCGGAGGTGTATGAACACCATACTGGAATGAAATCCGCTATGCAACATTGCAGAACTGGATATTATACATGTATTCGAATTAATTTTGTCCAGCAAGAAAGCATAAGACAGTTAGCATGATCAGGATCCAGTCCCATTCATTTCAGGGAATGACTGAATCCGGTGCACTTACCGTTTGCACACGATATGGCTATCAACAGTAGACACAGCAGGAGAATGGGGAGAAACCCGCTCACGGGGCTCCTCCTCTCCATCGTTACAACGACTCACAATCGAACAGTTGGAGAGATTCCGGAAAGAAGAAGCTCCAAAAAACGGATTGCAAGAAAAGAATCGTTGCCTGTCCGACTTCAGACGGCAATGAAACTCGCAATCCAAAGTGAAAAGTAAGAATTCGTCCCAGCAGGTGCCCTCAATGATGTCTCGCTACAGATAATGTTGCCATAGCATACGCTGGCGCAGGTGACACTCTAGCTAGCTAGTAGGCCGGCCTATCAACATGATCAATGTGGAAGCGAGGGCTGCCGCCTTCGAGATTCCTAGCCAGTCGCACCGCAGGGTATTCTTATCACGTGTACTTGCGAAAATGCGCTCAAGCCTCGGCTCGGGGAAAACCTAGACCTCATTGATTTGGTCCTGCGGCGTGCTGGCTCGTCACAGTCATGTGGAATGCCAGGTCGGTTTCGTGCTGATTCGAAAAAGATCTGCTGTCGCGCCGACAGACTCCGACGAAATCTGAGTTGCGAAATACATGTACGGATGATGGCAGTGACAGGTAGCTGTTTTCGTGGAGATTCTATCCGTAGCGAAGAGTGGTACGACTACATGTATGTCTATGAGGTGATCATGATCTGAGAACGAGGATTGCGTGTCCTGTCGTGTCATGACCAGGGAAATGTTGACGCTGCGGAAACCGCCCAACATCTGCAGCGTCCGTGACTCTCACACACTGGCCGCCATGTTGATCATTGTTGCCAACTACAGCCAGTCGAGTCTACAGGACATGACTGTGCGAGTCTTGTACGTTCTGAGCTTTCGGGCGCATACTGTCTGTCGACTCGTGGTTACCTGCTCGCATAGCGAGAGAAAGGATGGTTGGAAAACTCGTGATAGAAAGCCCACGCCTGCACGTAGCCAGTAAAGTTGCGGACCACACACGCGAAACATAACGTATGTGGAGTCTTCAAAATATTATTATTCTATTTCTGAACATAGCCTCATACTGCAGACCACACAAACAGTCCATATTCGATCTGATGTGATCCGAAATGTCTGTGTGAAGGCGAAACGCCAACGAAGGAACAAGATCGTGGATTCCGTACTGGCCTGATCCGCCGTTTTATGCACTGAGATCAAACAGATCCCGCATCTACAGACTAGTACAGGGCATGTGCTCTTGGATCGTCGACCTGAACTGTGCCACTGCCACTGGGCATGGGATGCACTCGCTGAACGCGTGGGTGCTGGACATGTCGACGGTGCACTGACAGACGACAGGTTTATGAGACAGGTCGCGACCGCAGATCTGTGCTAGCAGCCACACTTTGCCTCCGTGGATGGATGGAGATCAGAGAAACGCCGCTACTTCCAGTGACAGGTGTGAAAGATTGTGGAGATGTTTCAAATGGTTACACTGTACCAGAGGTAGTGGTCATGTAAGTATGTGACAGTATCTAATTCTTTGCCTACAAGATTACTAATTTAGTGCAAGTACACGGCTACATGGTAGTACACCTATTTTCAGTGTTGGGATTTGTGGACACAAACTAGTCTTTGACAAAGATTTAGAAACTGCGCTGAACTTTCGTAGTATACAGACAAGATGTAGGTAGAGAGGCAACTACATGTTCCATTCGCTTCCATGCATGTAATTGGGCGACACCGCCCGTTTGGTTCTGCAAATTCAAAATAAGACGTGCCCCCCCCCTACCTATAATTATGTACATGTAACATACTTTAGTAGTGCTGGTTCTGGCTCAATACCTGCATGCATGACTGTTTACAACGTGAGAGACTAAGGTTGGGTGATCAGACAGAGTTGTGAAGGTATTTTTTGCAGGACTAAGGCCGTAGCTCCGGAGCTCCACATTATCTCAACCATATCTGGCTTATGTCACGTTTTTGAACACTCCACGTTGTTGTGGGTCACCCCGCTTTAATGTAACAATACATCCATGATGTAGACACGTGATAAAGATGGTATTTTTGCCCGTACAAGAGGCTTGAGACCCGGTCCTAAAATAAATGATGTAGACACGGTACACTACCAATTCCATACACAAGTCCACTTATCTGGAACGCTACTGGGGCTATGCTGCTACATGTCCAGTATTGTATGTACAGTCAACTTCGTTTATAACAACATTCGGCGGGGCATCAAAAAAGTGTCCTTATTCGCGAAGTGTCGTTGTACCCGAAGTCTCATTATGTATTACAGTTGGATGGAACTTTGCTCTAGCTCTGGGCATGGACATTCTGTCGTTATTCGCGAATTGTCGTTATATCCGCAGTCGTTATTAGCGAAGTTGACTGTACTACACGTAGTAGTATGTTGCCGTCTTTGGTATTTCAGATTTCTACCCCTGATTGTGTTACTAGTATAGCGCCTTATGTATGGATGTCAGTTTAAATTGCGATTCTAAGCAAAAATAAACTCGCGCAATGCAACGTGATCCATGATCTTCAAAGTCGCACGATGCGGGGTTTTGTTAGATTTGCTAGCCTACAAACCCCATCATCTACTCCCACCGGCTAGAGCCAGCACACACACCCGTGCCACCTTTCTCTTTGTCACCACTGTCACATGGAACTCCCTCCCGGCTGCCATTCGTACTGTATCCAGCCCAAAATGTGTTTCCGCTCTTGTCCGCACACACTTTGCTATCACCCGTTATGAGCCCTCTGGTTTCATTCCACGTAGAGTAGCGATGTCATAGAGCACTGTGTTATAATACTACCACCCCGCATCATTCTATTTCCTATTTTTATTTTTCTCCTCATGCAGCTTCTTCTTCATAAGCTGTTGACGGAGACTCCCTCGATTTAGGCTCAGACCTGTGGAGAATCCATAAATACAAAATACATATACAAAAATACAAGACTTAAAACACATTTTAGTCATTCTTGGAGTTAGTTAGCGGTTGTCGTGATATGGTTGGTTGGTCTATTTTTATTCGCACAATAAACGGGAACTAGGCCCAATATAAAGGCGAATGGATAAGCCGCATTTAGAAAAGAGAAAGGACAGGAATTTGAAAATTACGTAAAAAAAGGATCTGACAGAGAAGTCAAGGGAGTATGAAAGGTGGCAGGGTGGTCAAGGAGAGCTAGGGGGTGGGCTGGATGATTATACCTTTGATCCCTCCGTGATCCAGAACTGAGACCGTGAAACATGATGAGCCGGATTTTACCTCCTTTACGAACTGAGATGTTGCGACTTCGGCGGTAATTGCAGAGGAAGGGATTTGCTCCAAAACGTTGGAAATCGCGCTTCCTGCCGATTGACTGACACTTGACTGACTCACGACTGCCGTCTGATCTGGAGCACATGAGAAGAATGCCAGGCCGACGGGTACTCCTGTCTTTCTTCTTACACATTGTAATTAAAATACAATACGTATTTCATTGCGAAGAGCTGTGCTTCGGTCCTCTGAGCTGTGCTGAGGAGCTCTAACAGAGCGAAACAGTTGCTGTCCACAGATTTGAGTAATTAAAATACATAAAACTCTCCTCATCCATGCGCTCTAAAGCCGACCATTGCGGCTTTAGACCACATGGAGGAGGAGGGTTTTATGTGTTTAAAAAAAAGAAACAGCCGAATGATATCGTTCACAGTTTTATTGATACATTGTAGGGGATGGTACCAGAACTACTGCGGCAACTAACTAATTACTTTCAGTACAGTACTCAGTAGCAACCATCCGCATGGCTATTAGAGAGGTTAAGATGCACGTTATTTCTGACGTGACCCGAAAGTTCAGCTCGCGTTATTTGCTCACACGTCGAAAAATCAACGCGAGTGAACTGCTGCTCACGTCAACATTTGGAGTTTTACGCCAAATTTGTCGTGAAATTGCGCGTCACGTCGGAAATAACGTGCATCTTAACCTCTCTAGTGTTGCCAAATGACGTACACAAAGTGTCTGTTGTTCTGCATGCCTTGTGTAAAATAAATGACGTACATGTACACAGTATTGTACATGCCACGGTCCCTGTTCACAATTGGACGCCTATCTATTATCACGAATGAACATTGCTTCACGTATACGACGATTTACAAGGGACGAGTGTGTGGCGAGAAATGATGCGTTGGTGATGGGTGTAGACGTGATTGCTTGTTGTGAGTGGTGTTCTACATAATATTCTCCCATTGGTGTCTCCAGCGCTTGTACTTTGGTCTCTCTGCAATGCTCATCAAACCTCTTCCTGGAAGTTCTCTCGGTCTCGCCAATGTCCTCCTCGGCGCAAAATGCACATAACATTGAGTAGATCACTCATCCTGTGACAAACACTGACCACTCTCCATACCACCATCACATGCACGTCATTCAACAGGTCGCGTTCTTCCTCTCCTCTTCTTATGCACTTCCTTCGGGCATTCAGGACGGGACAATGACGACGATACCAACATGTCCCCAATAGTGACCGACCGGGCTGGAAAACCGCATGCACGTCCTTACTAAAGGACCTCGCCCTACGACGAATATCACGTGCCAAATGATCATTGACAAAGCTACACTGTAAGGTCAAATAGATGATCGTTGTCGCTGTCGCTGTCTGGTGGTCCAGTGGTGGTCCAGTGGCGGATGATAGTCTTGGTGTGCTTGCATGGTGTTGGCTGCTTGCTTAGCTTGTTGTGGATAGTCGTAGTCTCGTTGTAATGCCTCGATTTTCTTCTCCCCTCTCTCCCTCCCCATGCCCTGGGCTGACGCGTTGCTGTTTTTGTTTGTTTTTCTGTAGATTTTCTGTCAAAGTGTCTCGATTGTTGGATTTGTCCGAATGACTATGATTATATGTAATACGGGATTCACATCAAGTGCATAGGTCGCTGGGTGTAGGTCGGGAAAGAAAAAGAAGATGTCACTGCTCACCAATGAAGACAAGGTTTGACCTGTCCAGCTACCACAAATTTTGTCCAACCAATAATAATATTAGTTAGCCCCAGAATCCAAGAGCATGCACGACCAAACTAGTAATACAGCACAACCCTGCAACGCTATGCTCACACAGCCGGCAAAGCATTAGCAGTCACACAGTAGTGGCCATGCCCGCGATCGGCCCCTCGGCCTGTACTACTGGGGTAATCGTGGGTCGAGTACATGAGCAAGTGTCATAATCAGCTGTGGCAATAAACAGATAAACTGCATGATTGGATCTTTACAATCGAGAACTGGTTTCAATCATTCACAAACCCAATGGCGTGAAACCACATTAACAAAAAAGACGACCCAAATTCGGCAATAAATAGAACACTCAATTGAAGTGTAAGACCTACAGTGTATACAAATAATTGTCTCTTCCCAAGGCCAAGTCAACGCAATTCACAAGATCGCCATTCTTCCAGGGCTACTGTGCATGGCTACAACTTCCCGACTCAGTGAAGACTTCTGCATCATTGAAAGAATTTAAAGTGAATCTGAGGGCCTGCTGATGACTGAGTGCACCATAATAATAATACTTGCAAGTAAAAACTAATCAATATAGCTTTTCGGCTGTTTCCTTTTCATGTATATAATCTTCTCCTTCTTTTACCATGGTTGGCTATCACCCACATCTTCCCGTTTTGGCTGCCATCGGAAGCCATAAGATGTTGAATAAATAAATAAAATAAAATTGATTATTATAACACAGCATAGTGCATGCAGTGATTGCCGTCATGAAAATAGTTTCTGAAATATCCCAACCAAAGGCATGCACTGATAATTCCTACACCATGCCCAGCCGGCCTGTCACAGGCAAGATGCATGTCCAGCATGCGAAAAGGCTATTTCCATGGCAGCTATCACACTGAGCATGCACAATGCTGGAGTTCGCTCAACAGTGGCACTGAGTCTGTGCATGGTGCAAACATAGAAACTGGACAGCTGCGACTCTGCATGCCAGAGTCGCAGCTGTCCAGTTTCTATGTTTGCACCATGCACAGACTCAGTGCCACTGTTGAGCGAACTCCAGCATTGTGCATGCTCAGTGTGATACCTGCCATGGAAATAGCCTTTTCGCATGCTGGACATGTATCTTGCCTGTGACAGGCATGATGTAGGAATTATCAGTGTATGCCTTTGGTTGGGATATTTGAGAAACTATTTTCACCCTGAAGGCAGATCGCCAGATTCGCCACCTTAGGAGGGGCGGTTTAGATAGCTCTAAACCGCCCCTCTTAAAATTGGTCCCTGTCTGGCCTCGAGTCCTCCTCTGCAAAAAGTCTGAAAACCTGCTTTCGCATTTGCATTCCGAGAAACCAAGTGATCCTTTCTTGATACCCAGTGAGTCTTTTGCATCATTGCCTTTGCATTTTCGCGCTCTCGAACGTTAGCACATAAATCATTGTGCTCACGTCATGAAAACCACTTGTAGCAGATTTATAAACATCATACCACACGCTGGGTCCCATTGGACTAAATCACAGGTCGAGAGCCCATAGGCCATAATAATTATTATGAAAATTAATTCTAACTTCAAAATGCTTCTACTGGCCTAACTGGCTTTTAATGCTTTACTACCCACTCTACTCAGTATCACTACCCACTCTACTCAGTATCATTACCCACTCTACTCAGTATCATTACCCACTCTACTCAGTATCATTACCCACTCTACTCAGTATCATTACCCACTCTACTCAGTATCATTACCTTCATTGGCCTTTTATACTTTATTTTCCTTTTTAGTCGATATCATGTAATTAGGCAAATTTGCCTGTTTGTTCTTCGACTCTAAATAGACAAATACTACTACTACTACTACTACTCCTTCGAGTACTACTACTTCTACTCGGTTTACAGACAAGGCATGGCAATATCATGTGACCATGGCGACAGTAAAGGCCAACTCGAGCAGTACAGTTCTCTAGATCTCTTTCGAGGTCTGGGAATTGTTATATTTATTATGTATTCACGTTAAATAATTATCCCATCATCAAGACAAATGCATGCTTGAGTCATGAGAGTTGATCCATCCATCACAAGCACATAATATACCAACCCTGTTTGAGGCTGAGATGTTATCTTTTAAAATATAAAAAAATATAAAAAAGTTAAAAACGTATTGCTCCTATGTTTCAGAACAGCATGGTGAGCAGAAAATCCCCAGAAAGGAAGATGGGTGGCTGCTATGAGAAGTCTGAGCACAGGTCGTTGGATATTATGTTAGATCTCTGCCATTGGATATAGAGGCACCCACTCCACAGAACGCAAGCACAGCCATGTCGCTATGCGCGTCCAAACTGCACACCAAAATACATGTAACGTGTCTAATTTAAAGGTGTTCCAGTCTTCCATCAACTCCAGAGCAAGGCTTGGCATTGATCAGCCTAACGATAGGCAGCAGCGTTGATACGAACGCGAGCAGAAAGAATTCGACAAGCGTGCTCGACATATGTGTTCAGGACCTAATGGAACAGGTTCAGTGCTACACGTGGTGGTGGCGGCAAGGGCACAGCAAAACCTGCCACAGGACGATCGAAGAACCGCTTCGTCTGCCACGTTGAGTGGCGAGTTTGTGTTGGCTGACGTTGGCGACAGATTGGATTCTCGTAGACGTTCTGCCGGAGGAAACAGGGTGGAAACAATACATTCAGGATAGGGAGAAATACAATCGCCTGCTTAATGAATTGAAATCATTTGAATCGAGATGCCCCCTCGCTATGTACCTGCATTCCATTTTTCACGACTAGTCACATGATATTGCCATGGCAGCTGACAATCAAGATTTATTTAACAGGGCTGAGATAGTGAATTCTTGACCCTGATCGTAGATGAAGTTGGTTGCTCCAATGAGGAGCACACGCTTCTTGCCGAACTTGACACTTGACTGACTCACGACTGCCATCCGGAGCACACGAGGAGCACGTCGAACATTCCGCTCGGCAAACCTGAAAGAAAGCACCACTCCCTGCTCAATGCACAGTGTTTCGGGGAATTCACCCCTCATCAGTTGAGCTTGAGTAGGCTGAGGAAGATTGTGCCTGAAAAGCACCACTTATATACTGCTCTCCAGGCCAAACCATCACCAGGGATACAAACTTACAGAGACGCTTTGTTTCCAGCGCGACAAACACCTCGTGAAGCCCCAGGTAGCAGCGTGAGTCAGAGTCGCTCATGGAGTGGTGCTAAACAGACGTGAGTCAGTCAAGTGTCAAGTTCGGCAAGAAGCGTGTGCTCCTCGTTGGAGCAACCAACTTCATGACTATAACCGCCGAAGTCGCAACTTCTATGATCGTAGATGTTTGTGATATCTGCCCCGCAAGGATAGCGAATTATTGACCCTGATGAGCGTGGATGTTCGTGATATCTGCCCTGCAAGGAGACAAGTTATTGGCGATCTCTACCCACATTCTTAGAGAAAACCCTCCTTGTGAAAACCTTTATTCTAACGAGGCGCATACATAACGATTTCCTAAAATTGACTGGTTTACGTGTACCAACAGTATCTATTTCTCACTCATTCTCAACGGTCGATAGAGAGGTTCTGCACAACGAAACTGATTCGAACAAAGTTTCGTGACAGGCCTTGCGAAAGTGTGTACGAATTTTCGCACGAACTTTGCGTTCTGCACATTTTCCTAGTTTGCACGGGCCAAGTGCGCGTACGCCATGACACGATCTCACGAAATTTCCTACGAATGTTCATTTTGCGTTCCCTGCACGTTTCGCGTCCAAAGTTGCGAAAGTTCGTGCAAAGTTTCGCACTTCATGACGTAGAGCGAACGTTTGTACGCATTTTCGTTTTGCAGAACCTCTCTAATAGCAACAGTATATTATGTATCGATTTCTGTACGGTGTATCACGATTTCTATTTTGACGACAGATTTTTCCTCGTTAGAATTAGCATTTCGTTATATACATGGCTTTTATGGTAGTCTGCCGCTGACTTCGCTGGGCCGAGCAAGGATATGGTGATAAGCAATGAAGATATGTTCACTTGAAAGTTGCATGCACCATGACAAGCAATTACCATAGACTTCCCGAAGGCACTGAGTAGAAGACCTCAGTCAGTGATACCATAGGGACTTGAAATATCTGTTGGGCAGTGTATGGCTGGTGGCATATTCACGAAATTTACATCTACTGTAAAAGCCATTATTCTAACCAGGCGCATATATATAACGATTTCCAAAAATTGACTAGTTTACGTGTACCAAAGGTAACGATTCTCACTCATTCTCAACGCTCAATAGGACAGTATATGGATCGATTTCTGTATAACGATTTCTATTCTAACAACAGATTTCTACTCGTTAACTCGTTAGAGTTAGCACTTCGTTATATACATATGGCTTTTACAGTAGTTTGAAACCCGGCGGTCGGAACAATTTGGCCTGGATGTACGTGTTGACTTTTTATTTTTATTCACAACCGGGCATTCACACGGGCATGGATGCCCAGCCATCCCCGCAGTGTTTTGGGAGAATGGAAGAGGGAGAGAGAGAGAGGGAGAGAGAGAGGGAGAGAGTGCAGAGAAATGTTGGGGCATCCTCTCCGTGACACATGTCCACTTTGAGAGATTAATCTGCACATGTCTTGTTTATACCCCCTCCCCTCACATTCACAAAGCGCCAACCACGTCACGATTGAATTCAGTGTACTCGAATATGTCTCACCTTTTGGTAGAAGCACACGGAAAGAAGGGCTGGGATTGGAGGCACCAGTCTCGCTATGAGCAATGACTTGTATTTCCACTGTGCCACCTGGTGGTAGCCCCACCATATTCAGAATCGCCTGAGATGGAGAGAACGTCAACGCAAGCTGTCGCCATGCACCCGTCAATTCAACATTGACATGGTCCTCCGCAAATCTATACTGAGCAGTGTAGTGTGTGGTTCTGTTGGTGAATGCTGCCGGCACCCTGGCCATCTTGAGCTGGGCTGTGGTTGGTGTTAGGGCTAAGACTGGTCTCTCACCCCACACAGGAGTGCCTGCAACACAAATGCAGCCAATCAAGATTAATAGCATCACCAGTAGCAACGTATGTCCGATCATCCACTCTCAAACACACAATCCTCGCAGGATGCAGGGAAAGGCTAACGTGCAGGAAGTGCTAGAAACTCTGTTTAATCGAGCTGGCTATAACGGGGCCAGCAGAGACTACTTGGTCCGCGTCAGCGATATTGTCGCTTATCTTTCAGCTTTGTTTATATGTCGCCAATGCTTACTTGGCAGTCCATTTCATCCCAATTTTGGTTAGCAAGTTAGTTTGCTAGTGTTGTAACTGCCACCAATGTTGTACTCGCTTTCTCTTCCTGCTCCCAGTCCCGTGCCATCTCCACACTTGTACAAAGAGGGACGACGATAACTACATTTAGAGGACTGTTTATTGACACGACGAAGAAACACAACTAGACATGACGAACTCAAGACGAAGACATGATAAACTCAGAACGAAGACATCATGAACTCAAGACGAAGACTGCTTTTCATACCACAGCAACACGCGCATGCACCAACATGACGTACGCACGACGTACACAAAATAACGTACTACAACATAACTCCCTCCCAAGAGTAGAATCGTCCTCGATTCTAATAATAAAACAGAGTAAAAAGAGGAAAAGATCACACAAATCACTCAATCATACCACACCAGTCACACCCAGAAATAAAATACCTCTGCCTGCACTGCAGATTACAAAAACTCTGTCCGCCCACCCAGAACACCAGCCACGATCGCTGTCACACGTGTAGGAACTGATAACCTCAAAAACTCTACTTCACACAACACACCACCTCACGATCACGCAAAAATTCTAAAAATGTGAGAGCACAAATCATATGAATAACAAAAAGAACAAAATCCACTGGCTCTGTGGGGGCCTCTAGTTATCCTCATAGAAGAGCAAATAAAGAAACAAACAGAACACACGCGCTGTGCGGGCGCCTCTTTACCCTCGAGGAGAGCAAATAATAAAGAACAAAATGTTGGGAGAACAGAAAATACAAAACTCACATTCTCATCACATTCACAACAACACACGTACCCTCTCACCAACGAAACTCCTCACGCCGTCTGCCATGTCGTCCACCATCTCCAGGAGCGCTGCTCAGCGTCGACATCCTCACTTCTGCAGCCTCTTCTTCTTCTCTTCACCTTCCATCCTTCTTTTTTCTTTTCTTTTTCAGGTTTTCTGGGCACAGTTTTACGTCGTGTCCGGGACCACCAGTGACGACGACTGACGACGACTGACAAGAGACGGGAGAGACGAATGATGAAGGACGAGAACGACGGACGAACTTCTTCAAGACGGACAAAACTGTGACGATAGGACGACTGGAGATGACATCGGAAACTGGGAGCGAAGGCCACGCAGGACGAATCCAGAAGTTGAAGTGTACAACAATTTCCATTACCGCTGCCACCAATGTTGTAACTGCCACCAATGTTGTACTCGCTTTCTCTTCCTGCTCCCAGTTCCGTGCCATCTCCACACTTGTACAAATGGACGACGATAACTACATTTAGAAGACTGTTTATTGACACGACGACGAAACACAACTATACATGACGAACTCAAGACGAAGACACCATGAACTCAAGACGAAGACATCATGAACTCAAGACGAAGACTGCTTTTCATACCACAGCAACACGCGCATGCACCAACATGACGTACGCACGACGTACACAAAATAACGTACTACAACACTAGTACCTGGAAGGTCTAGCTAGAGTTCGAGTGGATTTCGAGAGCGACAGGTGGGTGATTCTGATTGATACAGCGCCGCATCAAAATAGATTATCTTTTTACGCTGTGCAGGCAAGAGCAGCGCAAGCCACAAGAAAGTAATCGACTACTCGGAATCAGCTTCATTTTGCTGAACGGCCGAGATCGCTCACCTCAGGGATCGCTCCTCAAGCTAAGATCGCAGCTCCCTTACCTCCAGCTCAACGCTCGGAGTATCCAGCGCGTCGTGAAGATTTGCAAGTACTGTACGCGTCGTCGTCGTTCAAAATAAAATCTTGCAAAGAACGGCGTCTGATTTGAACCACACAGGCTGTCGTGTTGCCCACGCGAAGTCCTAGAGAAGGCGACCGTCACGATCGACTTCTCTTTAGAAAATAGCCAGGCAGCGGAGAGGAAGAGAGATGAGCTTGCAAAAGCAAGAGAGTCGATCCCGAGCAAAAATATTTGTCGCCAGCGCCGAGAGCAGCGACGAGGAGGACCGAAAAAAGTAGGAACCCTTCCTTGGACAATAAATTCCTCGCAGCTATTTGTCATTCTATACCTTACCGTCCATCCTACCAAGTTTTATCACTTCAAGTGCACGCGTTCATGTCCAAAGTCTAAGTTCAAATTGTCGAAAGATAAGCGACAATATTGCTGACGCGGACCAAGTAAGTCATGTACAAAAGTTTGAAACATCTGAAATGTCATTGCACATGGAAGGATGAAGATCAGCTACCTGAAATTGAGCCGAACCCATAGGTCATACTTCAAAATTTGACACACACACACCATTTGATGGTGCCAAAACATTCCTATTAACCCTTTCACTGCTGCAGGGTTGTGCACACAGGCTCTGGAAAAAATCCGAAAAATAGGGCCGATGGCCAACTCCACTACGTTATGGTTCAGGCAACTGGGTCGGTGAACTTTTGGGAAATGAAGGCCAAAGCTACCAACATCACACTGACAAACTCAATAGGTTCCCCCAAAAGAGGTACAAAGCTGTATAGGACACGTAAGTTTGCTGAATTTGCCTAAAATACGGCAAAGTCGGCAATTGCAGTTGAAATACCAGACGAAAAAAGGGAAAAAAGAGACGCAGAACGTAACCAAGCGGGATCCGTACCCGCAACCTCTCGTACATGAGGCAGGGACTGTACCAACTGACCAGCAGTGACTACACACGTGAGGAGAAGACTAAAACCGGGTATTTATACCATGACGTACATGTACGTCATCAGAGCCTGGACGTCATCTAGGATGACGTACATGTACGTCATCCGCGGTGAAAGAGTTAATGACTGCTTACCTGATGCCAGTGTCTTTGCAGTCCTAGTTGAGCTGGTTGGTGACAGCTGCATACCAGGTATGTGTTCATACTGAACAGTGAATTGGAAGAAAGACTCGGCTGACAGTGGTCCAATGCGCACCGGTATGTACTTGCGCCCGCTGTCCGTGAGCGAGGTTTGAACCTTGCTGCCAATGCCGTTGCTGAGAGTGAAGCGCATCACCGAGGTCCACTCCGACCACAGGCTTAGCCTGGACAGCCAGCTACGCATGTTGATGACGTAGCGTACATTGGTATCAGATACCACTGGTACGTTGACTACAATAGACGAGGAGTCGGTCATGGCTATGTCTAATCCATTCATCAGCCATATGGGAGCACCTATAAAGGCAAGCCAATACAATAGAGAACGGCTCAAATACGACACTTCCACCAGATATGGGATTTTCAGGAGTATACAGCCCACTCAGGTATTTCATTCACCCCTTCCTGCCCTATTCGGCCAATGCATTACCTTGTGGAGCTGCATGTGTTAGGTGAGTGTTAGGTCCATTGCTTACTATCAGAAGCGGAAGCCAAAGCCCGAAACCATCAAATTGCTTTAATTTCAAGTGCACTCACTATCACATCAGTTTGGATGCTTCCCACAGCTGCATGACTAGTTGAGCCCCGTATTGAGCCACAATATCGATTAGCACCGCAACTCACTCTTCCAAGGATAAATCATTGCTTTCTCCAAAACATACGAAAACAAATGACCAGATCACCAGCATCGAAAACACAATTTTTCCAGAGTTACATGCTAGTACTGATACAGCGCTTGTACAGTCAGACCTCGCTTATCCGGCCCTCTTTTATCCGGATCCCTCGCAAACCAGAAGAAAGTAGCTGGTTACAGATTTACAACATACGTGATGCATCCAACATAACTGGTGTTCAGTAATCCGGTTCGCTCGCCTATCCGGATATTGTTTTGTGGAAAACGGATGTGTGCGGTTAAGCGAGGTCTGACTGTGTTTCCCATAGCTCTGATACGAGAGACAGCCCAGAGATGTCCACGGAGAATCATGCTTGTTCAACCACCACATGCTAGCATACTTCACAGCATTAGACAAACAGTATTTTACACCGACTGCATGTAACCTATTTAGAAAACCGCACACAGCACCAATCTGAATTACACTGTACAACCATACCACTGCACGGGTTGTAGGAGCTTCGTAGTGTTCGCTTTATTTGCTCTAGATGTACTCCACTTTAGTAAGTCGGTAGCCCAACAATTGAATGACGCTGAAATAAATCGTCAGGCGAAATAGCACGTCATAGTACATTCGAGATCAGCGGGAAGAAGATGACGACGTCCACTAATTTAGTATCTGTGCACACGAATCTGCTGTGTGTGTTACTCTGTGTGTCAGCTATGGCATCATTGCCTGTGGTTCCATACCTAGCATGTACGTCTGAACCATCTTGCAAAGTTTAAATGACGTAGGTTGAGCGATCGCTCCGCGAAACATACTTTTTGAAATTCTCTTCATAGTATATCTTCCACCATTGAAATTTCGGATTTCTTCGAATTTTTTGCTGAGAGGGGTGGCTTGCAACCTCGATATGGCTTGTTCCAGGCATGCTTTGGAGCCATCACCTGTTGAAGTAGTGGCGGGGATCTGCCCTGCAACTGCTACAACAAAAAATGATTCGATCTGAGAAAGGGTGAGACCGCGAATCTCGGTTGAATATTGAGTATTTCAAGCCTTTTTACGACGAAGATGGAGTTCTTTTTGGAGATGGACGTCGCGGCAAAGGACATGGTGTCCGACTTCTGGCGTCTGGTGAAGCCAGGGATCATTTGTCCAGTCAGGTCGGCCGCCTAACCGTCGGTAAGCTTGTGTTTGGATCCCGTTCTGCTCGATGTGGTAGATCACAAACAATTTTGATATTGCACAAATTGATCTCAGCATCGTGCGTACGGTATTTTATATTCAGAAAATCCCAAAGTGTCTCTGTGTGGCCGTCCTATGCCACGAGAAACTCCAATCAGGCTCCTATGTCCTCTGCCTTCATGATTGAATGTCCACTTCGTTTGAACAACGAACACAACAATCGAGGACGGCTTTGCAATGAAAAATACAGCTATACTGGAGCTGAAAAAAAGAAGAAAAAAACGTGCTCAGGATGAGACTCGAGTACACGCATACTCTCCCAGCAGGTGAAACGCATTTTTTTGTGAAAAATGCGTGTCGCCGACTGACCAGTAATTTCGCCTGACGTTAACTGATGGACGCAGTGCCAAACGTTGCAACCAACTCTGAGAGTTGATACAGATATATAACCCTACCTGCGGCGAGTGTTCTTGTTGTCCATGCAGAGCTAGTCGTCTCGCCTCCTCCATTCACCGTGGCTTGAACGCGAATGTCGTATCTAGTGTCCGGCAGGAGGTCAGATATGGTGGCCTTAGCAACGTCAGGCAGCACAGGCCCTACGCCGGGCTGCCATCCGCTGGGCGAGCGTGGTCCATAGCCCTGGTAGCTGACCATGTAGTACTGAGCGGAGATACCGGAACTTGTGTCGATCTTGGGTAAGTTTATTGTGATCGATGTGGCGGTTCGGTCAGCAATGGACACTATATTCCACACTGGAACACCTGTAGAGGGCAGAACAGTTTGCAAAGAGCCGAAAGCAAGATGCTGAAAACAAAGCAACAGTAAACGTTGAGGCGAATAAGTGGTAAACCGGACAGCAATGTATACCTTACAGTCCATTCAGAAGCAATTCAGCTCTGGCCTTTGGGAAACCCAATTTATGCCAAATTTGGCTCAAGATCCACAGCGGGTTGTGGCGTCCCTACGGATGCGGAAAACTCCGCCTCCAGCCGAGTCTGATACGAAACGTGAACCGTTTATACCGTAAAATCCCGCCAGAGCGCCCTTACCTCCTCGACGCTTCAGGTGGGGAGGGGCGGATGGGCGAGTCCTACTTGCCGCATTCAGTGCTACATGAAAAAGTACTCACCCTACGAAAACTGTTCGTGCATCTCGTACACCGACCAAAGGTCAAGAGCCACGAGTCAAACAGACCCGTCAAAACTCGGGTTTGTGCGATCCCTGGTCAAGAGGGTGGGCACTGTTGCGTACACTTCCAACGGGGTTGAGAACGCGTCTGCAGTACAGTACGGCATCACAGACTGCGACCGAGATACGAGAAATCACGTCCCTGACAAGAAGTCAGGGAGGGGCGGATAGGAGAGACGGGGCGCTCTGGCGGGATTTTACGGTATTCGTATTTTCTTTTCTTAGGCTCAAGATATGAGAGGAATTGAGCCGGAAATGAGTTTGAGATAAGCACGCCCGTATATTTGTTGATGCTGAAGGCAGCCAAAAATAATACATATTTTTTTGTCATGATCCTATTTGAGAGGAGTAAATGGCCAACATCCAGGATTCCACACTAGATTACTGGAAATCTGAGAAATTCAACCATTGATCCAAGCCCGAAAAATCAAGATCTTTTACAGTGACTTACATGTACATGAACTATACAGTACAAACATAATGTACATGAATCTCGGCCGCAACTCACCTGCGCTAGGTGTATTGAATGAAAGCACAGAACTATACTGAAGTGGTATCAGTCCAGCATAGCCGCGCACCCGCAGTTGATACGTACGGCTTGGCCTCAGGTCTTGCAGACGATAGCTCCTGATGCGCAACGGAAGTCGCACAATGGACCTCCACGATGAAAAGGTGACACCGTCAGCAGTCAAGTAGCGTAGGTACACCCTCATCTCTGTTACATTGTACTGAGCAGCCACCGTGGGTACGTTGAAGATTACTGATGTGCGGCGTATTTCATGAGGGGGCAACGGCATGCCAGGAAACTGGTAAACTAGTCATAGAGATGTACGGGAAAATAGCACAGAAGTGGACACAGACATGTTCTCGTTATACATTCGACACTCAGAAGGAAGACTTAGTATATGTAACTTGATAACGACTGTTTGTTTTAAATCACAAAGCTGAACATAGGGCATATACAATTCTGTGGCCTGCTTCAGTGGATTAAGTTACCATTGACCCGCTCACCTTCCTCAGGTAGCTGTATCTCTAATACAGGACTGTCCACGGTTGTAAGTGATCCTACGCGAATCAGATGGCTTGTGACTATGACTTGCAGCATGGCACTCCTAGGTATATTTGGGATTTCCAGATTCCTCTGCGTGACTTTTATCTTCCCGCCAATTTCCCGCCATCGACTCCAGGTGCTTGATCTGCGATAGCGATACGCGACGGAGTAGTGGGCCACTAGGCTAGTGTCGTTGGCGTTCACCTTTGCAAGGCGAAAGACCGCTGATACGGGAGAGCTCAGCGCCTCCAAGAATGCACTGTCTGGCCAAAGTGGAACACCTGTAGCAAACAAAAGCGAACAACACCATGCACACATACTGTTGTACAGTTGCCAGAAGTAAATTCGGGGTGGATGGAAAACATTACTGGACCATGATCGATGAGGACTGAGCCCCTTCATGTTATGAAACGATGTTTTGTTTTCCTGTGTGATGACATTCCCCAAACTGTCTTCGTCTAGTCGCGTGCATTTGTGTTATGAGCATGCGCGATGTTGTAGTCGAGGGTCCCTTTGTCAGTCTTCTTGCTCGGCCGTCATGCCACAGTCCCTGGTTTCCGTTATGTAAATAATAATAATGTAACGAAACAAATACCCTGGGAACGAATTGGCTGTGATTCCGTAACATGCACATTCACAATGAAATCATGCAGAACAAAGTGACACCTGTCTCGTGATCTGCCCTTGGCTAGGAAAGTGTGCATGAAATCTAGTTGAAGAAAAAAACTTTAAAAAAAACAACCATGTTGTTGTTGTTGTTTTTGTTGCTGTTGTTTGAATTCTTTATTCTCACGATGGCACCATCGCCAATAAGAGATTGTTGTTGTTGTTATTGTTGTTGTTGTTGTTCTATTTTAATTTGCAGAATGAAACGGGTAGCAAGCCCAATTACATGAGAGCAAATGGGCATAGTGCGTGCATATAAACATCACAGAAGGAGGGATATAAGAGAATGCAAGGAGATGAAGTTCAGAATCAACTTTTCATATTAAAAATGTCTCTCCTATGAATGGTGCAGACATATTACCACACTCTAACAGGAATTAACATTTCACCGCAGCACATTTAGTTCATAGCGCACCATAATCATACACGTCAAGCAAATGCCATAAAGTACCTTCTGCCAAAGTCCTGGCCTCGACGATATCAAGATCACCTAGGCTCCGCGAGTTGGCGTCACTGCCATTCAGCAAGGCAGTGAACTGGTAGGTGGTCTGTGGCCGAAGACCTTTGATAGTGTACACACCGGCCTGACATCCCTTGAGAGCACAGCTTGCCACATCGTTCAAGTAGCCCGGTACTTGTGTCCACGGCAGCCAATCCTGTAGTTGCAGAACATGCTCCCTGATCAGTAGGTTAGCATTGCTAGTGAGGTTGTGTGGCAGGCGCAAGGAGATAGAGAAGGGAGTGGTGCGTGGCTCATCCACTGCACTGCTTGGCCACCTGAACACAGCTGAGCACCACATACAGTATACACTTAGCTGCATTACAATCATTGACATGGCGTGGATCACTCTGCATGCATGCATGGTATGGCAAAGGTAACACTTCGGTGATGGTAGCCTATAATCAATTCTTACCATAGAAGCAAGAATTTTAAGAGCCAGCTTGTTATAATGAGCTCAATATAGGACATCTCTGCCTATATCTCCCCAGCCAAAGTCACCCAGGTTTATATGTACTCTGGACTGTCACAAACAAGCACAATCAATCATCGCAGCATGCCGCATTCAACTGATGAAAGCCTGAGCAACATTGTGCAATAAGAAATGAATTCAATTCATGAAGTAGGATACATAAAGATAGCCCATAGTCTGACTGTAGGGTGAGGAGGTGTCAGAAACCTCTTTGTTTCAGTGAGCTCGAGATGAACATAATGAGGCCGAAGCTCATATGCTCTCCCTTGCTGCCATTCCTCCCCAGCCAAAGTCAGGTATTCAACCCCAAAGGTGTCTACTGGGGCAAGGTTGTAGCGCTTCATGAGGAAGCACAATTTGGTGTAATTCCACTGGACCACTCGCCTGTTTTATGTTTCTAAAACATAAACATAGCTCAGTTGGTTAGAGCGTTGCTCATGACAAGCAAGGTCCCGGGTTCGAGTCCCGGTGGGTCTGGCATAGTTTTCTCTTTCCAGCAAGTTCACTTCCCCAACTGATCCATCAACCAATAGAACGATATTCTCTAACTCTCCCTGTGCGTGCATGGGGGTATCTAGACTGTGACTTCTCAGCACACATGACACATACTCACTTTGTGTAACAGCGGGTAGGTCTATCGGGTCTGATTCTGTGGTCACCGAGCGATCTGGCTCTGTCGGGCTTGTCGGCAGGATTTCCTGTGAATGCGTGACTGGAAACGTAGAGGGAAACGATGTGGGCGGGGATGTTACATCACCGGGAATGCCTGGCCGGTTTGGTTCTGAAGAAAAGCAACAAAGAAAAGACAGAGTGCATCATTATAACATTACATGCAAATACACATAAGTCATTGGGAGATATCATCGCCCGTGTAAATGGTGATGTACTTCAGTGGCACCGTAATCGAATTTTCGTGTTTTGCTTGACTGACACCAGTTTGACTCATCGGAGTTGATAGGCACATACCCCACAGGAAAATCGTTGTTCACACCCCCATTGATCAGGGTTGCATACACAGCTAATAGAAGGGTATGATTTTGTGAGAACCGCCGTACACTACTCCTGGGTCATTGAACATGCCCACTCAACGTATGAGTGGATATGCTGTGCGACTCACACATTGTTTTACAAGAACACACTATTTTCCATTAACTTCGCCCAACTTGCTGTATTTATTGAAAACGACATGCCGCACAAAACTGGGGCTTTTCAATTGCCCCGACCCAGCTAGGAATCGTTGATCCCGAGACGTTTGCCGGAAATTTGAGTCTATAATTATTATACTGCACCACACAGGCGCATCACACGTGGCATCTACACAACCACTGTTGTCCAATTTTCTTGTTTTATGTAGGAATGAGCTTGATGACTTCTCACAAAACGTCAGGTGCGACGGTGACCAGTTCACAAACGAGTAAATTCCTCGGTTACTGTGATAATGAATCGGAATACCTTTGCCACATTCAGAACTAGTCTGTGCTAACCACTTACCAACGTTGCTTGATCTATGAGCTGTCCTGTTAACGTCTTGCAATTGCCGAACCTGCAAAAAATAGAGGAATACGGAATGGACTCTCCAGCAAAACCCTATCTGCTATCGCTGAGTGCTAAAGCAGCCTTAGAACCGGTATCTCCACGGGAAACCCCCTCGAAATTCTCATCGGTAATGATGCACTGGATGTGAGAATCAGCCGAGAAAGCAGCATGGCATGGTAGAGGGCTCTGTTAGCAATCCGTAGCAGCACATCACGGTGAATGTCTCCAGCATTTTCCTAATTTCTTACCATGTCCTTGAGTTCCTGTCGCAGCCATACCACCTCATTCACAAGAGCTTGGTAATCTTCTTTCTGTAGCCAGACTGGAAACAAGGAGCGGGTTGGACTGTATGCAAAACAGGTATATGTATTGACTGTATCGAAAAAATTACACCTGCACACACCACAACGTAGGATATTTTAGGCAGAATTGCATCAGTGACCGGGGATAATCTAGCATACAGCAGTACATGTGCAAACTGTAGGGTCACCACTCATAGTCACAACCCATCTAGTACGGGGGCCAGATGCCCAAAATGTTTACTTTCGTTGCAGTTGAGAGCGCACAACTTTTTGAGAGTTTCAATGTGTAGAGGGGACCACAAGGAGCTCAACGATATATTTTTTTACCCTCGAAACGTGATGGAAGGTGCTGAAATTAGCCGTTGAAGTTTAGTGCATGGTAACCATGGCAACTGCATAGCAACACCATAGCAACTACTGTTTTATTCTTGTTTTTAGCCTACAGTAATGTTCTAGAACGATTGAATGACTCAAATCAAGTTAACACGATCTGGAATGAAGACCATTGGGATATATACAGACTGCAGGAATGCCAGAAAGGAATATAAAAAAGCATAATACTCTTACGTGTACATTGTCCATGGATGTGTATGTAATGTAGATGTACGTAATTGAAACTCAATCTCATGCTATAGTGGCAGTTAGTTGCCCAGATCACTGGCCCTGTTCTGGCAGCTATCTGCAGCGCTGCATCCACAAACATCAGTGCAATGCAAAGACTGTGCTTTGCAGGAGCAGCGGCCTCCGTCACAGCCTGTTTTGCAGCCGCATTTAACGAACTCCATCAGGGCTTTGGGAGCAGGCTCCAGAGACAACCAGTCAACCTGGAGCTTGCCGTCCACTAGTTTCCAGCCTTGGTGAGCAGTGAATGGAGGGGGTATGTCAGGCTGAGCCTCCAGTGACTTCCTCCAGATTGCAGCTTGATAGTTAGCTCTGGCGGTGTGTTTCACCAGAGCGTCTTTGCATGGTGGAAGACGGCTTGAGTCTCTTGACGCATCGACACTGGAAAACAGGTCATACCTTGCCTCGTTGATGTCCCACAGAGCTGGCCTGTCGTACAGTATGCAGGTGTACCGCTCAACAGCAGAAAAGGTACTTGGTGACAAGTTGAAACTATTTCCAAGAGCAGACATAGCGGCACGGGCCAGAGTTCCCTTTTCTCCGTCGGAACGGATCAGCTGGTATGCCGTTGACTTCCCTCTACCATGAAATGCGCTGACGGTGTCGCATCCGGTGAATGAATGCATTCCCAGCAAGGCACTGCAAGTGAGCTGCCCAAGTTCATCACCGATACCTTTGATATCCACCAACCTGGAGTTCCGTCTGGAGCCACTAAGAAATATGAGGCTGGTAGCTGAGGGGAAAGAATGACTCAGGCAGCAAGCCAGGACAGCAACATCGGTGTCAGGTGACTTAATGGTGACTGACAAGTACCTGTAAAACAGAAAAGCATTCATATCGCACTGAAACGTTTTAGGGAAATACTTCACATATTTATGTATCTCTTCCATTATTATGGAAGAGATAGGGTAAGAGTTAATATATATTTACAGACAACCAATGATTTCCCCGATCCGTGTCACACCATGCATGCGCATAATCTTTTCAATGCACTCTTAGACCACATATTATACCATAATTAGGCACTTCATACTCGGGACTTGACACAGTACTCCACATCAGCAGTGCATAGCCAGTCCAAGACAAACACAAGACCAAAGTCATTGCATACCCATTATCAGCAGCGTGTTTCCCGTGAAGGAGGAGACGTGTGTCGGCTTCTTCATGTGTGCACTTCAAATCAAGGCATGGTGTCGCTGCCATTGCCACACCGTCAGCTGATGTTAGTCTCGTGCATTGCTCTCCAGAAGTGACATATAGCTCTTTTCCGGAAACCTCGGCTGCATACTTGTCATTGCACCATTCCGTGACGAGGAAGGAAATAAGCTCAGTTTTATTCTGGCTGACACTGAGGAACTTAGACCATTGTGCTGGGATTTGCTGAAGGCCACTTGATATGTGTTGTCGTATTTGCTCCCTGTCTCTAGCTCTGCGGTTGCGCTCAATGTTCTTAATGGACAGAACAGGGTACGTGTCTGCCACGAAATCAATGCGATTGTACTGGCAGAAGTTCCGGGACACACTTCGGAAGATGTGATATGCAAGGTCAGAGAAGGTTGCAGGTAGTGATTTCTGGCTCATGGCTTGCAACATAGCCATAGCATCAATAATGAGAGCACTTGACTCAGATGGAGTATTTCCGGGTGGACTTACACCATCAGAAACCTTCATGAGCAACTGGAGCAGTGCAGACTTGTTAGTCTTCACCAGTGTGCCATCTGAGGTACAGAGAGATAACGGTGCTGATCCCAATGGGTACGAGAGAATTTGACGAACATCCATGTGGCGACTCTGGGCAATAACAGCCATCTTGCTGAAAAGAGCGCAGTCGGCACGCAATACAGATACTGCTTTGCTCTGGCTGGTTGGCGTTCGTGACTTTCTGTTTGAGAATGTTTCGAGCTTCAATTTTGGAATGGGATCCAGGAACATCTTTTCCTGTGCCGCAAGTCTTTCTTCAACAAACTTGCGGAAGGCTACCCGGCCACGATCTTCAGCCTCGAGCAGATCGTTTGCAGCACTGCTTGAGCATGATAGGCCAGAAGATAGTCCCACCAAATCTTCATCGCACGAAAGACTATTGTCAAAGGGGTTAACCCACCCTGACACAGTTGATTCCACCTTCTGAACATCACACTCATCTCTGACAATTCGTGTTTGTTGGCATTCAGTGTGAAACGATTCTGCTCTCTTAGTTGCTTCATCCAGTCCACAGTGCTCCATGCAGACGTCGGTTATCCGTGCTCGATCATGTGAGGATACAATCCAACGGTGGACAGCTGAAGGTGATCTGCTGATGCCGACTATGCCGCCAGATGTCTTGGAGGCCCGGTTGATGGTTTGTTCAATTGCCATGTCAGAAGCGATCTGCGCAAATGCATTGCCACTTCGCTGAACAGCAAACCCACCATCCGTCAGATACTGCAATGCAGCAGGATGATCCTCATGGAGTCTAAGCATCTGGAGCCAGTAGTAGCTCATGTAGCGGGAGTAATTGTGCCTGTCATATGCAAAGCACCAGGGTAGGATAGATCGAAGGCAGGACATGTGCAGTTGCCAATTACCGGTACGAATAGAACGGATAAAGTCCAGCATCAGGGATACGATTGATATGTAGCTCGACCAGAACTTGAACATTGCCGACCCTTCAGATTGCTGTGAGGAGAAGCTTGTGTACATCTCGTACAAGGACTTCACGTCACTAGACTGCGTGACACGACTGACATTGTCATCCGAGATGCAATTCTGGAGCTCTCGAAAACCGTCTATCACTTGCTCCGATGATAGCTTGGCCAACTCAGCATCAGTCAGAGAATCAATGAAAGAGCGCCACCTTAAACGATCCATAGCTTCCGCCACAATCTTATGGAAGCGAACCCCACGGTTGTATTGCTTTCCTGACAATGCCAAAGAAGCTGTAGCTGAGCCGGCGACCTGTGCCTCAACAAGCAGATCTACCAAGCCAGCATCCATGAAACGCTTTCCAATGACGGACAGGAGGGTCATAGTGATGTGGAAGCCGCCCATGCGCAGTATAACTGTACGGAACTCCTCAGGTCTCTGCAGCACAATGTCAACTGCCTTTGCATAAATAGCCTGGTCCAAGACAACCATGGTAAATGGTAGATTGGCCTGTTGGGCCATCGCCACGGAACGGCACAGCAACGTGTACACGGTTAGATTTTCAGTTGGCGATGCATTGATCAGCGGGCAGTAACCAATAGCTGCTTTGGGCGGCACGCTGCTCTTGGTAGCAAGTACATTGAAGGCTGTCCACGCGGGGACAGTTTGCCGAGTCTCGTTACTAACTGAGGTGTTGTCAACAATGGAATGTGGCTTGAAAACATTGCCATCTGTAGAGATCCGGGACAGCTTCCACACAAAGTCAGTCATTGCAGCATCCATATGAACTCCTGCAGTGTGCACAAATGCAGTGTCAGGCAGCGACAGAGAAGCTGGGTTCAGGCGGGCGGGGATGGCTAATATCGGCATTGGTTCTTCAATTACCAACACAGACCGCTTTCGCTTTGTGGCACTCATGGCAGGTAGGGCTGGCTTGGCTGCAGTGCCTGTTGAATTCGGCTGCACAACGATTCCATTCGTGCAATGTGTTGTTTCCAGGCCACTAAGTGTCTCCTCGCAGAGATCGTTATTATCCCACACAAAATGATACACACCGCCCGTGTTTGTCGCATTAATAACTGCGGGCAGAAATGCATGGTCTTGATGGTGTTGGGTGAATATTTCTGCCAGTCTTGTCTCCATCTCCAATACTTGGCTGTAGCTACAGCAATATCCAAAGCGGTTCAGTACTGAAACCAGCAATTTGCTGCGGCAGATGTGGTGAATTGCCATGCCAAGCACGATATGTTTGGGTGTGCGGCAGCCAGTTGCAGCAAACATAACATCCTGGCTCAAAGCTAATACTCGGCGCGCTACACCATCAGGGAGAGACGTTATTCTTGATGTTGAAAACTCTGCATCCCTATCGCAAATCCACGCTAACAAATTGAACAGTTGATCAGGGACCAAAGCTGCGCTATCCATAGTAGACAGTTGCGTGGCATCGTGCTTTACTGCCTTTGCGCTGCACTCCACGGCTTGCCTTAGCACTCTTGCAGCGTGGAACAGCAACCTGAAGTCTTCCTGCGCATTGCGCTTTTCACAAGCACTTGCACTTGTATCACTGGCTCGGCTTACTTCCTCTTCCGCATCACTGCAGTCAGACACTGGATGCGTATTCTCCTCACTTTCTTTCAGCAACGCAAGTTGCCGAATCAGACTGTCTGTTGCTTCAACAGCATATAGCAGCTCAGGTGAATTCAAACGGTCAGGCCTGACAAACTTTACGCTTTCATCGAATTCATGCATAATTATATTCTTCAGCTTTTCACCTCTGACATCATCATCGCAACTCACGCCTACCTCAGTACAACAGGTTTTGTATAGTGCCTTCAGGTCAGCTGTGGAAAGAAGAGCGGTCTTATCAACTAGTTGTTCGTGGACTACTGCAAGGAAGCTAGCCAACACTTGCGCCTCTCCACCTGTACTGTCCGATAAATCATTGTCATTTTTGTCTTCCAAAACTCGCGTGTAGTGGCGGAAGCAGTCACGATGGTAATGTACCTCTCGAGCAATCAGGCATGAAAGGGACCCAATAGCAATTCGAATTGCGTTGTCCTCTCTTACCTCGGCTGCATCAAGCACTTTCTGGGCTGCGTTGAGAGATTGGCACTGAGATGTCTTTTGGTACTTGTGCTTCTTTCCAAGCAACAACTTTCGACAGAAAATGCAATCTTTCCGTCCTGGCTCGACGACGGGAGCAGAGACGCTTTGCCGAGTTGCCCTGGGTGTATGGTTGCCCTCCGACATCCCGGCACCTCCACAAGCATCAGAAAACTCACTCGTTCTCCAGTGTAACATACAGACACTGTGAAAGATTTACTTGACATTCAAGCAAAAGACAACGGTCCATGAGCAAGCTAGCCTTGATAATGGATGATGGTGCCAGATGACCGTCGTGAAACTCACATTGTTGGTGATAGAGGTGCAGCCTCTTCGTAGTGCCAAAACCGCTACATGCGTGTCAACAATACAAGGACTGACTCGGAAGTCGATGAGAGGAGAGAGAGTCAGTCGGGACATACCACATCCTACTCCACTTTCGAAATTGCTGCCCGGGCCCTTCGTGGTGCCGAAACCATCACCTGCGTGTCAACAATACCGGGACTGAAGTTTTGTGCAGCGGGCCTGCACTGGGGTTGTGTAGGGAAGTCTCATCGGTCTTGACAAGTCATTATTTTACGACATCCAGGGCATACCGCACTAATGCTAGTAATGGCCGAGTGGAGGACAAAATCACCTCGTTCGGGACCTTCCATTCACTTTTCGAAGCGGTTTTTTTTAGGTTTCATGTCTGTATTACCCCCGCTATGACTCTGTGGTGTCAAATTGTTGTGCGCTAAAAGTCGGAACGAAACTTTTTTTGAAGCACTTTTTTCAGCCCTGGCCCCCGTACTAATCCCCATAGTATCTTTATGCACACCCATACACCCATACACCCATACACCCATACACACATACACACATACACACCTACACCCATACACACATACACACATACACACATACACACATACACACATACATACATACATACATACATACATACATACATACATACATACATACATACACACATACGTCCAGTCCACAATAGCATGCGGTACAGATGTCGTATGTTTTTGAAGTGGGGCTGGTCTTCCATCACCACCTTTCCAAAATATGCACGACATCATTTCAGGACCTTTCTGTGGATTTACTTCAAATCCTGAGAAAATTTAGGGCTCACAAGCTACTAAACGCCTCAGCCAGTGCCGTAAAGTACTGTTGATCCGCCCCTGCTCTAATTCCCGCCCCGCTCTAATTTCCGCCCCGCACTTATTACCGCCCCGCTCTAATTCTCGCCCCGCTCTAATTCCCGCCCCGCACTTATTACCGCCCCGCTCTAATTCCCGCCCCATGTGGAATTTCTGCCTGTGAAGCGAGTCCGGCGTATACAACGAAATACGATGTTGAACCGACGCATGTACCGCTGTACACAATACGTGCGAGTGCAGGGTGAAAATGTACACAATCAAGCATCCCAGGTCTGATCTTCTGCTTTGTTGTACATCGTACTACACTTGAACGACTTGATCTAATTCCCGCCCCCTGCCGAAAAACCAGCTGGGAAGCGACACGGCGTGGGGGCGGATCAACAGTACTTCACGGTATTGCTGAAAATACGGAACAAAATAGGTTTGCTACGTACAGTGGCTATTGAAGGCATACATCAGTATAATTCAACACTGTGGGTGCATGCCACATGGTCTAATCACAAGCAAACCCTCACCGGGTGAGGGGCATACCATTCTCGCATTGTTCACCGTCAACGCCGACTGGGCAGGAGCAGATATATCCGGTCACGGACAGTCGAGATTCCTGACACGTGCCGCCGTTGCGGCATGGACGCGAGTCGCACGCACTTGATGGCACCCCACCTTCAAGGACAATAAAGACACAATACATCATAGTCTTTTATATGGGCACACAGGCGGCTTACTTCAAAGTGCTGGAAGGTGCTATGGACTTCACACGACATGTTGCACTACAGGTGTTGCACATCTGAGCATATGAACAGCACTCGAATTTGTAGTAGTAGAATTGCATGCCCAGCCTCAAGGAACTCGGTAAAGCTGAGCTCAGTCGAGAGAGATCTAGCTGCATGAGTTGTAGATCACGCGATCAGTACATGCACTGTTCAGAAGAACTACCTGCGCCTGTGTGGCGCACGTCGGCCTGGGAATCTCACTTTTGGTCTCGCCTTATGAGGAATGTGTTAGAAATGCTAAACAAGCACCATTCGCCCCATCCAGTGATGAAAACAAGTGGAGGTATAGGTGAAAATGCATCAACATTGTGAAGCCAAAAATGGCGAGCCGCATTGAAGCGGTGTAGTGGTGCAAACCTGATGAGGGTATTTTCGCCGAAACGTAACAATTGACCGCATGATGCAAGCGAGCAAGAATACTAAGATGGTACTTGGTCCGCGTCAGCAATATTGTCGCTTATCTTTTGACAATTTGAACTTAGACTTTGGACATCAACGCGTGCACTTGAAGTGATAAAACTTGGTACGATGGAAGGTAAGGCATAGAATGACAACTAGCTATGAGGAATTTATTGTCCGAGGAAGGGTTCATACTTTTTTCGGTCCTCCTCGTCGCTGCTCTCGGCGCTGGTGACAAATATTTTTTCTTGGGATTGACTCACTTGCTTTTGCAAGCTCATCTCTCTTCCCCTCCGCTGCCTGGCTATTTTCTAAAGAGAAGTCGATCATGACAGCCGCCTTCTCTCTAGGACTTCGCGAGGGCAGCACGACAGCCTGTATGGTTCAAATCAGACGCCGTTCTTTGCCAGATTTTATTTTGAACGACGACGACGACGCGTACAGTACTTGCAAATCTCCACGACGCACTAGATAAACCGAGCGTTGAGCTGGAGGTAAGGGAGCTGTGATTTCAGCTTGACGAGCGATTCATGAGGTGAGCGATCTCGGCCGTTCAGCAAAATGGAGCTGATTCCGAGTAGCAGATTACTTTCTTGTGCGTCGCGCTACTCTTGCCTGCACAGCGTAACAAGATAATCTATTTTGATGTGGCGCTGTATCAATCAGAATTACCCACCCGTCGCTCTCGAAATCTATTTGAAATCTAGCTAGACCTCTCAGGTACTAGTAAACTAACTTACTAACCAAAATTGGGATGAAATGGGCTGCCAAGTGAGCATTGGCGAAATATAAATAAAGCTGAAAGATAAGCGACAATATCGCTGACGCGGACCAAGTAGCAGAGTGATCGGGAAATAGCAGGTCTGCTCGACACCAGAAAAGAAGTTTGGGTGGACACACCCATTCCAGTCTCACCGCAAATCTGAACCAATTCCATTATTAAACAACGTTTCGGCACATGGACATCATCAGGCAACATAGACTGGAATGGGTGTGTCCACCCAAACCTCTTTTCTATTATGAAGCTGCAGGTAGCCTCAAGAGGAGGATGACTTCTTCTGCACTACACCACTTTCTCTAAATGATAAATAAATGTCACCAGCATCGACCGGTACTGCATCTATATGATACTTGTACTCACCATCGGCGATGCACCTCGGGAACGCATTTTCAGGTGTCCATATACCATTGTCGCATTGCTTTCGCTCCGGACCCAGGAGTGTGTAGCCACGCTGGCAGCCAAAGTGAGTGAACGTGCCGTGCTGGATGCTGTAGCCATTGGTTGGAGAGTGCGGGGCATAGCACGCTGAATGGGATGAAATCCAGATATGAAATGTATTGGTGGCATTATTGTACAGTGTATCTATTTGCGCATGTAACCCGACATGGGTCTCCACCCCCCCCCCCCTCTCACTCCTTTCTCTCCCTTTCCTGATTTGAAGCTCCAAAGCATGTATACAGATTACAAACGCAATTTTCTTAAATCAGCACTGAAATATGCATATGCAGAAAACTTAGTTTGTGGATATCTTTGTCCAGTTCTGAACAAGTGAAGCACATCCGGGCAGCTTGAGTTCCATCCATGGATGATGATACCTCTTGAAAAAAAGCTTGGCAAACCATCACGAGTCCAGAATTTAATTCAGTTGAAGTTTTTTCTACAGTGACGGCGTAGGTGCACATGAAAACAGCAAAAAACAAAAAATTCATGGTTCGCGTGAGACTCGGCCAAAGGCCCAGTTTTCCGCATCCGCAGGAACGCCACCACCCTCTTGGATCAAGGCAAAAAACAGCAAAGCAACATGACAACTCACCTCCCTGCTCCAATGTGCACTGGAGTCGCGAGCAACCTTTCACGCAGCTGCACACGTGACTGGCAGGGCACTCGCCGTGACTGGTGCAGAACTGCACGCCAGCAGGACACTGGCTATCCGACTGAGCGGCACACAGGTTTGCCAAAGAGCCCAGCAGACTGTCATAATTTGACGCTGAGAGAGACAAAGATAAGAGAAGACATACATTTTCACGCACAGAATAGAGATTTAGTTTGTGGATGTGGTTTGTGTTTTATCATTTCACGTTTTTTTGTCACAAATGATGACAGCATCTTGATAGCACATCGTGTACTCCTGATTCTGGAACACAGCAACATCACGTTTACCCATGTCGCCTGGGGGCTAGTGCCGAGAGTCTCCTTGTCAGCATTTTTGCTGCAATACATTCTGTGTGTCTCTGGACACAAGCATTAAAACATATCTCAGCCTCAGAAGGATCTGATCCTCCTTAGGTTTAAACATGCGGGGGAGTAAGTCAGCTTAGCCTGCAAGCTAGTCAGAAACTGCCAACGAAATGGCCACATCATCGGATGGCATCCATCCGTGAACAGATGAGTGTGGCTTGTACACTCTCCATGCAGTGTGGTGGTAGGCACTTCCCAGACACCTTTCTTTATCTAGCTTCTCCTCTGTCTCTACCGCACAGCCCAGAGTACTGTTCAACTAGCATCTAAGCTCAATCTCCCCCTTTGTTCTCTCTGCCGCTTTCTCTGCTCTCGCTCTCTCTCTCTTCATAAATTCATGGCACTGTTCATACCTAGCCCTATTCGCCCCATTGCGATTGGATATATTTGTATTTTGGTCAGCGAATCCAAGTGAAATCAACAACAAAATCAACAAATACCCTACATTGTACATGTATGCAAGGCAAGTTGGAGTATGGTGCACAATGCTGTCCTTATCTATCTAACAAGCTTGAGCCCATCTGAAGTAAACTTGAAGGTTGACAAGAGGAACAGTGGGGTACTCTCCAGCGTCAGATATGACGTGCCGCATGACCGAGCCCATATTGGGATGCGGCCGCCTCCCACAGTGTCAATGTCAGCGATTGACAGCTGTGGTGTTTTTCTGACCTTTCACGTTATGTTACACTGACACCAGACCATCTGGAGGATGAGTACGTGATCACTGCCTGCAAGCGAGAGCATCATTGTGTTGCTTATCTGGTGCTGTTTACATATTGCTGTAGAATATTCGGAGCAGTCAATGACCTTAGGCGGATAGGCATTCATGAGTCTCTGAATCCCAATCAGTACTGCAGAACTAGCACAGCCGTGTGGAGATCAGGCTCCACAGGCTACGGCTCTGCGAATCATGGCTAGCACACTCATACCTCATTTATCCGGGACCGGGCATTGCACGTAATTTCGAAATGTCCAGAACTCCGAATCACACACATTTTGATGGGGAAAGGCCGTAAATATGGCATGTGACGTCACCGTTTCCACAGAAAGTGACAAAAGAGTAGTAATATTTCCACAAAAAGTGACAAAAGAGTAGTAATATTTCCACTGAAACTCGTCCAAAGGGTGCCCGGTAGACCGAAGTGCCTGTAACTTTGGGGACCGGATAACCAAGGTATGAGTGTAGGTCTATCCGGCAAGCTGAACAATGCATGGACCATAGTAGAACTACTACTTCAGTATGCTGGGATTGAACCAGTCATCATTCTGACCAAAGCACTGCTAACGGGTTGAAACTTGTTGGCCTTCAACTTTTCTTTTCTTTGTTTGTGTGTGTGTGTGGGGGGGGGGGGGTACCTCCTGCAGAGCTAACTACACCTTACGGCCTTATCAGTGGTAGATCTACTGCGTGAAGTTGCAGGCATAGTGTTCACCTGCCTAACTGCTGCACTGGGAAGCCGCCTGTTTCCTGATCAACTTCGCAAAAAGCTGCAGGACAACTTGCAGGCAAAGTCACGAGCTCCGGTGATCTCTACAGAGTGGAGTCCACTGACAACGGCACTTGGTCAGAGTGCAGTGTTCAGCAGATTCTAGACCAGTGAAAATGATTTGCGTCCAAACTTGCTAGCATCGCCTTTCGCTTGTATTATGTTCCTGCCATGGCTGTGTATGATGACCAATTTGACTGCATGCCTGTCTTCATTATCTGGGCAATCTACTGTTGTGGACATGGAAATCCGGTCGCACGTCTAGCGGCCCTAGGGCGCTGGCCATGCAGCCGTGGATAAGCGGTACACACATGCATGTATGCGCTGCAGCGCGCTGGTCGCATCGGATCAACATGATAATAATGACATGTGCACTGCACGCAACTTTCTGTACGCGCTGAGGGCGCCGGCCCCGGTCAATCGACTGGATTTCCATGTCCGCTACAGTATGTAGGCAGGTGTCCACACTGCCTGAAATCGAAACAAATCTTCCGAATTCGTACCTAGCTAGGGAAACATAAGCTGAGGATAAAAATAATACCCAGCCTGTCACAACTATAACAATAATCACAGAGGCAATAGTCTTAGGTTATGAGAAAGTGCTCAACACCTGATTCAGGCAGAGCGTCATACACAAAGGCACACAATGAGAACCTCGGCAAATTCCGTTGTGACGACGTTGTCTGATGATTGGTTCCGTCATGAAACTCTGAGTCACAACGGAATTTGCCAAGGTTGTCATTGTGTGCCTTTGTATCATTTTTTGAAAAATCTAAATGCTACCAAGTTACTTGGATTTTACACACACACCCCCACACACACATGACCCCCCCCCCCCCCCCACACACACAGTAGGATACTGACTACTTACACCGTGGTTGGCTCGTCGTGGAAGACTGTGACAGCACATTACCAAACACGGTTCCCACTAGCGCTGTGATAAATCCAAGCTCAAGGACGCTAGTGCCGCGCAAGTCCATCTTCGGAGACAAGGAATTCGTTTCCGATTTTACTGCCTAGTACACTGTTTACAGGCACATACACGCACAATGGAATCTGATTTGGTTGGGCGGATTTGCCAGCTTGGATCTGCAACGAAAACTATTCTTAGTCGGAGGCAATCCAATTGATCGCGATACTGCCAATGGCTCCACCAAGGAGGCAATGTGAGACTAAGAACAACCCAGGACAAGCGTAGCAGCTCAACCTCTTGCTTTCCCGGACAGAAATGTTGTCGCTGAGGCGGCTCGGCATCTTCAAAGTGGTATTTATAACGCTACAAGTAAAAAGCGTCACCCAAGTACTCAGTTGTTCATTCAATTAGTATTTTAGTACTGTTGTAGATACGTGTGTCCCTTGGGTCTCTCCTAAACAGACCACTCCCGGCCTGGTATAGTGTTTATCACAGGGTCAGGAGGCCTGTGCAGGCAGGTGCATCTAGCTGATTGAAGTGACATGATCCTTGCCTGTCGTCTGTGTGCTGTCACCGAAGACTACCGGTAAACAGTCGACATGCCACCTACGAAATCGCACGATTGGCTCCTACACAGCGACTGCGCTCTGCGAGCGCACAGTTAGTATGTAGCCTTGTAGGTGAGCCGTGAGGCCGAGGGCAAGCTACGCTGACGGCCTGAGACTTTTGTTGCGGTAAAGCGGCTACAGGCTGCAGCCAAGTAAAGTTCAGGTTGTCACACAAATTCAATGGATGTTATCATGGTTATGTGGCACTGTTCCTGATTACCTTCTAGAATTCTGTATACTGTAAAAGCCATATTTATTACGAAGTGCTAACTCTAACGAGTTAACGAGGAGAAATCTGTCGTTAAAATAAAATCGTTATACAGAAATCGATACATAAACCGTCCTATTGAGCATTGAGAATGAGTGGGAATCGTTACCTTTGGTATACGTAAACCAGTCAATTTTGGGAAATCGTTATAATTATTATATATTCGACGAGGAGACAATAATTTTAATATGGCAATAAGTAGGACGAGCTGAAGTGACATTTGGATTACTTTATTAACAATGTACGCGATGGAAACGATGCAAAAAACAATGTAAAGGGTAAGGAAGATACATGTATGAAGAAAAAAGCGATGGAAAGAAAGATGATTCGAACAAGTTTTCGTACAACACTCTTCAGGAATCACCGTTGTACTAAAGAACAAAATGAGAACAAAGGAAATAATAATACTTAATAGCAATCAAGGTAGGGTAGCAAGATACAATGACAGCACTGGAATATCGAGGTGTGATTTTTCACAAAAGCGTGCAGAAAACAAGGGTATACAAGTAGGAACTAAGCGTGACAAGTGTGTATCAACAACAACAAAAAAACAACAAAAAAGTGAGAACGACTGATAATAATAAAAATATAACAAACAAGAAGGTGACAAACCACATTTAGGCACAAGTGGCAACAAGGTTGCCACACTACACAAACGAACATTATTTGAACAATTTTAGGGTAATAACACTTTCTTTCTGGACACACAAATTCGGCTTATGAATGCGCTGGCTAACAGCTTCCGAAACTTGTAACTGCAACAGATAACCATGCCGAGCACGGCACAAAACAGAAAAGCAGGAATCAGAATAAGTACGGCAACAGTCAGTACTAGAGACCAAAATGATTGTATACTGAAGACTTGTTATTACGAGACGCACGCACACAATCTCGACTCACGCGCACAACCTCACACTCACTCTCACCCCCACTCAGCTCACCTTCTCCCTCACTGCTCAAACCAGAACCTGCTCCATCATCCACACCGGTTTGAATCTCCTCCTCACTTGCATTGTCCTGCGTCTCACCTTCACCATCAACGCCAGCCGCAAATGCCGTTGCCTTCATGTTAGTCGTCGTCCTCTCCGATTGTTTCCTTTGTACGTTTACCGTGAATTCATAGGTCCGGTTGCAATCTGCTGTAGATCTGCGTGGTCTGTCATTTGCTGCTTTGTTTTGTGGATCAGTTGCTGTTGTTGTTAGATGTGAAGCTGGTGTCGTTGTTGGATGTGAAGCTGGTGTTGTTGTTGCAGCCATGGTTGTTGGTCTTTCTGTTGAATCCAGCTCTGGTTCCGGTGGGACAAATCGACCGCCACGAGTGCTCCCCACCACCACAGACCTCGAAGGAGGATGGTCAGGGGGAGGAAGAGGTGCTGTCACCACTCGAGGCACAGCACCCAGCGGCACAGACTTAGGCACACCTGAGGGCTGCACCAATGGCGGTTCCGCATGCACCTCTAAAGAGCCGCCAAGCTCAAGCCCGTCCAACACCGATGTCAGAGGCGGAACGGCAGACAGCGGCAGGGAACTAACCTGCCGTGTTTACGTGTAGGTACTGGATTTTTCTTAGGCCTCCGCGTTTGGGCCTCTCAGAACGCACGTATCAAACAACATACACCACTTCACATCCTTCCACCCAGTGCACAATCTGAGAGGCTTGCCCGACCATTCGAGCAACGCCAGATCATAATAAGGGTCTTTTGCTTGTGGAGCTCTTCAATGCCATACAGCTGCAGACGAGCAAGCAGAGGTTGGGCGTTTGTGCGACGTGGCAGGCCGAATATGGCGCGTGCCGCACGGTTTTGCTGGACCTGAAGGCGGGACCGCTGGTCTTGTCGAAGGCACCCAGAGAACGCCACGGACCCGTAGAGCAAATCTGGCATCACAACGGATTTCACGTACTGCTCTCTGGACTTTCTTGTAAGGCAACGGCGGGCTCTCCATAGTGCTCCCACCTTCAACAAGGCCTTCTTCACAGCATTGTTAACGTGTTCGTCAAATCGAACGTGCTCGTCTATCGTGATGCCCAGGTACTTCGCATGGGGAACTGCTAGTAGCGGGTTTCCCCGGCATATTACAGTAATGTCCTGGCCGGAAATTCGCAGGATATGGCTTTTGCTAGTGTTCAGGATTAGACTCCGTTCCTGGAGGTGGTTAGCAATCTCGGTTGTAGACGTTGTTAGAACTCGCTTCTTGGTCTGACACTTCACGGGTGACTTGTACTGCGCCAACATGCATGAAATGAATAGGAAAGAGGAACACGAGGGGAAAACGTCTTCTCGCTTTTCATCCTGTGTGTGATTATTATGAGGTTTTGTGTGAAATTTTAATTTTCGGCTATCACATTTCGTTAATTTCTTACTTTTTATACGGGGTCCATGGACTAGAACACAATAATTTTTTTGGAAAACTGCCATAAAGCAGTTTATATTGCTTTAGAATCAACTCGTAAAAACTCCAAGTCAATCTCCCATTGACACAAACCTCGTTTATTCAACATAATCATATCCTATCCAATAAATACAGTTCATAAAACAGCTTTTTAGGATCGGACCCAGTCCGCATAACCCAGAGAGCTAGCTCCCTTGGCTGCTGTTGGAATATGCAAGAATGGGCCTTCCAGATAAGGTCTAACAAGGAGAAGTGGCTATAGTTATGAAATGAACACCGGTAACCATGGAGAAAGACCACACTCTCATTATAGATACTGGTTATAAATACACCGAATAAGGAAAATGATCTGATAGCCTATGAAGAGTAAAAGAAATTGAACCAATGACAACAAATACTCGTCCAGCACACGAGTTGTCATAGCAACACAAATAACAACTGTCCTCTAATTTTATCGTTGGAGATTGAGTAGGAGTTTTTACTGGTTGATTCTAAATACAATAAATGCTCCTTGGGTTTATGACCAATAAAAACTAATTATAAAAACCTCGAGGGACCTCGGTTTTTATAATAGTTTCTATCACTCTCTTATTATTGACCCCCACAGAAACTTGTTATCTCTAAGCGGTCAAATATCAGCATATATTGACCGCTTATATTGACCACTTATTATTGACCACTTAGCCCGAGGACATAGAACTTTTTCCTCAACTTAGAAAAAAATCAGAACTGAAAGAAGAAAAATCTGAAGCCAAATGCTGGGATTTGAACCCAAACTGTCAGATTCTCAGTCAAAGAACTTGGGGAACATACTACAAGAGACAACTGAAAACTTTGGTTTTAACACAGAAGCAATGTCCAATGTAAACGGCATATGTACATGCTATTATACTATTACAATAGTATTCCTTTCTTCCTATAGCAAAGCAAAAACAGTTTTAGGTATGCTATGTCGTGATAAATCTTTTATTGCCCTCATAATCGGTCAATATATGAAATATAGACCTCGTAAAAGACCTCGGGGGACCTCGGTCTTTTGATTGATTGATTTTTATTTCACGGATCCTCCAGAGGCAAATAGATGCCTATCGAAGGGAGTCTCCTAAGTAAGTATGGAAAATGAGAAAGTATGTTCGTAAGGGAGAAGAGGTAGAAGATACATTAGAATATAGAGTACAGAAGAAGTAAATTCAGTACTTCGGGTAGTACATTGCATGCTAATCATAATGAGAATTAGAAAAGCAGCATTGCGGACTACTATAACTGACATATACACAAACTATTGAAACTATCATAGATGTGGTTAGCCTAGACACAAAAGTCAGGAATACCTTTCAAAGAAAACATAGATTGCGAATGATACCGACGAACAGCAATACTAAATTTCGCTGTTGTAGAGAGTGAACGAATATCTTCAGGAAGTTTATTCCAGGCAACACTCAAAGAAAAAAGGGTTGATTTACGAAAGAAGGTGCCCGCTTTAGGAAGAATTATGGATGAAGGGTGACGACTGCTTTGGGAAGAGGGTAGCTGGAAGTGAGACAACAAGGAGGGGTATTGGGAGAATACATGGTGGAAATAGACAAGGCCAAGAATCTGCCGTCGCCATGCTAAAGATTCCCAAGAGGACAGAACATTGAGGTCTTCTTTGGAAGTCGTCCAGTCAGGCCGACGCTTGAGTTTACTATTTAGGTATGCTCTAGCAGCAGTAGCCTGCAGTTTATCAAGGGTTGTGGACATGGTGGCTGAAACGGAAAACATCCAAACGGGAACAGCATATTCAAGGAGGGGACGAACATAACATTTATACAAAAGATTCACAGCAGGAAAAGGAAGGAAGTTGGACATGTGGTTTAAAAGAAAAACCCGACCTCGAAATTTGCTGGTAATGTGTTGAATATGGGGGGACAGATTGAGTGAAGGAGTGAGGATGATGCCCAGATGGCGGTGGGAAGAGGGCTGGGTCAGTAACGTACCGGCCATGGTGACGGTCCTGGGATCAGGTGGGTTTGATTTAGGTCTGCAAAAGGGAACATGGACACATTTGTTAGCATTGAAAACTGCTTCAGCTTTATGGGACCAGTTCACACATCTATC